GAGGAGGAGGAGGAGGAGAAGGAGGAGAAGGAGGAGGAGGAGGAGGAGGAGGAGGAGGAGAAGGAGGAGAAGGAGGAGAAGGAAGAGGAAAGAAAAAGAAGATAAAGAAGAAGAAGAAAAGGGAAGAAAGAGAAGAAGAGAAGAACGAAAAGAAAAAAGGGAAAAAAGAAAAAAGGGCAGTCACTCACCGGAATGAAGAGGTAGGGCACCTGCTTCTCGTACTGCGTCCACGCCTCGCCGTACTTGTTGCGGCAGCGCTCAATGTCGCGCAGGGCGCGGTGGGCGATCATGCAGCAGAAGAAGACCGGGTAGAACCAGGGGAAGGGGCTCTTGAAGCCGCAGATGAGCCCCCACGAGATGGCGAAGAAGGCGTCGCACGTGTAGTGCGTCTTGCGCGCGAGCCCGTACCAGCCGTCGGCGAGGATGTCGTCGCCGGTCGACGTCTTGATCGTCTTGGGGTTCTTGAGCGTCTGCCAGGGCACCTGGGGAAACGTCTTGCGCATGACCATGGTGCCGCGCTCGGCGGCGCGGAACCGATTCTTCTGGCTGTTGGCCGAGTCCCATACCCAGTAGACGAATATGTAGGCGGCGAAGAGAAGGGCGAGGAGGGGCCGGCTCATGCGGTACTCGGCCGGGTCGTGGTTGGCGAGGAAGATGGTGCAGTGGCAGTAGCTCAGGGGCACGCCGGCCATGTTCCAGAAGATGAGCATGAAACCCCACTTCTCGTAGTACATGTCCCAGGTCGTGACGATGAGCTCCTCGCCCTTGGAGCAGGCGTTGGCGTAGAGCCAGTGGGCCATGAGCAGGAAAGCCGCCTCGCCCGAGACGTAGCCGTACTGGTCGTACTGCCGCGCTGCCGCGCCGCACGTCAGCAGGAAGAGGATGTACCAGGGCAGGCGGACCTCGAAGAACATCTTGAAGTCGAGGATGCCGAACAGGCGCGGGTTCAGCTCGGCGCCCATGAAGAAGTCGTAGAGCGGGTAGCCCGTCATGCGGTGGGTGGCGCCGCGGGCGTAGGCTGAGACGTAGGCGACGATGGCGACCAGGTAGCCGGAGAGGATGGCGACGGACAGTAGAGGGCCAAACTCGTCGATGATGGTGTAGAGCGGCATCAGGCCCGAGAAGTGCAGGGCGGCGGCCACGACGATGGTGGTGTAGAAGGCGGGGACGGCGGAGCAGTAGTACTTGAGCTGCTTGCCGCCCTCGTGGGGCAGCGGCTTTCCATAGGCCCAAATACCGGGCAGGAGACAGTACAGCGCGCCCTCAAAGACGAAAAAGACCCAGTACATGGCCCAGGCCTTGAGGGAAGGGTACGCGCCGGTGTACACCAGGTTGACAAGGTGTTTGCCAAAGTCTGACCAGCTCTCGCCGGCCGCGGGCATGGGCGGCTTGCCGTCGTAGTACGTGGCTCCTATCCACATATACCACATGAGCACAGGGAAGCCGATCATGAGGGCAGAGACCCCAAGCGAGCCGCCAAACTCGAACTTGCCAGAGTAGTCGACCTTGGGGTCCATTCCTGGCTCCCAGCCGTCGACTACCACCGCTTGCTTCCCCTTTGTAGATCCATTGGCGGAACCATTGGCGGAACCATTGGCCACTCCATTGGTTGCGCTGTTGGCTTTGTGTTCGGCATGGTTCCCATTCGCGACAGGCTTGCGCTTCGCCAGGGGGGCCGAGGCCTCCTCGTTGGGGGTTTCGGCTTCTGACGTCTCATCGATGTGCTCGACGAACTTAGGGACGCGTTTTCTCACGGAACGGGCCGGCTTGGGTACTGTCTCGGCTGCAGAGCTCGAATCGCCGTCCGCGTCGGAGCCGTCCAGGGGGAACTGTGACTTGCGGCGCGTCGAGCGACGGCCGGGAGTCTCGACCATGCCGTCGAAGAGCTCCGACTTCCTGTATAATAGTCAATATACATCGTCTCTGAATAGGTAGAATGCGGGATTTGCACGAAGCACAGTCGAGTCTAGCCGGGCGAGCGTCTGCTCTGCCAACCTCGTCGAAGTGGACTTGAAGGGGCCAAATATGAGATGGGCGAGTCGGTCGTACCTGGGAGTCTGCCTCAAAGAGTACCGCGACATGTTGACAGGAGACAATTCACACAACAATTGACTTGTAGATCGCTATGCGAAAAGCCAAATGTCCTCGGGTCAAGAGCACAGTCGGAGCGGTGAGGGCTCTTTTGTTTCCGTCGCGTGGTGCAAAAGGAGGGCGGGCGGTCCCGTGTGCCACATTGGCCCAACTTTTCTTCCGATTTGTTGACATTCAATCTCCCGGTTGCTAGTAGAAGTCCATCCATGGGCCTTGGTGCCCAGGAACGACCCTCAGGGGCCTACACTAGCGCACGCATCACTGTAATTCACCGGAGGGTGGGAACAAAAGCGGAATGCCTCTCAGGCACAATCTTCCCGGTATGTGAGAACGGAACCAATACCCAACAACTGGAGGTGCTTCCTCAGGATTTACAAGATTTATCACAGATCAGATTGCTGTGCAATATTAGGTATTGTTGATTACATATGTGCCTCAATGCTGAGGCCTTTCGTTGGCCTTCCATGTGTGCCACCGTATTCCTCAGACAGGGCTAGGGTTCAAGTGCTCATACTTGTACAACCAGAGCCACATAAACGGTAGCATCCTATGGTGAAATACAGGGTCTATCAATGCCTCAATCAACAGTGCACGTTCTCGCGTCTCGTGAAAAGATTTCTTCCTCACATCCTGGGCAAGCCCACGATTGCAATGAAAAAATGGTTCGCGTCTCTCGGAGGTAGTGTGATACCGAGGACACAGTGGAGGTCGATCATGGGCAAGCCCAGAGGACCGTCCTCCGAAGGACAAAAATTAGAATAATCAAAAAATCTACTCCGTAGAGCAGTTTCAGAGATTAAACTGAAAAGAACAGATACTACACTTGATCTAAGCCAAAAGGCAAAGAGAGCTAAAGAAGAAAGAAGGGAAAATCTAAAAAGAAGAGGAGGATGGCGAGGTATATATAGTTTTTCCAAGGGCTGGCTGATTTCCGAGGGCGGTGGATGTGGGCATTTGGGCTAAGAAGGGACGGGCTTTTCGGTCATTGAGTGGGTCAGATAGCACAGCAGGATGGAAAGCTTTAGTCATGGATACCTAGGTACTCTGGGAGCCGTGGGACTGTGTTTGGTGCAACGGGGGCCGAGATTGCTAGCTCTGGGTATGTAGCTACTATCTTGAGATTGTGGACTGACACGACGGATCTTGTTAGTCATGCCTTAGTGTATGCTAAGATGGAATGGTCACAGCAAAAATATGCACATAATTGGCCATCCCACACCACTTAATTCAATTCAATATTGGGTCTGTTCGTCTTCATTACCCCCAGGCAATACAACGGCAAGTATCTAGATAAGCCATCTACATCTGTCCATCACCCTATTCATTCTCCATCGCAATCATACACTTGGACTTCTGTGACGGTTCGCCAGAGTCTTTTTTGGGGATGGGGGGCATTGATGGGTGGACCACCACCGTACATGGTACCGGAGGAGGTTGGGCGAAATGCCGAAACTGGCCCCACTTCGGACCTCCATCACGTGACTGCCACCACAACCCACATGGCTTCGGACACCGAAAGCCGAACCTCACAGCAAGCAAAGACGGAGGGCCCGATTCCTGATCATTGTGCAGCTTAATCATTGTAAAGCTTGATATAAGCATGCATTATGCACATACTACTACGGGGCGTTTTCGATACAATCGCACGGCCCCTACAGGTTGATACCGTCCTGGGCTGTCAAGTGATGGTCAGATTAATTAGTCGACCAGGCTGGCAACAGAAGCACTTCACCATCCATCCATCCATCGAACCCATCAATTTTAGGTAGTGGGATAATATGTCCAATGAATAAAGGTTGGTTGATGGATTGGTAACATAACTTTCTGATGTCCATCTGAGCAGTCGGGTTTAGACAGTGGGATAACCCGGGGCGACAAAAGAAGAGATCATGCCATTGTTTTTATCGAGGCATCTCCTGATGAACTTCCGTCAACTATTCTGAATCCTGCTTGGCGCTGTATGCTTTACAGCGCAGGATAGTCGGCACGAGGCGGGCGCATGCCCATGATCTAGTCGCCTTCCCCCTTATGTCTTCTTCAGATTTCCTCATGCGTGCCTTCCTCACTACGCTGCCTGAGCACAATACGGGAGCCAAGGACACATTTCCTCTTCTGCCGGCACCATGTCAGCCTGCAATTCTTTTTGTTTTTCTCCGTCAATCGCCCTCCCCATTCGCCTCACGTTCTTGTCGTCCTCCATTTCCTCTCTGTTCGGCTTACCTGCCTTCCTACAGCCGATAAGGAATTCGTGAGCATAGTCTCTACAGATATGAAGGAAACGATACCATCGATGCCACCTTTGTCCTCGACGAAAATACCTGCCACTAACCACACTACCCCGACCATCCTTGCCCCTCTGGCAAGATTCATCGTCGTCAGTTCATCCTCACAGGCTGGATCTGTCTCCCCAGATCAAGCCAAGATCGAGCCCCTTGCCATCCTGGACGACGAAAGACGTCAAACCTCTACTGAACGCACCGAGACCCACAAAACAAGACGCCGTCGTGTGTGACACCTCAGCCGAGCGTAAGCTTGTCGTCCAGCAGTAAGATGTCGTCGACCGGAGGCCCCACCGGAAGCTCCCCAGTTCATTCCAGAGCACGGGTTCTTTGGCAAAGAGCTGGTTCAGTATGTGGATGAGGACAATTTCAGGGGCAAGAGCTCTGTTTTCAAGTTGCCTGTGAGCAACTCGGATGGCTGTGTGAAGCCACGGCGCAATACCTTCTCGAGCTCCATCTCCCTAGCTACTCGTACAAATCTTCCAATGTGAAGATTACGGTCGAGGAGCTTTTCAGCGCAAAACAGTGCCTTGTCTACCTAGGGAGGCTATGACACGCATGGGTCCGATATTCATGGCGAGGCCTCCCTTGCCTGGTTTGTCAAATACTATTTGCAAATGCTACGCAGCGTAGTAACTACCTGATGCGTCATCATAGAGACCTCAATAAGAGTTGTCCGGTTGGGGGTTGCAGCTGAAGAAGGTCTGGCCGAGTCAGGGTCTGTTCGCCAGACCATGTCGAGGAGGTTTACCAAATCAGCAAGGATGAGGCAAAAGGACTGCTGGATGCATAAACCTCGCAACCTTGTTTCTTCATATTGCATATTGACGAATACATAGGTTCGGTTATCAGGGCACATTAGTTGCCGACTTGCCAACTCTGGCTTTCTATCAATATCTAGCAATATTTTGTTGTTGATCCGGGCTAATCATTCACACATTCTAGGAGTAGATAGTTCATCTCAATCCAACCAAGTCAATGTTCAGTTTTGATCTGTTGAACGGGAGCAATTGAGTAAATCTGGCTTCTATGGATGGGTAGATAGATCGATGAAGCCATCTCGAGAATGATGGCAGTCCCCCAAATGAGGGCCAGTTAGTTGACAGGCCGGCAACAGAAATGCTTAGGAGTGTCGGTCAGAGACATGATTGCTTCACGCTGGCAGTCGTCAAGTTCCTGGAACTCTTTCAGAAACTTGGAAAGAAGTTCTGAGTCCGACTCCTGACGGCCATGTTCCACACGTGAAATAATACGGCCGATCATAGGGAAAAGCTCGGCGATATTGTGGCTGAATAGCTCGCCTTGAAATCCAGAGACCACTTGGAGAAGTTCATTCCGGCCTTCTGTGCTTCCTCTGAGGCATAGCGCACGCCTCCAAGCTCGGCTTTGAGGTTTGAGTCTCGGGTCTCTCGATCGATGATGATTGTCTCGGTGCAAGATGGGTTCTTGACGGCAGAGTTGATCAACATTCCAACGGAGGTGTGGAATTGGACCTGAGTTGCACGGGCTTGTTCAAGGCTAGTAACTGCTGCCGACGTTGCTTCAGAAAAGGATTGAAGTGTGAAGACGGGCATGGCGTAGTGTTTTGCTGTGGCTGTGTGTCTGTAACATGCGGGGAGCGAACATTCGTGAGAAGAAAGTCCTTCCAGTAAGGAATGGCACAAGCCGTTCTAGTGGCCATTTTAACGAGAGTGTGGACGATAGACGAGAATTTATCCGTGAAGAGAATGGAAGTCTGGAAGAATAGCCGATTCTTGAATGATGGTTGATAGCCGAGATCAAAAACTCATTTCACAGAGTCGTTCCCGCGAGGGTGAAAGGCCGTGCGCAAGTAAGAGAGAGTTTGCTGGATGGCTCGGAAAGAGGCTTGGAGCTCCGTACCGCATTCTGCCGGCTGAGTGTACACGAAGTCAGTCGTAGTGTGCTTCCCGAAACAAATGATGCACAATGTCGCGTATTACAACGGATGGACGACCGGCAGCAGAGAATCCCCAAGGAGGCACAGCAGAGCAAGGGGATGAACGACCGCATCCTCGGCTTCTGCCTGTTTGCCTGTACAAGAAGGAGGCCATGCATGTGGAAGTACCTGTCGTGTAATCGCATCCGTGATGCATCCGCGGCGACTTGAAGCAAGAGCAGCGAACACGAAGCTTGGGAGGCGTTCAAGGCAGGCAATGTACAGTACAAGAACGACGTCGGTTATGGTGGCGACTGATGTGGCCGCTCTCACGTTTTCCTGCCACCCTTGGTGCAGTTCCGTCCACGATGACCTTTCCGCAAGCACTTGCCAACAGATCGATGAGCATGATGGTAGTCACAGACGGTGGCCCAAAGGTTCAACTCAAGCCTGTGAAATGTGTGTAAGCTGCCAACAAGGTCAGACCCCACCCCTTTCCTTGAGTGCCACTCATTTGTGCTCAAAGGATCCATGGTACACGATAGCGAATGCCTGACAAGCCAGAGACATTTGGCCGGGACCGCGCTTCTTGTGGACGAGCACCCTTCGTTCCGTACAATGTCTGGATCAAGAATGTTGATTGCTAGCCTACCCAGACCACAACGTCACCTCCATCACCAGTCTATAGATGACAAACCGAAATGCTCCGATGAAATGATAATCGCGTAATGTGACAATAGTACATATTTGTCCCCGAATCCGTACCCATTACCCTCTCTTCAACTCGCCCCTATGAGGGCCTGCTTCTCCTATGTTCTCTCTCACCGTTTTATCCGCGTCCCCTCGTGCCTGGTACCCCAGATGAGATTGTTGAATTGCGATTGAAGCCGGCTCAGGATGGGGCCACCCTTGCTTGTCTCTGCAGTTGTCGATGCCCGTTCCTGACCGGAGTCGGCCTGTGACCGTACATGCGCGTTCTGCATTTAGCAGGTGGTGTTCAGCGCAGCTTTGGAATTCATCAGCAGCGCGACAATTAGACCGTACAGACCTAGAATCTAGATTAGCTTGGATCCGGCGAGCAGTGTAGATGGGACCTGAGAAGGTCGTACCCAAGACTTCGGCGAAAATGAGGATCAAAATCATGCCGACGAAGAGCCTGGGCTGTTGAGCAGTTCCCCGCACACCAGCGTCACCGACGATACCAATGGCGAAGCCGGCAGCCAGACCGGCCAGACCGACAGCGAGACCAGCACCGAGCTGGATGAATCCGGTGAAGAGGGCATAGTCTTTTTGACCAAGGTTGTCGGAAATCAGGACCGAGACGACGAGACCGTAGATACCAATGATACCAGCCATAATGACGGGGACAATGTCTGCAAGATACGCGCGTTAGAATTCGTGTATCTGATGGGTGATGGGTTGTATGGACGCACTCTTGACGATGAGATCGGGACGGAGCACACCCATGGCGGCAATACCGACGCCGGACTTGGCAGTTCCGTACGCTGCGCCGAAGCAGGTGAAGACGATAGCTGCGGTACAGCCCATGGCGCCAAAGAAGGGCTGTGATTGTTAGCTTGTTTGGTCCGTGATGGTGAAGGGCGGGATGACGGCATGGCTGCACGATGGTCGGTCGGATAGCAGGGTGCTCGAAAGGGATGATGATGGTGAGGGACTAACCGCGTAGACAGGGCTAGAAGACAATCATGTTAGCTCGAGTTCCACAGAAGACACTGCCAATGTTGATACAGAACGACGCAAACTCTGGCCGAGGCGATGAATTGAGGTGATGATGGTAGGGGCTAGCTCGGCCAGGTTGGGAAGCTGAGCTGGAAGGGATGGAGCCGTGCGACATACCAGAGGTCAGACATTCTGGCGGTTTATCTGGGTGATGGACCTGGGGAATATATGTAGAAAGAAGCGTCGAGCTGGAGAAAGCGGTTCGGCGAGGTTTGACGATGGAGCAGTCGGTAAGGGAGCGTTGCAGCGATGGGGGTGAGCTGGTGACGACTGGGAGGTTGCGGGTTGGTTAGTGACGAGGTGTTTCCAGGTTGGCCTTTGATTGGGGCGAGGTTTTGCTGGTGCTGGCAGTTCTGGTCCGAGCTTGGCGCCAGCTGGTGTGGCCCACCGCACGTCTGCATGTGGTATGGCCTTAGCTAAGCCGGAATTTCGGCGCAACTTTGGTTCCTTCACGATAACTCCAGTCCAGTCACTGGTGATCATCACCTCCCTGGCCATCCACTACCTACATTTGATTGAGCTCACCAGTACTCTCATAGAACATATAAATCATCGATCACAAGGGCTTTGTATTTTGTCATCATAAAGTATGCCCTTGTATCACTCGGGGTTCCCCCTGATGGACCATGCCGACTGTCGCCATGTCACAGGTGCCCACGGCTCATCGCTGATGTTTCATCGCGGGAACTGGCCAGGTGACACGCTCATTACTAGGACTCGTGAACTACCTCCAGGTATCTGATGGAACATCACCATGATTGCTATGAGAAACTATCCTCTTGCAGCTAATGAACTTCCTGGAGGTTGACAAGTCGGGAAGACGTCGCCGATGTCGCTAATACCAAGATCCTTCGGCTGTGGGTTTTGCGTGCTCCTTCATCTTCACAGCTGATGCTGGAGGCGCTGTGGGTATCGCTGTTCTCAGCTGCTGGGCGTGGGAATTGCTTGAAATGGGCACGCCAACACGTCATTACAGGACACCACCTGCATCTTTAGGCGGTGGGGTTCCCACACAACCGCTCTGACGCGCTGCCCCTGCCGAATGCCCCTCGGTCTAAGACATGCCCATGGTCCTTTCCATGTAAGAATTACCATTTTACCTGGGCTCTGGTTGCAAATCCTCAACTCTTCAACAGAGCGCGTGTATTGCTTTCAATCCTGCTCGTCTTCGCATTCCCTCTATTTGCATAGCGCAAGCATCGTTTCAATTCCAATCTCTTCCCATTATGTGACAGTAACATGCCGAGTCTTGCCCGCAAAGTCATCATCTGCGCTGCCGTAGATGGCCTCGTCCTGCAGCCACTGTCCTCGAAGAGAGACCAACGGCCACCGTCCCCAGTAAAGCTGCGATACGGAGACGCTGGTATATCTCACGTCTCGCGCGAAGCAACACCTGACTTGGCCAAACCCGACTCTTCCTTCGAGGCGTTTGGAATAATCGGTCAGTCCCGCACTGTCGCGAGACTGTCCATCTCGGCGCAAGCTTGCTAACTCTTTCCTTCATGACAGGATTGATCAATGTCTCCAAGTTCAACTACCTGGTCTCTATAACGAGAAGGCAGCAGGTCGCGACAATCCGGGGTTCGCCCATCTACGTTGTTACCGAGGTAGCTCTGACGCCATGCACGAGCTACAAGGACGCCAGCGAAGCGATCGCAAATACTGTGCTACATGCCCAACGGCACCCAATCGACAAGTCCGTCGAGAATAGCGATAGCGAGAACGAAGACGTCGAGCTGCCCCTTGCAGTCAGCGACGAGGTCGGAGACGATGATGCCTCCTCGGGCGAGGAAGTCAAGCCGCCAGCTGGTGCCACCGCTCGAAAGAGCAGCGTGGCGCAAGACGTGATATCCAAGAGGGGAAGTTACGGTCGTTTCGCACAGCGCTGGTTCAGCAAGAGCGGTTGGATGCAGGATCAGAAACGGTCTATGGGACTGACTGATCGCGCCGAGGCAGAAGCTGCTGCCAAAGCAGCGGCCGAGAAAGGGTCCAAAGAAGCCATGGTCGAGGAGACGGAAAGAGCCCAAGCCTTGGCCGAGGACACCGAGAGAGCGCGTGCGGCCGGTGGCCTGCTCCCGAAGCTTCTTCGTACGACGCAGATATTGTTCGGGTCGTCCAAGAGCTTCTTCTTTGCCTACGACTATGACCTTACCAGAAGCCTGGCCCAGCAGCAGGCAGTGAATGCTACAGACACAGCCCTTCATGAGCTGGTAGATCCAATGTACTTCTGGAATCGGCATACTATCCAGCCATTCATCGACGCGGGTGCCAGTCAATTTGCATTGCCCACGATGCAGGGTTTCGTGGGCCAATGTTCCTTCATCGTCGATAGCCAGCCTCCGCAAGTGGACGACGGTGCCCAAGAGTCGATGGAAATGAAAGACATGCGCACCGAATCAACACCAGCATCGCCGCCGACAGAGCGCGCGTCAATAGACCTGAGGCCTAGCGAGAAACGATTCGACATCACCGTAGTCTCGAGGAGATCCGTCAAGCGCGCGGGCTTACGTTACCATCGGCGTGGTATCGACGATGAGGGCTTCGTAGCCAACTCTGTCGAAACGGAACAAATCTTATCTCCTTCCAAACCAGATGACACCTCCAAGATATACTCGTTCCTCCAGATCAGAGGAAGCATACCCGTCTTCTTCAAACAGTCACCTTATTCTTTAAAGCCCGTCCCTATTCTGCAGCATTCAGAAGAAGCGAATTATTCAGCATTAAAGAAGCATTTCGATAGAGCGCGAGACAAGTATGGTTCTTTGCAAATAGTCAACCTGGTCGAGAAGCATGGTACCGAGGCCAAAGTTGGCGACGAGTTCGAACGGCTCGTGCAGCGCCTCAACGGCGAGAGCGATGACAGCAGGAAAGTACCCTTTGAGTGGTTTGATTTCCACAATGCTTGCCGGGGCATGAAATTTGAGAATGTGTCACTCCTGCTCGACATACTGGGCGAGAAGGTTGTTGGGATGGGCAGCACCATCGAAGATGGCAACAAGATCACCGCACGGCAGACTGGCGTGCTACGGACAAACTGCATGGACTGCCTGGATCGCACCAATGTCAGTCAGAGCTCGTTTGCCAAGTACATGCTGGACTTGCAGCTCAAAGCGGAAGGCTTCGACATGGCGGCGCAGCGCGACCAGGAAAACTCGTGGTTCAACAACCTATGGGCAGACAATGGGGATGCCATCTCAAAGCAGTACGCATCGACAGGCGCGATGAAAGGTGACTACACACGGACGAGGAAGCGGGACTACCGAGGAGCCTTGACGGATGTCGGACTGTCTTTGACAAGATTTTATAATGGGTATGTATCGATGATTTGAGGTGCGCAATTGGGCATCTGGCTGACTCTTCCAAGCATGGTCAACGACTTCTTTCTACAGGCAACCATCGACTTTCTGCTGGGCAACGTCACAGCGCTGGTCTTTGAGGAGTTCGAGTCGAACATGATGACAAAGGACCCCGCAGTCTCGATGCTCAGGATGAGAGAGCAAGCCATTGAGCTCTGCCAGAAGCGTGTTGTGGCAGACGAGGCGGAGGAGTTCATCGGAGGCTGGACTCTACTCAGCCCTCCCGTTCCAGATACTATCGCGAGTCAGACGTTGGAGGAGGTGGTGCTGCTTCTCACGGACGCGGCCCTTTATCTGTGCAGATTTGACTGGAACTCTGACAAGGTCTCCTCGTTCGAGCGCGTCGAGCTGTGCCACGTGGAAAAGATCAAGGTCGGCACGTACATCACCTCCACGCTGTCACGCGCACAGATAGACGAAGAGCACAACGTAGGATTCGTGGTGACATATTGCCCCGGGTTTAGAGATATCATGCGCGTCAACACCAGGTCTCTGTCGAGCCTGGCGAGCAAGTCCAAGAAGGACGAGGAGGGCGGAGGGCCGCTGAACTTTAGCGGCATTCTCAACCGGCGTCAGCAGCAGTCCGCGCCGCCCCCGGACAAGAAGATGGCATTCAAAGCGCTGTATGCGCAGTCCTCGATCGCGGCGGTGGGAGATACGGGGCCGAAGCTCTCGGAGAGCCAGCAAGTCGCGGCGATCTGCTCCGAGATTGAGCGTTTGGTGCAGCTGAGCAAGCCGACCTTTGCGGGGACGGAGAGGCCGGCCGTCATAGAGAAGGGTGAGATCGTGTCGTTGGCGGAAGCGCGCAAGAGCACCGGGATCCTAGAGCAGCTGGGCCACTCGATCAAGAAGCTGGTCTGGGCTTGAGGGCTGCTGTGCTCAGCAGGGAGCAATAGAGTATTCTAGTAATGCACATACATATTCGTCACCGCTTCAAGGACCTCCGCTGGGCGCGGGCTTGACCGCTCGATACAGGTGCATCTGATACCGCATGTTCTCCAGGGAGATGGGGTAGTCGACGCGCTCGGGCAGCCTGAACCAGATGGAGTCGTGGGACTCGAGCTTCGTCCACTCGCAGTCCTCGACGCTCGTAAGCACCTTGTCGAGCAGCCAGTGCATGGGATATTTCCGTGACTGCTTGCCCACTACGGTCTCCGAGTAGCTGCCGGGGCTGTCAACCACGAGCAGCAGCGAGCCCGAGGGAACAGCGGCGGTCAGATTCATGAGGAACTTGGTGGTCTTGCCGATGCCGCCGGCGGTGAAGAGCTCGTTGAGCGTGAAGAAGACGGTGATGAGCACCGGCGCGGCCGTGGAACCGTCAGCGCCAAGAAGTTTGGACATGTACTCCTTGTCAGCCTCGAGGACATCAACCTGGCGGAAGGTGGATGTGAGGCGAGACGGAGGAATTATGGCGGACACAGCTGCCCTCGCTGCCTCGCTGGCGTACTTGGACACCGGCGGGGGAGTCGTGAGACCGGCGTACAGCTTTTGCACGACCGAGTCCCACGGGCCTGAGTCTAGGAGGTAGACGTCGCCAGACACATTCTCAAGCTGAGCTAAGAACGAGCCAACGGCGATGAGCTCTGCGGCGGCACCACCTATCGAGAGCACCCGGAGTCGGGAAGGCGGCGGTCGCGCAGCGTCATCCTCGCCTGCTTGTGCGCTCTGACTCTGCAGGATGTCCCGTAGGTACGTCTCGACACCGCCGAGAACAGAGGAATAGCACATGGCTCTCGGCGGGCTCCATCTCGCGGCGTAGACGTCGAGATACTTCTCGTTGCCAAAGGCCTTGTCGAACTCCCGGTTGAACAGAGCCTGCTTCACCTCTTGGAGAGTTGTCGTGAAGTCGTCCGCAGACAGGGTCGTCTCGCCAAAGACCCTGCGGAAGACTTCGAGAATGGCGGCGTGTTGCCGCCGGGTAGCTGCATCCTGCGGGCTGACGGCCTCTTCGGCCTGCTGCGGAGCCTTGCCTGATGATGACTGTGGTACAGGGCCCTGACGAGGAGTTTTTGATTTTGTGTTCTGGGTCTTCTTGGCCATGGTGAACGCACAGCCGGTGGTCACCAGGTTTTTCGAGGGCAAGAGATATCACAGGTGATGATACTGCATCTCACTCTATGCATAAATGCAAAACTAAAGCCCCGGTTGGTGCATGACAGTGTTGGCGGAAACCCCCACATCAAAGGCTATCACGGTACTGAGCACATCAGGACTCAAGCTCTAGACCATTAGAGGCGCACTTCTTAGCCAACACAATCTTGGAGTTTGCAAATACTTGATTACTGTCCTCGTATCCTGCCGAGGTATTTTCGTGTCTAATTCAGGAAATACTACAGCAGAAGGTGAGATGCGTGCCTAAGTCGTGCAAGGAACGAATAATCAATCACCCTACTAGCCCTCAGGACTAACAAAAGCTTGGAGAGCATTAATTACCGCACTAATGACGATGTCGGCCGGCCAGTGAAGGATGGCCTGGACTGCGGATGAGTTCCTGGATACTTCTTCCGCCTCGTTCTACCCCCAGCGCCTGTGGGCGAGTCCCGAAACACTGCGCACACTTCTGATTGCTCAGCGCTGAGAATACAGCACGTTTCAGCACTGACAAACTTATGTTGCTCCTTGAGAAGCCCGGGCGGATAAATGCACACTTATCCGGGCTTGAGGCTTAGCCTGGAGAAAAAACAGAGAAAGGCATACTAATGGGACAAATCCCAGCGCCCTCTGTGCTGCATTACTGATTAATATAGCGTGGCAAGCTTGAAAAAAATGACGAAGGGTGCCCCGCCCCGGGTCCGGAGACCGGAGGCCAGCCGAATCAAGGTGTGAGCTAGAGCTGCCTTTAGAGCACAACAGGGCAGAGTAGTGAACCCACACACGATGGGGATGGGCGGCAGCTTCTGCCCAGGAATTAGGTACAAGTAGAAGCTGGATATTTCCACATCAGCTTTGCTTTGAGTACCTGAGGTGTTGGGATTTCCGACCCTGCGGGAGTCTGCCTGAATGCTGCATGGTATCAAGGCAGATCAATGGCCCGAGATCCCGGAACGTTAGACACCATCTTATTGCGTCTAGCCATACTTCCAGGGGCCAGTCCATGTGATAGTGAACGTGCTGCTATCGTAAGGTTGTAGTCATGATTACCCAGCTGGCTTGAGATATCTGGATGTTCCTGACCTAATCAAGCCAACGGTAAATGTTGATGTCACAACTGGAGATGCGTGCGCAGGAGCCAGTCAGCGGCAGGCATGGGGACCTGATTGGGGGGATGGAGCCTGAGGGGGGGGGGGGCAAAGAAGGAAAAAAAGATCATGAAAAAAAGGGTCCCCTCAGAAATGCAGCCAAAAAGCACCCCACCTTGGCGATCCAGCAAAGTGTCAGAAATTCGAACGACGTCTCAACCCTGCCGCCCGCCGCCGGTGTATCCCCGTTCTTGCTTGCTCCCGGTCGTCTTGTTCTTGTTGAGTGCGGGTTCCTCTCGAACTAGAGCGAGAGTACAGCGGGCTAAAATAAAACACATCCCACCCGATCAGCCCGCCAACTTTTTCTCTCATACCTACCATTTCCCTCCTTCTCCTTCAATTCCATCCAATTCATTCTCCATTTCCAGATACCCATTTGCTTGCCCGGATTTTCTTCGAGAACAGTCGCAATCATGGGTTACACCGACGTTGACAGGCTGGCCATCAACACGATCCGTGTTCTTGCTGTGAGTACTTGCTCTGTCTCTCTCTCTCTCTCACTATTTCCAAACCGTCACCAGAAACACGTTGCCCCGCCCCCGCCATTCTGGCGATAACGATACTGCGACCGGCGAGAACAGCTACCATGCATACCTTGCTCATCGCAACCGTCCTTCGAGCTTCTGATTATCTATGAAAGACGCGCAATTGCTTACTCTGTCATGACCACAGGCCGATGCCACCGCTCATGCCAACTCCGGCCACCCTGGTGCGCCTATGTAAGTTGACGCAAGCCCACCGCCAAAACAACAATATCAAATGCATCGAGCTTGAAACTGACCTTTCGCGCGCGCGTAGGGGTATGGCTCCCGTTGCTCACGTCCTTTTCAACAAATTCATGAAGTTCAACCCCAAGAACCCCAAGTGGCTGAACCGTGACCGATTTGTCCTCTCGTAAGTCACTGCACGCCCCGGAACAGCTCTATGCAAGCTTCCCTCCGGCTTCTAACACTTGCGTCCACAGCAACGGCCACGGCTGCATGCTCCAGTATGCTCTGCTGCACCTCTTCGGCTATGCCCTCTCCATGGACGACCTGAAGGCCTTCCGAGTACGTATTACTGTGTAGCCTCCGCGGGCTCTGGGACCACAACCACTGATACTTCGTGCCTTCTAGACTGTTGACAGCATCACCCCCGGTCACCCTGAGGCCCATGACACCCCCGGTATCGAGGTCACCACTGGCCCTCTCGGCCAGGGCATTTGCAATGCCGTCGGTCTTGCCATGGCCCAGGCTCACACTGCTGCCACCTTCAACAAAGATGGCTTCCCCATCGTCGACAACTACACCTACTGCTTCCTCGGTGACGGTTGCTTGATGGAGGGTGTCTCCAGCGAGGCCTGCTCCCTGGCCGGTCACCTGCAGCTCGGCAACCTCATTGCCATCTGGGACGACAACCACATCTCCATTGACGGTGACACCAACGTTGCCTTCACTGAGGATGTTGCCAAGAGGTACGAGGCCTACGGCTGGCACGTTGAGTACGTTCACGACGGTGACAACGACCTCGAGGGCATCGAGAAGGCCATCCAGAAGTGCCGCGAGGTCAAGGACAAGCCCTCCCTGATCAAGCTGAGGACCATCATTGGCTTCGGCTCCAAGCAGCAGGGCACCCACGGTGTCCACGGCTCCCCGCTCAAGGCCGACGACATCAAGCAGCTCAAGGAGAAGTTTGGCTTCAACCCCGAGGAGAGCTTCGCCGTCCCTCAGCAGGTCTACGACATGTACCACAAGCACTCCGCAGAGGGCGCCGCTGCCGAGGAGGAGTGGAACAAGCTGTTCGCCAAGTACGGTGAGCAGTACAAGGCCGAGCACGCCGACCTGTCTCGCCGCCTGAAGGGCGACCTGCCCGAGGGCTGGGAGAAGAACCTCCCCGTCTACACCCCCAAGGACGCCGCCGTCGCCTCTCGCAAGCTGTCCGAGACCGTCCTGTCCAAGATTGTGGAGGCCATCCCCGAGCTTGTTGGTGGCTCTGCCGATCTGACTGGCTCCAACCTGACCCGGTGGAAGAGCGCCGTCGACTTCCAGCCCCCCGCGACTGGCCTCGGCGACTACGCCGGCCGCTACATCCGCTACGGTGTCCGCGAGCACGGTATGGGTGCCATCATGAACGGTATGGCCGCCTACGGCACCGTCCTCCCCTACGGTGGTACCTTCCTGAACTTCGTCTCCTACGCTGCCGGTGCCGTCCGTCTGTCGGCTCTGTCCCAGGTCCGCGTCATCTGGGTTGCCACCCACGACTCCATCGGTCTGGGCGAGGACGGCCCTACCCACCAGCCTATCGAGACCCTGTCCCACTTCCGTGCTCTCCCCAACTGCATGGTCTGGCGCCCTGCCGACGGCAACGAGACCAGCGCTGCCTACTACATTGCCCTCACCTCCAAGCACACCCCCAGCATCCTGGCTCTGTCCCGCCAGAACCTGCCGCAGCTCGAGGGCTCCACCATCGAGCGCGCCATCAAGGGCGGTTACGTCCTGCACGAGGTTGAGGGTGCCGACGTCACCCTTGTCTCGACCGGTTCCGAGGTCTGCATCTGCATTGACGCCGTCAAGGAGCTGGCTGAGAAGCACAACATCAAGGCCCGTGTCGTCTCGATGCCTTGCTTCGAGGTCTTTGACACCCAGTCCAAGGAGTACCAGCTCTCCGTCCTGCCCGACGGTATCCCTTCGCTGTCGGTTGAGGTCATGAGCACCATGGGCTGGGAGCGCTACACCCACGAGCAGTTCGGCCTGAACCGCTTCGGTGCTTCTGGTGCCTACAAGGATGTCTACAAGGCAAGTTTCACGACCCCCTTTTTACTACAGCTTTTCAAGATGACTAACAGCTATATACAGAAGTTCGAGTTCACTCCCGAGGGCATCGCCAAGCGCGCTATCGCCACCGTCGAGTTCTGGAAGGACGTCCCCAACGTCCGGTCACCCATCAACCGTGCGTTCCAGCAGATTCTGTAAACGAGGTATCGGGTATAGGAGGATTCGCGAGGTGCTTTCATTGTCATGACATTTAAAGATTAGACAGTTAAAACTACGGATGCCGGAGGATTAATCAAAAATGAATTATCATATGAGATTTTTTGAGTATTTACCGTCGTCGCGACGTAGGTCCGATTATATACTCTGTCGCAGCGATCTTGAAGACGGCTGGTCCAGTTCCCTCATTATGCTTCGCCTGGGCGAAGGAGCCTCGATACTTTTTGCGCCATCCCTCATGATCATATAACTTCATAAACTTTTGAGCTAGGAAAACCAGCATAACTTTTCGGTCCTTCTTTTTGGTCCTCAATTATGCGCCACCGCCCTCTGCTCTCCTCTGTTCTGAGGCGATCTCTTGCTGAAACTCTCTGCCGACTCTCTCTAACCTCGCGACGGCCTGTCTCGCCTCGCGCAGGTCCTCGGGGCCCGGGGCGACGACCATGGCTAGCAGCGCGGGCACCCCGGCCTCGGCTGCGGATGACGACCCGCCTACTGTGCCGGCGCCGGACGAAGAAGGTGGGGCGCCCGGGGGTGCCGCCGATGACAACGAGGGTTGGGGCTGGCTGCTTTCGCCTGCTGCGCTCGTTGCTGCTGTCGTTGTCGCTGGTGATGAGACGCCGTTTACCGATGCGCCCGGGCCCCGTTGCGCCTCTGTTGCGCCTGCAGTTGCGGTTGGTGGAGGCGGCGGCGTCGGCGTCGGCGTGGAGGAAGGGGAGGCCGTGTCGGCTGTGGGGTCGAGGAAGCTGTGCAGGACGATGGGGCCTGCTGTCGTCGTCGTCGCCGTGGGGCTGGAGGGTGAGGGCGAGGGCGAGGAGGGCTCGTACTCGACGATGAGGCGGGTGGGCGGGCCGAGGCCGAGGCGCTGGGCCGTGTCGTGCGAGGCGAAGGCCGTGGTGGCGAGGGCCTGGAGGGCGGAGGCGTCGTCTGCGGAGGAGGAGTGCGGTGACGACGAGGAGGAGGATATTATGGGCGTGAGGGCGCGGTCGGTGAGGTGCAGCGCCATGCGGGGATGGCGGGCGGGGAGGGAGGTCATTATGTATGTTTTTCCTTTTCCTTGTTTGTCCCTTTGCTTTTTTTCCCCTAGGAATACGTCTTTGGTATGCAAAGGCTCTACCCCTGGTTGGTGTCTGGGTTGGTATGGAACCCGCTCGGGACGGGAAGGGGTTTTTTTGAAGAAACCGGATTGGAGCACGCGGCTGGGATGGGGAGGTGATGGGCGGGATCGTCGAGGGGAGAAGAGATCGATCGACCGTCCTCTTGTTTGGTTCGGGATTGTATGTTGAGTGGTATTTATGGAAATATGGAAGGAAAAAAAAGGAGAAGGGAGTAAATATCGGCAAACAATTGCCTAGCCCATATGGAAACACCTGCGTTTGTCTCTTGGGTGCGGAGGAGCAGGGGGAGAGGAGGAGGAAGAGGGGTCTCTTCAAGGTTGCTTCTGAGTGGTGTTGCGGGGTTGGAGACAGGGGGGGGGGGGGGTCTGTTGGTGTGCGCCTCGGCAGCAGGGGTGAGCAGGAGGGATTGTGCAGATTTGCGATACGGTGTAGGGATGCGGGAGGTTTGATCTCGTGTCTATTTTGACTTTGTGTCGGGAATCAATTGCAGCATGTCATTTTGTTACAAGAGTCATGTTGTGCGTATCGGCCATGGATTGATCCAACTCTGAGCTAACGGCTACTCCTCGGTCCTGTTTCTCTGATGATAGCGGGCGCGCGGGATGGATGGGGAACGATTTTTAGTGTCGAGATAACATGAACCACAATGGAGCTTGGCTCTGGCAAGTTTAACTACCTAAGTACACCCAGCTACGTAATTGTGGGCAGGTGGGAAGAAAGAATCGCACACCTGAAGTGGGTGTTATCGGCAACGGGGAATGGCGAATGCGGGTTCATCAGGAAAACCCATGGGTTGACACAGAGTGGTTCCCTCTAGGTACTTGTACTGCAAGCGTGCACTGCAAGCTAACCTGGATCAGGCCAGGCTGGTTCATCAACAGCCTACTTGTACAGGGCAGGGGGCGGGCGGCTCCATCTCCAGGAATGCCAGGCCCAACCAACCCCTGGCGCACCACAACTTGATGCCAGCTGTGCAATTGCGAGCTCCAGCTGCCTGGTCTGAGCTCGGCACCCGGCCTGCAGACATCCAATTCAACAACCTTGGAAACATACGCCCGTTGTCTGCCGTTCTCTTAATTGCAGTTAAAACTTCCGGATTCTAGAAAAGGCTGCGGACCGCATTTTGTAATCATTAGATCTGGGTTCTGGGTTACTAGCCTTGCGAGCTTGTGTTCTCTGGTCAAACGTCCCCAACCACCAAGATGGCCGACGTCGACGACAAGGCCAAGGCCGAGAAGCTCGCCGCGGCGAGGAAGAAGGTATGTTGCATCTACAGGAATACGTCGAACTGGATTTGTGTCCGTTGGTTACTAACACGACCATCAAGGTCGAGGAGATGAAGAAGAAAAAGGCCAAGAAGGCCGGAGGCTCAGGCAAGAAGGACGACAAGGCAAAGACCAAGGACAAGGATAGGAAAGACGAAGAAACCACCGAAGCCGCAGAGGATAAGGAAAAGGAGGAAAGCAAAGAACAGGAGGCTGCTGAGTCCTCCAAGGGCGACGCGAAGCCGGCCGCAGAAGAGGACAACCCCGCCGAAACCAAGGAAGACGACGCCTTGTCCCCTTCAGAGTCCTCGCCCCCTTCGCTCGCGGCACAGTCCAAGATGCGATCGACCTCGTTCCGCCAGGCTTCGGTGTCAGGTCCCGTGGCCGCCAACCTGCAAGGTCCGCTGAGCCCGAGCAGCGAGACGGCTCCCGACATCTACCGCAAGCACGTCGCCCGGATAGAAGAGCTGGAGAAGGAGAACAAGAGGCTGGCAAAGGAGGTGGCCGACGCCGAGAAAAGATGGCAGAAGGCTGAAGAGGAGCTGGCCGACATCAGGGAGGGCGAGGGCGACTCGGACAAGAAGGGAGGCAACAAGGAGGTCGAGAAGCTCCAGGCCGAGATTGCAGGCCTGCAACGCCAGAACGCGCAGCTCCAGGCCCGTAGCAATGCCAGGCATGGCTCGTCTCCCTCGATCAGCATGTCTTCTCCGCCCTCGTCGGAGCTAGAGGCACAGCTCCAGTCCAAGTCATCGACGATCGAGACCATGGAGCTCGAGATGTCGCGCTTGCGCGCCCAGGTCGAGCGTCTGTCTGTGTCGGCTACGACCTCTGATTCGTCTGAGCAGGTGGCTGCCCTTGAAGACAAGCTGGCCCGTGCCGAGAAGGCAGCAGGTACAGCCCAGCGCGAACTTGCCGACCTCAAGCGCAACCTGGACCGCACGTCTGAGAAGGCCGTCCGCGAGGGGAGCGAGCGGGCCAGCGCGGAGACGAAGCTGCGGACCCTCGAGCGCGAGGCCGAGGAGCTGCGCACAGAGCGCGACGAGGCCCTACGCAAGGTCGAGGCGCTCGACAAGAAGATCACCACGCTCACGACCCTGCACAAGGAGCAGGACTCGCGCGCCCAGGCCCTCCGGAAGGACAAGGAGCGCCTCGAGAAGGAGGCCGCGGACCTCAAGGCCAAGCTCGACAAGGCCGAGGCCGAGCTCAAGAAGCTGCGCAAGAAGGAGGCGCACGACGGCGGCGGCACCGACAACGACCACCTCGACGAGCTCGAGGACGAGGAGCGCCAGCGCCTGGAGAAGCGGGTGCGCGACCTCGAGGCCGAGAACTCGGACCTGCGCCGGGGCATCTGGCACGACAAGCGCAAGGAGCTGCAGGTCGGCCCCGACGACGTCAGCCCCGCCGGCGGCCGCTTCACCGATGTGGACCTGGGCAGCTCCCTGCACGGCGGCGGCGGCGGCGGCGGGCCGCCGGTCACGCCCTCGCACAAGAAGAGCGCCACGGGCGGCGGCATCGGCGACTTCTTCTCGGCGCTGACGGGCGCCGACCACCACCACCACCACCAGCAGCAGCACGACGACGGCTTCCTCGACGACGACGACGACATGGAGTTTGACGAGGAGGCGTTCAAGCGGGCGCAGGAGGAGGAAGGGCGCAAGCGCATCGAGCGGATCAAGGAGGTCAAGAGGGGGCTCAAGAACTGGGAGGGCTGGAGGCTGGATCTCGTCGAGAGCCGGCAGGGCGGCGGCGAGGGCATTGGGGAGGTGTTTGAGGTTTAAGACCTGCGAGGCAACCACATCATAGGATTATGAAAGCACTGAACTGTATAATAGACTGGAATTGGGGAGGCGTTCTCAAGTTTGTTGTTCTTTGGCCCGGAAATGACTATGAAATGGCTATATAATACACTTTATTTGAGTGTGTAACTCTGCACCGAGGTTCAATTCTTGTGTGATTTGCTTCCTATCCTGCTGGCCTTACCTCGTCAGGCCTGTAGATCTCATTCTGAATCTGAAGACTTAAATAAAGAAAATGTCTTTGATGAATTGGAGCTTGCCTGAGCGCCTGAGGTAGCGTGGTGGTATTGGCTTGGACGTGCCTCAGGCGCAACTGCATGAACTGCCAGGCATCCGCCATTTCTACGTCATTAAAGAGTCGAGCGTCAAATAAACAAATCTCAACCCCCAAAATGCGACCGCCAGTGAACAAATCCAACGTCGCAAAGTGGAAAATCGCTCCGCTCAAAGGCGCGTCGCCCAACAATTCACATCGCCTCGGTCCATTTTGACCTGCAACAGACCAAAGGATCGTCTCTTTTCCAAAACACACAGAAAGTCACGATGGAAAGAACTTATCATTTCATTTGCTGGGGAGGATCTGACCCCCACCTGCTATGCATCTCGAATACCCACCCTGCCTCGTTGTGTAAAATACCAGAGAGGAAAACCTCCGGACCGGCGGCTCATGATGCGCAGCAGTCAAAAACCCCTCGTTGCAAACCAACGCCTCAAGTCATGCTATGTAGGTACGTACCGCCCGACCCGACCCGACCAGATGACTGACTACCTGAGAGTGAGAGATGTAGAGAGAAAAGCAGAAAAAAAAAGACAAAACAGAGTGTACAGAGTGGGGGGTATATCATCGCTCAAATGCAAAAACCCTTTACCGTTTATACCCGACCGAAAAGGAGACAGAGATGCTAGTACTAGTAGCTCGATGCGGCGGGGGTAGGGGGGCCGAGGCCTTGGAGTTGCGGCTGGAGCGCCTGCTGAAGCTGCCCGATCTGCTGCATCATGGCGATGGTCTGCGCGTTCTGCGCCTCGACCTGGCGGCGGAGCTCCTCGTTCTCCATCCGGACGCGCTTGATCTCCTCCCGGAGATCGCCGTCGTCGCCGACCGAGGTCCGCTTGCGCTTGTTGCCGCCCGTCTCGCTGGTCACCTCGTCCGAGTCATCGCCGCCCGCCACGATGGGAGCGCCGCCTTCGCCGGTGTGGACCCTGCGCAGGTGCTCGTTCAAGTTCTCTTGGCGCGAGAAGCCCTTGCCGGAGTGCCTCTTGCAGTTCGGGTGAGGGCAGTGGAGCGGGTTCTTGGGTCCGCCGTGCTTGTTGTGGACTTCGCGCTCGTGCCTGAGGAGGCCTCCGGAATAGGTGAAGCCGGGCAGCTTCTCGCAGCCTTCCGCCAGGCAACGGTACGGACGCTCGTGCTTGTCCATGTGTTTACTGCGGGAGAAACAAAATCAGTATACCGGATCGAAGACGGCAACAGGAAACTTGGGGGGACTGTCGACTTACTTCCACTCGCACCTTCGAGAGAACTCCTTCACGTCTTCCTCACAACTCGGCCAGGAGCACTCGTACATGCCGTTTGCGTTCTTCTGGATGTCGCGCTCGGGCTTTGGGATCGCCTTGATCCGAACGGGCGTCGGCGAGGTCGCGGGCGAGTCCTCCTTTGTGAGCTCGGGCGGGGCGAGGTCGAGGCGGGTGTCCGCCTCGGTCAGGATGGGAGCTGTGGCGGCGTTGTAGCTCGCGGCCACAGCGGCGAGCTCGCTCACGTCGGCATCGTCGAAGCGCGGGATGTCGTCGGGCTGGACGGCGTCGTGCTCGTGGGGATCGCCGATCGGGGGGTAGCTCCCGTCATGGATGAAGCTTCTGGCCTCGTACACGACACTCATCTCGTCCGGAGAGAGGTACGGGCTGGACCCGTGGGACTCTATCGCGGCGGTCTTGACGGGGTGTCGCTGGGAAAGGTTCCGGTAAAGTTTGTCGCCGGGAACGCGCGGCTGCTTCAGTGCAGTCGCGTTCGGGTGCTGGGGGGGGGATGTGCGGTCGAGGAAGTCTGGTATCCGCTGCAGTAGGGATACCTCGAAACTTCTTCTCGTCTTTGAAGCTGGTCTCTGGTTCGAGCTCGGTTTCCCGATAAGGTGATGTGAGCCTGAATTTCGTGGTTGAAAAAACAGGCAGCAAAAAAAAAAAAGACTAAGCCACAAGCAGACGACGAAGCTGCTGAGTCATCAAGCGCGGCTCAAATTGGGCTTGTGAAGCCTGGTCGAGTTTGGCTGGAGAGGAAAGTGGCGCCGAATTCACCACCAAAAACACGCGCGTCCTCAAAGTACAGCAAGCTCTCGGCCAGTGATTTGCTTGGTAAGTAGAGCCTGCGTGGGTCTGGGCAACTGCGCTGACAACCTTGAACCTGTGAACAACGGGCCGAGCCAAGAGAGATTTGTCAAGAAACTCAGTGCTGCAAGCTGGAGTGTTACTTGAATTTGCCTTTACCCTTCTTTCAACAAGGACTGTATCGTCCGAGGATGGCCGTGCTTACTATTAGTACTTTTTCGGGGTTTAGGCAGAGTGATGCTGCTCCGCATCCACGAGGCCGCTGGTGATAGGCGACCCCTCGTGCCCGCCCAGGCACCGGTGACTCACGGAACTCCCATATTTAAGTGTGCCACCCACACATGTTTTGAAGGCGAATCCTTTGCAGGCGAATCATCCGGCGATGAAGCTCGACCTCTCGGTTGTGTAGGCAGCATCCGGTTGGTCCGGTCTGTGACAGCTAGCCTTGGAAACTCGTGGTCCTACATGGAGAGCAGTGTGCTCTTCGTTCCCGCTTTGGGTTGCTGATCGAAGACCTAGCCTTGTCCCTTCGCCATGACGGTTGCACAAATCCTCCGGGACAATGACAGCCCAGTCCGCATGTGTGCGGCGGCGAGTAGGCTTACACAAGCTTTATGCTTTTGACAAATCATTTGGGGTTCGTCTCCCTGTTTACCATCTCGATGGATATCCTCCTCGGTGTATTAGGTTTGTCTGAAGTTGGCCGTCCGTGGTTTGTCTGTTCTACGAAAGAGGATTATGGCGAAGTACTGCTCGTCGACATGAAGGGCCTTGGCAGTGGCTTGGAGTGGACGTCAAGGACGTACGTCTCCAAGGACTTGTTAGGTGACGACGACGCCTCGGGCAAAAAGTGCAGGTCGGACATGTCGGGCGAGGACTGTGGTAGCCTGAGGCTCATGAGCTGTCTTTGGCTCATGTAAGTCGCGGCCTGGTGAGCGTCGTTTTGGGATGCATCCAGGCAAACGCTTTCCAGACGGGAACCGAGCTTTGCGGAGGTTACGACTTACAGTCCCTTTCATCCTATACTTTCTTTACTCCCAGGTTATTCCCTTACCTGATCAAATCTGCTTCATGAAAGCGGATGATGCTACTACCTTCGCCCATACCGAACATCTGGTTGCATAGCCTTTTCACAATGCCAAGCCAAGATGAGCTCTGCCTCAAAGATATGGTCATGGTGTTAGATGTGATTTATCGATAAGCTAGAATACGAATGATAAGGTGCTTCCATAAGATTTATATTTTTTCAGTCAAAGCACACTCGTAGGACTGCCACAGATGACTTTGCAACCGTCAAGTGTAATGTCGAGATCATGGACTGAAAAGGTGCCCACTGTCATCCATGGATTTCCTCCAGCTGGATGCTCCAGAAGTCTGCCTGGCCACTGGTACAGGCACCATTGAGTGGATCCACCCACTGCCATGGTCGATTTTGGCCCCCTGTAGCACGCTAAGCAGATTGATTCACAGCTCCAGGGCTGGAGCTTGCTAGATCGAACTGTTTCAAGTGCTTCCGTCATCTTGAGGGACCTCACTTCACATCACTCGTATCTGCTTCAGGGACTCTCGAATTCCTTATCGCGAACTTGATCGCATGCATATCAAATTCACCCTGCTACCAGAATACGGGACTTCCTGGGCAATCAATCTGCCTGGTGACCCTGCTCATGGTGCTTTGCTGATTTGCGCCAAGGCTCTTTCCTCACCTAACTTGTGAGGAGGTCCAGCCGTTTGTCATTGGGTCTCACTTGCGCCTGCTTAAGACCACACACGCGCATCAGACTTGATCGCATGCAAGGCTCATAGACGGTCAACGCCCAGTCCCGTTGGACCATTACCGCTCTGGCGAGGGGACCGTTGGATATGTCGCAGTCGCTCGGTCTTCTGAAGCACATTCCTTGCCCCAAGGGCGACGACTGCACCGCCTTTCGCTGCCTCTTCCGGCACAAAGGCGACGAGGAAGCATGGCCTCTTCCTAGCAGCCCCCAGCCCGCGCAGCAGCCCGGCCCACCACAACCTCCAAATACAGAGGTCCAAGATCAAGAGCAACCTCGCAAGCGGCAGAGGACTGCTGATGATGCATATGACCCTGCTTCGCCTGCTTTGCCCAAGCCCAGGGAGACTGTTGCGCCTGCGGCTGAAGACGTGACTGCACCTGCGCGCCGTGCAGACACCCGCCCTGCAACGATTAGCAGACCTGTGTCACCACCACCCCTGAAGCGAAAGGCTCCTCCAACGGTGAACGACGCTGAACAGGGAAAACAGCCATCATCTGCGCAAAATGGTTCCTCGAACCTTATTGTCAAAGAGCCCGCATTGGCCAAGAAGCCGGCTGTTAATACCCAGCCATCAGCTCGGAAGAAAGAAGGACTAAATCCACGGATGCTCAAATCTTCACCGGCATCCCACGAAACACGTCACAAGATCCTCAAAGCCCTCCACGCAGAGTATGTTCGTTTAAATAAAGAGGTTGAGAAGACGGCCAAAGGGGATGATCAGGCTCTTGTCCTCTCGCCGCAGGAGCTTATATGGCTGGCTTTGGACGAGGAAGAGAAGCATGCTCGAGACAAGCCTGCAATCTATTCGAACACCATCAAACATCGAATCGTAGCATACAAGAGAATGAACGTCGAAACGTGGATCAAGGAGCGGCGTGCAGCACTGCAGCTTGCCACAAAGCCGATCAAAGCTAACACACTCGACACATCCAAACCACCCGAGCCAATTAGCACTGGCTTGACTGTCGAGGAGGAAGTCTACCTTTTGAAGTCAAGACTTCAAACACCGATCACCAACTTGGCACAATACGGCTACGTCCCTACCATTCCGACCGACGAAGAAATTCGGAAAGCGAAAGAGGCCGATGAGATGACGAAGGGCTGGGAAGTCTGTGACCGTTGCAAAAGCCGGTTCCAGGTATTCCCAGGCCGCCGAGAGGAAGATGGCCGGTTGGCCTCGGGCGGCGCATGCACTCACCACCCCGGTCGGACGTACTACCCGCAGAGGCAAGCCAGCGACCGGTCAGGCCAGGAGCGGCGGTACAAGTGCTGCGGGCAGGCGGTCGGCGATTCTACGGGCTGTGTTACTACGGATATGCACGTTTGGAAGACGTCCAGCAAGAACCGCCTCGGCTCGCTGTGGAACTTTGCAGAGACGCCAGCGAATCCCAACGTGCCCAAGGACCGGGCAGTCTGTTTTGACTGCGAGATGGGCTATACCGTCAACGGTTTCGAACTGATCCGCCTCACTGCCACCTCGTGGCCGGATGGAGAGGAACTACTGGACGTGCTGGTGCAGCCGACGGGGGAGATCATGGACCTCAACTCGAGGTACTCGGGCGTCTGGCCCGAGGACATTGTCAACGCGCTGCCCTTCTCCGCGACAGAGAAGCCACCGCCGCCCAAGGAGGGCGAGAGGAAGCGGCTGCCCATGGTCTCGTCTCCGATCGTTGCTCGGGACCTCCTCTTCTCGCTGATATCCCCGGAGACGCCGCTCATCGGCCACGGTCTCGAGAACGACCTCAACAGCGTCCGCGTCGTCCATCCCACCTTAGTCGACTCCATCCTGCTGTACCCGCACAGCCGAGGCCTGCCCATGCGGAACGGTCTGAAGCATCTCATGCAGCTCCACCTGGGCCGGACGATCCAGGCCGAGGAGACGACGAATGGCGAGATGCAGGGCCACGACAGCGCCGAGGATGCCCGGGCCGCCGGAGAGCTGGTCAGGTTGAAGGTCAAGAAGGAGTGGGAGCAGATGAAGAAGGACGGCTGGACGCTTGTCGAGGGTAAGTTCCTCGCGCCAGGCACAAGGCCCTAGAAGTGAGGCTCGGGGAACGGGACTCGGTATGCCGCCCTGTTTTTGAGGCAACGGGCATGTTTCGTGTAAGGAGCTCTATAGAAATCACGTAGAATCATCGAACAAAGGGGAGAAGACAAATTCAATCGCCCGTTGAGGTGCTGAATGCATATCGATACACAGCCCACAGTGACACATTTCGAAGAGTGTATTCCACGATGCGGCCGCTTTCACCACATAATCACAAGAAGGAAATCTGTAGATCTCCCAACCACGCCGACATTCACGCCAGCAAGGAATTAAATATAGGTGTGAATTGCCCCTCACGGCATCAATGATATCACTCTGGGTCCCGTGCTAACTACCGATAATTTTGAGAACCTGGATGGGCAGCTTGTACAGAGTACATAAAAGATTTGACGCCTCACGCGAACACACATGCCTAAACTCACTTTCCATACAGATTCCCGACACAGTGCATAGGTCTTCAGAATGATCGCGAGCTAAAGGCCCTTATAAGATCTAATATCGAGGTCTGGTTCTCAGGGGGGCGGCATGTGGCGGCTTGGTCGGTTGGCAAAGCTCAGGTCAATCATGTCGTCCTGCGGTGGACTTGTGATTCCATTTCGGGAAGGGGAAGGGAAAAGGGGTCAAAGGAAAAGGGGAGGACACGGGTTCGATTCTCGACAGAGGACAACAACAAAAATCAACAACCACGGAGCAAAATCGCCCGAAAGGGAGGATTTTCGAAGCATACCACCCTCCGGGCTGATATGCGAGTTTTTTTTCTCTTGTACTTTTGCCCTTTTTACACGAATTCAATTTGACCCTTTTGATGATGGTATTATTCATTCTGTCATTTTTCATTTTTCCCCTTTCCCCCTGGAGACACCCACAGAATAGCTACAAAACTACAGATTCGCTCTCAGACGGCCAGCTAGTCACAACTTCCTCATGTCGACGACGGCACGGATGCAGTCGCCCTGCTTCATGGTCTCAAAGGCGTTGTTGATCTCGCCCAGGGTCTTGCGGTGGGTGATGAACTCGTCGACCTTGAGGCGGCCCTCGAGGTAGTCCTTGACGAGGTCGTTGAGCTGGGAGCGGCCCTTGATGCCGCCGAAAGCAGAGCCCTTCCAGACACGGCCGGTGACGAGCTGGAAGGGGCGGGTGGAGATCTCCTGGCCGGCGGCGGCGACGCCGATGATGATGCTCTGGCCCCAGCCCTTGTGGGCGGCCTCGAGGGCGGCGCGCATGACGCTCACATTGCCGGTGCAGTCAAAGGTGTAGTCGCAGCCGCCGTCGGTGAGCTCGATGAGCTTGTCGACGACGGTGGTGCCCTCGGGCAGCTGGGTCGGGTTGACGAAGTCGGTGGCGCCAAACTTCTTGCCCCACTCCTCCTTGGAGGGGTTGACGTCGACGATGATGATCTGCTTGGCGCCCGAGGCGACGGCGCCCTGGATGACGGACAGGCCGACGCAGCCGGCGCCGAAGACGGCGACGGTGGAGCCCTCCTCGACCTTGGCGGTGACGCGGGCGGCGCCGTAGCCGGTGGTGATGCCGCAGCCGAGCAGGCAGGTGCGGTCCATGGGGGCGTCGTGGGTGATGGCGACGACCGAGATGTCGGCGACGACGGTGTACTGGGAGAAGGTCGAGGTGCCCATGAAGTGCAGCAGGTCCTTGCCCTTGCACCTGAAGCGCGAGGTGCCGTCGGGCATGACGCCCTTGCCCTGGGTCGCGCGGATCTTGCCGCAGAGGTTGGTCTTGCCCGACTTGCAGAACTTGCACTCCTTGCACTCCGGGGTGCTGTTTTTTGGGGGAATGCTGTGTAAGTACATATGTGGGTTTGACCAGAGAGACCGCAAGGGAGAGCCGAAGAGAGATACCCGACTTACTAGAGAGCGACGACGTGGTCGCCGGGCTTGACGTTGGTGACGCCCTCGCCTACGGACTCGACGATACCGGCACCCTCGTGTCCCAGGACGATGGGGAAGGCTCCCTCCGGGTCCTTGCCGGACAGGGTGTAGGCATCTGCGCGTTGGGAGGATATCGTCAGTGTCTTGAGCAAGCCCAGATGGGGAGCTGAGAGAGGAGCTGGCAAGGCTTTCACGTACCCGTGTGGCAGACACCGGTGTAGTAGATCTGGATACGGACCTCGTGGGCCTTGGGGGGAGCGACCTCGATGTCCTCGATGGTCAGGTCCTTGCCGGCCTCCCAGGCGACGGCGGCCTTGCAGGTGATGGTCTGTTCAGTGTAGACTCGTCAGCAACCGATCATGTTGCACATCACAGGCCGGCCTCATCCGCTCAATCATCCCGGGGTCCTCTCTCTCTTGTTCGACCTCCCTGCTCCCTTTCAACCCCAGGGTGTTTTCTTCTCCAATTACCCCGCCTGATAACGTCAGTGCGTGTAAACTCACCTTGCCAACAGTAGAAGCCATTGTTCCTCTTGTCTGATCAGTTATGGGGGTATCTTGAGAAAAGGAAGAAACGGCGTTTGAGAATTGGACAATGAGGGATGAATCTTCTCTCTTTTCTCAGATTGTTTTGGCTTGTAGTCTACTATCCTCCCCCCGGGATTTCTATTTATTTCTATGATGCCAGAGCTACCAGCTCCAGACCCCACCTCCCACCTCTGGACTTGAGCCGTGTCGGGTGTGGGCGGGGGCACGGCGTCACAGCTAGCACGGCACTTGTGAGGGGTTCCAAACCTGAAGTGTGTACGCACCCCGCCCGCCCAGGTATGCTTCGGCGATATATCGGCATTCTTGCTGTTCTGTGCTTGTATTGTGCTGTGCTTCGCAGAGATACCAGCGGCGGTCCCCCACCGGGTCCAGGCTGATAGGATTCCTTCGATAAATAATGGACAACAAAAGGGAGACGTGCATCATCGGGAAACGTTGCCAGATCGGGACGCCGGGTCGGATGCTTGCCTCTTTGACTCACATTCGTCTACATAGCTAGGACGATAACCAAACGAACTTGCCGGTGAAGGCCGAACATCTCCGCGAGCCCTTTGTTCTCTGCCATCCTCTCTCATTCTAACCAGGCTGATCCCGCCTTGAACACCTCGCTCCAGATCTGCCCAGAGGACCGTTCGAACTTGCGCGAGGACACCACGTCTGCAGGCCCAAAGTTGCCGTACAGGTGAGGGCAGCCGTCGTAGATATTGGGCGGATCGTCCCACTTGACAGCATCAATGAAGTTCCCGAGCCTCAGCTTGATGATCCACATCTCGGATGCATCTTTGAAGAACAGATCACACGTGACCGGCACCTAGAAGTGTTTCCGGGCCGTGTGTGTTAGCAGTGGGCAGGTCTTGGCTCAGGGCCAGCCAGGGGCAGAGTCGTGCGTGGTCTGTTGCTACGGGACCTAAATCCGGTCTACTGAAAAACGATTGGAGGTGGATGGATGGGATATATGTGGACGAACCTGCCAAGAGGTGCTCAGGTGGACGAAGCCGTCCTGCTTGTCGAGATCCGAGAGGGGATACTGGTCGGGGATAGGCTCCGGAGGTGCGGTAGGCACAATCTTGTACGCGAACTCTGGTATTTGCTTGGGCACAGGCATGGCTGTAGTCTTGATGCACTGACACCGGGTCTATCAGAGCAAAACGATTGAATCGAGGTAGGAGAGAGAATGAGCTGAGAGGGAAGCTGACCATCATTCTGCTGTTCTGTCTGACAATGGCGGGATTTCTCCAGCACGGCCCAGCCCAAAAGACCCCATAGTCAGCGGGGAAACCATTCGCCAACCAGACAATCCCCAAGCCAGCCTTTGAATCCTCCCAGTTGACCTCAATCTGCTCTGCATCAACCCAAGATCTACTGCTCAGAAACTCTCCGTCTCGTCAGGCAAGTTCAAACGAGAATGCGATGCTTTCAACATCCTTGTTTTCGATTCTTGTCTAAGCCGAGGACAGGATATTTTGACAGTGGAGTGTTACATTGTTCAGTGGCAGATCTTAGCACTCAACTTGCCCGTCTCCCTATTAGCACCACAGCAAAACATCCTACAATGCAATGCAACGATCACGGTAATTGCACCAACTGGCCCAGTCCAACCAGGCAACCCGTCCACGACATCCCAAAACCCCAAGACCAAAACCAAGATGCTCACACTGAAAGGTTTTCCCACTTGTGTGGCCATATATGAATTGCTTTGGGATGAGCTTTTCTCTGCGACATACAAGCTGATCGAGCCTCTGGATGCGCAGCGTCAGCGTGAACCTGGAGCGGTAGGCAGGCCTGTCTGAAGAAATATAGCGCACTGGGACTGAGCTGCATCATGATCATGTCGACAATCTCTGCGGGGAGGACGGCACGGTAATGTCAAAGAAGTGCAGCAGACAGGGGGGCGGTGCCTTTCCCGTACCCCAAGCTGCTGCCGTCGGCGTCGTACAAGAGCGGGCATTTCGAAGGCGAGTCCGCTGATTCGGAGGATGACTCGGAGGGTGACTCGAGTCTCCTTGGTTGGTTTCGCTCTCATGATTGCCGGGAGCGGAAACCGACTCTTGATGTGGTGGCCGGCTCGAGCCCAGGCAGGGACTGGGAGGAGGATGTACTAGGTCCGGCAGAGGCTTGCGGTGACGTCGCTGGCTCAAGCCGAGCCAGGGACGGATAAGAGGATGGACTAGGTCCGACAGCGGATGCGACACGATGATCATCCAGATCACCTCAAACAATGTCCCACACAGACGACTGTGACTGCATAGGTGGAAGCTCCATATGAGGGCTGCTGCCCTGCATCACGGTGACCAGGTTGACCCATTCTATAGGTCTAGTTTGATCTGCCGGGCTGTACATCTTGTTGGCGATTTCGGAACGGACATAATAGTGGTTGTTGGCAAATAGATTTTTTTTTTTTGATGATAGTTTACAAAGTGGTGACGACAAAAGACGAGAACCAAAGAGACGAGAACCGAATAAGCCAGAGGCGAGAACCAAATAGGCGAGAACCAAAGAGACCAGAACCGAACAAGGGAGGCGAGAACAAAAGAGGCGAGAGCACAACAGTTTATGCGCCTAAAAGACCAAAGTCAGCTTCATTGCCATGCAGAGCGATGCAGAAATCATCGTGTCTCACAATCACAAGGGTGGGAATCTGTGCTTGAAGCCGCCATTCTCCATCGGGCTCTCGGATCGCCAGCCTCTTCTGGGACAATTCTGCCCCGGCGCCATAGTACACCTTGGCACTACGGCAGAAGAGGTCGACGCGTGTGACAGGGGATCGTCGAACGTACCGGCAGTTGCAGCGTTGTCCCTCACGGTCAGGTCGACTCCCTCGAGCGTCCCGATCAGCTCGATGGCATCCTTGACGTTGTCGACGCGGTAGCTCGGCTCGTATGACGGCTCGCTCACGCCGTCCCATACGCCCGTCTTGACCAGGATCCCAAGCCACTGCGTCCCCTGGGGGCTCTTGTACTCCATGGCGCCGCGGATGTCGGACTCTGGATTGTCTCCGATCATGTAGTTGCGCTCAAGGATACAGTGCCGGCCCGTCTCGCGGATCTGGATCTCCTTCTCGCGCCGCTCGACGAACAGGTACTGCGAGCTCTGCGGCTTGCCGTGGATCTCGTGCCGGAACGCCGCCGCGTCGCCGCCCTTGGCCCTCCAGATGCCCTTGAGGCTCGCGATGAAGCTGCCCTGCCCGAACCGCGGCACCCCCCACTTGGCCTTGAACTCGAGGTCGCTCGCCGAGAAGAAGATCTCGGGCTGCCCGTCCTGGTGCCACAGGCCGTTCTGCCCGTTGGTCGACGAGACAGTGCCAAGATAGCCCGCGTGCGAGTAGAGCAGATCCATCACGATCTGCAGGTCCAAGCTCCACCAGGCCGGGTCGTTGATGACGAAGATGGCGTCGACCTTGAGGAAAGGCGCCAGATCCGCGTCGTCGGCCGGAGCGTGAGGACCGCTCTCGTACACGGGCTTCGGGAGGGGCTCGGCACAGGCCTCGCTGATGTCCGGGCCAGGCAGGAACGGCCAGAGCGTGGGGTACGCCCAGTGCAGGTCGCAGGTCGTTATGATGCTGCCGAACCCGTACTCCTTCATCACGGAGCGGCCCTTCTGGGCGTCCTGAGTCAGGATGAGCACCGTCTTGTCGGCAAACTTGGGGGCCAGGTCCTGGAACGGCGTGTGCGACTGGATGTAATGCTCTGCCGATATATTGATGCCCAGGCTGTTGCTCAGATCCGCCGCCTTGATGCTCTCGGGCTGGCCGCCACCGTTCGTCAGGACCGTGAAGGGGACGCCCGCGTTCTTGAGTGTCCACAACGTCTCGCCGGCAAAGGGGAGAGCCTTGTCCGTGTGCCGCAGAACGCCGTCGATGCTGGCGAAGAGATGGACCTGTTAGAGACGAAAAAGACAGCAACGGTGAGGTACGTCAATGCCACTTACTCGAACGTGATGCCGAATTTCTTGCACTCATTGTCATCAGCGGCCGGACGAGCAAGAGTGAGTAGGACCAAAGCGGAGATCAGCAGCATCCGCAAGACGCTGGTCCTAGTTTGTGTCAGCGACAATGCGAGTTTTGCTTTACTGGCGTTGGATAACTCACCAGGAAGAGGAGAAAGCCATGGAGAAAGCCGTGGAGGAAGCCATCGCTACAGAGAGACTATCGACTTGTTGAGTGTCCAGTTGTTGAGTGGGTCGAGTTGCCGAGTTGTAGGATGCCGAATAGAACGAGAGGGAAGCCGGTAGCGCGAGACGAGTAGGGTAGACCGACAGGAACACGGTAGATCTAGAGGACAGAGGGTAGACCGAGAAGATGTGGAAGCGCGTGAAGAGGAATTGATGAGAAGCTGAGTGAAGCTGAGTGATGAGAAAGTCAGAGGTCCAGAGATGGGGGAGAAGGGAGGTTTATATAGGCAAAATCCAGGACTGTCTCTCGCAATCAGACAAGTCATCTGTCATGACTAGCATGTGAACGAGTGGCTTGTCAAGTAAGAAGAACCAAGGTTAACTTGTGCCATGAGGCAATAACAACTCGAACCAGACGAGACGGAACTCCAGGATGTCCGGTTCTCACTTTCCCGGGGGAGGATGAAACTCTAGATCCCGAGCAAATTCCCATGATAATAATTGCTCAATTTGAGACTCTGTAGCTTCTGCGTACATCTAGCTCATCATGCATGTGCAACCCTCGAAGGCAAATGGTGGTTATAGCAATCGAGTTTCCGACATGTCCCTTGCAAACAAATTCCATGATCATGGCTACACTTTACGCCCCCCAAGAAAATATCTTAACAATACAGTTCACTTGATACAAGAGAGGAGGCATTAGGTACCTACGTTTACGAACAGCCCTTCTTTCTTCAGATGTTATAATTGATCAAGTGTGATGTATCAACTTCATCAGAGCAGGCTCGTGCCTTCGCCTTCCGGAACCCCCGCCGTTCCCGGTCCCACTCACCAACGGGACCTCCTTCGGGACTATTTTCCCAGCTCAAGCTTTCCATCTTTCCTACGGAACCAGAAAACTATTTTGGTTTCTCCATATGCACTCTCCATCCTGACACACATTTGCATCGGACCATCCACACCTGATCGGAAGGAGTTTGGGCCAAACTTGCTCTTCCCATCTCCCCGGAAAAAGGCCGCAGGGACAAACCCCAACCACCACCCGCACCACACTTCCACCATGCCAGGCACGCCCAACCCCATGGCCGCGGGCCTGGGCCCCACGCCCGCCGTCTCCATGAAGACGATCCAGATGACGGGCCTCTGGGTCGACGTCTACGGCCTCGCGGAGCTCGCGCCGGACGCGACCAGCGTCGCCGTCCTGTGGCTGCACAACCCGCGCACCCGGTCCAAGGAGGAGATGGCCGACATCGCCGCCCGCGCCGTCGCCGCCCACAACGCGAGCGTCCAAAAGACGAAGAAGGCGGCGGCGCGGCGGGGCCTCGTCGCCGCCGCGTTTGACCAGCGCAACCACGGCTCGCGCATGGTGCTGCAGGAGGCGAATGGTGCGTGGCGCAATGGCAATGCGACGCATGCGCAGGACATGTTTGGTGTCATCGCGGGCACGGCGGCCGACACGAGCCTGCTTATCGACCTGTTTGGGTCGTACGTCTTCCCCGAGAGGGAGGCTGGGTTTGTGGACCGGCATCTGGTTCTGGGTGTGTCGCTCGGAGGGCACAGTGGGTGGCAGCTCATGTTTCGGGATCCGAGGGTCGTGGCCGGTGTCATGGTGATCGGTTGTCCGGACTTTATCAGTGAGTTATTTTCTTGACGTGCTTCTTGGTCGTTTCAAGAGGGGAAAAAAACCAAGGGATGGGTTGCGGCCATGGTGCAGCAAGCTAATACTGCCCCAGACCTGCTGAGCGACCGGGCACGTTTGACGAAGCTGTCTACCTTTGACGCAGCGACCAAAGGCGCCTCCTTCCTTGGGAGCAAGGACTTCCCCCAGGGGCTAATGCAGTCGTGCTTCAAGCACGATCCCCGTGGTATGGTCTTCAGCAAGGGCGAGCCAGTCTGGCCGGCTTCGGAGGGGGAGCAAGAAAAGGTCAAGGCAGCACTGCGGTCCCGGGTGGCGGGCAAGAAGTTTCTCGTCACCTCTGGCGGCGCGGACAAGCTAGTCAACTATGAGTGTTCTAGACCCTTCCTGGATGTCTTCAAGAAGGCGGCGCAGACGTGGCCTGATTTGGAGCTGTCCGTCGAGGACAATGTCTACGCCGGGATCGGGCATGAGTTCAGCGCCGACATGGTCAAGGACTCGGTTCGTTTCATTGTGGACGCAGTCTCTGCGGAGGGCCGTACTATCGCACATGTTTCCAGCAATGCTGACGAGAGGTCATCAAAGATTTGAGCAAGTAGATCACAGAAATAACAGATTTCGTGTATCTGGATAGCCTTGATCTGAGGCAAATGCCATCTGGTAAGAGACACGCATCAAGACCTTCTATGACCATGGCCGGTCCGTGTCATCCGACAATGCCTCCATGTCCGTCCCTATGAATCTGGTCTTGAGTCCGCTCTTGCGTCTCTCTTCGTCACTGAGAAGCAGCATCTGGTTAACGCCCCAGACATTGCGTTTTACTCTCTTCCCAGCCAGAGCTTGTGAGATGCCATGCGGGTCTTCCTCCCACTGTCCCACGACAAGCTGCACATCCTGCATAGCATTTGCCTTTTCTTGAGACACGACTCCTCCTTGTTTGCCTTGATCCCCACCCGAAAGTTCCGGCGGTAGGTTCGGGGGGTTGATACCAATGAAACGCACTCTATCAAGGGCAAAGCCGATGGCCGCACAATGACCGTCCACAATCCGCGTGCGTTTGAATGCGTGGCTGACGATAGTGATCCGCTCTGGCCACGTACGGCATCCGGTCGCACGCCAGAACTGTAGAATGCTGAACAGAATGTTGTAGTACGAGTCGAGGGCCTGCTCCTCCAGCATCACGCGAGGATGGAGCGGGATTGGCGAGAGCGGATGGGCCTCGACATCGGCTGGCCATTCTACGGTGGGCAGCAGACCAAAGTATGAGTTTGCAGCGGCGAGATTCGCATAACTCCTTGCCTCCGAGATCCGTGTCTCTTTGCGTGTCGGCCCGCTGTGAGCCTTGGTCAGTACTTGTCACAGGAGGCAGATCAGGAGAAGAGTGAAAAGGAGTGGCGAAAAGGAGTGGCACAGAATGACTGAAGGAGAGGCAAACACAACCTTTCCACGGAGCTTGAAAGGGCCACAGTTGGACAGTTACGTACCCAGAAAACATTAATATCGCGCGTTCATCCTTACCCAACGCCTCAACACCAGCTTTGATATGCTCGATGAATGTGGGTGTTTCTCCGGCTTTGTAGCTTTCTATGAGCCATTCTGCTTCATCGTAGCCCTTCCTAGGCCCTCCAAGCCATATAGCGTGCCCGCAAACAATGATGAGGTGGTTGGCCAAGCTCATTTCTATGTGTTCCGGATGTTGAGAAGTTGTGTTGGCAAGCATGATCTGTGAAACAATCTTTGGAAACAAGATATTGAACACCGCTGCATTGCGTCTGAAAATCGTGGAGAAATCATTCTTAATCATGTGACGTGGTGGCCGTATCTTGTAGTCTTATTGAAATAATCAACTTGATTTATCCAGTTGTTCGTATGCATTAAACCCTTGTTTCTTTACAATAATCATCTCGGCTGGCCTCGAGGGGCATCATTACAACAGTTGGCACCTTATTTCGTATCACGCAACAGCCTCAGAACATCCGAGACTAGATAGAGACTCCCCGCAATCACAATAGGCCGTCGATCAGGAAGTCCCGCTGCGTGTTTCAGTGTCCCTGCGATATCGCCCTCGCCATTGAATTGATTCGCGGAATCGATATGATATTGGGTTGCTGTGTTCAGGATAGCGGAAGAGTCTTCAGCCTTCACCCACGGCATGCCATCCACGGGCCCAAACTTGACAGCACATACACGGTCATCTGGATGCAGCAACAGTTTCAGGATGCCACTGAGATCCTTGCCAGCTGATGCCGCTAGTACCCAAGTGATGCCTGCTTTGAAAGAGGCACGAAGATGTTTGTCGACGTAGGCAGCAAGCACTTCGGCCGACTGGGTGTTGTGGGCGCCGTCAAGGAGTGCTATCCGTTTCTGGCCGGTGACTCTGCCAATGTCAATCGGTTGGAGCCTCCCAGGCCACGCGACCTGCTTGATGACAGGCAGAAACTCTCCGAGCGACACCTGCTTGTCCGGACACGCAAGCCGGAAGGCCTCAAAGGCGCAAGCCAGGTTTTGGATCTGGTGTGGCTCGAATGTCTGATTCCCTGGAAAATCACTCGCTGCGATGGAAGGATACAGGACCGTCGCGCCAAGCTCTTCTGCATGGCCCTCGATCACCTTGAGGACGGAAGACTTGTTGCTGTTGTCGACGACGCATGGCACTCCCCGACGTATAATGCCGGCCTTGTGCAGAGCGATCTCGGTCAGTGTGTCGCCGAGAAAACCCTGGTGGTCGAGTCCAATCTTGGAGATGACCGTGACGGCCTTGTGAGTCAGGGCGTTGGTGGCATCGAGCTTGCCCCCCAAACCGACTTCGACGACACCATACTCGACTTTCTCCCGGTAGAAGATTTCAAAGGCGGTCGCGGTCAGCAGCTCAAACTCGGAGGCACCGATCTGATTTTCTTGGTTCCTCTTGTGGATGAGAGCTTCGGTATCCCGAAACAGTGCTTCAGAGACGGGGCTCTCGTTGATGGTGATGCAATCCCAACGGTCAATGAGGTGTGGTGAGGTGAAGCTGGCGCAGCTTACTCCACTGGCGTGGAGCATCGCAGAGAGGTAGGCACATATGGAGCCTTTGCCATTTGTGCCGGCGACATGGATAGCTTTCCAGGGCTGTGGTGTGTATTGCAGAAGGCGGCCGATACGAGCCAGTCCGAGATCGATCATGATGACCGCATAGCAGCTTTCGCTACTACGATTTCATGCTTCTCCTGCTGCCTTGGCTGGTGTCTGTATGTCGTCAAGAAGGCTCTGCTAGGGCCTGTCTCGAAACCAGCTCGACCTGGCTCAACAACGGCTGAGCAGACACAAAGCTGTGCTGGTAACTGATCGTGAGGTGTTGCTGTTGGCAACGTGTTGGTGTCACACCTTGAGAGGCCAACTGAGTCATCACCGTGATTGGAGACGGGCAAAAGTGGTGAGCAGTAGCCGGATCTTGAAATTCGATCTCAGCCTATCGTCTTTGCTCAGAAGGGCAATCGATGTTTCGGGGCGAGAGTCCAGGGCAGAGCTGCAGTACTGGCGCGGATCCACAGATCATTCCAGGGGCTGCGGGGGCCAAATATCCCCTGTTGGCTCTAGCCTGTACAAGTAGTGGCTGGCCGCCCTGGAACTTGACCTTGGGCGGATTCCTGGCTGCAGGTGTTCATTGTTCATTCAATACATGGTCCCTGCACCAATGACCGCCACGAACCTAAGTCACTCCATAACACCATTGGCCAGCTTCATTTTCCCACCTGGCCCTTCTCCAAGGTGGCTGGGGGACCATCCAAATCTGTCACAAATTTCACCAAGGCGCGCTCAGCATCAGCCCCGACACATCAGTCTCCCACCTCGTCGACCGGTTTTAATGCCATCCCCAGTCGGAAAACCCCACGACTCACCACTCTCTTCCTCCACTGAAGGGATCCAAACATTTCGACCCTTCTCCCGGCGCATCATCCACCAACCCCAGCCGCCACCCGCCGCTGACAGTATCGTCCCATTGCCATTTCCATCAATTCATCTCGTTGCGCATCCAACTTTGACATTCGCTTGATCATTGTTTGCATCGTCGCGACGGGTTTGGATTTCTAGATCATCGCCGGAGCAAGAATGGGCCTCCCGTAAGTCGTTTGTCGCCAGTTTTTTTCCCTCCTGCGCCACCGTTGTCGCCCACCCAAACAGCGCCGGTCGCGCGCTTTGTCCACGCATCATCCTATCGCGTGCGCGACACGCACCATCAAGGTTCATCTCTGAATGGCCTTGTTTGGGCGGCAGCAACATTCTGCGAGCCATCTCACACACGTTCTTTGTGCTAATTCTGCTTTTCCCCCTCCAGACTCTACATCGCGCCTGTCGAGTCCGACGTCCAGGGTAAATCATCTCCAAAGAGCCCCGCACATGCGCGCTCGGCCATCCGCCGTCTTCGACTTCGCTCTCGAGGTAATGGGCCTGCACGAGAGCAACAGCGTCGCGTACTCGCCGCCGCGGCCGCCTACGAAGATGATTTCACCCTTCCATCCCTTGTGCTCCATGACTACGAGGCTCCGAGACCCCCGTCGCCTCCCGCCCCAACCAGGGGCGCAGAGCGCGCTCGCCAGCGCTTGCACGAAATGTTCGGGAACAGGATGAACACGATGGAGGCCCTGGATGATCGCGTGGTTGAGCGTTTTGGCGAGCGATGGGCTGAATTGCACGCGCGGTCCAACCCTAGTCCTCTGCTCGACACTCAAGGAGACGCCGGCCCGTCTGTCCCTTCCACTCGCCATCAAGAAAACGCCCCCCAACAACCACTCGCGGGCTATCATGCGGTTCCCGGGCACACAGACCTGCCTTCTGATTTGCCCTCACATGAGGTTAGTCGAGTTTCGACGTACACTTGACCACTCTTTTCAGCAGAGCTAATTCGTTCATAGTCGTCTTCACGGAGATCTCTTCGACGGATTCCGCGAAGCCCACCTCCTCTGCGACGGGTTCGCAGTCCAGAGTACCTTACACTCGACCGTGCCGGCCGTGCCGGCCGTGCCGACCTTGCACACAGTATCTTGAGCGAGCCTCGCTCCTCCGAATATTCGCAGCAATCACAACAAATAGAGCAGCAGCGAAGGCGTTTTGAGAGCCGATTACTTTCGAGTCTCAGATCTCGATACCCCAGCGTCTACTACCCCCCCGCCAATTTGGATGGCCTGGGTGACCGCGACCGAAGCCTTAGCCCCGAGGGCGATGGTGTTTGGGACACACTCCTGACCACGCTGACCCCTGACCCCCAACCACCCAGCGTGGGCTCCTCGTTCGCTTCGACCTCGGCATCCGCAGCGGCATCGCAAGGCGCCGCGACCGGATCCTCCAACACCTCTTTCACTGGGCCAGACCCAGCCGAAGAATCGCTGTTGGAGCCGCAGTCTGGTTGTGAAAACTCGGACAGCGAGGGCGAGGACGAGGACGAGGACGATCTGGGTCAGAACACCCTGACCAGGTTTCCCCTTGGACACAGGAGCACCCGCTCCTATGCGAACGTCGCGGCGCACCAATCCGGAAATGACGACACGTTTGAGGTGCTGGGCGGGATCGGAGGCATGCAGCGCATTGTTCGAAACCTGGCGCGAAGGGAAGACATCCCGGATGAATGGTGGGCTGAAGCTGGTCTCAGCCGCACTCTCTCCAGGGACGGCACAGATTAGGACATGGTATTGGCGTTTTGGCACGGGGTTTGAGAGCACGTCGGCAATGCTCGGCGTGGTATGATATTGGCGTTGAATGCTACATGAGCGTCAGTCTTGGACCTCATGGATTCGAGAGGATACGACATCTATGGTGTAATGTCCGATACAGGCGTTCAGTCCGAGAGGACGACCGGCTTGCCATCATGTTGGGGAAAAGCACAAAAGTTAATGAGCGTTGAAGCTCCTGAAAAATTGCATTCAGAGAAATGCGCAGGCGTCGGGCTTGACGGTGCTTGTAGTAATAGAGTCTCGCGAACGATTTCGAAACCTAAAAGCTAAAAGACCATTGCCCTTTGTACTCAGTGCCCTCGATTGATCTGCTTTACCTAGAAGTGGCGCCTAACATAGAGTTGGGTTGCAAGGGCTCATATCATCCTGTCCATTCATTACACACCCAAACCTCTGCCCAAATACCTAAGCATCTGGTATTCTTAAGTAGACAACATGTTTCCCGCCAGACACTCTTCCTTTTCTCGGAAAGTGACAGTGGCTTGCGGCCGAATATGTCGGATGCGACCATCGCGAACCCGCAGCAAAGGGTCAGATTAGGCCCTTGCCGGCCACGCTCGTTGGTTCGCTACCCCAGATGGCCCGGTTTGGGTTACATTGTGGATGTGATGCATCTGCTTCCGGGCTTCCTAGTGCGCTGAGGCTTGCAACAAGATGAGATAGCCGACCTCTGTGGACGACAAGCAATGTCGGGTGAGTTGAGAGCTTCGATGCCGTCATCTTCTCAGGCATGTGCACCTGGTTGTTCTGTGGGAGTTGGCTGTCATTCCAATGGGCGAGCACGCCTGTTTCCTATCTGGGAAAGTCATGCTATCGTCATCGCATCGGCCATTCTTGAAAGCTGCTTTGAGGAATACCTAGGTAGGTCCGTAGATATCCCCTGTTCCAAACCCAAAATTGGCAACTAGCAGCTCTGTTGTCTCATTAGTGCACCAACCTACTTCGTATCAGAAGGCAAAAGAAGAAAAGCACCCAGCCCGATTGTCTCTCCTGGACATTACTAACTAGGTACCTACCTAGGTAGCTAACTAGCGGTTCCCCCCCTTCCGGGCTCTTCGATTGGGGAATGCGCACAGGCGTGGGTTTCCACGGATGTGTCTGTCTGCCCGGCCGACGACTCTCCTCTCGAGGCGTCTCCCAGCCCCAGACTCGAGGCCCAATTATGCCCAGCCCTGGCGTTAGTTCCCTTGTCTCGCAGCTGCAGCTTCCACTCGATCCGCCCACCTTCCGGCCTACTAGGCCCTGCCAAGTCTGTCTCTAATTTAGTACAGCTAGGTAGACAGTGAGAGTCGGCCCCCCTTGGACGACTAGAGTTGTGCTCTGCGATAGGTATATAGCAGTAGTTATTAGCACCTGGGCAGTTACTACCTAGGTACCTAGGTAGTTTGCTTGCCGGCTGGCAGGGGGGAGGGAGCCACTCTGTCTTCCATTGTATGTGCTTTGCGTGTGTGCTCGTGCTCGAGCTAGCAGGAAACAAGAAAGTCGGACCCCGCGATAATACGCGAAAGGATAGAGAACGTGAAACAGGCAGGCACGCGGCCGGACCGAACTTTTGTTTTTTTTCTCTCTCTCTACCTCACTTTACCCGACCGGCCAGCTACCTGAGACCGCAGAGGGAAATACGAACGGGCCGCAGGCGTGTGGTCAGCCAAGGGAGGCATTCACCGCAAAAGTGAGACGACAATTCACCTTGCAGGTTTTGGGGAAGCAGCCCTTTGCAACTCCCTTGTCTTGGGGTCAGCTTTGGTGTGCTCGTTGACACTGGAGCCCTGTTTTCCCACCCCTTCGCCCCTCACCTCACGACAGGGCTTGTTTACTTTCTGGGAGCACCCATTGCGCCCGCGAGGAAGTCTACCTTGGGAGGAATCGCACCTCGGCCTTTTCACAGGACGAAACCGCCACGAGCGCAAGACCTACGAAGGAGCGAATCTGCGGGAATGGGAGACTTGCTCCCAGTACGACCAATCCTGCCATCACCTCACCACCGCCTCGACACTGCCTGATAATACTACGGAACCCCTTTTTCGATTGTTGCGCCGGGCCAGACCCAATCCCCCTCGAGCTGCGGCCCGACCAACTCTCGAGGTGACGGAAGCCTGCGGCCGCGGGGATGGCGCCAGGCAGCTCCGCCGAGCGGGCGTACCCGCACCCGAACGGCAAGCTCGTCGCCGCCAAGGTCCCCGGCACGCCGAGGAAGGACGCGGGCGGCAGCCGCGACAGGTCTGGTGCGCTGCAGGACCCGGGGCTGAAAGACTACGTACGTGGGAGACCCCTCACCCCCATACTGGCCTGCTCTGCCATTGGAGTTGCGCCGCGGCTACGGGATGGGACACAGGCACATCTTTGGGAGACATTTGGACGTGCGAGCTGACGGGAGGCACAGCGATTAGGAGACTGCATCGGCAAAGGAGCCTTCGGCTCGGTATACAAGGCTTTCAACTGGGGCACCGGCGAGGCTGTGGCGGTCAAGCAGATCAAGCTCGGGGACCTGCCTAAGAGCGAGCTGCGCATGATCGAGGTATGGCCCAGGGAGGGGGGATGCGACGGCTGGGAAGCTATGCTGAGGTTCTGACCCTGTGGACAGGCCGAAATCGATCTGCTCAAGAATCTACACGTAAGTCCACCGTTGGCTTGTTGCCCATACTGGGATCCCGAGAATCCACTGTACTGACTATGCGATAGCATGACAACATTGTCAAGTATATCGGTTTTGTCAAGTCCTCGGACTGTCTCAATATCATTCTCGAGTGCGCCTTGGATCCCGTCATGTTGAGCGAAGTTTGGGTAGGGCTAACCCGCTTGGCAGGTATTGCGAAAACGGATCATTGCATTCAATATGCAAAGCGTACGGGAAGTTCCCGGAGAACCTTGTGGGTGTATACATGACACAAGTTCTTCAGGGACTGCAGTACCTTCACGACCAGGGTGTGATTCACCGTGATATCAAGGGCGCCAACATTCTAACCACCAAAGATGGCACGGTCAAGCTTGCCGACTTTGGTGTGTCCACCAGCACTCTCGCTGGGCCGGACAAAGAGGCACAGGTAGTGGGCACACCATACTGGATGGCACCGGAGATCATCCAACTTTCGGGAGCTACATCAGCATCGGATATTTGGAGCGTGGGATGTACTGTCATCGAACTGCTTCAGGGCAAACCGCCGTACCACAACTTGGCTGCCATGCCTGCTTTGTTTGCCATCGTCAATGATGACCACCCGCCTCTGCCAGAAGGGGTTTCTCCGGTCGGTACCCCGCCACTTGCTTCAATGTCTCCTGTTGAGCTGTTATTGATTGGACTGCCCCTAACTAACTGACTCACCCTGCAGGCTGCCCGAGACTTTTTGATGCAGTGCTTCCAGAAAGATCCCAACCTCCGTGTTTCTGCCCGCAAGCTTGGCAAACACGCCTGGATCGTTGGCTGTCGTAGAAGCGACGCACCCGTCTCCAAAGCACCCTCCAACTTCAGCCAGGCTGTAGAAGAAGTCAAGCAGTGGAACAAAGCACTCAAGTCCTCGGAGAACAACCTCCGGGCCTCCACCGGCTCCGACAGCGGTGGGCCGATGCAAGGCTTACGAAATGGGGGTGGTGACCGACCGAATGTCGTTGCACCAGCCAAAGGGCCTCTGTCTCTCGCGAAACCGAGACCGACTGCTGAGGCGTTTAGGTCTCCCGAACTCGCAGGTAGGCAATACTTTGATACTAGCTAAAGTAGATGCTGACAACGTGTCCTAGACGACGACAACTGGGATAACGATTTCGCGACAGCTATATCACCTACGGCGCTACAGTTGCCACATCTGAAGCCTCAGGACAACTTTGGTGGACTGCTCTCCGCAGACAGGCTGAAGGCGTTTGCATCGATCGACGACTCGCGTGACATTTCCAGCAACTGGGAAAGCTACTTCGATAATGATCATGCGACGATCAAGGCGGCACATGTACCAGACGTAGGCTCTTTGGAGCGTACCATACGGCCTCCCAGGAGGGTGGAAAAAAGCGCCGAAGTGAAATCGCCCAAGTCAAGCCGAAGGCACGGGCGCAAGCCATCCTCAACCGCGACCGGGCAGTCAAAGTCACCCTCCAAGCATCTTGGAAACAAGTTTGAGCTCCCCGCTCGCCCTGAAATTGCCTACAGGGAACAGTCGGTAGAAGACTACTCGGACCTGTTCGCCGACAACGACAACGTGTTCGACCGCCGAATGAGCCTGGTCCAGAAGGACACGCCACAACTGTTCCATCCCTCCGACCTGACAAGCCTCCCCCGCTCGATGCAGGCCCCCACGGGAGGCAGTATGCGTCGCCAGGCCCCACCCAGGCCATCTGTATTGCCCGATCGACAGATGCGAAGAACCAGATCCTCTGTCGAGATCGAGCGGTTCGCCGAAGACGCGGAGGACGAGGACTTCTCAGACATCTTTGGTGTGGAGGAGGCCCTTACAGAGAAGGAAGAGAGCGATAGAGGCTCCGAAGATGGTGGTCTTATGCTCCTTTCGAAACTGTCCAACAATTCTTGGCTCGGCGATGACGAAGACGAGGACGACCCCTTCGCCATGATGGATCCTGGTTGGGACGAGATGGACTTGGAGGCGAATATTGCGCGAGATCGACACGCTCGGCTGGCCGAGAAGGTCGAAGAGCTCGTGCGTTCTCTCAAGACCACCGAAGGCGAAGACACCCTGTCTGAGCTGTCCGAAGACCTTGTAAGCGTGTTCACACTATCCTAAGCTGCTCTTTGCTGACTCCAGTGATAGCTCAATATCTTGTGGGAGAACATTGAGGTCAAAGACTTGATCATTAGTGCCCATGGTCTTTTGCCAATTCTTGAAATACTGGAGCCTTGCACGGTAAAGAGCCGGCAGCACATGATTCTCCAGCTACTGAAGATCGTCAACGCGGTAAGCCAAATTGCCCAGACGTGTCTCTATCCCAGCCTCGCTGACTCACGTCTTGTAGATTATTCTGGATGATGTGGAACTTCAAGAAAACCTTTGCTTCGTTGGCGGCATCCCGATCATCACCAAATTCGCGGCCCGGCAATATTCCAACGAGATCCGTCTCGAGGCCGCAGCCTTCGTGCGGCAAATGTACCAGACCTCTACCTTGACGCTGCAAATGTTTGTCAGTGCAGGTGGTCTCAACGTTCTGGTTGAATTCTTGGATGAAGATTACGACTCCTCGAGGGATCTGGTCCTGATTGGTGTCAACGGGATATGGAACGTCTTCGAACTTCAGGGTCCCACACCAAAGAATGACTTCTGCCGGATTTTCTCCCGCAGCAAAATTCTTGACCCTCTGGCTTTGGTTTTGCACAAGGTGCTTGATGAGGAGACTGATGAACTCTCAGAGCTGATCGAGGGTCGGATCGTCAACATATTCTACCTGTTCTCACAGGCCGAGAATTACGTCAAGGAGGTTGTTGCCGAACGGCAGGTCTTGAAGACTGTGCTGAAGGACTTGCGGCGTATGTCCGCACCTCATCAGATCACTATGCTGAAGTTCATCAAGAACCTGTCCATGCTATCTACGACGCTGGAGACACTACACTCGGCTGATGCGATCGACTTCCTCATCGACGTGCTCAGCTACAGCATGAAAAAGGGCCATCAGCACTTCCGGGAAATCTCGAACCAGGTGCTGAATACGATGTTCAATCTGTGCCGGCTCAGCAAAGAGCGACAAGAGTATGCTGCTGTCAACGGTATCATCCCACTCTTGCTCAAGATCATGCAGACGGACCGGCCACCCAAGGAATTTGCGCTGCCCATCCTGTGTGACATGGCGCATTCTGGGAGCAAGGGTCGGAGATACCTATGGCAGAACAAGGGTCTTGACTTTTATATCTCACTACTCCCTGACCAGTACTGGCAGGTCACGGCCCTTGACGCCATCCACGTCTGGCTACAAGAGGAGACGGCCAAGGTTGAGAACCACCTGATGGGCGGCAAGTTCACGGCGGCAATCGTGTCGTGCTTTAATACATCGAAGGCTAATGCTTTCGACCCCAACCTGCTGGAACCTCTTCTCAAGGTTCTACGTCTCAGCCCTTCGATAGCCGCGTCACTCGGCAAAGCCGAGATGTACGCTGGCATCGCACAGAAGCTCAGCCACAAGAAGGCAGTCGTGAGGCTGAACCTGCTACGTCTGGTCCGCAACGTCATGGACGCCTGCGAAGCGGACGGCAGCGCCCCGTCGGCGACCAACGGCCGGCAGCTCCGCACGCTGTTCGAGTTCATCCACGCACTAGCGGAGAAGGACTCTGCCGTACTGGTCCGCAACCTGGCGTCGGAGCTCGTCAAGTCTCACATCGTCACCGGCAGCGACGCCATCTCGCTCTCGGCCGCGTCTTCGTCGAACGCTAACACCTCTCGGCCGCGGTCCAACCCGCGCAGGAACACGTCCTACACCCCTCCGGCCCTGCACTCGTCCATCTCGGCGCCGATGACGCCAACATCGCACGGCGGCCACCACCACCGCGCACTGCAGGCTGCCGCGCCGCTGATTGAGGTCGCCTCGACGCCGAAGCGCTCGGCCGTCACACTGGCGCACGAGCGCGATGCCATCGTCTACCGGCCGCGCAGCAGGGACAGCTCGGGCGGCTCCTCGACGACATCATCGATCCCGTGGCGCGTTAGTGGCGACGCCGCGACGGCGGCGTCCAACGGGTCCGTCGCGGGCAAGGGCAGTAGGCTGCCGCGGCAGTCGAGCAACTTTGGGCGGCCGAGCCTCGGGCCCGCGGCCATGGTGGTCAGCAGCAGGTCCGAGAGCTCCATGTCTAATAAGGAGAATAATGTGGGCCGGTATGCTTCTTCGGTGGCTGGTGGTGGTGCCGGTGGTGGTGCCGGCGGTCTTGTTGGTAGTGCTAGCAGCGGCGGCAACATGATGGTGCCGCCGAGCCCGAGGGAGCAGCGCGTCATGGAGCGGGCGGAGAGGATCGCTGCCGCGGCTTCGGCGACTCCCGGGAGCAAGAGGCGGAACCGGGCGCCGAGTTCGGACGTGAGGTGGCCGTAGGGTTGGCTTTGGTAATTGGGTCGGTGATGTGGACGGATGGTTGGTGTTCCTGAGGACTGGGTTTGAGGTACGGAGGCAAAGGAGGGAGGTTATTATGGTTGGTATTACACTTTGGGAGGGTTATTCGACTTGCATTGCGTTGCGGTGTCTTTTTTGTCTTTTGTAAAAGCTTTTGTCTCTGAAGACACACGAGAAACGGGTTAACTCGCGATCAAAGGGGCATTGTAGAAAGAGGGAGCAATGAATACTAGGAGGTCTTGTGCCGCTTCATAACGAGTGATGTAGGTATGGGTGTTTATGCTCAGTGTATGTTGTATAGATTTAGGAAGGGCTTGGGAGGTTTAGAAGATTAAAAGGCGTAGAGAAGCTCTGGGATTTGAATCTCTAAGCCATATTTGCCTGGACGGACGGGTGGAATGGGGGCAGCTCCACGGAAAAGAGGTGTTGGGCACAACGGATTGACTACAGAAGACTGGCTACTGTCGAAGGCAACACAGTACTGATCAATCATATGCTTCTTATGGGACATAGCAAAGGACCTTGCAAGTGTTACAATTCTGCAAGATGCTGAAGACAGCGTTGGGCGCGATTCATGAGCATCAGGGGGTCCAGAGCAAACGCCAGGTCATCTTCCCGTAAACGCTTCAAAGCATCAGACTCGAATGTTGATCGCCTGGTTCCTTCTATTCTGCATCAGGTGCCTGATCCTATGAAGTATGTCTCTAACTAGTGTTTCCAACTCTCGATTCAGATGAGTGGATCATTAGCAAGGGCTTTGTCATTGACCCCCTGACGGGGTCGATGTCAGCCCGAGAGAGAGGAGATTCACCTCAAGATGGCCGACGACAATAATACCCAAGATATGTTCCTTATCATCAATAAGTTGATTGCTAAGCGCCGGGCGTTGTAAGCTTACAAGGAAGAATGCTCGCCTCGCTGATGAAGCATCAACGAGTGGATGTCCTGAGCCTCACTGGAGCACGGGAGCAATGTAACGTATGCGTTTGAGAAGGAAGGACGGGCAACGGGATGGGGCATCGTCGGATCACTCCAGGGTAACTCCATGAAGGTGCTCCCGTCCCGAGACTGTCTCGTGGAGCAATGGGTCCAACGAGAGAAGCATGGATGTTGAGGATGACAAGGACGTAGGTATCGAAGTGGACCGGCTGCTCTTTCAGCCCTGGATCGAGTTCTCCATCCTTTGAAAATTGCCCAGACCAGCCCCGCCCGCAGGTCCGCAGCCCTGAGTGAGCGGGAAGAGGCATGAGACGCCGTTATCACGGGCATCACGTCACTATGCATCATGGTCGAACAAACCTCGCACGCCGCTTCGCAACGGCGCCCAGAGAGCCCTTTTTTCATGCAGCAGCTTCGGGCATGAGTGCAGTTTATCGACACAGAACTGAGGCTTGCTGTGCCACTGGGACGGATTGACAAAGGAAGACGATCAAGTGAACCCTTTGATAACTGCCGAAAGAGTTATTTCTTTCCACAAGTGACCCCTTGATTGTGGTCGGTCCCATGACCACTGCCTGACGCCCAACATGCCGTGTTGAAAAATGTCGCAGCCCGGCGCGGTGTCCAAAAATCTGGTTTCGTGCATAATCAACCCCTATTTTTCGCCCCCTTTTTTTTTTTAATCCTGCAAAAGGCTATCGGACGGACCCTTTACCTCGCAGCCCATTGACTCTTCCGTGTTTTTCATGTTTCTTTACAAGACAGGTTGGTCACGGTCTCTGTCGATCCCTCTCGCCTCACTTTCCGCTTGGCTGTAACGGCGCCTGCCAAGCAGCAAGAGAGATCAGACCTACTCCGGAAGGGTGTCATCCAGCCCAAGAGAGAGACGCGGTGCACATGGTCTTTGCTCAGGCAGGCAAGATCGTCCCTGAAGATTACTGCCCTGGCTCCATGCCCGATCGTCACGTCGAAGAAAGGGGATTGGCCGGTCTGTGAACTGTTTGTTTCCATTAAGCCGGGAAGAGATCTTCCTCCGTCAGAGTGCTGTAAGTCCGCGTTCTGGAGTGGAGGAGGAGGAGGAGCTCAGACCGGCTCCGCGGTGAAGAGGAGACGGCGCAGGGCGAGGCTGGTCTTTTAAGAGCCCTGTTTCGTGCCGTACTCCCCCTACTACAAGTACTACAAGCAAGGCAAAAACGGCTACAAGGAAGGACCCTGCGGGGGACCCCGGCCGGCAATCGTGGGCTACGATCGGACCGGGCGCGCGCAGTGGTCCACTTACACCCATGCATGGAAGATGTGCAAGGGGGGAGGACGGGGGGGACCACACTACATGCGAACAGGTCCGGAGCATCAGGCGCCTGCCTCGCGGGCATAGAGTGATCGCCGGCATCACCAGATAGACCGTGGTTGCCCGATGAGACGTGCGACACGCGGCTATAGACGCATGGGGACCCAAGGCTTGGGAGAGGTTTGGCGAGATGTTTCGCAGCCGTGCATGGGATCGGCAGTCAGAGAGACATGGAGACGGGACCAGATGCGTGTAAGGAAAAGGAGGGGGGAGCAGGGGGATAGATGGTCTCTTCCTTGCGGTTATGCCCGGGGGAATGCACGGCGCCCAAGCAAAGTTGGCCGATCAGCCAGCCTCGCCTTCCCAGCAGTGTGGTCCGGGAGAGCCTAGCCACACTCGGCAGGTAGGGATCTTGTCTCTATTAGTAGGCTGTCGAGCTGGGGAAAGGGAAAAAAGAAGGGCAAAATGGGACCCCTTGTACGGGTGTGGCCGCGTCTGCCTCTCTCGGGCGCGGAGAAAGTACACAAGAGCAGCAAGGGGAGATGATCTGCGCAGCGCTATGTAGTTCGCAGCAAGATCGGCAATCATGGCCTTGCAGCTGGGCCAGCCCAACATGGATGACCTGGCGAGAGCTGTCCATTGGATTGGAGGGCCAAGGGGAAGAAGAGCAAGTTCAGATGCACATCCTAGAAAAGGTTGGGTATTGATCACAAGACGTGACATAGAGGGAGGGCCCTGTGAGCATGCAGACCTCGCTTCGGCGTGTATTTTGCGTGCCCTCACATTCGGGGACAGGGGGGCCGGGGGGGAGAGAGAATGATAGCGACCGTGCTGGATCTACCAGTCCGCAGCAGGGTGTTGCCAAGAGGGGAAGCAATTCATCTTGTCAAATCCGGTCGGCTGCATGCAGGAACAAGGTCGCTCCTCTTGCGGCGTCTGCAGTTGGACAGGCGGCGGCTTCTGCCAGCCGAAATTCCCGACTTCCACGACGTTCTGTCAATTTTCTTCCGATGTTCTCAACATTTTTTTTCATCATATCAGAGCGAACATCCCGAGAAATGTTTGTGTACCGGGTTTCCCTTAGAGGCATACACGAGAGCCGGTGCGTGGTGACGGGCGCGCGCGCACCCAGACTCTAGTGTGAGAAAATGGGGCGGTCAAAGTGAGGCGAGCAATGCACCCGGTCTCCTCGGTTGACCACTCACACCCAGCTCTGGCGTGTTAAGTTGAGAGTAGCGGGAGCGGTAGCGACTCTCTGCTGACCTTGCAACACAGTGTGTCTGTCTGGCCGAGTGTTGGTACCCTCTGTGAATCTAATACGTGAATCCAAGACCGACTGCGATTGGCGGTGAAACCAAGATGCTGCAAAGTCAAGTCCAATACAACGGTCAGTCAACACACGGTAATCCAAACGTCTAAACATTTCTTTCCCACGGCTCGTACAGACACACCACGAAGCCCGTCCGTGTTGTAGACCGGCCTGCCTGCACGTTGGATATAAATATCGGCCGATCCTCTTGATCTTCCATGCACCTGACTACTGACCCGCTAGCTTTCTTGTCGATCTCGGTCCCTCCCGCCAAAATTGCACTAGTATGTCGTCGTCGTCGTCGTCGTCGTCGGCCATGAACAAGTACTGGATTCCTCACCTTGACATCCACAAGAAGGTCATCACGGCCGAGTTGCAATATTATCTCGGCCCAGATGCCACGGTCCGAGCATTTACCAAAGATGTGCGTACTCCTCTCTCTCTCTCTCTCTCTCTGTCAGCACAGTGAGCGCTCTTGCTCTTACTGCTGTTGCTGCTGCTGTTGCTGCTTTTGTTGCTGCATTGCCAGCATGAGGGCGAAAGAAGACATACTGACGAGCCGGGCAAACCAGGGAGAGGATGGGTTTCTGATCACGACGCCAGGTCCCTGTCTTTCAGACGTGAGCGTCGCCGTTCCACAACGACCGTCCGTCGTGTCCCACGTAAATAACCTCGCACCAGGAACAAATTGACGACATTTGCGTCAAGTCCAAGGAGATGTGGGAGAAGCAGGCCGCCGCCAGGACCACGACCAACCCGGACAAGCCCCTCAAGCGTCCGCTGCACCAGCCGGTGGTCATATCCAGGGGCAGCCCCGGCGACCCAAGTCGGAGGCGGCACCATCACGATCGTCGAGGCAACCACTCGCAGCCGAGATATGAGGACCGGAAGCGGGACTGACTGCAGGCTGCTGGGAGGAGAAGGGGCTTCTTCCGAGGTGAGACGACTGGCCGGGGCCATGCGCTGGCATGAGGCTATTGAGTGCCCTTGAGGCAGGTTTCAGTGCAGAACGCACGAAACCTTGGCACGTCCCTATCGGACGCACAGACGGAGCAGAGCTTCGGTCTGGAGACGCAATCACAACAGTTGCGGAGAAAGCACACGCGCGGCATACGTTGCTTATTGGGCGAGGGCGAGGAATGGGAATAATGGCTGCATAAGAGCAGGAGGACGCTTGCTGCTGCCCAGCGAGATTGTGCCAGCTGGCTTTGCTGGGGGCCCAATGAAGGTCGCATTTCTGTTAGTCGGGTCGGTCTGCTGCTTGTTTATGTGCATATTAGGTGGTTTTCTGCACGGCGCAAATGGAGCTAGTTGATTTTGCCAGATCCACATTCCTAATTCTGACTCTATGTTGAATCCCTGTGTTGCTATTCGCACAAAAATGAACAGCGAGAGGGTCGGTCAGGGTGTCCAGCTGTGTGCCCGTATGCCTCTGTATCTGAGCGGTGGGAGAATCAAGCCAACTGCTCGGGCGTGTCTGCTGCGTGGACGATACCCAGGTGCTGGCCCGGACTGGACCAGCCTCGTGTGTTTGGCCGGAGACTACACAGCGCAGCGACGGGAACGACAGCCTCCCATTTGCCGAGTCTGAAGGACCAATAGAACATCGACTGGTGTCCGCTATCCGAAGGGCTGGGACCTCGTTGGTCTATGCTGGCACCTCTTCTGCGTTGCCAACAGAGACACACCTCCAAAAAAAGCCGCCGACTTGGGTGTTCTGCCCTCCCCAACGCAGGGGGCGGCACAGTGCTGGTGCACAGCACAGGCAATCCAGGATCGAGATGCTTTTGAACATCGATCACATCTCGGGATCTCTCATGGTGTTTCACAGCGCCGGACGAGGGGCCGTGAGGCGTCTTTCGCAGACCGCTGTGGCTTCTGTATCCCACATCCGAGGATGCATGTGCTCGAACCATTCACCAGATACCCGAGAACTGGAATGAGCACTTTGATGGGTGGAATGGCTGACTGTGAGCAAATCATCCGAGAAGATAGCTGTGCTCTGCAGGCTCGGCTGACTTGGTCACAGAGAGACGAAAACGAGCTGCATGCGTGCAGCTTGCGATTCGTGCTGCTTGGTCAGGTCTTTGCTCCCTCTGCATTGCTCAGGCATGTCTCATACTGCTTGATGTCGATAGGACCAGCAGACCACAGGAGGACGGCTTGGACATGCACTGTCGGCCTCTCCCGCGCGGGCTTGGTCGGTCGAGCAGACGGGGGCATCTTGATGTAACCGATCACATTGACCCATGCGCCAACCTGGGTCTGTTCTGACTTGAGACTTTCGAGTAAGAGATTGACGTCCACCAATGCCTTGGTCGTAGATGCAACAGGGTACTGATGTTCCAGGGTCAGGATCCCTGAGCTGACAGAGTAAGATGTCACACTGTGGAGGATGGTCAGCCCTGGAGATACACGACACGCGACTTTGTTTGGAACTCAGGCGAGGTCCAGAGGAGCGACCGCGAGTTATCGAGAGGGCCGAGAGGGCCATGCAATGTGATGTGCCAACTCATCCGGGTGCTCTGTCCAATCTCACTGGCCGGCGAGGGGGAACAAACGATGGTGGTGTGGAAGACTTGAGTCGTGAGAACGGTGAGGAGCTTACCAGCCGAGAAACCGCACTTTCTCCATCTCTCGCCTTGCAGGCAAATCTGATAAGAAGCACAATTGAGACGCCGGCGGCGGATTCGACATTTTGAGAGGAATGGAATAGGCCCGTTTCAGCGGGCGACAAATCCGAATACAGCGATGCTGCCCCGTGCTGAACTCAAGGTCATTGGCGTTGGCATGTCTGGTGTCCGGTGTTTGGCGAAGGAGGAGAGGACGCGCGATCGTGAAATACACAGAAAGAAAAGACGGTTCAAAGAGGAGAAATGTAATCGGCAGATGAACTCACTCGCTCGCTCGCCCAAGAGGCATGATGCAGGACAAAGGCAGCCAATCCCCCCATGTGCCCATGTGCTTGCTTACATGGATTCTCTCCTTTCTTTCTCACTCTCCTCTCTCGCCCACGCCTGCCACCCACGGGCCACCCACGGGCCACCCACGCCAGTGAGCGTTTGAGTCTCAGTGCAGGCTGCAGCGCGGTCACATGACCGTCACGAGGGAAACATCGGCAAAAATGGCCGCTAGCAGGTTGGCTGTTGTCCAGGCGGCGGTGCGGGCGCAGGCACGGGCAGAGTCGACGCTAGCGCCACCATTGGCGACAGGAAATGCCTTGCATCATAGCCTGCCTGACCTCGTCCTCTAGGCTTCAATCCCGATCCTTGCGAATCTTCTTACGCAAGCACATGCAATCTTCCCTAGGCGTCCGAATAACCACTATCCGTAGCGAGAGAGCCTCCTGCTCTTATCCTTCTCATCAGACACCCCAAAGCGCCCACAGCTGCGGCCCTACGAGACTTGGTCGCCTTATCTACCCCGCCACCTGGTCGTTCCAAGGTCGATCTGGCTGTCTGGGTCAGGAGGACGAGTCATCGGGCCTACGATCCCATCCAGCGACGCTTCACTCATCAAGCTGAACTGAGCTGCAAAGCAGCACTCTGTTCCCGCAACCCATCTCGTCCCGAAACCAACACAGCGCCTACGAGTTCGCCATGTCTTCCGGAATCTGGGGATGGTTTGGCGGTGGGGCTGCGCAGAAGCGCAAGGACAGCCCCAAGAACGCGATCCTGGGCCTGAGGTCACAGTTGGATATGCTGCAGAAGCGAGAGAAGCACCTGAAGTCCCAGATGGAAGAGCAGGATGCCATAGCACGAAAGAACGTCAACACGAACAAGAATGGTAAGCCCAACGTTTGTCCCGATGTCTCGATCCTCCAACCGACTTGTCGGCTAACACATCTTGCCCTCCCACACAGCTGCCAAGGCCGCTCTACGACGAAAGAAGGCGCACGAACACAGCCTTGATCAGACGATGGCCCAGATCCAGACCCTCGAGCAACAGATCAATGCTATCGAGTCCGCAAACATCAACCGGGAGACTCTGGCGGCGATGCAGCGCGCTGGCGAGGCCATGCAGGCCATCCACGGCAAGCTCACCCCCGAAAAGGTGGACGAGACAATGTACGTAGGGTTGATGATGATAATAGCAATACGGTCGGGATGCAAATGCTTACCATTCTGCGTCACAGGGAGAAGCTGCGCGAACAAAACGCCCTCAGCGAAGAGATCGTCAGCGCCATCACCACCAACGCGCTCGGCGAGGCGGTCGACGATGCGGATCTGGAGGAGGAATTGGAGGCAATGCAACAGGAGCAGCTGGACGAGTCTCTGCTCAAGACTGGCACTGTGCCAGTGTCAGACCAGATCCAACGCATGCCGGCTGCGGCGAACGGCGAGAGTAAGTTTGATCCTCATGCCTCGGACCGCGGTGCGTCATGGACTAACTCCCCCACCAGTCAAGGGAAAGGCAGTGGAGGAAGACGACGAGGAGGCAGAGCTACGGAAGCTGCAGGCAGAGATGGCCATGTGAGCCTTTGGATTATCTCGCACTCCTCTTTTACTTGTACCGGGGACGGTCTCACAGCCACGACATTCGGGAGGCAGATTCGACTTTGGGTTTATCTTTGACACCCCTCCCTTTCCTATTCATTTCAGCCCCATGTTGAAGGCGTCGGCGTCTGGTTGTTGCATTCGTGATACTCGGTAGAGGTTGCCATAGCAAGGACACTACTAGTTTTCTTTGCATACTGAATAACTCTGATACTTGCGCATAATGATCTGCTTTTGCTCCCAGCCCTGTGAGGAGTCATAGATGTGGAGAGACTGCCAAAGAAAGAAGTCGGTGAAGAGTGGCTGAAGGCTGGGAAGTCATAGTAATATTGGAAGATTCTTATACCGCCTCGTTGTATGAATGGAATCCACTACCAGCCACCTCAAAAAGGGTGATCAGATTTAAGAGCTCACCGCTGCTTTTGCGGCGGTGATTAGCTTGGCCAGGCTACCACGATGAGGAACACTTCACAAAAAAGTGAAAGTGTTGGCGGCGATGCATTTCCCTGCAAGGTACCACCCTGCCTTTAAGCTGGGATCGTCAGGTGGGAGTTTCGAAGGGGCGGCCCTACCGTGGTGTGGTGAGCCTAGCTGTTTAACTAACTAGCGCTTCAGAGCCGTGAAACACAGCGAACTCTCAACTGGGACCAAAATCCCCAGTTTGCACTACAACCAACCTTCTCTCCAATACTTCCCGGTTGAGTCTTGAAAACAGAGATGATGTGTCATGACCTCTCTTCTATCAGACCCTCCTGAGATAAGGCAGTTGAATATGCCCCCCAATACTCTTGAGGTGCTCCAATTGGCAACCCGCGCCCGCTTCTACTGACTCCCCCCCTCTGCCTCTGATAAGTCGGCGCCAGGTGAAAGCTGCCCAATCTGCACATGGCGTTTTCGGGTCACCTCGGCCTGTCCCGATTCATGAGAGAGGTCCTGGCCCGAGCATCCACAAAGGGAATCCCTCGTCAGAAAACCCCCCACCGGCGGCCATTTCCATCCATGGTCCAGCCCGAGATCGGTCCATGGTCCCGCCAATGCCGCTGTTGCGTTAGGCCGCGGCCGGGCTGCAAGATCAACAGCACTGTGCAGCCCAGAGGCCGAGTGACGACCAGCCACGTAGCAACGCGCGACCCGGCTATCTGCATGGCCTTCATGCAGCTCTGGCCGGGACGCATTACGGAAGCGCGGGTCTCCCCTTCGGTCATATTGTCCTCCACCTGGGCGTGGGCAGGTCAAGCCTGAGCAATTCAGGCACCGTCCAGCAGTCCGAAAGACAGTTGCTTGCACGCTGGGAGGTTTGGCTCGATATAGCTTTGGGTGTCTCTGCTATGGCCAGGGTCTGGTCGACAATGGGCCCAAGTCTTTCCAGCCACGCCAGCCCTCTCACACGCCCAAATGTGCAGTGAGTGAGAAATCTGGCAGCCATCGTGTCGCCAATCTTCAGTGAGATCGAGGCGAAAGCACGAGATCCGGGTCAATGGCATGATGCTCATCCATCCCACTGGCCGGCTCGACACCCAACCCGCAAAATATTCGTCAATCGAGGTGGTTGACGAGGCATTTGCAACCCTGTTTCTTCTTTCCTTTCTCATTTGCTGGCCAGCTCATGCATGGATGCACCTTTGAGCACCTTACGGAGTACCTGCTCACCCACTGCATACGTTGTCCGTCCCCGTCAAAGTTGGGCTGCCATACCTCTCTCTCTCTCTCTCTCTCTGCACAGTATGCTCTGTACCCCTTGTCCCTTTCCGTGCTGTCCAGACCCGTTCTCTGCTATCTCTCAGACGGCTCCACGAGGTTGCCGCCTCCTCGGGTTCCCTGTCAAGTACTCCGAACAAGTGTCCAACCTCCTGCCGACGTGGCGCCAGTCCAGCCCATTGCCCAATTGCATCCGAGCACGATATTGATCACTTGAGTTTCAGGCCCTTCTACTATGACTTGGATCATCATAGCCGTGGGGTAGTCCCACCGGCTTTGGAGCATTGCAGACGTGGATGTCGTCCCTCAGACGTGTCATGGCTCGTGATTCCCGCGAACACATTTCTACTCCGTCCGTGCCAGGACTCTTCCCGTAAGGAGGACCTCTTAGATTGCAATATCTACCAATTCCAACAAAGTTCGGCAAGCTCGTTTGCATTGCCATTCCAGACCCGCTCGTGAACCTATTTTGTTTTCTTGGACGCCGGAGGCACAGTTCGGAAGTCCTCTGCAGTGCATTCTTAGCGGCCCCAGACGACGGCTGCTGCTGCATCTGCATCTCGCATCTCGCGATACGTGACACATCTATCCGGGCCCTTCCAAACCCGACCTCACCCACGAGACCCACCGGCATTAGCTCACTCCTGCATCTACCCGATGCCTAAGGAAGTCGAGTCCTGCATGGAGGATAATAAGAGCACCCCTCTGGACCAGTCCTCCGCGATCTCCTCGGACGAGGACCAAGCTGCGGCCCCGCAAGTATGAACCCATACGGAATCGCTTTCAGTCCTGAGCGGACGATAGACTGGCACAGTGTGCAATTTGCTGAATACGGCCAGGTTGAGACTCAGGACTTTTCCAACATACAGTATTTCCACCCTTCGGACGAGGAGGACGACGAAGAGCAAGACGACGATGAAGGTGCGCCCACATGCGACAAACAGTGACTTTAAGCCTTTTTCGGGACTAACACACAGTGATAGAAGGCAGCAATGGCGAGAAGAAGGAGAAGGGAAATGGTGTGAAACACCACCACATCTCTCTCCAGAACAAGCGCGCCGAAAAAGCGAGGAAGAAGGCAGCCAAGAAAGCTGCAAAAGCCGCCAAGGCCGAAGAGGAGTCCGCCTCTCCCGAACCGGAGACAGAAACCCAACCCGAAGACGCCGATGCCGATGCCGATGTAGAGACGACATCTTCAGGCAAAAAGAAAGGCAAGAGCAAGAAGAAAAAAGACAAAGGCAAAGGCAAGAACTCGAAAAATGCCAAAGAGTCACCCAAGGAGCAGTCGAAAAAAGCATCCAAATCCGAGCCCACTGCAGCGGAGGCGCCGGCCGCAGAGGAGACGAAAGATGCCGCTCCATCAGACGAACCCGAACCAAAGGCCGAGGAGACTCCCAAAGCACCGGAGCCGGAGCCCTCCACCGCAGCAGAGGCCTCTGAGAGCAAGCCTGAGGATGCCCCTACCGCCGAAGAGCCCGCCCCTGAAGAGCCCGGGCCTAAGGAAGAGGCGCCTGCTGCCGAAGAGCCCCAGGAGAAACCCGACAGCGAACCAGCCCCTGAAGAGGCCCCAGCTGCTGAGCAGCCTCCCGCGGAGGCGTCCGAAAGCAAAGAGGACGAGAAACCGGCTGATCCAGAACCTGAACCAGAGGCGCCAGTTGTAGCCGAGGAGAAGGCCGCCGAGGAAGCACCAGCGGAAGAGAAACCTGCCGACGCACCGGCGGAGGAACAGCCCGCTGCAGCACCCGAGGCAGCGTCTGAGCCGGAAAAGGCCCCTGAGCCTGAACCCGCGGCTGAGAACGAACCCAAGGCCGATGAGACGCCGGCAGAGGCCGCTACGGAAGCCGTCTCGGAGGCTGTCTCCGAAGCAAAGGAGGCTGAGACACCTCCCGAGGCGGAGGCGGAGGCAGAGACGAAGCCGGCAGAAGAGGCAACACCGGGGCCCGCTCCTGAAGCTGCCGAACCTGCAGAGTCAAAGGAGAGCGCCGAAGCTACGGCTCAAGCTACGGCCTCGGAGCAAGCACCCACAGAGGAGACTTGTGCCCCTGAGGCCTCTGCTGAGGAGCCAGCGGCTGAAGCAGCTCCTGCAGTGGAGGAGGCCAAGCCAGCCGAAGATGCACCTGCACCTGCCGCTGACCCACCAGCTGAGGAAGCTGCACCAGCTGAGCCAGCTGCTGTTGAGGAACCAGCTCCAGATCCGCCGGCAGCAGAGGAGGCGCCTGATAAGCCTCCAGAAGAAGTCACCGAAGCCAAACAGGCCGAGGAGACGCCTGCCGATGACAATGCGGAGAAGGTGGAGGATGCACCGGCCAAGCCCGCCGCAGATCCAGAGCCGGTCGCCAAGCCCGAGGAAGGAACCTCCGAGGCAAAGGAGGAGCCAGCCCCTCATACTGCAGATGCGACGGAAGAAGCGGCCCCGGATAAGACCGACCCCGTCGAAGAGCCGGCCCCCGACACTGCCACAACCGAGGAAGAGGGCAAACCCGACCCTCCTGAAGAGGAAAAGCCGGCCGAGGCTGAGACGGCAGAGACGGCGGAGCCAGAGAAGGCTGCAGCTGAGCCAGAGTCAAAGGCTGACGACGCCGGTCCGGCTGCTCCAGCTGATACGCCGGAGGAACAGCCTGCTGCTGAAGAAGCCGAGCCAGCTGAGGAGTCCAAGCCTAACGAGGAGACGGCCGAGCCTGATGCCGACAAAGATAAAGAAGACGCCACAGCCCCGCCAAGTGAGCCCGCTGAGGAAGAGTCGGCTCCAGCCCCGGAAGACGCGCCCACAGAGGAAGGCACCTCGAAGCCTGAAGGTACCGAGACTACCACCGAGGCTGTGGCTGTCGCGGAAGAGGCCACCGAGACCACCACCGAGACGACGGAACCTCCAGAAGAGACTGAAGTCACAGCCGCCGCTGCCTCCGCAGTTGAGGAAGACAGCAAGGAATCCGCCCCCGACGACTCGGCTCCCGCACCAGCTGAACCTACCGAGGAGCCCAAGTCACCAACCTCGGAAAAGCACGTCCGTTTCGTAGAAGGCCATGAAGAAATCACCGAAGCTGCGACGGCCGGAGAAACCGCAACCCAACCCGAGCCTGAGGAGTCTGCCGCGCAAAATGAAGAGGCAGTTGAGGAGAAGCCAGCCCCGGAGGAGCCAGAAGCAGCCAGAGCAGACACAACTCCACCTGCAGAAGAGCCTGCCTCGACCGAAGAGGCGAGTCCTGCCGACGACGCTCAGGCCAAAGATGAGGCTGCCGAGGCTGCCACTGAGGAAGCAGCCGCAAAGCCTGAGGAGGCAGAGGCGAAGGCAGAAGAGGCTGCTGAGCCTGTCGAGGAAGCCAAACCTCAAGAGGATCCAGCTCCAGCCGAGGCTGATGCTCAGGAAGAGACAACTAAGCCCGACGATGCTGTTGTGGCAGAGGCATCTGAGAAATCTGAAGAGGCTGAGGCCGAAGCCAAGGCTGAAGAGACTGCCGAAGCTGAGAAAACTGAGCCCGCTGAAGAGACAAAGGCTGCCGAGACTCCGGCTGAGGCTCCGGCTGAGGCTGCCGCCTCCGAGCCCTCGGCCGAGGAACAGACTGCAGACAAACCCGCTGAAGTAGCTGAGGTTACGGGGCCGACCGAGCCCAAAGAGGACAACGCTGAGAAGCCCGCTGAGCCCGCTGAGCCGGAAGCCCCTGCCGACCCGGAGCCTGAGAAGCAGGAAGCAGTGGCGAGTGAACCTGAGCCAGCTGCCGATGCACCAGCGCCTACTGATGACACACCAAAGGACGATGACAACAAATCGGAAGAGGCAGCCAGCGCCGAGACTGCTGAGGTTAAGGCGACAGTCGAACCGGCTGAAGATGAATCGAAACCTGAGGAGGCCGCTGGGGAGTCAAAGCCTGAGGAGGCGGAAGCAGCCGAGACCAAAGCAAATGACGAAGCGCCTCCAATGGAAGACGACAAGGCAGCTGACGACAAGCCTGAGGTGGCAGCAGCGGCTAAAGCTGATGGAGCCGACGCACCCGCACCTGTAGAGGAGTCTGCGCCTGCCGTAGAACCTGCACCGGCCGTGGACAGCCCGTCCGCCGACGAAGCCAAGCCAGCTGACGACACCACTGCTGAAGAGAGCAAAGCAGACGAAAAGACACCGGCCGAAGAGTCGACACCTGCACCAGAACAACCTGCTGAGGAAGCGAAACCAGCTGACGATGCTCCGCCCGAGGCAGAAAAAGCCCCGGAATCGAGCGACGACACCGCCGAGGCTGGCCCGCCGGCCGAGGAGGCTCCGCCTGCCGAAGACAAGCCCAAAGAAGAAGCAGAAGAAACTGCGGCTGAGGAAGTCAAGGCAGTCGAGGACGGCAAGCCTGCCGAAGAGAGTAAGGCCGACGAACCCGCGCCAGCTGAAGAGCTTCCTGCCGCTGAAGAAGATAAACCAGCCGAGGCTGAGGTCGAAGAAAGTGAGTCCAAAGATGCACCGACTGAAGAGAGCCAACCCGAAGCGGAGAAGGCTGGAGATGAAGCACCACCAGCCCCCGATGCCGCTCAAGAAGATGGCCCCAAGGCAGAGACAGCCACTGAAGCAGCGCCGACGGAGAAACCTGCCACCGAGACTGCTGAAGCGCCGGCTGCCGAGAGTGCTGAGGCACCGGCTGCCGATGCTGTTGAGGAGCCGGTCACCGAGAATGCTGAGGAACCGGCTCCTGAGGCAACGGTCGAAGAATCTGCGAAGCCAGATGCAGTCGAAGAGGCGGTCGATGCTGCCCAAGAAGCGGCTGTGGTTGAGGATGTAAAAGAGGAGGGTGAGAAGCTCGAAGGCGCTGCTGAGCCGACCGAGACAGCGCCGCCGGCCGAAGAAGAGAAAGCGGCACCCGAGGAAACGTCAGTGGCGGCCGAAGAGGCACCCGCTGAAGAAGAGAAGGCGGCCGAGGAAGAGAAGCCTGTTGAGGAAGAGAAGCCCGCAGTTGAGGAGGCTGTGGCTGTGGCCGAGGAAACACCTGCTGAAGATGCTAACGATCCGGCTCCAGAAGCAGAAGAGACCAAAGAGGAGCCACCAGCTACCGACGATGCTCCAGCGGACGAACCACCCGCTGAAGCACCAGCTCCGGAAGAACCAGCAGCCGAAGAACCAGCTCCCACCGAAGCACCCGAAGAACCCACCAAGGAGGAGCCAGGTGCCGAGGAAGCAAAGGCAGAAGAGGCGACACCTGAGGAGCCGGCCGCTGAAGCTGAGCCTCCTGCTGCCGAAGCTGCGACCGAACCCGCACCTGCTGAGCCTGCGGCTGAGGAGGCACCTGTGGAAGAGCAACTCGACACCGTGGTGGCTGCTGTCGCAGCGGAAGATGCCGCCGCTGAACCTGAGAAGGTCGAAGAGCCAGCTGCCACAGACGATGCCGAGGAGCCTGTCGTCAATGAGCCTGCCGCCAAGGAGCCAGAGCCAGAAGCAGCCGCAGAAGAGCCAGCAACAGAAGAGCCAGCCGCAGAACCCGCCACCGAGGAACCTGCTCCAGCACCTGAGGAGCCGGCTGCCGAAGAGCCTGCCCCGGCAGAGCCCACTCCGGAGGCACCAGCCGAGGAAACACCGGCTCCGGAACCGACAGCCGAGGAGGCCCCGGCCGAAGAGCCAGCAGCGGCAGAGGCTGCTCCCGAGGAGCCCACCGCAGAAGCAGCCAAAGAACTTCCTACGGAGGAGACCAAGGCTGCAGAGGAAGACAAAGCCGCTCCGCCAGAGGAGGAGGAAGCCAAAGATACCATTGGACCGATCCCGGGTGAACCAAAGGCTGCCGAGAAGCGCAGTAAAGGTGAGGTACTTCCAGCGTTGCTTGAGAGTCCAGTAGTGGAGGAGGGAGGGGATACATTGGGTACATCACATCCTATGGAGGCGAGCCTGCCTGAAGATTCTCATTCGGCACTTGGGCATGCCGATATCGAGGCTACCGAGACAGAGTTGGAGAACCACGCCAACGCAGTCGTGCAGACCTCCACTGGCGATGACGATCAGACTGCCGAAGCACCGTCAGATGTCATACAGTCAGTATCTGACACTGGGGACACCCAGAAGCCCAGCAGTCAACTCGTCGAGGCGCCTTCAGGAGACCTGTGCGATCAAGATGACTACGTGCTGGTAGAGCGAGAGGCAGAACCCGAGGAACTACCATCACAGACTCGGGACTCGCCTGCTCCGGCTTTGGATGATTCCCCTGTCGAAGTTGAGCACGAAACTTTGCAAACTGTCGAATCAGTCGAACAAAGTGATGCCTCGCAACTTCATGATGAGGAAGCACCGCTGAGAGTCGACTACAAGGAGAGCGAATCTTCACAGAACACAAAGGCTACCGAAGCACTGTCAGCTGCCGAAGACCTGTCAGTCGACGATCAATCAACCAAAAGCATTGGAATTGACAAGGCTGTGGCTTCTGAAAACCTCCCAACCGGTCCGGATGCTCTAGTCGCTGAGGATTCCTCAGCTTCCCCACACGAGGCAGTTGAGCAAGACACTCCGACTGAGGTGGCTTCTTCAAACGTCCAAGAAGCATCGATTGAAGATATCGCTCCTATCACAAAGGATGCCATAGTCGACGAGGATGCTCAAGCGCCCGAAGAGAGCCCAGCTGTCCAGGAGACCCTCTCTGAGGAGGCTATTCCAACTGCTGTGGAGGTGGAAGGTCCAGCCCCTGAAGCTCTGCAAGCCCCCGTGGAACATTTGGTCGCTGAAGATACCACCGCATCTGAGGCTGCTCCAGCCGATACACCTATCCCAGCTTTTGAGGATACGTCGCTGGCCAAGGAGTCACCCATGGATGAAAAGAGCTCAGTCGACAAAAACTCAGACGACGGAGTGACCTCAGGCACCGAGCCAGTCTTGGTCGAGGAGGAAACGCCTGTCTCGCAGCACTTGCCCAATGACAAAGACGACGGCAACACAGTCTCTGAGATACAAGAATTACAGCACGGCTCAGAGATTGAGAACGCCCTCGAGTTGACTACTGCCAACGTCAAAGTGGCGGCAACTACAGAACAAGTGGCCCCAGAGATTCAGGCGGAAACAAGCTGTACAGCTATGCGGGAGCAAGACCCTGCGGTTGACAAACGCGCCATTGGGGATGTCACTGCCGAGCCGCCTGTGCTTAACATCCCGGATAAATCACCACTACGTCAATTGTCGGTCAACGCGCTCGCCCACCCGGCTGTAGATACCAGCCCAACCGATCCAGCACCTTCTCCTCCAGACACCCATCTCGAAGATCCCAGAGATGGGTCGGTGCAACAAGTCAATCCAGAGTTGGGGAGAGTTGGTGCCGAGGCTCACGATGTGACCAATGCACTGCCAGACGCCACCTCGAGGGAGCAGCAAGCTGCCGAAGTTCCGGCGCAGACTTCTATGAAAGAAAGGGCGCTCGCACAGCCAACAAATATGAGCCCTCTACAGACAACAACCCAAGAAGCCGTCCCTGAATCCTCTGTGGCGGTAGACGGGGCTGGTCTCCCTCGACAGATTTCACCTGTTGATGATGAACACCCGCAAACCTCTCCGACTGTTGAGCTTGTGCGACCACAACTCAGTAAGGAGCTGCTAAGGGCACCAACCCCGGCCGTCGTCATGCCCGACCTGGAAGACAAGGCTGCCAAACAGCTGGGCCGGGCCAAGAGCCTCAGGCGGCAGCGCAAGAAGTCTATTGCGCGTGCCGAAGAGCTGGTCGCTGCTGCGGTCGTCATCTACGCAGCTGCGGAGGCACTCAGCCCTGCAGCAAGCCCTCCTCTGGGAAGCACTCGCCTCCATAGTGATGTGTTGGAAGATGCCTTGCTTACACTGGATGTGGAGCCTCCGGCCGGGCCGGGGGCGGGGGCGACGGAGGGCCGCAGGGATCTGGGCGAGGAAGAGAGAGCACTTCGAAACTCGGTTGCTGACCTCTTCATAGACGACAAATCGCGTCGGAGCTCGCGTTCGGACGACCACAAGTCCTCTCGCAGCGGACACCGCTCGTCCTACCACTCCTCCCACCGGTCAAGCCGCGACCGAGAGGGCGGCAAAGACAGCAGCGCTCGGGACGCGGACAAGCATCGGCATCGGCACCACCATCACTCGCACAGGCACCGGGCAGATAGCGAGCACTCGGCTCGGTCAGGGTCTGAACATTCTGCCCCGCAAACCCCCAAACGGCAGGACAGCGGGTTCTCAGCTCACAGTACACGTGCCAGCGACTCACCCAAGAAGGTCCGGACTCCCGAGGAGCAAGAGGCGCACGACAGGCGCAAGGCCGAGCGGCGGGCTCGGGAGAAGGAGAAGGAATCGGAGCGCGAAAGGGAGCGGGAGCGGGACAGGACCAGGGAGCGAGAGCGAGAGCGAGACCGCGACCGGGAGCGTGACCCCAATCGGGACCGAGAACGCGAACATCGGCGCGAGCGAGACCGCGGGACGTCGACGCGCGACTCATCGACCAAGGAACCCGACACGCCGTCGAGCGACAAGCACCGGGAGCGGCGGGCGTCGAGGCGCCACAGCCACAGCCACGGCTCGCGGTCGGAGCGGCCGACGACGGCGACCAAGGACGCCTCGCCGGCGCCGAGCAAGAAGTTCTTCGACATGAAGAACGGGGAGAGCGTGCTGCAGGCCAACTTTGCACTACGAGACGGTAACACCCCTACCACTGCTGCTGCTGCAGCTGCGGCCCCAACAACGTCATCGGCGGCAGCGGCGACTAAAGACGCGCCCGTAGTAGCTGCCGCCGCCGCGCCAACAACAAGAGCCTCTTCTGACAAGCCTGAACCACTGAAGCGATCAAGCACCACCCGCTCACGATTTGGATCGAGCAGAAGGTCCGAGGACGCCGGCGGCGGGAGGGCCTCGAGGACGAGGCTGCACAAGGAGAAGGCGGGGAAGGAGGACGGGGAAGCCACGGCAGCTGGTGGGACGGAGGAGGACCGGAAGCGGGAGCGGAGGAGGAGCCGGAGCGCGCGCGAGGACGGAGCTGCGAGCGGCGGTGGTGCTACTCTGTCGTCGAGCAACGAGGCTGAGGAGCGGGAGCGGGCGGAGCGGCACCGGCGGGACCGCAAGGAGAAGCGGGAGCGGGAGAGGGCCAAGACCGGGAGCGGCGGCGGCGACCTCAAGGATGACAAGAAGGGGCTGCGGGCGGCGTTTAAGCGGTTCTTTACGTCGTGATGATGCTGCTTCTGCCATGATGGAAGGGGGTGAATGGGCTTTGATGACAGACTGAATGCTTTTGAGGGACATGTTCGCGATTATTGCTATTATGTTTTGTTTTCTTTTTGCTATCTTTTGCTTTTCTCTTCTTTTATCGACTCTACCACGCAGATCTATTTTGTTTACGCACTTCCCTGGCTTGTTTTCCACGATTACTCATGTACGAATACATGTCATGTCCGTCATAGAAGTCAAGACTTTCTGGATTTTCTTTAACAAAGACATGAGGTGCATCGTTGGACGTGAAAGATGTCTTGACTCTTGTTGAATGAAGCTTGATGGTCCTCTAGCCAACATGCTCCATGGCTTTAGACTTAGGAATGCTGCCCCGACTTAGACGGCAATCGCTGAGGAGATACGGATACGTGAAAGCGTAAAGACTCGCAAAGACTCGAGCAAGACACGAGCTAAAGGACCAAGACGCTAAGGAAGAGACCGACGCCAGAGGGTAGCTCGCAAGGGTCCACGAGCCCACTCTCAATGTAATGTTTCCCCCTTCCCGCTGTCATCGCGAGAATCCAGGGTGGGTTTTCTGTTATTGGCCGAGCCCATGACGTAGTCCCTGCACCCCCGCAAAACTTGGTTGCGTGAGCCTGCGAGGGCGTGAGAGTTGGGCGTGAGAGTGGGTTGGTGTCCACGCGCCAGCGCCAGAGAGTGTGAGTGGGCGACTAAGGTACGAGCAGGACCCTTCAACTTGCAAAAACATGGTGCAGGGACACACACTGAGAGAGCATGTGATGGGCAACAGCTCTGTCCATTACCCGCGATTGGCAGAAGCCCAACTGTTGACCGCAAAGGCTGGCTGGCCCCCTTTGATCTCGTTCGGGTGTTTCGTTTTTCTATATTCAGCAAATCTGCCCGGCTCAGCCCTGATTGTCGCTTGATTGCGATCCTTTATGCGACACACCGACGCGGCGTCTGCGCCTCACGGCCAGGGGTACCAGCAATGCATTACAAGTACTTGCGTACCTCATAAGAAACGGAGGGGTGAACAGAAAGGATCGTACCTGATCACCCGGCAGAGGATTGTGCGTGGTTCAAGCTTTGTTCAGCACAGGGATCCAGCCCGGCCAGGCCAGGCCCGTCCAAACCAAAGCAAGCCAAGCCAGCCAACCAGGTCAGGAGTTAGGCACCGAGCAAAAAAAAAAAAAAGGGCTGATGACCAGTTTTACCAGTTTCCGGTTGGACATTTGCTTGGTCCAGTCATTTCCACCTGAAACAGGGAGGGCCGTTTGATTCTTGCTCCTTCATTGCTGCACTTTAGACGGTACAAGCCTGATAGCAAAGTCCGGCAGTGCTGGAGCTGCATTCTCCGTGCCCGCCTGACCGCTCGATATGGCTTAGGAGGAGGGGCCGGGCGGTGACGGCGATGCGCCTGTTTCTTTGCAGTAGGCCCAGGTATTATCTGTCAAAGGTGCAGGCTGGGTAGATTGAGGTAGCATTGGACTATCGTCATTCCATGTGTGTCGATATAAGCAAGCAGATAGTGGGAAAAAGCACCGGGCCCGAGAGAGGACCAAGATCCCCTCACCACGTCTGCGCCGCCGCAAGCCAACTCCAACTTAACCATGGGCCGGCGCAAGGAAATGGAAGCAGGTGACCTCGGGTGCTGCAGGTCGAGATGATGATTGAGTTTCGTTGTTTGGGGGGACAGGGTCCGTCGTGGAACACTAACTATACGGAGTAACTACCTTAGCTACGAAGTAACTACCTTAGCTACGAATGAGCCACTTATCCAATCTCCAGGGGTTTTCACTCTCTGGGCTGCTCAGCTACTGGGAGGGGGGTTAGGTAGCTGGAATGGGGGGCGTGACGAGCCTAGAGCGTTGAAACGGACGTGCCTGTGGGCGGATTTCCCCTCTTTTTTGGCTCTGGAAACACGCCCGCAGAAACCGTCGTCATAACCCTGTAGATCACGATTAGCCCCGGCGCCTCTCAGTCGCTGGTCTCTCCACCTCCGCCGGCTGTCTCTCTGTCATGCCCTCTCTCTCTCTCCTTCGCTCTCGCGTGCGTGCGTTGCGTGTCCCACGTCTGCCCATCCAATCCTGCTCTGCTGCTCAGCCGTCCACTGGCCTCTCTCTACTACTTGTACTTCTGCTTCTTTTCCTGTGCCAACTTCCCACACACACACACACACACACACACACACACCTCACACACCCGACTCTCTCTCTCTCCATTTTCCTTGCAGACACATCCAAGACGAGAACCGTTGGGCGATCACATACCTAACCTAATACCTACCGACTCCCCAAAAACGGCTATTCCTCCCCCCTCTTCCCAGGCTAGATCTGTCACATTCCTGACATCCCCCCCATACTGCCGGTTTCCACGAGCACTCCCGGCCTTTTGTCCACTTTCCGTCCTTGCAGGCGCATACCGATCCCTTTGGAACGAGAAACGAAGCGAGCATCTGTCCCTCACTTGCATCCGAGACACGGCCATCACAAGACTATTGTCCAGCAACTAGTACCTAAGACCAGGCGCGCGCCCAGAGCCAAACTGCCTAGCTACCTACACCTGCTCCGTTGCTGCTGGTAACTCACTCGCCCAACACGCCATTACCGAGACTTGCGCACCTCAACCTCCCAACCGCACAAACGACAAACCTTGCTTGTTGTCCTTGTTCCAAGAGCCGGTCTTGACGCATCGTCCTCTCCACCATTTTGACCCGAGTTCTATCAACCTCCGTTCCTCAAAAGATCCGAGCCCAACGTCTGTTTGGTTGCACCACCGCCCTGATCACAAAGGTAAGGATTCTACTTCCATTTGGAGCTCCGATCCAATCGAGATATTTCCATGTGTTTGTCGTGCAATACACTTGCAAAAGAGCGACTTCCCATCTCTTCCGGAAGACTACCCAGCAATCCCGCGTGCCATCCGCATCACACGCCGACTTGGACACGATATTCTACGCATGTCGTTACAAGCAGTATAATCTACGAATGGAAAGATGACCTGTCAGCTGACTTGAGTACTCTGCCAGGCGTACGCGAACCCACCAAGTCAAAGCCGTGACTTGGTCGGTTTCCACTGCAGCACACTCTCCCGGACAAGCCCAACCCGGTCCTCCCACAAACGCATCCCCGATGAGTCTGGCCGGCTCCGTACCGCTGCAGAGCGGCCAGGCCGTCCAGCCGAACCCCATGCCTTCCCTGGGCGCCCCGTTCAACCCTGTACCCTCGGATGACTCGACACCGCGCGCTGGTAGCGATGTAGGGCAAGACGCAGACGACGTAGGCGAGGTGGGAGAGAAGAAACAGAAGAAGCGAGGCCTGTTTGGGTTTGGGAAGAAGAAGGCCACCAATGATGACTCGTCGGCCAAGGCCTTGAACAAGGACAAGCCCGATCTGCCTCCGCCCGAGCCTTCAGAGAAGGAGCGGCCTACCCGCCGAACCACGGCATCCCCGATCCAGACCGAGCATACCTACATGACGCCCGCTTCGCCCACCCGTGGTGCTATGGCTTCGTCTCCCCGTCTCGCCTCCCCCGCTGGATCCCAGATTTTCGAGCGCGACGTCCAAGAGAGCGCCGTGTTGATGCCCAACTCACCGGCCATCCCGTCGCATATTTCGACCGAGAACCATATCCCCCCGGTCCTCGATGCCTCTTCCGAGGCCATCACTGACAACCACCTTGATCCGGACAGCGTCGAGATCATCACCCACACAGCCCACCAACCTGCCGCCGTCACCGTCTCCGAGGCCTTGACCCATGATAGCAGCAGCAATGTCGGTGCTGCCTCGTGGACAGACGAGCTGGCTGCTTTCTCCGCCGACAAGGAGGACAGCGCCTCCAACTACGGCTCCTTCGACACCAACGATGTTCGCCGCCTGAGCTTCATCTCCTTTGCCGATGTCGTACAGGCCGAGCAGGTCTCGTCACACACCGGCGCCTCTGCGTCGCGTGACTCGATGCACCTCGCAGGCCTGACCAGCCTCGCGTCAGCCGGGGCCAATCGGTCGCCGAGCCCCATCCGCTCTCCCGTCTCGTCGCAGGGCGGCCCGGGCACGTCGCCGCCGACGAGCAAGTCGGGCTCGATCAAGGGACTCGAGATGTCCCCGGTCAGGAAACCTCTGGGTAGCCCTACGGCCTCCGCGACCACACCGCACATGACTGCAGGCGGTGAGATTAGCATCGAGACCATGTCTCAGGCCTTGAGGCGTACGGGAAGCCGGGACCTGAGCGCCGTCAGGAGCCTGCCCACGAGCCCGATTGAGGGGCCTTCGTCCCGGTAAGACTTGCGACCACGGGCCGTTGCAAGGTAATCCCGGATCTATTCTGGATGATGTGTGGCCGAGCGGAGGATATTGGAGTATTGAAATTTCTCTTTTCTCGGTCCAGGCACCTGCCCTCTCAGCATGACTGGAGGCAATAAAGGAGGAAATAGTATGTTTGAGTGGTCTTCTCCAGAGGTACCACGTTTTTTTTTCCCCGCTTGGCGTACACACTTCTGTTATTCTCAGCTCCCGCGTCAGTATATCCTGGTGTTCGCGCCAGATGGTGGTTGCTGGCTCTATACGACACTGGGTGGCGGTTCAGTTCTCTCTATTTTCCTTCCAAGTTGCTTGGATCTCCGGGGCGAGGCTGTCAAATAGCTCCTCCAGACCAAGACAAATACCTAACTTTTTTTGAAGAAGCAAGCGGGCGTGCTATGGGAGTCCAAGGTGGGAGGCAAGGGCAAAGTGCCCATGCTCTGGGGTAAATCCAAGCCAGATATATATTACAGCTGTTTTTCTCTTTCAAACGCTCACTTACCTGCTCTTGCATGTGAATTTCTGAGATGGCCACGGCTCGAGGGCACGAAGGTCGAGTTTGTTGACTCACGGACTGATCATGCAGATGAATCGGGCTCGCCGAGCAGTCTATGTCAAAGCGTAGGAGTATGCCCATGTTCCCACGATGGCCAGAGGTGCGAGGCCGGCATTTCAGCTTTCAACGCGGCACATGTGAAGAGCGCCCTCCGAAGACAGGCGATGGACTCTTTAATATCGACCAATGGCCAGAGGCGGCCGGGGAGTCAGGGAGGCAGCATCGGCCACTGGAGTGGCCGATAATAGGCCAGCGGCCACCGGATCGGGGAGTTGGCCGTGCGCACTGGGCCAAGATATCGGCATAAAACCGGTCGGGGTCCCACTTGGCCACGTCAAGGCTCCGAAGTCAGGCGCCGGCCTGGCCAATCACATCGAGGTCTTTCTCAATTGGCAGCGACAAAGGCTCCAAAGCGCTCCAAAGGGTTGCAACTAACTCGAGAAGACGACCACTTTGGGCCTTAGAGCCAGCATTCAAGACTCCACTCGGCCTGAGCGTCGAGTCTCCCATTCCCTGGACACGAAGCGGTTTGTTCCTTTCTCTTTCATCACACTGCAGGATCACGGATAGAAAAGTGCTGAAATTTTCCAATTCGCCTCCCGGCATTAAGACGGGTGGAGGAGAAGGCAGGGAGGAGGGAAGGGATGTGCGTTCAAGCTTTTTTCCAGACTTGCACAAACTTGGCAACTCGGTACGCAGGACCGAGAAAAGCTGTTTCCCCTTTCCCTTTCCCCTCCCTCCGATCTTCCACTAAGAGCCTAGAGCAGGAACAACAACGGGCGTTCGATGGGGCCGCGATACCCACCTGGCCCCGATGCTCGGCGCACCAAGTTTCCTGGGGGCGGGGCCGACTAATGACTCTCCTTCTCTCTTCGAGGGTATGGTCCTCTTCGAGATAAGATGAGGCGAGTGTCCTCCTTTCCCACATTTCCTCTCCTAGTCTGGTTTCTGTCTGTTCATCGAGGTCTTGTGCTTCTGTGTCTCTCTCACTCTTCTCTCATGATATGAGGCCTTTCCTACTGTTGTCCATGCTACACTCTGGATGAAACAACATATTATACCTTGTAAAGCAACTAGAACCACCTTGTCTCTTTACTGGGTCTTAAATGCTCCCTCATCGGCCTCAGCTGGGACAAGAAGTAGCCAGCCATACCATGACCTTGCTTCTTCACTGTCCGTTATAAACTATTGTTACCCTCCCACATAAATACAAACTCTTTTTTTTTTCTATAACCGAACGCCGATGAACGGGAGTGATGAAAAACCTTCAGCGACCACGGGCTCGGGCCCGGGGTCGAGCATCGACGCCGCGGTCGTCAAGCCACACCGGCCCGACGACGTAGAGCTCGGCCCGACCCTGACGACCTCCTCGCGCACCCACACCCCGTCTAAATCGGACTCGGAGGAGGACGGTGACTCGACCAGCTCGCTCCACGACGACGACGACGTCGACGAAGACAACGACGAGGCCCTCTCGCGGCTCTCGACCCACAACTCCCTCGGCCCGGACATGGCGGCGCCCATCGAGCCGCAGAGCTCCGTCGTCGAGATCCCGGACGACTTCTACGACCGGCTGCCCCCCTCGCGCAAGGCCGTCATCGTGGCCGTGTGCGCCTACGTCGCCTTCCTGTCGCCCATGACCAGCACGACGGTGCTGTCGGCCGTGCCCGAGGTCGCCGCCGAGTACCGCACCACGGGCGCCGTCATCAACGTCTCCAACGCGCTGTACATGCTCTGCATGGGCCTCTCGCCCGTCTTCTGGGGCCCGCTGGCGCAGGTGTACGGCCGCCGGGCCGCCATGCTGTCGGCCACGGTCGCCTTCTTCCTGAGCAACCTGGCCTCGGCGCTGGCGCCCAACCTCGCGGCCTTTTTCATCTTCCGGATGTGCACGGCCTACCAGGGCACGGCGCTGATCCTCGTGGGCGCCGCGGTCATCGGCGACATCTACCGCCCCACGGAGCGCGGCACCGCCCTCGGCTGGTACCTCTCGGGCGGGCTCACGGGGCCGGCCTTCGGCCCCGTCATCGGCGGCATCATCGTCACCTACACCTCGTGGCGCGTCATCTTCTGGCTGCAGACGGGCCTCTCGGGCGCGGCCGCCGCGGCCGTCTTCTTCCTGCTGCCCGAGACCATCTTCCACCGCAAGGCCGACGACCTCGCGGGCCTGCCGCTGCGGAGAAAGCTCCGCGTCCTGCGGTCCATGATGAACCCCTGGCGCGTCGTGCGGCTCTTCCGCTACCCGAACCTGAACCTCGTCGGCGTCGCCTCGTCCTCGCTCCTCTGGAACATGTTCTCGGTGCTCACGCCGATCCGGTACGTGCTCAACCCGCGCTTCGGCCTCTCCACCCCCTTGCAGGGCGGGCTGTTCTACCTCGCGCCCGGGTGCGGGTACCTCGTCGGCACGCTCGGCGGCGGGCGGTACGCGGACTACATGGCCAAGAAGTGGATCCGGCGGCGCGGCGGCACCCGGGTCCCCGAGGACCGCCTGCGGTCGGCGCTGCCCTTCATGGGCGGCGTCATCCCCGCCACGCTGCTCGTCTACGGCTGGGCCGTCGAGAAGGACGCCGGCGGCGTCCCGCTCGTGGTCGTCGCGCTCTTCGCCCAGGGCGTCGCGCAGCTGCACGCCTTCCCGAGCCTCAACACGTACTGCCTCGACGTCGTGCCCGGGCGCGGCGCCGAGGTCATCTCGGGCAACTACCTGATCCGGTACATGTTCGCCGCGGCCGGCTCGGCGGCCGTGCTGCCCGCCGTCGAGGCCGTCGGGGTGGGCTGGTTCAGCACCATCAGCGCGGCCTTCGTGTTTGGCAGCGCCGGCGCCGTGTGGGCGACCGTGCTGTGGGGCAAAGGGTGGAGGGACCGGGTCGACGGGGAGAGGAGGGCGGCGAAGGAGGCGCGGAGGGCGCGGAGGAGGAGGAGGGAGGGGTGCGGGGATCAAGACGCTGCCGGGACGGGTCCCGAGGGAGAAGGGGAGCATGTGCGAGCCGGTGGTGCTGCTTGTGAACGGCACGTCGAGCAAGAGGAGGCGGGTGTGGTGGTCTTGGAGGGCGGGCACGACCACTCCAAGAAGAGCGAAAAGGCCATTGCCAAGGATCGCGACGTGGAGAAAGCGATGGTGGACAAGGATGCAAAATAATGTACGTCAGACGAGGGAACACGACATACACGATAGAAGGTACTGAGGCTAGATTTTTTGGAGGCAAGGGGTAAATAGGGTTAATCACGGAGTTGGGATACGGTGGCCATATGGCAGTAATTGGTCATGGAATAGATTGAGAAACAAGAATATTGATACCCAGGTTAATAAAATAGACAGGAGGTTTCCCAGGTTGTCATAATAATTTGCCATTCGGGTCTAGACATTCAAGTTGGGGAATCAGTCTTAGTGTTCAGCTAAGAGTTGTGACATTTGGGAAGATGAAATCAGGCTCGAATATTGGGGCGTGTTGTCATCAATTCCCAGGCCAGGGCATTCAATCAAGATGGGAGACCAAGTAGTTGGAAAAAAGGCAAAGAATGCAAGCAGTATATTCAAACGGATCAAAAAACCGAACAAAGACCTGACTTATCTCATCAATGTCAACCCGTGTGGCACGGCCCGACCCGGACACATTTCTGCCACCCCCATGCACCGCCATATCGTGTTTTTGCAACGAGTGCACCTGAATTTTCCCCGGACCTTCATATTTCCAATGAACCTTACAGAAATCCCCAAGGATCCATCCCTGCAGATGACCCTCTTCAAAGAATTACACCTTCCAGAAACGAGAGACATCAAGACACACATATAGCAAAAAAAAGTGACAATCGAGAACTCCTCCCCCAGAAAAGCAGGTCGCGGATCGGACTGAAAGTCCAGTCCGTGAATGACCGGGCAAAACACAAAAAAGCAAAGTGCCAATCTAAACACAGACAGTCCAGGCTCGATGGCGTGGCCCACGAGCAGGACGAATGAAAGGAGGTATCAGGCGGAGAGAGGAGCCAAGGCCACAACGCCAAACGCCCGTTACGCCGTTAATCATATCCCCTTATGAAACGGAAAGAGATCCAGAGGGCTGGCCGGAAAGAAAATCCAGCCAACTCTAGGCTTTCATGTTGACGCATGCTGTCGCCGCGTGAAATGGGTTCCAGTGTGCGCGGTGCTCAAAGTGCAGAGACGACACCGCAGCCAGGATAGGAGCAAACTCCTCCTTTCCCGAACTTGGGGTGAGAATTGACAGGGTTCTGCATCAATGATGGCATGCGCATCTACTTCTTGAGGACGGCATCGTAGACGCTCACCAGGCCGGTGACAAAGGTGCCGACGATGACGCCCCTCCAGCCGCCGTAGATGGCCGAGTTGATGCGAGCGACAGAGTCCTGGTCAACGAGGCCCCAGAAGCTGACGCCCTGCTCGTAGATGGCGTAGGTCAGAATGGCCTTGGCAATGCTGAAGACCAGAGGGTCGACAGCGTACTCGAGCTGGTGGGCCTTGCGGCCACGGCCAGTGTGGCTGGCGGCAGACAGGTTGAAGAAGTAGCCAAAGATGGCCGGGACGATGGTGCTGGAGAAGGCCCAGAGGAGGACGGGGGACCAGAACGACGAGGTGAGCAGCAGGAACATATCCGGGATGTGCACGGGGTAGTCAGAGGTGCGCAGGAAGGGGATGGCCGGGATGGTGAAGGCGTAGCGGTCGGCGAGGACCTCTGGGCGCAGGCGGAACAGCTCAAAGGCCGAGATGACGAAGAGGATGGCGTGGACGGTGGACAGCGACTCCCGGGTGATCTGGGTGACCTCGGGGATGCCCGAGTCGTGGTAGATGGAGGTGACGCGCTCCCTCACGGCCAGAGTGCTGCGGTCGACGGCATGGGCGACGTCGGCAGGCGAGGCGGGAAGGGGAATGCGGCTGGCGAGGGACAGGGCACGGCCGGGAGTGCGGGCGAGGGCCGTGGACATGCCGGTGGGCTCGTCCTCGCTGCTGGAAACGCGTCATGTTAGCCGATCTCGAGACTGCAGGTCCTGGTGTTTACTTTGCACGCCTGTCGCAAAAACGCGCGCAAAAAGGGGCGCAGATACTCGACTTACTCGGCAGGAACCTCCTCCTGGGCCTTGGTCTGTCTCCTTTTGGCGACCTTGAGCTCGGGGGCCTCCTTCTTGACGGGAGAGCCTATCGCGCGAGCACGGCTGTTGTAGTAGGGCGCGAGGGTCGAGTCCGACTGGTAGCGCGCCGAGTTCTCGGACAGGAAATCGTCGAGAGCCTGTTCGAGCTCGGCCTTCTTTTGGGTGGCATAGCTGTTCAGAGGTTTGGGCGCGTTAGCGACAGTTCTTTCAATTGCTGTTTGTGAGTGCAGAGTATCGCGCTGGTGGTGCTATAGGGCGCGCGCCGCCTCGGGATGCTGGTCGAGCTATGACGCGCTTGGACCAGGGCCATTGTGACGCCTTTCCACCACCGATAAAAGCAGCGACACGATGTTTGCCTTGGGAATATGGTGCGACTGGTATTTCTACAGCTTGCGCCGGGGAAAACAAGATCGCGAAGAGGGGTTTTGGTGGGTGAAACGTACTCCTTGAGACCGAGCCTCTGGGCCAGGTCACTAAGATCCGACTTGCGCTGTCGCGTCAACCAACTGTTTGCGCCAGACATGATAACGGTTGTTGATGGTTTCCGAGATGCACAGACTCAAAAGCGCAAGGCAATGCTGAGGTTTTTGTATAATCCAAAAAAGACACGTGGGGTCTTAATGGACAAAAAGGAAGCTTTTTTTTTTTATGCCGGGATGGTGATGCTTGTGCACAAGGTTTGGGTGTGTTGTGGTTCAGGTCAGGAAGGTATTGGGATTGGGGCGAGGGGAGGGGGGGTGCGGGAAAGGGCGATGGCTTGTTGTTTATTATGGATTGTTTTCCTTTGCTTGGGGGGAGGGGGGTGAGCGTGAGTGAGCTGGGCGGGCGGTGGTGGTGGCCTTGTTGTGGGTGGTCGGGAAAGAAGAGAGAGAGAGAGAAGAGGGACTCAAGGACAAGAGGACTGGACTGGAACAAGTGAAAATGGGCAGAGGGCGGGTCCTCTGTCCCGATTCAGCGCTCTCTTTTTAGTGAAAGCAGCGCAATCCGACGCTGCAAAAAAAGAGGTGGCTGGGGAATGGCCCCAGCACCGCCAGCACCACGCTCCCCCTCCCCCCAATACGGACAACAGCCTACAAGTAAGTACAAGCACAGGGCTGCCAGGGCCGATCCAGCGCGTTTTGCGACCACAATGTCGCAGTGGAAACTGTTAGTGGGGCACTTCCCGCGTCCTGCTGAATCATGCAATACCATTGGCCACACCCGCAAATTGCACCCCCTTTTAGCGGCATTTGCGCCGGAGCGAACGATGCGTTGGCATGTCGACCACTAACAGCCCAGAGTGTAAATTCTCGGAGCAGGGCATGACGGTCACCTGCCGCAACGGCCAAAAAGCTTACTTTTCTCGATCGAGAGGGAAATTTGCTGAAGAATGCTGCGAGTCAGCATGCCACTTTGGGATTAGGACGGCAGGCGAAATGGAAATGTGCCTGTGTCATTTCCCGTGAATTCCCTGGCTGGCGACCTGGTCGAGATGCGAACGTGCCGGCAGGTTGGTGATGCTAGAGGAGTCGGGCCTCACTCAGCTCAGTGTGGGTTCGTTCGAGTGAGAGACCGAGTACAATGTCGAATGGCGGTGTCGACAGTAGTTAGGTAGAACAGCTGGGGCACACAAGAACACTTCAGAGTAATCGCAGATGAGTAAACTACTGCTTCATGAGAATTCCCATAGATATACACCAACAGTGATAACCCAAAGCCTTCCCTGAGCGCCAAATAAAACCACCCATGTAAACAAACCCTCTTTTCACGCATCCACAAAGTTGACAAACCTCTCCTCGCCCCTCTTGACGAGCCTCACGGGCACGTACGCGCTGCCGTGCAGCTTGAGCGTCAGCAGCGTCGTCGCGCCCCGCAGCGTCTCCCGGCACCGCGCCTGCGCCCGCTGGTACAGCGCCGCCCTCTCCGGCCGCCCCATGGCCGCGACCTGCCCGTCGCCGACCCCGATCCCCTCGCCGTCGACGGCCAGCTCCAGGCTGTGCCGCTGGAAGACCACCGCCAGCGCCGCGATGATCTCGACCTGCGCGATCCGCCGCCCCAGGCAGCTGCGCGCCCCCTCCGAGAAGGGGATGAAGCTGCCCCGGTACGGGTGGAACAGCTGCGCGCTCGTGTCCGGGCCCTTGAACCCGCCGTAGTCCTCCGTGTCCTCGTCCGCCATCGCGTCGGCGGCGGCAGCGCCAGCGGCTCCTCCCGCCTTGTCTTCGGTGCGGAACCACCGCTCCGGCAGGTAGTCGTCCAGGTCCGTGGGCGCGCCCGTCAGCCTGCTCGGGCGGCTCGGCCAGAAGCGCGGGTTGCGCTGCACGGCCACGGCGCTGAGGATGACGGTCATGTCCGCCGGCAGCGCCAGCTTGTCGCCCGTGCTGGCCGTCACCACGGGGTTTCCCGCGCGCGACACGATCTTGGGCACGCCCACCACGGGCGGCATCGTGCGCAGCGTCTCGTTCATCGTCGCGCCGAGCATGCTGGCCAGCATGGCGTTGACGTTCTGCTCGTACCCCCACGTCGACGGGTCCGAGTCGCCAAAGAGCCGGTCGATGTCGGCCTGCAGCTGCCGCTGCGCCGCCGGATTGGTCGCCAGCTCCAGCAGGGTGAAGTGCAGCACGTTGGCCGTCGTCTCGTGGCCCGCCACCGTGATGATGAAGGCGTTGCCGATGATGTCGTCGTCGTCAAAGTCGGGCTCCTTGCCCGTCTTGTCGCCGTACTTGGTCCGCACCAGCTGGCCCATGATGTCCATGCCGCCCTCCCCGCGGTCGCCCCGCCGCACGTCCTCGATCTTGTCGGCGAGGAACTCCTTCATGTACTGCCTGTAGTTCATGTCCGCCTCTGCTGCCTCCTTGACTGCCTTGAACGGGAGGATGCCTGTAGCCGCCAATCTTGATGAGTACCTGAATCATGATAGACGGCCATCTCGCAGTGTAGTGTAAAACTTACCCAGGAGCTTCTTCGGGGTCAGCAAGAGCACGACGATCCGCTCCAGGACCGTGGCCAGCGACTCGGCAAACGTCATCGAGTGCCCCGCCGGCGGCGTCAGAGAGCCGTACTTCTTGAGCCGCGGGTCCATGTCGGCGGGCAGGCTCTGCCCGGGCCACAGGAAGCGCAGGCCAAAGCCCACGTAGCCGATGATGTTGAGCGCCAGCGTCATGGTGTCGTGCTCGATCGACGTGATGGTCGTGCCGCCGCCCTGGCGCAGCCACTTGTCCACCATGCCCTGCGACTGGTGGATGGCCTCGGCGAACGTGTGCGCCGCGTTGCGCTCGTTGAACGACGCGCTCGTGACCTTGCGGTGCATGCGCCACAGCTGGCCCTCGGTCGTGAGCACGTTCTTGCCGAACAGCGCCAGCAGCTCGTACGTCGACGTCAGCTTGGGGAAGTCCTCGCGCCGCGCCGCCACCTGCCGGATCACGTCGGCGTCCTGGGTGAACATGATCATGCGGCCCGGCGAGACGACGATGAAGCTCTCGCCCAGCCGCCGGTACGGCTCGTTGAGCTCCCGGAAGGACCATTCCGGCTCCAAGATGCTGTAGGAAATGGGGGGGATTAGTTCAAAAAAAGAGCTCGGTTCCGGAGGCGTGGATGACAGCTGCACCCCAGAGGCGCAGGCCGGGCAGGGATGCGGAAGCCTCCGCAGAATGTGTGCACATACAGCTCCCAGTTCTTAACCCAATGCTCAGGGCACATCTTGATGATAGGCATCCACATACGCCATGTCATTTGCCATACCCGATTGAAGGGCGCAATGGCTGTGCATATGCGAGTCAGCGACGGCGCGGCAGACAGTGTATGTACCCCAGGTCTCTCTCGACTTACGGACGACAATATAGGGAACGCCGGATTGACGAGCCTTGGCAATATTCGTGCGCAAGCCGTTGATGACTTGGAACACCGCGTAGACAACCAGGACCACGCCCAGCAGGACGAATGAGGAGATCATATTCGCTGGTGATGGCAGCGAGCCAGGCAATGAACCCTTTCGCCGGAGCTGAGTAGTGTAGAACTGTTTCTGAATATTATATATCTCCTCCTAGTAATAAGAAGACTGATAATGCTGAACGATGTCAGTTCAAGCTCTTTGCCGCAAGCCAGATCCAGGACGAAAGTTCAAGGTCTCGAGTGCGCGGATGATGTGTCTCTTTATGTCCTTGTTTCATAAAGCGAAACGCTTTGACAGTCGAGTAGATTCCGGGACCAGTGACAGATGTCAACAATGTCCTGATCTTTCAAGCCACCGAGAAAAAAACGAAAAATGCCACGAGACAGCTCAATAAAAAAATGGCACGCAAGGAACAAAACGAATGGGAACAATCAAATAAGTCTTCAATTATTGGCTTTTTCGGACCAGGAGGGATGAAACTATCCGTCCCTACCCCACGTATTCTGACGGTTGCTTCCAGGTAACCAACTAGCGAAAGAAGCGAAAGCAACGGCTGCTCATTGACAGAAAGCATGGATCTAGGCCAAGTGGTCCAGGGCTGGTATGCAGGGTTTGAGAGGCCGGGCATCGATCTTTTGTTTCGGATGGCTTGGTTCCCGTGCACTAGGCCGGTGCAGCTCTGTCCGGATCAAGGTCGTCTCTTCTGATATCTGCTCCTAGCGCCCGGAAATGCATCGGGTAGGACTGCACAAAAAGCCACATCTGAACGGCTTGTGGGGACGGGCGACCGTATCTCGGATCTAGATGCGGTGTGCTTGATATTGGAAAGTTGATTATTGGCTGCCGGATTCTCGCTCGATCCCCTCGATGAGCAGCCAGGTCAGCAGTTCAGCTCATATCCTATCATAAAAGATGCAAATGCACAGACGGTGATGGAGCCACTCGATTGAGGGTGAAAACTTACCAACACGAGGGAAGCACAGGTTGGGCACCTTTTGCTCAGTAAAGTATTTGGAGGCGCATGCAAGGCGACACTTGGAAGTGTGGTGGTGGAGATGCTAACTACCTAGGTAAAAAACTCCGTTGTGACATGCACTACTGCTGTATGGGGAAACCTCAAATCAAAATCGACGACCTACCTTCGTACTTGCAGACCACCCATCCCCAACACACGGCAGTCACATGTGCCGCTGCAGCAGCATCCACACCCACAACGACTGGCACACCATTCCGGATCGAGATTTTATCACGGATCCAATCGTCCTTTCACAATGTCTGGCATGATTGATGCCAAGCTCTTTGAGCAGCTCAAGGCCAAGATCGACGAGGACATCCAGGTCCGTGACGACCTCAGCCAGGTCGTCCAGAAGCTTGAGCGGGATGTTTCCTATGCCCAGGGCATCCTCTCACGAGTCCACTCTACTCCCCGAAGCTCATGTGAGTGTTTCCTTGTCGAAGAGTCTTGGTTTTTTTTTTTTAGAATACAATACTCATGCTGCACCCTCGCCAGATGCATCGTTCCTTCCCCAGGTCGAGGCTGCCATCAGGGAGGAGATTCAGACTGTAGGCAGCCTGGCCGAGCTCGCATCCAAGCACCCTTACTACAAGTAAGTTCGACTCGAGTGATTTGTACATCTCAACATAATCTCGAGCTGGACTTTGAGCTAATGATCCATGCTATATAGATACAACAGCCGTTGGACGAGAAGTCTCCAGGATGCCATTGTCACCGTGGTCATCTGTGGCTGGCTTGGCGGCATGAGCTCAGAGTCGAGACCCGGCGAGCTGGGCCGGCTTCTCACCATCGAGGAGGTCGGCGAGATCTTCCAACGTAGGACAAGAATCATCCACATGACCTTCGTCTACATGGCTGACCCTGCAATCCAGAGCCGGTCAATCTGAAAGACCGCGATGCCTTTCACATCACCATTGAGGAGTACCTCTCAGCCCTGACCAGCGTCACGGACGAACTGAGCCGCCTGGCTGTCAACTCGGTCACCCTAGGTGACAACGAGCTGGCCGTCAAGATCAGCTCCTTGATCAAGGATCTGCACGCCGGCTTTCAGCTGCTCAACCTCAAGAACGACTTCTTGAGGAAGAAGGTCGACGGTGTCAAATATTCCGTCAAGAAGGTGGAGGATGTGGTCTACGATCTGTCTCTGAGGAATCTGATCCCGAAATAGACAAGAGAGGTCTAATTATATCGCATCGAGTGTGTAGGCTCAGGAAGGGTGTGCCGGACAGGGCGAATTCATTTTGCTTCAAGGTATCGGCATCAATCATAGGTCATGGGAGTTTAAAAAATTGCATCGGATTTGACGTCCTGCTTGAGATGGACGCATGAGGCTAATTCAGGGCTCACTTGATGATTAAAATAAAGTAATCGGAGGTTCCTTATCTCTGCGATTCACCACAATGCGCAAGATAGTGATAGCTGAAACCAAGTCTTGCAATGGTGCGAGAGTTTCTAATGAAGCTCCAACAAAAGGATCATGTAACAACTCTCTTAGGTGGGGACGTGGATCCAGCTTCGGGGAGCCTCAGGGCTTTCATCGCTGGCGTTCCAGCTTTATCGCTCACTATCAGCACCTGATCCCCCGGCAAACTTGGGTCACTGTGGGGCGCTCCTGAGCTTGAATCCGACGTCCCACCCACCCAAACGTTGCATGTGGCTTCTCAAAACGAGCGCATCCTCGACCAAAACCTCACACCCGCCGGGGAGCCAGCAGGGTCCCTTTCCACTCCTTTCTTGCAACAATCTCGAGATGCCGCTGATAGACCCCGTCACCATGTCCTCCTCCTCGCCCGCGGGCAAGGCCTCCGGCGCCCACTCGCCGGCCGTCAAGCCGCTGCAGCCCGTCGCCGGCGACGCGTCCGCGCTGTCCCAGGGCATGCGGTACGCCGTGCCACCGATCCTGCTCGCCGTCTTCGCCTCCACCTTCAGCCGGCTCGTCGCCGACCCCGTGCCGACCATGGCCCTGAACCTCGCCGTCGCCGGCGGCTGGCAGGTCGCCTACTGCCTGCTCTGCCTGCCCGTGGCCGGCGCCTCCTCCGGCGCCGCCTCCCGCAAGCCCCGTCCCGGCGAGAAGAAGCGGGCTTCCGACTCTGCCGGGCCCAACATGGCCGTCGTATGTGTCCCCTGAGCTTCCGACATATATCGCACCTCGGACCTGACGCTAATACTTTTTAAAAAACCAACAGGCCGTCGTCCTCTCCCTCGTCCTCACCCTCTTCGCCGTGCCCGCGGTCCACGCCGCCATGGTCCTCCTCGGCGCCCCCTTCCTCACCCACACGGCGCACACCCTCCTCTGCGCCGCGCACCTCGCCGCCCTCGCCTTCTTTCCGCTCTTCTGGACGCGCGGCGTCGACTCGGCCGCCTGGCTGGCGATCGCGGGCCTGCGCGCGCCCCTCGACGAGTGCGTCGGCGGGCTCGTCGGCGCCGCGGCGGGCGCCTGGCTCGGCGCCGTGCCCATCCCGCTCGACTGGGACCGCGAGTGGCAGAAGTGGCCCGTCACTATCCTCAGCGGCATGTACGCCGGCTACGTGCTGGGCAGGGTGCTCGGCGGGACGGTGCTGTTTGGCAAGAGGTTTTGAGAGAGGGGGACATAAGGTTTGAGTTGAGGAAAAGTTTGGGGGGGCGGTTGTGGCAGGGTTGTTGTTTCTGCGACAGAAGGTATTGCTGTATGGCAGTTCCTATCTGAGAGAGGAAAATGGGTGCCGAGGTACCGACTGGGTGGCTTGGCTGAAAATGGGTATGAGATGGGAATGGCATCGCTCGTAAGGGATGACACCCAATACAAAAGTGTGTTGGCCTTGTAAGTGTTATCAAGAGTGTACGATGATACCGCATAGAAACTGTCTGGACAGGTACAGACTATCTAACGCTAGCGCAGCAAAACAATTTCATGAAAGTATTATCTCCAAACACTTATCTCAAGTCTCTATTCCATCATCGTAAGCCAGGTCATACCCGGTCTCATCATCCTGTTCAACTGATGAGACCATACATCCAAAAACGCCGAGTCTCCCAATGCTTCTATATGCATAACCCCAACCCCCCTTAAGCTCAACCATATCAGTCACCCCCCTTTCATCACGACATAATATTGATCTGGACCAAGGTCCCCTTCTGCCCTACCTCCCCAACGCCTTCTTCACCCGCTTCGTATCGGAGCCATATCTCAGCCTCATCACAATCACAAACGCAAGAGCCAACATCTGTAAGACTGCGACAAGGCCATACAGGCGGATCCACCTCCGCAGCCCCGTCCTCTTCCTTTTTGGTGCGGCAGCAGCAACGTCACCGTCGGTACCACCACCACCACCACCGCTGCCGTCGTCGTGGTCGTCGTGGTCGTCGTGCCGCCGGCACACGTCGAGGAACAGCTTGGGGTCGTCGGTGATGACCCCGTCGATCTCCTTGCGCACGCTCCACTCCATCCACTCCTCGTCGTTGACGGTCCACACGAACACGGCGCGCCCGAGCTCGCGCGCCCGGCGCAGGAAGCGGGCGCCCCAGGGCCCGACGAGCACGCGCTGCTGCAGGTTGAAGGACACGCCCTCGTGCCGGAGGAGGGCCGTGGCGTAGGGCAGGCTCCAGCCGATGTAGGCGATAGGGAAGCCCGGCAGGTGCTGCTCGCTGCGGCGCATGAAGGTTGCCTGCCGGTTATGTATGTTAGTCTTAGCACGAAACCCCCGGGGACGGGTAGTGAGGAAATAAGGGGGGCGGGTAGGGAAAAACTCACGTCCCAGCAGCCGATGATGATCCTCTCCCGCCAGGGGCGGGAGACGGGAGCGGCGTCAAAGGTCTTGGCGATGTGGTGCATGAGCTCGTCCGGGTCGTCGTCGCGCTGCGAGCTGTGTCAGTGCCCGATGCATCACATTATCGAACCCAGAGTCCGATCTCCAGACTAAAAGCTCTCACCTTGATATCGATCAGGACCCAGATGTCCTCCAGCCCGGGCTGCGCCAGGTACGTCAACAGGTCGAGCAGCCTCGGCATGGGCGAGCGCGGCTCCCTCGTCGTGCGCAGCGTGCTCAGAAACTCCCAGTCGCAGTCGGCGATCTTGTCCTTGCGCCCGAAACACCGGACCAGGTTCCCGTCCTTTTTTTTTTTTCATAGGTGGTTAGTGATGTCGTCAAAGCACTGAACCGCCTTTCCTTGCCTCTTTCGCGAAACTATAAACCCGGGGGGGCCTTATTGGCATCGGTCCCTTTGAAAAAAGAAACTTACATGCGACAGCACAACGACCTTGTCCTTGGTCAAGTGCACGTCCGTCTCGATGGCGTGCGCGCCGACGGCGACGGCGCCCTGGAATGCGCCCATCGTGTTCTCCGGCCACGCCGCCTTGTAGCCGCGGTGCGCGATGGTCTGCGGGAGCCGTTGAGTGGCCGGGCGGGTGAGTGCGCCGGCGAAGGAAGCTGCCACGCCGGCCGCGTGCGTCTGTCAGCACTCTAAATCTTCTCTCCCCTGGCTGCACTTCGCTGCAAAAAAAAATGAACTCACCCGTCGGAAAGCCGGACATCTTTGCCTCGAGTAGCGGCGCGGCCTCGGTCGCTAGGGTGGACGGCCGCGCCTTTTCATCGACGGTGCTGTACGATGGCATCGCGAGGCCCGACCCCTCAGTGGGCGGGTGTTTTGTTTCTCTCTTCTTCTTTTCTTCCTTCTTCTTTTTTTTTGGTCTGGTGAAGAAGGGCTTTGTATCCCTTGTAACAGAGGCGTATTGTCGGAGTGTTTGAAGGTGCTGAATGACCTGATTTTGGGCGCACGGTCTATGTTTCAACAGACAAGATCAAACGTAGCGAGGAGGCCAGACGTTCATCTACTCGAACAAATCGCTGCCGTCAAACCCGTTCTCTGTCTCTTTTTCTTTTCTTCTCTTTCTAAAAATGGCTCGCAGCCACTCCTTCAGCGACAATATAATAAAAAAGCTCTACGACGCGTTCGCAAACAGTCACGGAGTTAAGCGGGGGCGCAACTGTCCGTGGTTGACGTAGACCTTTCGACGGCCTGCGGCGAGACTCTCTCAGCTGGATCAGCCGCGGGTCCCGCCATGATTCAATGCCCTTCTGCGAAAGCCAAGCGGGAACGGGAGTCACGCGCTTTCTGGGGCTCCGACCGGCGATGCCGCTAGAAGGTGGCTACGGCTACGAATCGTTCTAGCCCGGCGCCACACGTGCTCTCGACTACGAGTCGGAGGGTTGGACAGCCCGTGTTTGTAAACGGGGGAGACATCTGGTGTTAACGGGCGGAGTTAATGCAGTTTGTGCATATGCGTCAGTTTGGCAGCGAGGTTGAAAGAACACACTCTCGTAGCCCTCGGGAAAGCATATCTGGTGCATCTTCTTCCTCTTTCGTCTTCCGCATAGGAGAAAAGGGGAGTAAAGGGAGGAAACCGACTGTGTGGGTATCGTTGTTTCGCGTGCAACGAGAGAAAAATGATGAATCAAGCTTTCCTCGATCCCAGCCCATCCTCGCGCTGCCGCTCTTAATATGGCAATCTTAAAGGTAGAATGCTTCAGTGGACGGCTCCTATTCCCCGTCTTTCAAATCAATCAGGGGTGAAGCGAATGGAAAGAAGCGCACATACCAGTGTAGATATTAGATATGGCTGCTTTGTACACAGGTGTACCCATCCCCTCGCTGCCGTCGCTTTTCGCACAACCCCACGATACACCAATTGGGTGGGAGTGTAGATTTGTTTAGCCTAATGCCCAGAGATAGACCTACCTAGGTAGGTAGGTACCTAGCATGAAATGAGTTGGCTCCTCCTAGGTAGGTGACGGCGAGATGGGGGCCAATATCGAGACATATTGGAAACCGAAACAAGGTTACCTCCCCTTCTTCTCGAAACTTGTGAGAGGATGGGAGAAAAGGAAAAGAGAAAACTGCAGCAACAGGGCGCCAGAAAATGCGGAGGTTGAACCTCTGGACTTCTCTGAGTAGTAAAGCGCCTGGGACATGTTAACCTGGTGCTATTGATTCCAAAACATACGATCCCCCAAAATCAATGGATGGTGTACTGCGACTGGCTGGGCTCTGAGCCCGCTTTCAGCCCCAGCAGTCTAGAACACCTGCTAAACCTTCCATGGATCGATCACCTTGGAGGGGATGAGACTCGCATGCTTTTTATGTTTCGCTTCATCTTGACTAGGTCCAGTTTGGGATGTAACAGAATGTACTCCATTGTCGCCTACCTGGGAGAACAACAAAGGTCAGGCAATCAATCCTTCAGGTAACCTACATCGATAAGTTGCAATGGAACAGGACGCGGTCTTGATGATGATATGGGTACAAAATGGTCTCATTCTGTCTGTCGCAAATAGATATCTATCATGGAAGCCAAAGGCAAATAAATACAGGGGTACTGGTATGTTTCATCGCAAATGTTGCGCGTTTCCTCCATCCAAATCCATCCCTATTGCCAAACAAAGGGAAACTAGCCCGTTGAGCGTAGTGCAAGAGAGTCAACCTCATGGTGGAAGTTGTCTCTGCGGTCCGTATGTCCTCGTCACTGGAACAAAAAAGATGACGGTATCAATCTGCCAAAACTCAGATTCCTCGTGTCCAAACTCCCAAGAAAATCATACAGCAAACGCTTCCTTTGAGTTCCAAGCAGCCTCCCTAACTGCCAATGGGCCGTAGCCATGGCAAATCCGCTCATAACATGAAAACAGACATTCCAAGTCCCATATACACCAGATTTGAGCCCATTTTTTTGTCATCAAGAATGCCCCAAGACAAATGAATCTCTGAAAAAAAAGACATGAGGTTACAAAACACCCCCGCTAATCATAGACATAGGTAGAGTGAAATTCATCCCAAACATCCAATCATAGGAAGTGACTGTCCAGGTTGTCCAGGGAGAACCCGTCGGCACTGGTTGGCAGGCTGGTAGGAACCAGGCTGCTGTGGTAGTCGAGGCTGTTCACGCTCAGCCCCAAGTCGCTCGTAGTCAGCTCCTCGCCGGAGCTCAAGCTCTCGTCGCTGAGGCTCAGCACGCTTTGCGGCGCGGCGGGAGTGCTGCCGAAGTCGCCCAGGTTGAAACCGGAGAGGTCCCAGGCGTCTGGTGACCAGCCGCCCGAAAGTGAGTTGGCTGACACGGGTGTCTCTGCCAGGGCCAGAGCGGGACCGCCATACATGGCATCGTAGACATTGAGTTGACCACCGTCGAGCGAACCAAGCAGAGCTTCCCACTCCGAAGGAGAGACACCAGAGATCTTCTGGTTCAGCTGGGCTGGCGAGAAGTGGTGCTGGGGCTGCTGGTGCGTGCGCTGTTGCGGGCGACCCTGGTTCGGCGACTGAGGCTGCGGTGTTTGCGCGTTGCCGTTGAGCGAGAGGTAGTCGAGGTTCTGGTTGTGCTTGGGCTGCGGGGAGAGCCTGGCGAGCATCTGAGACTGGACTTGCGGTAGGGATAGGCGGTTGAAGGACACATCAGGGCGAGGGCTGTCGAACGAGGCCCTTGATGAAGATCGGTGAAGGTCAGGTCGGTTCGCGTTGTTGTTGGGCATCGTCATACGCCTCAGCTTCTCTTGCTGTCGCAGCAGGTCAGTCTCGCTCACGCTCGCAGCAGCAAGGCGGCCAAGTGAACCGGAGGTCTTCTTGGCTGGTTGCTGGGAGGCGGGAGGAGACGGCCTCTGGGGTGGGGCAGCCATGCTCATCCTAGGGCTGTCCTTGGGCGGCGATGGCAGAGCAGTGCCGACGGGCTCATCGAGAGTCACAAGCATGGCAGCAACTCGCTTGAGGTCATAGGCTCCAGGAGCCTTCATCTTGTCGGCGATCTTGATGACCGAGTTGACGAGACGCTCTCCGTCCTTCATCAGCTTGCTGTCCTGCTTCAGGTCAACACTCTGGTAGAGCAGAGTCATGCCACAGATGATGAGAACATCGGCCTTGTTGAGGCAGAAGGAGAAGGACATGTTGCGCTCCTCGAGGAGTTGGATGATCTGGACAATGCGCTTGCTCGAGTCGCTGATCGAGATGACAGCTGGCGCGGCCTTCTGGCCCAGGCTTGAACCGACTGCAGGGCGCATGATGAGGGTGCGGATGTAGTAGTAGGCAAGAGACAGCAGGGGGGACCTGCTCCCAGTCACGTGGGTCGACGGCTTGTCCTGCTGGAAGATGAGCTTCAGATGCTGAGGGAGCGCGTCGTTCCACTCATCGAGCTCGGCCTCGAGCGCAGCCATCTGCTGGAGAGAAAGCTCGTGTGAGGTGGCGGCAGGGTAGTTCTTCTCGAGAACCTTGGCAAGAATGCGAGCAGCGCGGAACAGTGCCAGTGCGCTCGACAGCCTGGTGTACTCTCCGGGAAGTGTGGGCTGGAAGCCCTTCTCGGTGACGTACTCATCATCAGTGTCAGAGGGGTACTCGGCATGGATATCATCATCCTTCAGCAGCTTGGGCAGGCCAAGGATGGCAGCTGAGAAGCAGTCGAGGGTGTACAGGGTCCAGAACACCTTCTTTCGGGTCTCGATAGTCAAGGCGCCAAAGGAGAAGCGCTTTTGGCTCTGATGCAGACCAAGGCGGTGGGACAGACCGACAGCGACACCCTTGTAGTGCTGCAGGCGCTTGTAGTCAGCTCTCGCGGTGCAGTACATGAGGGCCAGGACCAGGCACTGGAGAGTGATGATGGTATTGTCCATCAAGATGGCGTCAAGGGCGCGTTGCCAGTGGGCCTCGCAGGAAGCGATCTGCTCAAAGTCGGGATCCTCACCCGAGAGGGCGGCAATACTGAAGACGAGGTAGAGCTGGGCGATCTTGTGGTTGTTCTTGATCTTGTCCGGGTCTGCGACGAACTCCTCGTAGATGTGCAAGAATTGCGGCTTGTGCAAGACTGGGAACAGCGGTGACCACTCCTGGAAGTAGACGTTCACGCAGCGGTCTGAGAACATGCGGGGCGGCACACGCGGGCTCTGCGATTGCGAGGCTTGCACGAGCGGATAGCAGCCTTGGATGTGCAGGAAAGCCTCGACGTTGAAGTCTGAGCAGGATTTGCCATTCTCCTGGATTTTGCGTTTGAACGACTCTGTAATGATGTGTAAGTAGTGCATTCTCTACACACCGCGCCACAAGGGCCTCCAAATGACATACCGATGAACGCTCGACCGCTCGAGGCACCCATAAAGTAAGAGTCGGAATTCTCCACGCCGAGGAGCAGCGGCGAAGCCTGCACGCGGAATGTGTCCTCCTTGGGCGGCGGCGCCGACGGTTCTCTCCTCGCATCGTGCGACGGCGGGCTCTGTCCGCAACTCGACTGTGAACTATGGCGCTGGTTGCCGTGCATCCTCGACAGCATGTCGATCTTCTCGTCCTTCTCATCCAGCAGGTCCTTGAGGTCGCGGACCTCGGCCTCGAGCACGCGCACGCGCTCCTCTAACGACTCGGTGTAGCCGCGGGGGAAGGCTCTCCGGCTGAGCTTGTCGCTGGTACGGCACTCGAAGCCGACATTGGCGCACTGGGTGCAGCAAGGGCGGATGCCGTCGCAGCGGATCTTCTTGCTACGGCACCGGTCACAAGCCTGGGCGATCCGGCTCTGGGAGCTGGTGCCCACCTTGATGACCTTCATAGGAAGGATGCCAGGCATTTTGGACGAAGTCGTGTCTCCTCTCTCGACGAATCCAGGTTTGTGTGAAAAAGAGGGAGGGGTATCACTCTCTGCCGCTCTCTCGGCTCTCGTTCGGTGTCGAGAAAAATGGTGGAGCAGTGGGATTCGTGGGCGGGTAGTTCACCGGTAGATCATGTCCTCAACAACAAAAGTCCCTGAAGCAAACGGAGTAGCAGCCACGTCAGTGTGAGGGCGGGTGTGTGATTGTTGTTTCAACGAGGTGTCGAGCAAGGGGTCGGTCAGTGAGGAAGAAAGAGGGATCGAGGAGGAAATGGAACGTTGGGTGTGGGAGTGGGAGGCGTTAAAAAGTAGATTGACTGGGATTGAATGCGGGCGGGATATGGGGGATGGGGGATGAACTGGTGGTGGGAAATAGGGACACGCACAGTTCTCGTTAGCGGGTGAATTAGAATACCTCTAGCGATCAGGGCTGATGAGTCTTTTGGCAGGGAGGAGGGTGAGAGAGGGAGAGAGACGGGGTACTTCGAGAGACATTGCCCATTTTTTTGCGGAGACGAGCAGTGGTTAGGCCGGGGGCCACCGGAGCAGGGGCCAAACACCTGAATGGCCAGCGTGACATGGGGTGTGCGAGATGGGCATTTCTGGAGGGTGTGTATCATCGTCGACCAGCGCCATGCCTAAAGAGGACAAGGATGATGAATCTGGGGGATGGGATGCTGGTCCCCAGGTCTCCTCCTGTACCTCGCAAGAACATAATTACAAGATTGAAGAACGTACGGAGAGATAGCCCAGATGCAAGGCAAAAGGAGGGAGGACACAAGAAGCAGAGAACAGGGGACCACCCAGAGTCCCATCAGCCCAAGCCCTGGCTCTCTCTCGCTCTCGCTCTCGCCCACAGTGCCGTGCAGATGATGATGATAGATCACTCACGTATCAATACACGCTCAATTCATCGTTCTTTTGACGAGTGACCCCAGTGGACAACCTATGCTTTTAGTTCGGGCGGTGGCACGAGGTTGTTGGAGAGAAATGGCACCACTCTCACTCACTCCTTCACACCCCGACACACACCAAGTCTGCCTCTGTGCCTCTTGGATGCTCACGCAGTTTGGGCTAGGGACATCCTCCCAGCAATCTCCTGTCCAACAAGCCCTTGCTCTGGAGTACACCATCTCCAGCATCCCTCCCCATGGTCATGGTTCTTCGCTGCCTCCCTCGTCCCTGTTGTGGCTGCGATGTGACGCTCTAGACTTTTTCCTCCCCCAAGCTTCCCCATACCAGGCTAGACTAGCTCCTAGGAAGTTCCGACCAGTCCAAGGGGACATTGCGCATCATCATGGCCCAACGGAAGTTTGGCGTCTGGGGACACGGCGACCTCCATGTCTGAATCGCATGATCCGAATCGGGTCCCCTGGAATTTTTCGGCCGTTGGTATCTGGTCTCTTGCGATATCGCTTTCGCCCATCTACATTAGGCAGTTGTAGTCGTTCTTTACCTTCTTGGTCCCCCTTTGTTGGTTCCTCTGCTGCACAACCCCAGCCAAGTGAGCGAGGGTGGTGAGAAGTCAAACCAGGATGCGAATCAGATGGTAGCCGCAGTCACCATAGTTGATGCATCTCAAGAGATGTGTCTCACAGTATCGCCTAACCCAGGCCAGCATCACACACTTACCCAGGTATGATGAGGGGATGCAGCACGGTTCCAAACTTTGTCATGGCACCGGTCTGCGTCAATCTTGGTTGAACCGTCATGAGATGCGACAGAATCCGTCATATCCAAGATGTGGCCATCTTGGGATCGCAACCGTCGCCTCCTCCAGACCATTCTAGAAGTGCGACGCCGACTGTCATTCGTCGGAGGGGCATTGCAACTCTGCATCACCAGCAATCAGCATCACCGAAGCAACTCCCCCATGGGCAATGGATCTACCCCAATATGGCGGGGCATATCGGGAGATGTTGGAAGAGCGAGAGGACGATCCTGGTCTCTCGTGCATTCTCTTGTTTCCCTGTGCGGCTGCTTCATGCTTCACCTTCTTTTCTCTAAGTGCACACCGGGCCTGAGGAGAAATCGAAGCTAGACTCCTTTAGGGGCGAGGGCCCATCCTAGTCCGTAAGATACAAGCGGGTGACCCCATGTCAGCGGAAGTCTCTCCATGTTCCCTCGACGTTCACAGTGAGGAGCTGCTCATGCAGGGCCCTCATCGCGCGCCGCGGGTGTGCGACCTACCAGGCAGATATGTGTGTTGGTGTCTCGAATCACCCTCATCGCGATTGCACTTGCATAGGTAGGTCTTGTATCTTCTTCAAGTCAAGAAGGAGAAATAGTTTTTTCTCTTAGGTCTCTAGCGACTGACTGGGTTTCGACGGCACTGCTACGCGATGTCATCCTGCCTTACCGGCTTCCTCCAGATCAGCGTTGTGATCTGCTATGATGCACTCCGTATTCCGAAACGGGGCTGGAAGAAGGAAATGCAGCCCGTCACGTTGGCCAAGTGGAGGATTGCCATAGCAGCAAGGCATAAGAGAGGCGAGAACTTGGTGATTCCTGTCGACTTCGCCGTCCATTGGGGGACCTGCCCTCGACACGAGGGTGGATGGTTGCCTTTTTTGGTACAAGGCGTGCTGTGCGCTTTCGTCAGACAAGACATTTATTTTCTGGGAATACTGCCGGACGGCAAGGTAGTTGGGTAGATCGCCCAGCTACCGCTCCCGTCGAAATAGCCGGATGCTATGGGAATCCCCACCACTTTGGCCTACTAATCGACTCAGTTTCGACCCCTCCAGCAAAGCGACCAAGTCCACGTCGCGAAACGCAAATCTGAGGACGACGAGGAAGAAGAAAAAAGAGCCCCAGATTGCTCTTGACGCGGGGTTGGGGTAAGACGTGCATCCTCAACGCCGTGATGCAGGCGCCATCGACAAACTCCCCGCGGGGAACGAAGAAGAATCGGAATCCCAATCTCTCCCAGGACCCAGTCGCTGGACCAGAGGAACAGAGAAATCCTGACGCTAAAAGTGAGAGGTACCTACGTACGTAGAGGCAGTGCGCCTGGGCATTCACAAGCCCAAGCGCCCACTCACAGAGTCAGAGTCCAGATCCGTTCCCCGCACTCTGCATAGCGGAACGGGGGCGTCTGGCCAAAAGTACTCGAGCGGTACTTTACTCCGGCAAATTGGACCAGCTTCGTCGCATTGGGCGCCTCGTGGGTTGCAAAGTAGCAATGCACCACCCTGAATCTGCAAATTTACAGATAGACAGCCTTCAAATTGTACGGGCGTACCCTTAAGAGTCATCTCATATAAGGACTGAAGTCTCTTTTTGTCAAGACCTCCTCGATCCCATCCCCTTGGCTCGGAAAGACCCAGACAGCTGTACTGCAGCAAGGTTGCAACCAGGTAGTCGAGAGCCCACCCCGAAGCCTCCGGAGGCGCCAGGCACGTGGACATGCAATCTGGTTCGTGTCCTCCTCATGAACACCTAGATGCGAATCTCCCTTCCCCGTTCCTCCCACCATGGTGGATCGCCGCCAGCTCAAGCCTTGCGCAGATTATGTGGGTAACGAGCATGACTGCATTGGTATGTCCATTTTTTGCGTTTGCGTGCCCGAAGCTGGAGGTCCAGAGAAGAAGATCGCCAGGCTTCTGATTAGGTTGAGACGGTCGATGAGTCTGGAGAAGCGAGCTAAAGTGCTTGGAACCTATAGTTGCAGGTGATAACCTTCGCGACGGCGCGTGAACAGGTGGGCTAGCCTGGCTGGGCTTGTGGGCGTTGTTTCGTCTCGAAATCCAGCCCCTTTTGGTTTCTCTTTCCGCCGTTTCGTCTAGTTCCAGCCTAGGGTGAGTGAAGGGCATCATCAGCCCACGCCTGGGTGTCGCGAGTGTGTGTGTGAGCAGGCTTGCGGCGCTGCACAATGCGAGCAGGATCCTGTGAGGGCAAAACACCCCAATTCCCTCATCTTTGTCATTGCTTTGTCCTCGACTCCCACCCATGCCCCTCATCCTTCCACACCCTTGAAATCTCTGTGCCCCTTCTTTTTTTTCTCGTTGTCTCGTCTTGTTGAGGCGATGTCAGCCCGAATTCAACGCCAAAGGCTGATACTCGGATGTTGGTGCGGAGAAATCAGCTAAAGTCATCATCCTCATTGGACGCCCCCTCGGGGGCTAGTCCGCTTTCGGTAGCTTCCATCGATCCGAGATATGCCACCACGTTGTCGTCGGCAAGGAGCTGAGACTTCTGCGATAGCCGCAAATCATAGGTCAGCGATGTCGAGTCAGCAAACGTCATCTGCACTTGCTGCTTCCTCCTGCGTCTCGCAAGTCCACCACATCCACACACGTCCACACACGCACACTCCATGTTCGTAGATATGAGCCTACGGGGCAAACCGGGGAAGATGATGTGGGGGGGAGAGAGAAAAAACAAAGACCCATTTGCCCCTTGGGGTGTTGGTCCAATCAATGCGGATGCGACAGGAAGACAAGCATTGTCACTCACCTGCTCCTCCAGCTCCTCGAGCGCCCGGGACAGGATCCCAGCCTCAAGCTCGCGCAGTAGCGCCGCCTGCCTGTGGCACTCCTCTCGTATGGATCCCGTCGCCCCTTGACTCGCATCTGGGTCAACGGAAGACAAGGGAGCCGCCCCTTGCACTTGTAGACGCGCCAGCTGTGACCCCAGCAGCTCCTCCACAACGGTGACGACCCGTAGCTCGAACAGCGCGGAGAGACGGTGAGCCTTGGTGAGCTTATCGAATGACCGCGCCGAATTAGTCACGTCCTCGTGCTGCCAGAACAGCTTGAGCTGTCTGTTCCCGTCCGTGTCCTGCAGCACCCGGAACGCCAAGCCATCCTCCTCGTTGACGCACATGAGATAAGCGAAAGGGCTCTCCCAGCGGAGATCCCCGCCGACGATGGCGACGCGCACCGTTGGCTTCTCCCCGAACAGGTGGGTCTTGGCCTTCGCTAGGGGATCGTCGTCGAACGGGTCGAGGGGAAGGACAAGGCTACGGGACACCGAGTCCCGGTCGATGAACCCGTAGCTAAAAAGCATCTCTGCCGCCGACTTTTGCTCGCCGTAGCTGATCGTGATCTCGTCGCCGGAGCGGACGCTCTGGCTAGGTCGGAGGAGCAGTGTCACTTCTCCTTGAGACTTCTCTTCGTAGTATGCGTTCGGCGTCGAGGAATGGTTCGCCATGTCGAGGCAGGGGACCATGGCTTCGCCAGACAGCGGTAGTTCCAAACATCGTGACCGGTACCAAGCGTCAACGAGCCGCCAGTCTTTCAGCTGAGCAGCTCGGGTATCCCACAGCCTTGCCTGCCAGCACGGTATGTCTGATGACGTCTCCCTCAACCTGTCAAACTCCTGCTCCAATATCAAAAGCTTGGCTTGAACAGCGTGCTTAAGGAGGGATCAGTCCAAGCCCTTGGGTCCAGAAAACGCAACGAGGCCCCATAATACAACGATGCACAAGCGTGCAGAAGGGCCGCGAGAGTTACACAGCAGTGACCTCTCTTGTATACGCGTATACGCCCTGTTACATCCAGAGGGTCGCCTCACGAGACGGGGTAGGTATGTGGTGTAGGGAACGACCCACCTCGAGCGATGTGCCCTGGAGGAGAAGGCGCTCGTCCTCGGTCCATACGGTTGGTAGAGGAACCTGGTCAGGCAGGAACTTGATATACTCAGTCCATGGCCCAGGCAGTCCGGCTGCTGTAGCGTCGGGCTGTGTACCCAGTATCAGGTGGACTAGGAGGAAGATGAGGATATCACCCCTCGATGACTTATATAGCAGGTCAGCCGAGATGATCAGATCAGCTTTGATGAAACTGAGAGGGTTGATATTTACTTGATGACCAGCGGCGTCGATGAGGAGTCTAAAGTCCCTGTCCTGTTTGGCGTACTCCTCTACAGCCGCGGCATTTAGGACGACATAGTGCGGGATCCTCAGTAGTGCCGGTATGTCAAATGTCTGTTCAGTCGTGGCCAGCTCGCGCAGGGCAACCAGGCCCAAGCCACTGCCGTCGGTGCTGGCAACATGAACGTCGAAAAACGAGACTTCGTTGAGATGTGCCCATGCTGGCAAGGAATCGATAGAAAGCTGGGGCCGCGACATGATTTATCAACCCCTTCGGGTTCTCAAACGAGAGGCATATATGGACAGTTTTGCGGGAACTGGGGGGGATTCGTGTATGAGGCATCCTGGAAATCGGTCAACATTTTCCGGGGGGCACAGTGCCGCTGACTCTCCTAGCCGTGGCCACTTTACCCGCCTGGGCTTCGTCACGACGGGCCCTCCAAAACCGTCCAATCCCCCACGTTCTTGCTGGCTCGGGCCAATCCACAGCGACTCATTAGCGGCATCAAGCGCTGTTAGGAGAGTCATCACTCATTCTCATTCTCCTTCATCCTCCTGCCAATTGTCTAACACGGAAAATGCCCGGAATTGCCATATCAGGTTGGAAGATGGCTCCAGCACGCATTGATACAGGATCCACGCTTGCTTCTGACAAGAGCAAGCATCAGATTTCTGTAAAAAGTGTGACCTGCTATCCAATTTGAAGAGCATCTATTGACAGTAACTAACTAGGTATCCTGACAAAGGTTGTGCTTCATAGAAAGCACCAGGATTTCGTCAACTCCTCCCGCATGTAGTCTGATATTCAACTTGTAAAGTGAGCGTACTGGACTTCTCTTTGACGAACATGTTGAACTTCTCTATGAAGTAAACTTGTTGAACTTCTTTCTGACGTGAATTATCCATGGCCATGGTTGAAGGGCTCCAATTGATGTTGTCTTCAAATGTTGGTCTTGACAACGGAAAACGGGCTTGGCCGCCGTGAATCCACTTTTTCTTCAACCTCCGACCGCCCAAGAAAATTATGCCCCTCCAACCATCCTTGCATGGCAGAATTGCGATTGCGCTTCTCTCGTGATGGTACTTGTATAAACCAAATTATACACCGAGCCAGCATACATCCTCGGACTACAATCTCCGACTGGCGACGAGCTACACTTGAGGACTAGCTTCTAAACCCCCTCTACGTATCCGCAGCTCCTCCATACTCATAGTCTGGCACCATGGGCCGCGATCCGCTCATCGGCCTCGTAGGCAAGCCGAGTGCGGGCAAGTCGAGCACGCTCAACTCTCTGACGGACGCCTCTTCCAAAGTCGGTTGGTACCACACCTCAGTTCTCCTGCGGCAAGGGAGAAGAGCAGGCCGCTGATCGTAGCTGTATACAGGCAACTTCCCGTAGGACACACCAGCCACTTCACCCCTTTTGCTTTTGTCAAACGTTCTTCTAACACATTGCGGTTTCCGCCCCAAACAGCTTCACGACGATTGACCCCCAGCGAGCGATCGGGTACCTCCAGATAGACTGCGCGTGCGCGCGCTTCGGCGTCTCGGACCGGTGCAAGCCCAACTACGGCTCCTGCGTCGACGGCCGCCGGTCCGTGCCCATCGAGCTCCTCGACGTGGCCGGGCTGGTGCCCGGCGCGCACCAGGGCAAGGGGCTGGGCAACAAGTTCCTCGACGACCTGCGGCACGCCGACGCGCTGATCCACGTCGTCGACGTCAGCGGCACGACCGACGCCGAGGGCAAGGTGACGCGCGGCTACGACCCCTCGGTCGACATCGCCTGGCTGCGGTCCGAGATCGTGCAGTGGATCAAGGGCAACCTCATGGAGAAATGGGGCAGCATCCGGCGGCGGCACATGGCCGTCAAGGCGACGGCCGTCGAGACGCTGCAGGGCCAGTTCTCGGGCTACGGCAGCAACGCCCGGGTCGTGGCGCGCACGCTCGACCGCATGGGCCTCAAGGAGCCGCTCGAGGACTGGAGCGAGGAGACGATCGAGCGCGTGGTCAACGCCTTCACCGACGAGAAGTTCCCGACCATCATCGCGCTCAACAAGATCGACCACCCGGACGCCGACAAGAACATCGCCAAGATCGCAAAGATGCAGGACCCCAACACCATCGTGCTGTGCTCGGCCATCTCCGAGATCTTCCTGCGCAAGATGGCCAAGCAGGGCTACGTCAAGTACACGGAGGGCAGCGAGTTCGTCGACACGAGGGAAGACCTGATCGCCGACGGCGACCCGGACGGCGGAGGGCTCAAGGAGCTGGACGAGAAGAACAAGACCAGGATAGAGAACCTGAAGGACATGGTGCTCTACCGGTTCGGCTCGACGGGCGTGGTACAAGTGCTCACCAAGGCCGCTGAGCTACTGGGCTTGGTACCGGTGTTCCCGGTGCGGAACACGACTACGTTTGGCTCGGGCCAGGCGGACTCCAAGTTTGTCTTTAGGGACTGTGTCCTCGTCAAGAAGGGCAGCACGGTCGCGGACGTGGCCAGGAAATGCATGGGCGATGCGCCAGTGGCTTACATAGAAGGCGCCGGGGGCATCCGTGTGGCGGAAGATGACCTCGTCGCTGTTGGCAAGAACGATGTAAGTCCAGGGTCCAATGCTTGTAGACCACCGACATCGCTAACTCTATTTCCAGGTGTTGTCTTTCAAGATCGGCAGAGGATGAGGATGGTCACAGATCTGATACAGGAAGAGGACAGTCTTATCATTTTAAGCGGGCATGACAGACTCGGATCTTGGAAGGGCACGGCGTTCATAGAGAGATCTTCCATGGCACAGACAGTGATGGGGCCAATACGGAAATGCCATGAGCCATCATGATGGTGGGTAGAGCATAGACGGACGAACATGTCTGCACCCTATGATAGAGATATCGCCAAGCCAGCTTTGGCTCACTTGTACAAGTGCTACGTCATCCACGGCTGCAGGTGGATAGATTGGCAGAGCCGCACCGAAATCCAGGATCGGCTGCATCGGGACAAATGCGGTAGTCAAATGCGGAGCCGAGCCGGATGTGACGGAAGGCTAGCATCATTATTCATTCAATCAAGAACCCTTGCCCGACTGACCTTCGGGCTCTCCGTACGAGCAACTTCTACGAGAAACATAGCGTTCGCAATTAAGCATAACGCCTGGTGGGTAAAAGGGGTATCAAATGGTTGATTAGGTAGGTAGGTAAAGCTAAGGTATCGCGTCTTATCTGAGCCTGCCAGTCGGTGAATAAAACCCCTCAATTGGAATCTGGAAGCAGCAGCCGCAGACAACCAGAAACTCCAAAAGACTGGAATCGAACAAATGAAAAACAGGTAGGGTAGATCGATTTCTTCCTTCGCGCTCACGGGCCGCGCATGAAATCCATCGCTCTGTGGGGGAATATGGTAATCCTCAATTGTCCCGTCGCTCCCAATCAAATCCCAATGCGCGCAACGTGTTGAAGAAAGAGGTGAAGCCCGATGCGCGCGTCGCAGTCCCAAGAAAGAAAAAAAAGAGAGAAGGCCAAAGTAAACAAAAGCACAGCGTCATGGCCAGATCCGCAAGCAGGAGAGCACATCTGCACCACCCCTGTCAAGCAAAGCCACAGGCGAAACCGCGATGGCGAGCTTGGGGTAGCTTTTCCAGGTGCGGCGCAGTGTGTCCAGGGGGGCACGTCATTTGCCGGGCAACCCAGCGCCCATTCCAGGCTTGGCACCTGATCTTGGGGAGGGCGGGGGGATCGAGAGCCCCGGAGATGCCGACCCGGCCGAAGAGGACAACACATGGCAGGACAGCGAGCTCATCGGAGCCCAAGGAAAATAAAACAATCATCATACGAGCGATGAATCCTCGGCGAGGGCTGTCATGCAGGCATTGTCATCGTCGTCCGAATCGGTCGCGACGTTACTGCTGCTGCGGAGTCGGGCGCATTGGCGCTGGAGCTTTAATACTTCAGGATGATGTACAGGGCGTGGATGATACCGGGCAGGTAACCTAGAGCCAATGCGTCAGCAAACAAGCCAATGCTCAGGGAAAATGCAAGGGAAAACGTACCGAGGATGGTCAGCAGGATGTTGATGAGCAGGTCGGCACCGCAGCCACGCTCCAGGAAGACACCCAGAGGGGGGAGGATGATGGCAAGGATGATCTTGCAGATGTCGCTGAAGAGACAGAGTCAGTAAAGCCGCGGCTGACAAACAATGGCGCAGCAGGGCAGCACCGGAAGCTTACCTGGCGGTGAAAGGCATGTTGATTGATGTGCGAGAGTGCTCTCGGGGATTACGATTATGGTCAGGTAGCGAGTTCGAACGGGAACGAGTGCTCGTGGGTGTCGCTGGAGGACAGAGAGGTTTGAGAGGTTCAAGATTTGTTGTGTAGGAGCCAGAAGTGTCAATGATGAGTGTGGGGGGAGCGGAAAGGAAGTGAATGTTTAAATAGGGACGTCCGTACGATCTTCAGGCGCTTGGTTTTGCTGGCTCGGAGGCTATTGCATAAGAAAGTGGGCTCAGAGGTTGTCACAGGGAGCAGGGCGTGGCAGGTTAGCCAGGAAAGCGAACCGGTCTGGCCTGTCCGGGCGAGCCAACCACTGCGTCATACATGTCCCAGGTGATGATTTTTTTTGGAGGGGCCGTCCCCAGCCCAGCTCTGCTTCGGCCAGCGAAGCGCCCTCGGACTTCCCTGTCACTGCCCAGTTTTTTGAGATTTCCATCGACGTCGATTATGCATACTCATGCCGAGCAAGCTTCGCTCTGCCCTGCCCGGGACCCATCGCTGGTCAGTCATTGAATCCGACCCACTCCGAACAGATCTCTATTTACTCCTGCTGGCGCTTCCCGGCGAGTGACAGTGACTACCTCGTACAGATAGGAAAACGGCTCCCTCCGTCGTAGCAGGCCTCCGTGACAAACGTGCTTAGTGCACCAAAGCAAAGGAGAGGCGGCATGGCAGGCCTCGGTTACGGGCGCTGACTACCCCTGCTTATACGGCGATTAATGAGTGCCAGCGGGGGGGTGGCCGCGCAACCGCGCGAGATCCCAGCCAACCGTTCACCTATCTTGGATGATCATGCCAGCCCTGAAAAGCTTGGCACACAGAACTCAGTGCCGGAGTCCGTCGCGGCATCGCTCATCTCCCTCGAACCTGGCATGTTTCTCTGCCACCCTCCCTACGTAGGTAGCTTTCCCCTTCTCCTCGCCTCCCACCACCATCCTCTCCTATCCTCCAGCGATGCCTTTCCGACCACGCAATTGATGAATCTGATCATGCTATTCAGCTGGGGGCGGATTACTCTTTCCGCTAGAGCTCCAAGCTACCTAGCTCGGGTAGTGCTGTCGCTGAAGCTCGCAGCACCTGCTAGATTGCAACGATTCTGTTACGTCACTGTTTATTTCAATGTCGGCGCTAGCGCAAACTATGTCATCGGTGTGGCTGACTTTCTATACGACGAATCGCCGATGGGGCTGAGGTGACGTGTGGCGCCAAGTCGTGGCCTGTGGCGGTGCATCAGATGCGCATACGATTGGTCGGCAGTTTGCTTTTGAACGAAGCAGTGCATGCAACTTCTCTGCACATGCATCACGAGATGCATGTGGCGGTTCGGCCTCACCCGAGTCCATGAGGTGATCCTTGTCTCATTTTCAATTTGACAGCATCGCCAAGAAGCATCACCTCGCTTCGTCTGGATTGCTCCGGTTGCGACTGGCTGCTGTGTCCGACTGTGCCCGAACTCGAGCCACCTAACATTTCTGTTGGTCTCTGTTTGTGTCACTGCCGTTGCTTCTTGGTTGATCTCTGCTTGAAGCCTTTAGAATACTTAGCGATATATGTGTAACCCGATATGCGTTCAAACAGTGAGACTACAAGCCCTAGATATTATCGTCGTTGCCTTCTTTGCGAATAAAATTTCCATGTGAGAAACAACTAGTCCGAGTCCAGAGATGCCAGTTCATGTCATGGCTTTGGAACATCTGGACCTGCCTTAATGCCAGATAGTGCTTGGGCGTGTCAACATTAAATTGCTCTGGTTTATCCTTCCCTCTCCATTTCCCATTGCCTCTCCTTCCGAAACACTACTCCATTGCTGCAAATGATATAACCCACTACCTCGACCAAATAATCCATTACCATACGAATCATATCTGACGCACCACCGTCCTGATGACTATCAACTTAAACAGGGAGTGTGCACAGCGCAGATGGGAGAGTTTAAGAGGAGGAAGAAGAGAAAAGGGTTGGAAATTTTTGCAGGCGAGCAGTCGTCACAAAAGAGACTGGATGCTAAAGAGAACCCTCCAAGGGCCAGGCAGGCTATCGTAGTTGTTGGACCATTTCGTCTGAAACCTGCCAATACTTCACTGCCGCCAGCCATAGGACAATAAGATCCTTAAACTTGACCGGCCAGCAAATAGACAGACCAGAGAGGCCCACTTACCACAGGACTATACAGCTTGTACACATACGAGTTAATAAGGATTTGGCCGTCACTAGCCCTGTGGAAGATTACCACTTTGTATAAGATTTCCCTACTCACGAGAGATAGAACCCCTGGAAATAGTGACAACGGGTCCGCATCATCAGCAGGCCTAGCCGAAATGAGTCGAGGTTTTGAGACTCTGTTCTGGCTGCGCTTTCAAAGTCCAATGGGGGCTTGACTAGTCATACAGCCAATCTTTAACAGGTTGACCTTGTCGATAACTTTGGTTATTGAATTAGCGGGAGCCCCAGAGCCGCTCTGAAGGGCTCCAGGCTGAGGTCAAGAAGGCAAGTGATATTCTCCATGGGTTACTCTGGGGCTTCTGACGACTCTAAGACCATTGCGATCGAAAAAGAAAGTGTTTTAATTTAGCTAGAGTATGTTAATAGGATAGTGCCCCTACCTCCTACTACGATCAAGCATGAACATATCAAGCTGGATGTGGTCTCGATCTCACAATTACGCACGTACTTTTAAAGAGGACAAGAAGGTTTGTAGAGGACCAGCTAGTTTAGAAGATGTACCTTATAGGTCGGGATGTTGCTATAAATGAGGCTTGACATGGAAATACCCTATGTTCACAGGTGACATTTTTATAAATGTAATCAAACGGCCAGAGAAGATTCCAATCAATCATTGGCACCCTTGCAGGTATCCCCCATGCATTGGCTCTGTACTCCATGGTTTTTATAATGGAAGGCCACCCTAGGATCACTTACCGACATTTCCAGCACAGGGATAAGAGAAGTCATTTCGGGTGTACTCTTCTTAATGGCTGTAGCTATCCCCTTGGTGACTGGAATGAATGCTATTGCCTTTTTTCAAGTAGGCAGGCCCTTGCAATAAACCCTGTGCCGGACATGTCATTGTTGATACAAAACTGCAGATTCGTTCCGGCCACTACCAAGGGGATACTCTTGTTTTTAACTATCTAGTTGTAGCTGTCGCCATTAAGGGGATAGCGCTATGTTGTTGTTCGACGAGCAATGTTCTCTGAAACGGTCGTAACAGCCGATGGAAGCCTCAGAATTGGTTTGATTGGGCGGAAAACACCACTGTCTGGAAAATCTGCCTCAGCGAGAGTAAAACACCACCAGAGAGTCATAATCCGCCTCCTTAATCTCGTCAATTCCTCTCCTGTCTCCTGGAACCAGCTGCTGGTATAACTGGAACGCGTCTCGCAGTTCCGAGTCTGCTTTCTTTTGATTCCCTATGGCTGCTGACACCTGCGAAGCCTTGTACGTTGAGCGTGCAAGTTCCTGCACGTACTGAGGCCGCTCGCTGAACACCTTGATTGCCTGGTTGATGAGGACTCTGGAAGTTCTTGAGTGTCTGTGAGCTTTATTTGTGCACAGCCTTTATCACTGGAATACCGCGAACAACAACTTACTGGGCCTCTGCCAAGTTTCTCAAGCGAAGATTGTCATCTGTAAGTCGATGGCAGATATCACCGATACGGTGATGCCTGTCACCGAGTGTCGCACGATATTGCTTGAGGCATCGTGAATGCAGTTCGAATCCCTTGTCAAACCTTCACTGGCTGACGTATACGTTTCCAAGTGCGTATAGGAATTTGCCGGTCCTTAGACAATAGAGTATCAGCGACCTTGTCAATCAAACAGCCCACCCACAGGGAAACAAGGAGTGTGAGGAATTCAGATCCTTCCTGGCATAAGAGAATGGTGCAGTCACTGACTTGAAAGAAAGAGTGTCATCGTATCCGTTTGCCTTCCTGAATATCTCGATTATCTCGAGTAACGCTTGCTCGGCCTCATGAAGACGGCCAAGAACCCAGTACATGAGGCCAATGTTTGATGCAGACCAGCCGAGCATAGTGTCTTGGTAGTGCGGCAGCGCCTTGTAAGTTCGAATGGCCCTCTCGAAGAACGTGATGGCTACCTCATACTGTCTGTCCATGGCGTGCGCGACACCGGTCTCGTTGAAGCCCATGGCAAGCTCGTAGTCGATGATGGGATTCCCGTCCGCGTCGGATCCACGCTCTTGCAGCATCTCGAGCCATATTCCGGCATGCTTGAGGAAGCTCTTTGTATCGTTAGTCTCACCGGCCGCGGTACCAAGATTGTGGTGAGTGTCGCGGATCATGTATATCGCCTCAGTGCTGGTCTTGTCCTCAAAGCCGTCGCAGATCCTCATAACGATTTCGAACCACTCCTTCGATTCCTCTTGGAAGCCTCGTTCGAAACGGTACCTATGTTCACAAGTTAACGTTGGCCTTGCGTTATGCACAACCGCTGCGGGTGGGGTCTTTAGGTGTTCTTCAGGACTTACCAGCCAGTATCACCAAATAGCTTAGCGGAAGAGAGTTGGTGACGAGAATTTCCCTGTGGAAGCATGGTTTCATGTACATTCCGTAGTCGAACAACACTTGGAAACAAAGCGGCACAGGCGGGGTAGCGCTTGGTGCTGAACCGATTCTCAAGCGAAGTGAAGGGCCAGATGAGTGACATCGCACGCACAGCGAAGTGGAAGAACTTCGCCAACAGCTCCTGGCCGATCTTCTCACGAACTACATCTTGAAGGATACGATGGACCCATATATCTCCTGTCTCCGGGTTTTGGTTGATCAACGAGGTTTGCAGGAGTTCTGCGCGCACCTCATAGTACTGTCCAAGGTTTTTGGGAAAGTCCTCTATCCCATCGGCTGAGGTCGTGCATGCACTGGCCAGGATATTTTCAGGAATTCGATCGGGGTCTAAGACGGAGATGAGGCAGAGTAGTGCCAAGCTGGAAGGTTGAAGACCGTCCAGGCCGACCTTTGACGATATGGAATGGATTTTCGCTTCTGTTGAGACCTTCGATCCGCCGCCACCCACAGAAATGGTGTCATCGATACCACTGGCGTTATATAGTTTGAGGAAATCCGAATATGACAGTCGCAGCCGGGACATAACACCCGCCATTTGGGTGATGAGGTATGGCATCCCACCAAGCCTTTCGACCATCTCAGCCGCGTATCGCTCTTGGCCAGGCTGCTTGTTCCTCCTTGTCACGGTCTGTAGAAACATGATCGCGTCTTCAGAAGAAAACGGCTGCAAGTCAATGCCATCATTTGCCAAGTAGCTGTGCTCCTTGGCCTCAGAGTCTCTGCTCATGACGAGAACGGAACCCAAGCCTGTGTTCGGCCAAAAATCATCAAGAACCTCTGAGTCATCGGCGTTGTCGAAAATCAGCAGCCACGATGCCTCATTATCCGGCGAGTTAGGGTCCTTTGCATCGTATGCCTTGACTGGATTGGAAAGCCACCCTTTCACAATCTCACACGATACGGTGAGATCCTTAGTCTCACTCTCTTCTTCAAGCCCCAATTCTACAGCGATGCACGCGAATTCTTCAGAAAGTATATTCTTAGTATCAGCCGTGACAAAGAAGATTGCATTGAACTTGTTTCTGCGGGAATACGCATACTCGACGGCGATCTGAGTCTTGCCCATCCCGCCCATCCCGCACAGGGCATAGGAATGAATCGTTGAAGCTTGTTCCTCTAGACTGCCATCCTCGTGGCGATTCTCAGGCAGCAGGACCGCGTCGATGAGATCGAGGGTGCTTTCCCTTCCGAAGAAGCCCTTCTGTCGCTTGTGCACCTTCATTGAGAAGCAGGGTAGACAAGGGTTCTTATTGACAATCTCGAAATTGGTGACCACCTTGTCGCTACCCACGGGGCGTGGCGCATTCGTAGATCCTCCGTACGTCGCGTCGCGCGAGCTCATAGGTGACTGAGAGAGACAGAGGGTAGGCTCTTCTTGCTTTAGGACGGGGATCATCAATGCTTGACCTTTTTCGTTGTTGGTAGTCAAGCTGCGAATCATGCCCATGTCATTAACATCACGAGTGCTAGCTGAATGATCACGCAGCCATAGGTTATTAGCATGGGTTCTTCACATTGACCAAGGGTTATGCGCATACCATAGAATCTTTTATAGATCAGCTCTGGAGCAATATCTAGAGCTCGCTTCAGAGACTCCTCTATCGCGTGGAAAAGAGGGCTGCTGATCTCGATCTTGCATGTGTTCTCGTGGTTCTGATCCATTGCGAAAGCATTCTGGTGCTTGGAATCGGTTAGAGCCAATTCTTTCGGTACAATCTGCAGGCAGGTAATGAATTAGTAAGTCATAACTGGCCAACTACTCCCCGAGCTATGCATGATTGTCTCAAATAGCGCTGTCAACGAAATGGTTGCCATACGATCACCTGGCTTGTTTTGAACATGCCTACGTGGACGCGCGATTCGGCAGTCTCATAGCCAATCACGATCGGCACTTCGATGCGGAGGAGGTGGAAATCAGAGCAGCACTTTGCAAGGAATGAGTTGTCGTGGGTCGTGAATGCAGTTTTCCTCAGTGAGCTAGTTGGCTGCAAGCGCATGATGAGCTCTAAGATATTGGGTGACGCCTTGACAGTCAGAGGGACATGCGGCGTCCCTAGCAGGACGATGCCGGAGATGACTTCAACCACCTCGAGGTGCCTAAAGACATGAGTCTTAGTGATCGACAGTGCCTACCACCAAAGGACAAATATCAGCTTGTTGTTTGGGCCAAGTTGATCCCAAATGCTGCTGGAAGATAGGTACTCTGCGTACTTGTTTGAGGACAATACCCCCGAGGCTGTGACATATGAAGAACAGAGGCTTGCGCTTTGCATGCCGTGGCTTCTTTGGCACGTGAACATTCTGCTGTTCAGTGGGTGATTGAGACTCGTTGGCCTTGGGCGAGTCGCCACTTTTGGGTGACTCCATTTCTTCGGGTGAATCGGGAACTCGCTCAGAGCAGAAGTTGTCAAGGCAGGAGAGAAGACGCTGTCCCTCGTCGGCAATCCTCTGGATGATAGTATCGGAGCTCGAACCGCCCTGATAATCGTATAGCCATGCCTGAGCTCGAGCGTTGGAATTGTCTATGAGCTGGTTGATCCATTGTCCGGAGTCATTCGACCACGCTGTGGGGGGTAAGGTTGAGAGGCCCGGAATGATGATAATACTACAAACAACCCCAGAGAGGGAAAGTTGATTAGCAAGAAACAAAGCATTGAACTGTCTAGTAGTCTGTGACAGCTTCACCTACTTGACTTTGCGACCACTGGCCGTCGCAGGGTCTGCTGGGTAGAAGGGCTTCAACATGGCTTTGACGTCGCTGAAAGGTGGTCGCGGCTAGGCGCATATGCCACGGACGTTTTGGCAGGCACAGAAGGCAGTGATTGATTTCCAGAGCGGGATGCTGACACCACGTTGTAGTTACTGGCGAATGCAGGAAACAAGGATATGTTGGCTGTGATTCATGATATTCATCAAGTGGCATGTCAAGGACAAGGCCAGGTGGTAGTCACGGGCCCAGACCTAATGAGATGTACACTCCTCCTAATGACTTCCACGTTGGAGTGGGTCTGTCCCATTCCTACCTTGCAGTTTGCTTTTTCCGATTTCACAACGGTGTGCACACCAATTCGTGGCTGCCCTGCGTTCGCCCACCTGTGAAGGGTACACAACATACACAGTGCCCGAAGGCTTCTAATTGGATCGCGCCACGACTTGAACCATCCTCTCACCGCGTCCGGCTTTGAAACTCTGCATGTGCCGTCTTGCAGCAATGTGGTCGGGCGTAATACCTGCAGCCACAGCAGAGCCTACTTTCCTTGGTAGGCCGCAGTCGCCGAGCTATTACTATCTACTCGAACCTTGTGCTGATTAAAGAGTCCTGAAGAGCAGGCAACAGGCGGCAGCACTACCCTCCCTCCCCCACCATCTTCTGCCTCGCAACAGCAACAACAATACAAACACGACCTGAGTGATACCACCTCCACCACCGCCAGTAGGCCTCCATCCCCCCTTCATTATCAGACGAGCAATCAGCATGGCTCAATCAATCAAGAATGTCATGGCCATGGGCGTAAGTTTCTCTCTCCCCTCGCACTACTAGATAGGTCCAGTTCCTGACCATGTCCCTAAGGCCGGCGGCCTTTTCGGCACTCACGTCTTTGCGGCTCTTCAGAAGGAGGGATGCTTCAATCTCACCGTTCTATCGCGCAGGTCTTCCAAGTCCAAGTTCCCCTCAGACGTCACTGTCATCCACATTGACGATGACTATCCCTCGGATCAACTCGTCGAAGCCTTCAAGGGCCAGGACGCCCTTGTATCGACCATACCAGGCCGCCCCTACTCTGTCCACCTGCGCATGATCGATGCCGCCATCGAGGCAGGGGTCAAACGCTTCATACCGTCCGAGTATGGAAACAACACTTGCTCCGCTGCGGCAGAGCTTGTACCGCTCTACGGAGACAAGGCCAAAGTGCTCGATTATCTTCGGGAGAAGGAGCACACTGGCCTCTCTTGGACTGCAATCCATGCTGGCCAATTCTTTGACTGGGGCCTTGACGACGGCTGGCTGGACTACCACCTCAAGGACAACCGCGCTGTAGTCTACGACTCGGGCGACACGCGCTGGTCGACGACCACCATTGGCACTGCCGCGCTCGCTGTGGCTAGGGTCCTTGTTAATGCTGCCTCCACCAAGAACCGCCCCATCTTCGTTGCTTCGTTCACCGTTTCTCAGCGGCAAGTCCTCGAGGCTCTCGAGAAGGCTACCGGTGCCAAGTGGGATGTGGCTACCATGACCTCGGCCGAGGCCATCAAGAAGGCCAAGGAGATGGACAATGCGGACTACTCAGAGGGCTTGAAGCTTCTCATTCTCATGCTGATGTATGCCGATGATGTTGATCGCGGCGCGAACTTTGAGAAGGATGCCTTACTGTGCAATGAGACGTTAGGTCTACCCGTGGAAGATCTTGCCGAGGTGGTGCAGCGTGTCGTCAAGAACTTCAAGGTCTGAGAGCCGAGGAAGCCTCTTAGCTCCCAGCCCCATGGTCCTTATGGGAAACTGTCTGGGATCATGACTGGTACTTCGTGCTTACCAGATGACGAGAAGTAGACATGCCCGCCAGGCTTAATACAAGGAGGCATGATTCCAGTCAGACACAAAATAATGAGGCCTTCGCTTAGATGCTTTAGTGACATGGCATTATACCTTCATTCGTGTTAGTGATCCCCCATGGACTGTGCAAGCTCCAAGGTATCTTGTTTTTAGGTACTGTTATGACACCGCTGAAATCGTCCACCCTCTATGTTTCTGTGTAATGCACGAAATCTAGCTAATATGATGGCAGGCGGGAGGCCGGTTGGATGTCATGAGGCTGGAAATGCATTTGGCTCTCTGGCAATCCCACAACCTACCCGCAGGATATTCTGTTTGTATTGAGATGCGAATCTGCACGCAGAAACTAATCGTCATAGACCTGTTGATCTATGCTTTTCCTTCGAAACACTTGCCTCCAAACCATCTTGTTTTACAGACCACCTGATTGCACTAACCAGCCTTCCGCCTTCATCCCACAAGAGCCTGCAGCTGGGTGGTAGCGCTGTCAAGTTAATGGGCGCGTGTAGGGGTCAAATCCAGGAGTATTATTTGGGAAATACCGCAAGGGCGTGAAGGGGCTAATCTGACCAAGGCAGTAACTTGTAGTCATAGCTAGTCTACACATTGAATTAGCCTTGGAGATGCTTTTAGAGGATCAGTTGGTTCTGGTAAGCACGGGTAGGCACCTGTGGGATGTCTGGCGTTAAGCGTCCTTGGCATTCGTATCATGTAGCCTTTGGCTTGATCCCACCCCCATATGGGGGGGTGAAGCCTCCGCTCTAAATAAGGACTAGAGTGGAGAGAAGCCAACCTATAGCTTAGATTATTTGTCACAGGATCTTTGTTATCACAAGGCTCTCACGCAAGTCACCCTAAGCAGGACGTTGTTTGGCCCCCCTACCTGCATTTAGCCAGAAGTAAGTGTGGTTGCACAGCGTGTCGACTCCGGCTTCGGTGAGCACGAGACTGCCCACTTGAGAGCCTGCAGATGACTGATTATGTGGCATTCAGGGATCAGATAGGTTGCAAATACGAGGGTTACACTCGGCACCGAGGCACCGTATCTTATTCCGATACTCCATCCATTCACTGCCTCCAAGTCTAACCTAGCGCGCGCCGTCATTATTGAATGAGGGCTTAGCTCATGAAGCCTCGTCGTCTTGGGGGAAATATAAATGCGAGCAGTCAAGCCAAGTCTCTGGTCGACATGGCAATGGGGTTTTTGGAAGTTGATCCAGTACATTTATTTGCAGACATCTAGCCGACCTTCCAACCGCTAGCCACAGACCATGGACGCACAAGAGGATGATCAGATCCCGACAGCAGATCTTGTAGTTGTATCCTACGACAGCCTGCGGCGAGGGGAGCATGCGGAAGTCACTGCCCTCTTCTCGGCTTGTACAGAAAGAGGCTTCTTCTATCTCGACCTCACCGGCGAAGATAACTTAGTGGTTGTTGAACAACTCTTCGGTGTCGCCAAGGAGTACTTTTCAAAACCCTTGGAGGAGAAGTTGAAAGATATGCATTCTGAGCAGGATGTCTTCCATATCTGCGGGTATGCTGCCATAGTATAGCTCCCAGATCGCCTCGCTGTCTAGCCTAGCCCGCCAGCGGCTTTCATAATATGCACATACCTTTTATTGGCCCACGGCTAACCTGAGCATTGCACTTTGCGTTTGATTTTCTAGATACAAACCTCGCGGACTGGACCAAGGCAATGTGAAGAATCAGAAAGATGGTAATGAAGGCTTGCAGGTAAGCATGTCTGGGCCCATTTCACACATTAGAATGTGCATGGTCCAGAATGCAGACTTATGGCTGAGCAACTGTTCTATCAGATACCCGTAGACGTGCACTTAAACCCAACAGCCGATACCCAACAGCCGATACCCAACTCATTGTCCCCGAGGGCATCAGACAAAACTGGTCGCTCATCGCGAATTTCATAGAGCAATCCCACAAGATAGCCAAGACCGTCCTCAACCGGCTGTCCACGTGCCTCGCGCTCGAGCTTAAGGCCCAAGATGACAACCGCATTGATCTTGCCGCACCGCACGATCCAAATCTGGCCTCCACATCAACCGCAGTCCTACAATGCTATCCGACCAAAGATCTCAAGCCCGAGACGAGCGCAGGCCACTTTGCGCACACCGACGCTGGCAGTGTCTCGGTCCTATTCATGTCCCACTGGGGGCTGCAAGTCCACTCCTCCGTCCGCGATCGGTGGGAGTACATGCCACCACGCCCGGGCTGCGCTATCATAAACATAGGAGATAGCCTCTGCTTTCTGTCGGGTTTTAAACTCAAGTCTAGTTTGCGCAGAGTGGTTCCTTGTCCTGAGCGCTAGACTGCAGAAACGCGATACTCTGTCATATTCTTCCTGCGGCCGAGTAAGGAGGAGGTGTTCACTGACAGGGAGGGGAACGTGTGGAAGGCGGGAAACTGGCTAAATTCCAAGTTTGACAATTATCGCAAGACTCATGATGAGCAGATGCATTCAGCCATGTCGACTGGGAAGAAGGGCTTTCTAGGCCTGCGTGTCCCGCTGAGGCTGTGACACCAGAGCTTTCATTTTTCTATCCTGTCTTCCAATGCTCATTGTCGATGTAAGTAGGATACTAGTCATCTATCTCGGTCTCGAAATATGAAATGTCAGGGTCTTCTGAACTGGACAAGGAAATTTAGTCTAATCTGACACTGAAACATTAGTCGGTGCAGATCAATCATGTACCAGAACAATGGCGTTGCCAAAACACCCATCCACTGAACTGGCCGGCCGGAAAGGGGGCCGCGTCCACCCAATGAATCGTGAACAAAGGCAGAAAACATTTCATCATGCAGAGTGACGGGCCAGCTCAGATCTCAGCCACCACAGCGTGCCGCTCCCCCTACTGAAGTAGGTGCTTTCAAGTCGTACAACACCAGTCCCGTTGGTGCTCGATAAAGCTTTGCAAACTACTGGCTACCTATCAGCGATGGTTGCCTTGCTTGATATTGCGCCCCCTTTTCTGTTCACATGCCTGTCAGCTGGAGAGGAAAGGCTTCTGTGTTCGAGGCCGCCGGAGCTACATAGGGTACGCTGCAAACCCTCCTTCCCATCATCTCCTGCACGAGCTACCATTGTACACACTGTGACAATGAGCAGTGGAACGGTCCCCGCCCCCCAATTCATCCCCCAGCCTCCGGATCAGCCTACAGCAAGTAGTCCACAGGCAAACATCCCATCAATCACAATTCAAGGGATGGATGATGTAAATAACTCTCGCTCTTCCACAAAGAGCATTCATTGTAAGTACATTCTGGAACAATGAATATTTCCATCAGTTGTCCGCATTTTATTTGTGATTATCTTCAAGTCTAACCATCAGTGACTTGCCGAAGTGAGTGTCTACAAATATGCAAGAGCAGTGTACAAATTCTCCATCTTGCCCAACGGGCTCGGGTATCATCACCAGAACCTTGCGCGATTTCTTGCCCAATTGATGGAAACAGAGGAGAGTGCTTTTCAACCATCGAAATCTCACGACGACTTCGTCACAGCTTTTCGCTTCGTGCAGAGGAACGGTTACGGGACCGAGTCGCGGCTGCCTCGCAACTCTGGCGCTACTGGACCCAACTCTTACGTTAAATCATGGCAACTAGAATCGCCTCCCAAGCACCTTCAGACTTGTGAGGATCTCCATCGGCATCAGCTTGCTTTGAAACATGAATCCCCAGGCCAGGTCCTCTTCCTACGGGGTTTCCCGTCTCCCGAATGGGTAGGCCTCATAGGCTCCAAGTACCATGTCGACCCAGAGTTCTTCTCCAGATACCTCGATTTCCGGTCTATGGAAGATCGGTCCAACAGCGTCTGTGCCCCTCTGCTCCCCTCTCGGGAATGGAACATCATCGAGCTTTCTGTCCCTCGTGTTGGGCTTTGGAGCTCCCTTGGCCCGTATGGTAGTCTCACTAGCCTAAAGAGCGTCCGGCTTTCATCTGCCGCTGCTCTGGCAGAAAGACATCATCTTATTGAGATCGGTTCCGTAGTACCTGTCGGCAGCACCATGATTCGAGCCATTCACATCCTGGATAAATCCCATTTTGCTGTCGAGCAGAAGATCTTGATATGTCTACAACCTCCGGATAAAAAGAGAGGATGGACTGGTAAGCCACTTTGCCATGCAACCCCAGCGAACACTTGTACTGTTGTATAGACTTTGGAAAAAAGCTAATGATTTTTACATGTGGTCTAAGCTCTCGTCTGGACCGACGAAGGCACGAAAGCCGGAGTCGACTTCCTCGAGGGGCCACTAGCCACCATTCTGCAGCTCTCTCAGCCATTCAAAGCTTCACTGCTACCAATAATCGACTACACACCAATGATGGGACTCAAAGCCCACCTCATATCCAAACACCTGCCCGATGACTCCCCCGGCCACTCCCACTCATCAGCCCTCCCACTAGACTTTGGCTGTTCGATCCGCAACACGCTAGCGAGCAAAGACCCTTTCTACGCACTCTCTGAGATCTTCACCCTCGCCGCCTCTGCGGAAAAGGCCTTTCTCGACCGCGTTGAGCTCAAGCTCGAAGCAGCCATAACACCCGATCACACCACTCCCATCTCGCACAACGACCGCCTCGAGAACCTCCGCTACTTACACGTTCTTCTCCAGCGCCGCGGACGGCGCATACACGCCACGCTGCAGGCGATACGAAATACCGGGCAGATCCATAGCAAGTGGCCCCAGTCCAACGAGGAGTCGGCGGCTTGCGCCCGTAAGGGGACGGAGCTGGACATGGAACACCTGCATGAGCAGGCAGAGCGGCTGTCAAGGCATTGTCAAAATGAGATTGCAGTGCTGATGAATAGTATTGTGATATTGGAGTCTGTCAAGGCCATCAGACAGGCTGAGCGGGTGGAGAAGATTACATTCTTGGCCTTCCTGTTTGTGCCCATGTCTCTCGTCTCCTCATTCTTTAGTATGAATGTGCCGGAGCTGCAGAGTGTGCCGCTATGGTCATGGTTTGCCACAAGTCTTGTCCTGGTGATTGGTACAGTGGGTTATTATCTGATTGAGGATGTGCGAATGCCTTGGAAGGCATTGAAAGAGTGGTTGCCGCGGAGGTAAGGTAGATTATAACAACTTGGTTCAATGCTTTGTTTCGGTAGAGCTAAGGAAGGGTAAGAAAGAGGGTTAGGATAGCTGAAGTGGCTGATGGTATGTTTTTGCTCGCTTCCCTCTACTGTCGAGCTCTAGTTGGAGTGAGGTCACCTAAAGCTACTCGGATTGCTCTAACAAGTCTTCCTACAGGGTCTGAAATATACAACAAGACTTATAGAGAGGCAATTAAGTAAAGTGAAGGCTAAGTTGTAGATCAAGCAGAATATACTAAGCAGGTCTAGTCTTAGATTACTTATAGAAGAAGAATGTATAAGATATTAGAGCTTTAACATACTCTTACTATTAAAGGCAGACTGGCACTAAATAAAGAAAATAGCTTATAGATATTTAGTATCATCTTAGTCTATACTAGGTTGGTTATAGTTATTAGACTAGATTCTAGCTAGTATAGATATCTAGCCTATCTAAGTAAGTTATATAAATATATAACTAAGTAGTATTTCTATAAAATAAACCTTATACTAAAGATATAAAGTATAAAGTTATATTAGGCTTAATTTAGACTAGTTTCCTCTAGATATCTCCTATAACCAGCCTCCTCTTAAGAAAGAGGGGAGAACACAACAATACACACAATCAGCAGTCCAACACACAAGGGGAGTCCTAAGGTGCCCTCCCCCCCGCAAAGGAGAGGGCTGGTACGCCACGTTTGACCAACGTGTTGTTTGTGGGAAGGAAGATCTCCCTCAACGCAGATCCCAACCGAGTCCCTGGCGATCCGGTTGGTACCGATAGTCGGATCATCACGACTCATTGCTCCTTCTGTAAGGCAACAATCACAAGTCCAAGCAACCCTGTTCTCGGCGTGGCACAAGCTATCGATGGGTTTGCTGCACATTGATGTATTCCCTGTCACCTCTCCTAACTTGATCATCGATTGCTCCTTGACTGCAGCAAACAATACCTCGACCAGGGTTACTTCCTCTTTGCGAAGCGGGTATTCTAGTCTAGCATTAGATTGACTAATGTTCCTGTTACTAATAGGGAATGATATGCTCAAGTAATGAGATAACTGCGCAACTGCAAGCCTGCTACCAGAGTCGTGTGATCTTCTAATGCCGGTGATGTAATCGGGAGGCGTAGAGCTCGCTTAGATCGCCTCACCAATGCTTCTCACTGATGTCGACCGAGTTCACATCCACGCCGTCTTTGTACCACCGCTCCTCCTCGGAGATCTTGACATCGTTCCCGCTCATCATCCTCTTCCGCATAAGCCCGTTCTCGGCAAATGTCCAGTCCTCAAGGCCATAGCATCGCCACCACTGGCCGGATTCGTCAAAGTACTCGTACCAAAACTGGACAGCGATCTGTTACATAAACAAGTCATTGTTTAGCAGAAGACAAGAAAGTGACATCATCATCACTGATTCTTACCTTGTTGTCTCGGAAAGCAAACAGCTCCTTGCGCAGACGGTAGCCGTCCTCCTTGGACCATTTGTCCTCTAGGAACTTTGCGATCTCGTCACGGCCCTGGAGAAACTGGTCCCTGTTCCGCCAGATAGAGTCTGGAGTGTAGGCCATCTTCACTTTCTGCGGATCTCTACAAGCGGCGGTAAGCAAGGTGTGAAGCCACAGAAACGGAATCTGCAGGGTGGTAGCTACCTGGTATTCCACGCATCTTGTGCAGCCTTCACCTTCTGCTGTGCGGTCTCTTGGGTAAAGGGAGGGAACGGCGCTCTTGCTTCACTGGCCATTGCGTGTGGATGTAATTGAGAAGAAAATATCTAAAAATGTAAAGTCAGGTTTTATTGAATCAATTGAGATCCAAGGATACAGGCTGTGAGAAAACAAGAAGACTTTTTACAAATATATATATTCGCTTGTGCAATTGGAGTCTGGGCCATGCTTTGTCAAGAACAGTCTGGAAATTGACGTCTTACTGGACCTTGCCGTCTTTTCGGCGTTCCACAGCGGGGCCTTCCCCGAGAACGGCCCAGACGGTGTCGCCGGGGCTGACCGGCAGGGCCCTGTAAACTTCGATCAAAATTACCCTTTTAGGCATGTTTTCTCGAACTACAGTGGGGGTTGCGAGAGGGACGAGCACTGTCGTTTCTCCAGCACAGCAGGATCAGATAATATCCTGAGTGCATCTGGAATCGGTCCTGGAGTCAGCGGCAAGCTTTCTTAGTCGGGATTGAAGCCTTCTTTTTCGGAAATGGCATGGTTTGCAACTTAGGCCAGCGCGCGGCCAGTGTGTGAGGCTTTATTGAACCACTAGCATGGCCAGGTTACTGACCGTGTTTTGTAAAGGCCTGTCCGGGAGATAGGCTTCCGCATATTCACAATCTTCGTGCCAAAAGCCTCGCTCGGGGCTCGTCTCTCTGACTTGGTCGGTGGTTTAGGGTTCCTTTGTCCGTGATCAGGAGAGTCGATGGGTGAAAAGGACCATGGCACACCAATCATTTACCGCCCCCCACGACCGCCTACAATTTCGTCGCGTCCAACAGACACCTCACCAAAAACAACTCTCGCGACAAGGAGCGTTGCATATTAAACCCATTTGGCCGACCAACCCAAGCACTACAAGGGCCCCTCTCTCCTTCATCATGGATCATGGATGAACCCTCGCAATTCACGAAAAAGTCAACCTCCATTTCCAGCTTTACGAGAGTGAGGGCATCCCCTTAGCGATCCCACGAGACAGGACCTATACGACGGCCGAGCCGTTCATCTTGGATCTGCTCTCCTTTCAGGACAAGAAGCTCCTGCACCAACCAAACGCCATCCACGACCAGGATGATGGCGAACGCCAGCTTGCGGCACTGGCGGCTCTGAGGGCGACTATGCACCATTTTGTCCGGCCCGAGCTCCGCGACGGGCCTTTCTACCTCACGCTCACCGACGTCCATCAAGGCAACATTTTTGTCGACGAGGATTGGAACATCCAGGCAGTCATCGACCTCGAGTGGGCCCACTCCCTGCCGGCCGAGATGCAGCTGCCCCCTTACTGGCTGACGTCGCGGGCCGTCGACGGCTTCCACGACGCAAAGGCTACAGCCGAGTACGAGTCGGCGCTGGACGAGTACCTCGAGATCTACGAGGCCGAGGAGATGAGGCGGTTCGGCGAGCTGCGGCAAGGGCCGGTCCAGCGCCACGTGTGGCGGACGGGGGCCTTTTGGTATTTCGCTGCCGTATCCGTGCCCAAGGGCATGTACAACATCTTCAACCGCCACGTGCAGCCATTGTTCAACGAGGACCATGCTGACCAAGGCATCTTTGACGAGGTGTTCTTTTGGTACTGGGGGTTGGGGGCGCAGAGCGTGATCGATGCCAAGCTCAAGGACAAGGAAAGGTATCTTGATAGGGTGCGGGAGGTGTTCACAGCGCCGGATGATCCCGTAGAGACAGGTACACCAAAGTAATGAGCCTGCATGTGTTTGGTTTTGTGAGAGGCCTGGAACGTTGATCTCTATTTTCCACCTGTCTACACATGCACTGGTAGCAGCTTGGCGCCCACAGGTAGTTAATGGCTCCGCACAGCATTGAGTAATGCCCACTTGAGCCTGACAGACGACATCTATGGGCAAAACAATACGCGCTGAAGAGAGCAGTGAACAGTGCATTACTTGTAGCTGCAAGGGGAGCCCGGATCCCGAAAGGTGGGGGATTGCGACATTTGGACTGCCGCCATTCGGGAGGGACCCACATGCCACTCTCATAGAAGGAGGGGGAAGATTCACCTTGTTGAGCTGGTCTACAAAGACTAAGAGGAAGCCGCGCCCAGAACAGCTCCGATTCTCTCTCTCATCCAAATTGCAGCTCATGATTGTGGAGCTCACGGTCAACGTATAAACTCTCTAAGCCAGTATGGAAGCTCACATTTCCTCCCGTTATCAAAGGACAAGACAGTCACTGACAGTAAGCCCTCCAGCTAAGTAATCTCCATCCACACGCCTCAGACAATGTCTCTCAACGCCGGCGACTCCTTCCCCGAGGGTGTGACCTTCACCTACGTCCCTCCGGCTCCTGATGCGGGCATCACTAGCTGTGGTGTCGGCATCAAGTATGATGCTAGCAAGGGTACTGTTAACCCCCCTCCCTCCCTCCCTTCTCAAAACTTCTCATCTCGTCGCCTGCCTGCACGCACGAGGTGACCCGGGAAAGACACAGCTTAACCGAAGCGTGAAACAACAGAATTCAAGAACAAGAAGGTCGTGCTCGTCTCTGTCCCCGGCGCCTTCACCCCGACGTGCCAGGAGCAGCACCTGACCTCCTACCTCGACTCGGACAACTACAAGAAGCTCAAGGCCAAGGGCGTCGACTCGGTCATCTTCATCGCCTCCAACGACCACTGGGTCATGGCCGCCTGGGGCAAGGCCAACGGCGTCAAGGACGACTCCATCGTAAGTTGTTTTTCTGACGTTGCGCTCGCACCTTTTTTCCCTCCGAAGCAAAGTCCTCGCTGACATTACATATTACCAGCTGTTCATGGCTGACGATGGCCTGGCATTCGCCAAGTCCATTGGCTGGTCCTTGGGGGAGCGGATCGCCCGAGGCGCCATTATCATTGACCACGGCAAGGTGGTCTACGCGGAGAAGGACGTCCCTAAGAGCACTGCCGCCTCCAGCGCCGAGGCTGTTCTCGCCAAGTTGTAGACGAGTCGGCGCTGAATGGATGGGGAGAGGCATGGGTCATGTTGATAAAGCTGTTCCTCGTCACATAGACAGACATAGATCATATTCCCGCTCCAAATCTCCAGCACCTTCCAGTCCCACGAGCCGTGTCTCTCCGACCTAAGCAGCGAAATCAAGTGATCATAGAAGGTCTTTCATTATGACGAATGCACAGTGTTGGCATTTTTATGCTGAGCTAAACCCATGCGATAATTCATAACCCTTTTATGTTAGGATCCATGCAACCGGCCCAGCCCTTTCAGGTAAAGAACATTCGAAAAGAGACCCCGACTCCGATTCCGTCGCCCACGCTTTCGTCCTCGTCAAGCATCCGGCTTAACGGGTGGTGGCCTGAACCTTCATCGGTGCGCCCTTGCTGCCCTGCTTGCTCTGGATGCGGCCGGTCTGGCCCTTGCTGGCAACAGCCTTCTTCGCCTTCTCAGCCTTCTTAGCCTTCTCAGCCTCGGCCTTCTTCGCCTTGGAATCCTTAATGTCCTGCAGTCTGGCGGCGCGGCGGGCCTCGGGGCGCATGGAGCGCTTCTCCTTGATCACATCGAGGGAAGCACCGACGATGGCACGCTGGGACTTGACGGTGCGGCGGGTGCGCTTCTTGGCAACCTCCTGTAGGGTGTGTCAGTCACAGTCTCTCTCTTTCTCTTCGTGTGTGTGTGTGCCATGTCTTCCAGACACTCGAACATCGAGTCCATGTTGCTTCCCGACGCTGGAGAGGCAGCATGTGGGGATATCGCGTACCTCAGAGATACCCTTGCGGTGTTGTCGGCGGTAGAGAACAGTCCAGGCGATGCGGCGGGGGTTCTTGCGCTGCAGGAAGAGCGACTCCGACTTGCCATTCTGGAATCGGAAGATCTTGCTGTCGCCGCGGACGTAGAGTTTACCCTGTGAAAAACGAATCGATCAGCTTCTGCTCCTCCATTCCGTACGTGAACATCGTCGCTGGGCTGAGCCGTAGTCCTCGACCAAACGAGTCCCCTCGCCATCGTCCCTCCTCTTTCTGACCCCATGCCATCTTGCAGTCCCGGCCGGCCCCAAGTCGACATCAACATCGGTCATGATAAATGGAGAGCGTACCTTGCCAGGGTAGATTCTCTGGCCCGAGAAAGTGTCGTCGTAGGTCCTCATTTTGGCGGTGGTTGGCGACTCGGGATTCGTGGGTTGAAGTTCGAGAAGACTGTCAAAAGTCGCGAATAGGCCGAATTTTGAAATTCTTGTGCGTTGGTAGGGTCAGAGGATCCGCTCGAAATTAGAGGGGTTAGTTGATTGGACAGGGCCGGGACTCCAAATACGTTTGCCTCAGGCAGATTCTGATGGCATCAGTGCCCACGCCTTGCGATAAGATAAGGACGACTTTTGTGGGCCCTCCAACACACAGGTACTTTGGTACCAGAAGACCTCTTCCTCTGGTAGCACTGCCTCAACCCAGTGCCTCGTGTATTCGCGAGAATCTTCCGAAAGTTGTGCATGTGTTGACTTGTTCATGTGCCTTGGGATGCTGTGCCCGTCATTCACTCCCATTTTCTCCGTATCGTTCCTTCCTTGTGCCCTTTTCCAAGTCTGTGTAATTCTCCCGATGTAGTCCCGCTATTTTCTTTTTGTATCTGCCCTCATTTCTCAGGAAGATCCCTCTGACCATGTAATTTCCATCTTTGACATCCTTTGCTTCCTCTCGACTCTCATCTTTTGATATACTTCCATGTCATCTCGCAAATGAACAGCGAGGCGGACGAGATCGCCTCTCTCGTCCTGAAGCAATTCGACCGGCTGCCAGCTAAGCGCAAGCCTCCTGTCCGTGATAATGGAACACATGAGTGGGTACCGCTGAGCGGCATAGTAGCCAGAGGTAGGCTTTGCATGAGCTGCACTGAAGGTGGCTTTTCGTGATGATTAACATTTCTACAAAGGGACTAATGGGAAAGCAACATGTCTTGCTCTGGCGTAAGCTTTGACAGAGTCTGACCAGTCTCGGCACATGTCACTAAACCTGCTACAGGACGGGCATGAAATGCCTACCGGCTTCGAGGCTATCCCTCGCCAATGGTGTAGCCGTCCATGACTGGCATGCCGAGATACTTGCCATCAGAGCCTTCAATCAATTTATCTTGGAAGAGTGCCGCAACATAGCCCTCCACGGACGGGCTTCCAATTTCCTGCGACTTCGGACCGAGGAGGAACTCGCTGCCGCCGACAAGTCTGCCTTTCATGGCCAGCCATTCTCTTGGAAGGACGGCATCACTCTCCACATGTACTGCTCCGAAGCGCCATGTACGCAGTCCATTCTCAATGTTTACCTCCTCTGACTCCTATTACTAACACACCTGCAGGTGGAGACGCCTCGATGGAACTCACAATGGCAGCCCAAGATGACGCCTCGCCCTGGGACATCCCAGCTCCGCAACCCGCCTCCGTCTCTGGCTCCGCCGGCAGTGGGAGCGGGAGCGAACCGCCCGCCCTCCTCGGACGAGGCTACTTCTCTCAGCTAGGCGTCGTCCGCCGCAAGCCCGCCCGCGGCGACGCACCCCCCACGCTCTCCAAGTCGTGCTCCGACAAGCTCGCCCTCAAGCAGTGCACCTCCCTCCTCTCCTCGCTGACCTCCCTGCTCGTCTGCCCGGACGGCGTCTACCTGCGGACCCTGGTCCTGCCAGAGTCCCAGCACTCCGAGGCCGGCTGCAGGCGGTCCTTCTCGGCCGACGAGGGCCGGGGCGGCCGCATGCACCCCGTCGCGGGGAAGCAGTGGAGCGGCGGGTACGCGTTCAGGCCGTTCGAGGTGCAGACGACGAGGCGCGAGTTCTCGTACTCGAGGCGCAGCGTGGCGGCGCGGGCGGACAAGACGGCGGCGAGCAACCTCGCCGTGGCCTGGGCGAGAAACGGCCTGGAAGAGAGCCTCATCGGCGGTGTCTTGCAGGGCCGGAAGCAGTTTGATCTCCGGGGAGCGACACCCGTGTCTCGCCGGAAGATGTGGAGTTTAGCTACCGAGGTGGCTGCCCTGGTGGGGATGAGTTGTGTCGCCATTCAAAGCCTACTTCGGTCGAGCACGTACAAGTCTGTCAAGGAGGGAGAACTGCTCTCGGCGAGGCGGCAAGTGAAGAGTGAAGCAAGGGCTAGGGCTCTCGCAGGGTGGGTTAGGAATACAGATGATAATGATTTTCGAATAGAGCATGGCGGTTGAGCAAGCCTCCTGAATACATTTGACATCACAGCTTGCACAGACTCGGACACAGTCTTGAAACATCACCTCGAGGTGAGGTATCAATGGCAACTATTGACACAAGTGCCACACCCGGGGCTCATCAAGAGTCTCGGGCATATGCAGTTTAGGAGATACCACCAATTCATCCGTCGTTGATGTGTAAGTCCCCATGCAGTGTTTCCGTATCGTCCACATTTTGGGCAGAAATGATATCCATGCTCCCGCGAAAACTTCCAGAATCCAGCCAAATCCATTTTCCGTTTGCCCACGCCAAAGGATAGATCAGGACGGTCCTCCACGCTCATCCCCGCTCAAAGGTACAGAGAGTCTTTTGCTTTACTCGACCTTCTCCTCAAAGTTCTCGCCAGGGACCAGGTCGGGGATGTCGTCGTCATCAGCCTCCTTCTCGCCCTCGCCCTTCGCCATGTTCTGCTGGTAGCTCTCAGCGAGCTTGCGCAGCGAGGCCAGAGAGTCGGGGCCAAGCTGGTTAAGGATACCGGGGACGAGCTCGGTAAGCTCCTTGTCCTCACCGTTGCCGTAGATGGCAAAGGTGTTGGAGGGAACAGCGGCGTGGACTGTGTATTTCTTTCCGTTAGCGTTCCGAGAAGCAGAGACCCACGGATCTACAGGGCCCTGAGAGCGATGCCAATGGCATTATTTACGCACCCTTAGGCTGAGCGAAGTGAATGACGTTTCCGTCAGACTTGAACATGTTGACCTCCTCGATGGCCTGGATGGGCTGAGTGTTGAGCTTCTTAAGCGTCTGCTGCAGCTTCTTGTCGTCGCCGGCGGACCGGGCGGGAGCACGCTTGGCCTTTCTCCGGGGAGTACCCTTGCCACTGAGTGTCACATCCAATGTCAGTCAAGGCCCTTCTCCACGGCGACGATGGCATTCGGTTATATATCGAGGGGTTAGGTGAGATTCGATCAGTTGTACATACCCTAGCATACGGTTAGTCAACAGGTCACGCTGTCGTCCCCGAGGTCGGAGATGTGCCATTGGAAAGCAGACTTACCAGTTCGCGCGCTGGCGCCCAGCTTCTTGAGACGCTCCTGAATGTCAGCCATGATTATAGATGACCGGAATGGGTGAAGATGTCGATGGAGGAGGAATCTGCCGGGGAGTGGAGCAGGTGGTGCCGAGGTTTCGAGGGTCCCTGAGGAAGCTAGGGCTTGGAGGTTAGATTCAGGCTCTCGTTTCAATTCAATGGCCGGGACTGCTGACGAGGAGAGGTCTCGGAGTAGCAAGTCGACGACGGTCCGGGGAAAGGGGGGTGTTGTTGGGCAGACTCACTAGGATCTTGTTTGCCTTGTGATTAGAGTGACGGTGAACCGATCTAGGGCCAGTGACTGGTGAACTGTGCTGGAGCCTCGTTGGAGAATTTGTGTGCGCCAAGAATTTTCGCTCACGCAATATCGATTTTCCCTTCATTGAGGTCTCCCGATTCCAAAGTGTGGAGGATTTGGCAGGGCGCACAGACCAGATATGTGGGGGGCTGGCCAACCAGCAGCTTCAGAATCTCGTCGGGAGGGCCCCTCTCGCTGCAAATCCCCCTAAACTTTAGCCCCAACTTTGCTGCCAGACATGACAAAGCTTTTGTTGTTAGGGCCTGCCACCATATGCATGATTGGTACCTCGCCGGAGCTCAAGGGAAGAGAGAGATTCTTTCGAACTAACGTACCTACTGTATGGTTGAGCCAGGGGGTGCACATATATTTCACTTGAAAGCACAACATGTTGAATTGCACCTCGTGGAGGCACCACATGTGACAAAACCCCTTGCGGGAGCTTGCACCCGAACTTAGAGCTCGGGATCGGATGAAACTGGCCGGACTGGCCGGGCCACGACGGCCACAGAGATTACTGGCTCGAGCCAATCCAGATCCAGAGAGTGTCAGCTCATCACTCATAATGATTATTGGTTGCGCTTGAATTTGTGATCGTATGCCTAAAACACAGAGTGCGCCGCCCTTGAGATGGTGATGTGCTGATATGATACATGGTACATGGATGCTGTTTTGTACAGTTCGCGGGATATGCAGTGCAACTCGCTCTTCTCACTCCTTGCTTCCCAGACCAGCCGCTCTCCTCACCTCCTCTTTCCTTGCCTTGGTCTCCTCGGCCAGCCTTAGGCTTTCCTCGAGCTGAGCCTGTTTCTCTCTCCGAGCCTCCTCCTTTTGCACAACCCATACTGCGTGGAGTGGTCAGCAAAGCCTATTCGAGGAGGTGGACTGGTGGTCCGGAGATCTCGTCTTACTTGACTGTTTGGACTTCGACTGCTCTTTGAGCTTGTTGACAAAGTCGTCGAATCCTTTTTCTGTTTCGTATCTCCGCTCGAGGCTCCTCTTCTTCAGTTCCGGGTTGTACCTCTGGAACAGCTCCTCATCGGTAGGTATTACGTAGTATGTCAGAGCAGGGCCTCCAATACAGATCAGAGCTCCACTGACGTTTTGTCGCCTTAGCATCGGCATTCTCAAGAAAAAGGAACTTGGTGATAGGGAAGAACAAACTCACGCGCCGATCATCTTCGCCCAGAGGGCCCAATTTGTCGGTTTGGGCGCCATAATGATCACCGCCCTTAGAAACCAGCACAAAGAGACTAGGAATTGCTCATGAGGCGTGAAAACTCGAATTTCCCGGGCGTTGGGGTGGCCTATGGCGAGCTATCACGAGTGTGAAGTCGACTACCTCATCGACTGAAGCTCGAGGAACTTGAGAGCGGCGTAGCGCGGCAGTATTAAAATGGACGTCATGCAATTGGCCCGGGGTGCCGCTCGTGCCAACATGGAGTTCACCCTAACGCTAATAGCAGTCATACCTGAGTCTGGACGCTCCGCTCACTAACCATCTTTCATCCAACTTGATTTACCAAGAGAACGAGAAACTGTGAGGAAATTCGCGAACTCAAGAAAGACGATATACTGGTCTGGTACACCTGCTCACTGTCGGCATGTCTGCCGACTTCTCACTCCCTCCTGAATGTCCGAAGTGCCAAGTCCAATGACGATGTTCGGCCTCTCCGGACCATTACGAAAGAAACCTGAGGCCTCATGCTCCGCCACAGTCTTTCCGCACCCCGTTCACTCGTCCTCCGTACACATCCACTGCCAGTGGATTTGCTACCTACCTATGATGTCGAGAGCATCACGCGGACGCCTTGCTCGAGGCCTCCATGAGCTCAAGGGGCCACATGACATCGTAGATCACTTTCAACGTTGGCGAAGACAAGCTAGGGCGAGGTTCGTCCGTAGTACATGCTCGGTAATATTGTACCTATTCAACCCCGGCCAACTCGATCACAGGCTCGAATGACTCGGGATTCGTTTCCAGAAGTGTTGCAGGCCAACCCGGTTAGTCGTTGGAAATTGGAGTTGGGATGAAAAGAAGAAAAGACACCCAGCGCGGCTCCTGGTCGGTAGGACAGTCTCAAGACAAGCTCGCTACGACAATGCAGCCCCCATGGCTCCATCCGGTGCATGAAGCAGAAGCGCGATCCCGGCACTTGGCAACAACCTTTTTTCTGCAGGTACGTCGGTTGCTAAGGCTCTAATGGCGGGAAGGACAGCGATCCGGGCCAGGAGATCCCCTGCAGGGCACGTTAGACCCCTGAGTGAGGGGCGCGATGGCTTGTTGGAGACATGGCTGGCACCAATCAAGCTCCCAGTCCTCGCTGGTCTGATACAGTGCCCTGGGACGGAAGATGCTTGCATACCTACAGCAAATGGATGCCAAGACTGGTGCAATGCGCCCGAAACATTTCACCCTTCCATTTCCCGGAACGCTCGACTGATGCTCTCGGGCGGTGCCAAGCATTGCATCCAGGAGATCTTATGCCAATCGCAATGAATGTATGGGCGGACACGAGGCCCGGCAGGATGTTGGGCAGCGTGCCGTGCCCAGCTTGTGTCCGAAATGGACTCTCCTTGTACTGTATGTATGTATCCAACTCAACTTTAGGACAAAGCGAGCCCCAGGCACCAGACACGAAGTACCTAACCGAGGACACGAACGGAGCAAGCCGTTAGCCGACCTTTGTTGAGTGCTGCCTTGGACTTACTTGATGGTGGATGCATCAACAAGGGCTAGACTTATTGCTTGCTGCACCTCGTAAACCCCTCAGCCATGCCTAGACTACTGACCAAGTCCAAGCCAATAAGCCAAGTCGTCAAAGTTCTGCGTCATTGCACTTGTGAACTTGACGTCTGTGACGCCAGTACGCGAGCCCTCGAGTGGCTGGAATTCAATGGCATTCTGTCTCGTCCGGCCTACCCCAGCTTTTTTCCCAGCCAGCAACCTTGAATGCACGCACCATTGACCCAGCCCATTCCCCAATGCCGAGCCAGTAGAACCGGGCCCTGAAGCTGGGCCCAGCACACCTGACAGGGACGCTAAGGGGCCAGAGCCACCGAATGACCCCCCCCAAAGTGGCTCCCAGGAACCCCCCTTCTCCCCCACAACCGGGTCCTAGTGCCCTAAGCTTGTTGTGCTCAGCAGGCACAAGCTTGCCGACCCTCTCTTCTCTGTGGATGGACGCTGCGCCCGCCCCTCTTGCACACACCCAACTGCCCACCAAGCCATCCATCCATACTGATTTGCCTGCTGTACGAACCTCTCGCCTTTTGCGCGTGCCGGACCCGGTCTTTAGGATCCAGCATACTTGCTCTTCTTTCAACACTCCTTTCAAAACTCCGCCGTGTGCGCATCATTCTCTGTTTCTACACCACTTCCCTTCATACCGACTTGGAGACCGTCCGTTAACCTCCCTGCCCGTTCTCGGCCCTTCCTTTTTGATTACCTTTGCCTCCTCGGAGACAACGGCAGAGACACACTCCCTTGAAGAAGAAGAAGAAGAAAGCAGCGACCCAGGGTCCCACTGTGCTGGAAGCGCTGTTGTGCAGCCCTGCCGAAACCGTCGATCAACACCAAGGCGAAACGTCCCCTTTGGTGACAGTCCGCAATGCGCTAACTTTATTCCGCCTCGGAAGCTTCTTGACGATCTTTGTTTTCACTTCATTCATTCTTGGCTGCCATTGTTCCTCTCAGGGCAGAAGAGATAAGGACTCAGTTGCGCTATTGCTGCGCAAGAAACCGCGATCCCAACATACCTGCCCAGACCAGACGCTGCACTCTGTGCTCTCGACCCACACCCAGAACACGCCAGAATTAAGGCCTCAACGGCCGAAAGCACGCCCCAAGTCCGTGGCCATAACCGATCGATATGGCTTATGACGGATATCAACAACAGCATCAGCGGCCGTACAATGGTCCAGCTGCTCCGAGGCCTCCGCCGCAGCGTCACTACCCTCCCGCTCCCCAACGAGGCCCTCCGCCACAACAATACAATGCGCCGCAGCAGTATGACCAGTACCAAGATGACTACGGCTACGGCTATGACGAGTATGGTGGCGGAGGAGGCGGCGACTACAACCAGGGCTACGACCGCCAGTATGATGATATGAACTACAGACAGGGACCACCCAACCAAAACTACCCGCCACAAGACTATCCAGGCCCTGGTCCTAATGGCGGTGGTAGAGGCAGGCCCATGCCCAACCAGCGAGGGCCTCCGCCCAGACAGATGACAAACGATGGTGGACGAGGCCCATATCCTCCCCGGCAAGGGCCTCCGGGTCCAGGAAGGGGAGATTACCCCAATGGTCCGCCTGGCGGACGCGGTCGCGGAGGTCCTCTCGATAGATCGGCAAATTCAGACCCGAGTAGTGAGTGAAAAAGCGCTCAAAGTCGCGCGCATAACGTCTTACTGACCTGCTCCAGTGCACCGCGGCCGAGGACCCATGCAAGATCCGATGAGCCCCCAGGAGACGGGATTTGGAGGCAGCCCATTTCCCACGTTTCCGGGTCAGAGCCGCAAGACGGATCTGGATCAAGAAGGTCAGATACTGGATCAGATGTCTGGCTTGGACATCTCGGGGAGAGGTCCCAGACAGAATGGGCCTCCGCCACAGCGCGGCCCAATGGGACCCCCTGGTCCTGGCTATGGCCAGCGCGGGCCACCGCAGCGAGGTTTCACTCAGGACAATTACGCGCACTCAGACCGAGCCCAGAGTCTGGATCAAGGCTACGGCCCCTCGCGAGACTATCCCGATGATGGATACGGACCGCCAGGTCGCACAATGACCATGCCGAGCATGGAGCCGATGAGGAACAACCAGGGTCTTCCTCCGCGTGTAGACAGCGCTCCTTACAACGGACCTGCAGGGAGGAACATGCCGCCGCGACCATCTACAGCATCAGGCATGCGGCAGCCTCCTCAACGCCCGTATCCTCCCAACGGAGGGGGACCGGCGTTCCAAGAGCCTCGCTACGGTAATGGGCCATCACCTCAAGGATACGATCAACAACAGAGGCCGGCCTCATTCGATAACTATGATCTGTATGATTCTTACAGTGAACCTCCTGCGAATCCTGAGTATCACCGAAGCCGGGGATCACAAGCTTCAACTGCTGTCCCTGATTTCGATGCCGACCCACAACAGATGCCGAGAAACTCGTTTGATCAGCATATGCAGCAAGGAGGCCCGGGGCAACCACAGCGTGGGCCGAATCGCAACCCCGAGCTCAACAAAACGAAATCGCAGCCCGATCTCCGGCAGTCCCAGCAAGCTGTCTTCGAGATGGCCTCGGATGCGCCACCAATGCCAAATGGCTTCCAGCAGCAGGGCTATCCTCAGGGACGAAGACCAACAGCTCCAGGTTTGCCAACTGGGCCTGCACCTATCAGACAACACAGCGGCGCATCAAGCCGGTCCGGTGGTCCAGATTCCCTACCGTCACATCCCGCACCTGTCCGACCGGGTCTAATGCCCAATTCGCTCGTCAGCCAGATGCCAAACAAGCCGGCCCCCGTCAGAAACTACGCAGGCAACACCCCGCCAGCCGGCGGCATGCCTGCAATGCCGCCTCCAGTGCAGGTGCAAGCTGCGCCAGCACGTACCGAGACGCAACAGCCATGCACTCCTGAGCTGCTCGAGAGTCTCAGGAACACCATCAAGGCGGACCCGAACGACCAAGAATCGGCTCTCCTCCTTGCTAAGAAGCTCATTGAAGCCATGGATGTCTTGGCCCCGGGATTGCCAGATCCCAGGTCACGAGGCAAGGCTCGTGAACGCTATGCTATGGATGCGCACAAGATATTGAAGAAGCTGGCAAATGCCCAAAATCCTGATGCCATGTTCTTTATGGCTGATTGTTTGGGAAGGGGAGTCTTTGGTGGTGCGGAACCCGACAACAAGGAAGCATTCACTTGGTATCAATCTGCAGCCAAGCTCGGACACGCCGCCGCGGCGTACCGCACTGCTGTGTGCTGTGAGATTGGTAACGAGGAAGGAGGCGGCACGCGCAAGGACCCTCTCAAGGCCATCCAGTGGTACAAGCGCGCTGCAACCCTGGGCGACACCCCGGCAATGTACAAGGTCGGCATGATCCTCCTCAAGGGCCTCCTGGGACAGCCCAAGAACCCCCGCGAGGCCATCAGCTGGCTCAAGCGGGCCGCCGAGCGCGCCGACGCCGAGAACCCGCACGCGCTGCACGAGCTGGGACTGCTTTACGAGAGCGCGCAGCCAAACGATGCCTACCTCCGGGACGAGGCCTACGCGTTCCAGCTCTTCCAGCAGGCGGCGGAGCTGGGCTACAAGTTCAGCCAGTACCGCATGGGCTGCGCCTACGAGTACGGGCTCATGGGGTGCCCCATCGACCCGCGGCTGTCCATCATGTGGTACTCCAAGGCGGCGATGCAGGAGGAGCACCAGTCCGAATTGGCGCTCAGCGGCTGGTACCTTACCGGCAGCGAGGGCGTGCTGCAGCAGAGCGACACGGAGGCCTACCTCTGGGCGCGCAAGGCGGCCATGGCGGGGCTGGCCAAGGCCGAGTATGCGATGGGCTACTTTACTGAGGTGGGCATCGGCGTGCCGGCCAACCTCGAGGACGCCAAGAGGTGGTACTGGAGAGCTGCTGGTAAGTTGGATTGAGTTCTATTGTGTGTCCGTCCCCTTGGCTAACAGGCTTTTGCAGCACAGGATTTCCCCAAGGCTCGGGAGCGCCTCGAAGACCTGAAGCGGTCCGGTAAGAACGGCCCCAGGCAACGGGAGCGGATCTCGCGGAGCAAGATCGGCAAGCAGCAGGAGGGAGAGTGTACGGTGATGTGAGAAGCATCGTCGTGGCGGTACTGCTCCTGACCTGGCCTGACCTGACCTGACCTGACCCGATACGTGCGTGTGTGTTTGTGCGCAAGACACGGGGAGATGCTCACGGGAAGCAAATCCAATGATATCGAATATATATCCGCCACACCGGTGCTCTCAGGCTGGTCTTTCCTGAGACATGAAGCGGGTGTCTTACTTTGTTAATCGACAACAGGAGGAGGAGAGGGGATCTAATGAGAACATAGAGATGATGCCAAATGCGGACACGGGGTATGCCTGGACTGGGGGTGGTGGCCATTGTATTATTACTTTTCAACGAACAGACAAAAGGAGCCGTAGACGTTGCGCTGCTTTTCTCCCCAACACAAGGGGAGCCAGGGACATATAAAGGGGGGCTTTACCAACCATGCAATCGGAGTTTCCAAGGAAGTTTGTCTTTTTTAACACGAATAAAACAAACCCATTCAGAGGCAGTGGAATTGATGTTTATGACTGTTGAAAATTTCTTTGCTTCTGCACGTCTATCCCGTTTCCAGCAATGATGCTTTGAAGCCTGCCGGTTTGTAGCAGAAAACGCGTGAATAATGTACAGGACCTTTTGCCTTCCCGTTCCTCTGGGGCCTGCTACGTGGCTGATCCCAGTTATCCCTTGATGTAAGGGTAGCGGCAGGTGAAGACGAGCTCGTCCCTCCGAGCATCATCAACCCCAACACCCCGATTTTTTGTATGTCAAAAAAGAAGCACCCCGTGGTCGCCGTCCAACACCAACATCGATCATGATTGGCAACTGACTATGACCTTTAAACCAAAGTCCTCATCCACTCCCGGTTACCTCATGGAAGACACATGGCTTAAGCCTTGACAGCCTCCTTGACCTCCTCCTTGACCTCCTCGACCTTCTCAGGCAGAGTCTTGTTCTTCTGCGACTGGTGCCACATGAAGATGCGGGTGCACTGGACGACACCGACGATGCCGAGGAAGAAGTTGACGGCGGCCAGCCTGTACAACGGGAGCATACACATGTCAGCAGGTGAAAGACTCCGGGTGGTCCGGGAGAGAGAGAAACGGCGACACTCGCGAAGTTCGCCGCCTGTCTGCCTATATTACGAGTATTGATGGGGCACGTACAGGTAGTTCTTGGGCTTGATGATCAGGCACCACCTCGTCCAGATGAGGCCGGTGGCCGTGAGGGCGGCGTTCTGGGTGGCGGACAGCTTCTCGGCGGGGCGTCCGAGGTCAGAGATGCCGGCGATGACGAGAGCCCATTTCATGACGGGTGCCCTGTGTGGAGAGAAGCATGGGTGGTTAGCAACTTTCGGCCATCGATCCTTCCCCTTCCCCTCGGATATCAAAGATGTCCCTCTTCCTTGTCCTCCTCTCTTTACTCACCAGAAGTGGACGGTCTTGAGGCCGACAGGGCTGTTCCACATGCGCTGGAACCAGGTCTGAGCCTGTGCCTCGGCCTCGGGGGCGGCGGTGCTCTGGAAGCGGCGGCCGGCGGCGTTGTGGAACTGGAAGCCGTAGGTGCGGCCGAAGGCGGCGCGGGCCTGCGAGGCGAAGGTGGCCTGGCGGAAGGCCGCGCGGGCGTATGTCGCAGACGGGGGCATCTTTTTTGAATTCAGGATTTATCGGTCCTTTTTCTAAGGGTCTTCACAGCCAGAGAGAGGAGAGAAAGAAAAGAAGAGTAGGAGGAGTGGAGAGTGTGTGATTTTCCTCAATTGGGCGTGTGAGAAAAGGAACGGTGGTGTTGACTCAACGACGACGGGGTTGGAGTTGAGGTTCGGTTCGGGGTCCGATGGTGGAGAGAAAATGTTGGACTTCCTATTTCCGGAGATAAAGGCGTGTGTCGCACTGCAACCACAGGGAGCGGTTGTGAACGGCAAGGACGGGCAACGTTGTTGAGCAAAACGCCTGCGATAAGATAAGCGGACTGGCCCGTGCACGACTGCCCGTTGCTCCTGCCTGCTGCGTCACTGCACTGGACTGAGAAATTGGCGAGCTCTGAGTGGGCGGTCAAAGGTACCTGCTGCAGTTGGTCTGTGCGCCTGTTCTTCGCATTCCGGTACGCCAATTCACACTTTACTTGAGGCTGTACCCGAGGCCGAAACATCACGACGACGACGACAACATCACTACTCTCTGCAGAAAAACACCCTTCTTGCACGGCAGACTTCGCCCACCATGTCGACCAAGTACGCCTTCACCAAGTCTCTGAAGGAGGTCCGCTTCCTCTTCTGCCAGACCGGCGAGCACAGCGCTGCGACGAGGTACGTTTCCATGCCTCCGGGGGAACAGAGAGACAAGCCAAACAACTGGACGAATTGGGTCCGGACGACCGTCTCTCTCCTGCTGGCTCCTGGTACTTTAGAAGACGAGATCAATTGGGACTAACAAGACTCTCTCCCGCCACTGCAGGTCCTTCCTTACGCGCGCCTACCCCACGATGAAGAAGTTCAACCCGACCACCCCCATCATGCTGCGCGAGGCCGCCGGTACCCTGCCCAAGGTGTACGCGAGGTATGAGTTTGGTCGCGAGAAGAGCCAGTCATTAGAAGGTATGCAATGCCAGACTTTTGCAGCACGACCGTCTCTCAGCACAGAGACCACGAGGGATGACATGCTCACACTTTCGATCAGGACTGTCGGATAAGCAGATCGAGGAGGCAGTAACGACTCTCGTCAAGAACGACGCATAGAGAGAGAGAGAGGAGATGGACGATTGGAGGATGGTGTCGTGTCATGTCATGAAATAAAGTGTACAAAAATACCCGTGAATAGACGGAAAACGAGTTTTATCGCAATGCTCCGGTCTCACCACCTCGAATGTCGAATTGCATCCATATGGTGTTCTACTGACAGAAGGATCATTGTCAAACCGAAGGGATTTCCCTATTTTCATCATTGAATTAAATTAACACATCGAGAGTACTATAAAAATACAATGCCAGAACAGCCAATATTCATCACCGCAGCTAGGTTGATATCCGTTCGTCCTCTGTCATGTCATCCCCCAGTCCAGCTCTCAGAGCAATACCACTCCTGTCCTCCTCAGCCACAGATCTCAGCTGCTAATGCACCATAATACAACGCAACCATGTCAAGATTATCCCACTGCTACCACCGTTGTGGGCCTCTTCATATCATTGAGCCTTCACTCCTTGTCGCTACCAGAAGCCGACGCCTCGGTCGGGCTCAGGACCTCCTCCTTCATCTTGCGCTTCTCAGCCCAGGCGCGCACCCTAGCCGCCTGAGTCGCGTCTGAGGCGTCTCGTGTCTTGTTCACGGGCAGTGCCGGGAAGTTGGACATGTTGAATGCAGGGGCAGACGCCTTGCTGGTGTACCTTGCCCACGACTTTGCGGGGCGCTCGGTCGGAGCCTTCGACGATCCGGCACTCGGGCCGGCGTCCTTGGCCGGGCTCTTCCACTTCTTGACGGCGGCGCGTGAGGGAGACGTCTTTGTCGGCCAAGCCATGCTGCTGCTGCCGTTGTCGTTGTTGCCCTGCATCGGGGCCACGGTCTGGGTGCCTGTGGTAGTGGCAGTCGGGGTCGAGGGCCGTGAAGGGAATGGGCGAGCCTGTCTCGCTGGCGACCCTGAGCCAGCAGGCTGGAGCTCCTGCTTCTGTTTTCCCTTGCCCAAAGCTGCTGCCGAACGGTCGGAGCCCTCGCCAGGCGAGCTCTCTGGGCTCAGATGGGTCTTTGCCGTCTCATACGAGGTCTCGCGGGACTTTGCCTCGGACGGAGTGTTCACCACGAGCTTGGTGGCATCTTGCTTCGTGGGGCTAGTTAGATTCATAGGGGTAGCCTTTGCAGTCTTGCCTAGAGCCTGCAGCGTGGACTGAGTAAGAGCCGGACGCTTGCTTGACGAAGCCCTGGTCGCGGCGACATCCGGGTCGCTCGCCGCTCGCCGAACCACCCGGGCAGCAGCAGGCGAAGGGGTGCGATACTCTGCTGGCGGGTTCGCCTTGATGGCCTGGGGCGGAGTGGCTTCGTTCACGACAATCTTTTGCTCGGGTGAGGGTGTGGGCGCGACAGCGGGAGCCTTGTTGGGCGGCGTGGCGGGTGCCTTCCCCTTTGGTGGAGGCCATTCGATGTGAACTGTAGCTGGAGCTCCCGAGGTGGAGGGCAGCTTGCGATGGGATGACATGCGCGGGAAAGGATCGAAGCCCTTGGGCAGCGACGTCAACCTCGTAGACTTGGCCTCGGCAGAAGTCACTGCCGCCGCCGACGGGAGGATGCTGGCCTTGGGCACAGGCTTGCGGCGGATCACCGTTCCAGTGTCGTTCTCCTCCTCCGTGGACTCTTCGGCAGCAGTTGCCGCCGCCGCCGACGGGAGGATTCGCGGCCTCGGCACGGGCTTGCGACGGATGACTGTACCTGTGTCGATCTCCTCCACATAGTTTTCAGCAAAAGTCGCTGCCGCTGCGGACGGGAGGATGCTGGGCTTGGGCACGGGCTTGCGGCGGATCACCGTGCGCATGCTGTTCTCCTCCATAGAGTCCTCGGAAGAAGTCACTGCCGCCGCCGATGGGAGGATGCTAGCCTTGGGCACAGGCTTGCGACGGATCACCGTCCCCATCATGCTCTCCTCGGCCGAGTCCTTGGCCGAGCCTGAGTCCTGCTGGTCCGAGAGGGCCCTGCCAGCTCTCGCGGGCTTCTTGAATTTCTTCTTGCCCTTAGAGGGCTTGGTCGGCGTAGTCATTGCCGAATCAGACTTGCGTCGATTGGCTCGCGCGCCAAAAGCACCCATGTCTTCCTTGGGCGGGAATTTGATGACGGGCTGCGCGAGTTGAGGGGCCGGGTAGTCAAAGTTGGTGTTGGGCGCGTAGTTCTCGGCAGGCGGGGGATAGTAGACAGGCTGCTCTCCGGGCATGTACGGGCCAGTCATCGCGGGAACCATCGCGGGAGGCTGCACGTCGGGCTGTCGGAACGCATTCGGCGGCGGCATACCCATGTTGCTGAGTCCAGCCTGGTATGGAGGGTAGTATGGCTGGCTGTCCTGAGGCGCGCAGCCAGCAGAATACCCACCGACTCCAGGGTACGAATAGGTAGCGGCACGGGCATCGCCAGCAGGGCCAGCCGCAGGAGGGGGTCCCTGGCGTGTCTTGCCCAGAGGCAGCTCATAGCCTGGCTGCTGGAATTGATGAACCTGAGCCCGGCTGGGGGAAGGGTGTCGGCTCTGGGAGTTGGACGGCCAGCGCTTCTCGTAGCCGGTCGGCGCAGGCTCGTGGTAGGCGTCATACTGCGCGGGCGCGGGCGCGGGAGCGGGAGGGGGATAATACTTCTGGCTCCGATCCTTCTGAGACGGCCGCTGAGGTCGATACCTGTCGGTGTTCTTTGTAGAGTGGTAGTTGGGCACGTGTCCCTGGTAGACGTAGCGAGGCCTGAAGAACTGCGAGAAGACGGGATAGTTCACGCATAGGGCGTCGTCACTGAGTCCCTTGATGGGATGTCGGTGGCCGCGATTGATGGCCGCGTGAGCTCCAGCTTCAGTCTTGAAGAAGACAAAGACATTCTGTTTCATCTCATGTGCCTCAATCCGGTCGACCTGGCCGAACTCGCTAAAGTAATCCCGGATGTTGGCCTGAACGCGGGGATGCTTGAGGTCCAGGGCGTCCGAGAGCTTGCTGACGAAGACGGCCCGTTGACGAGGGCCACAGCGCTTGCAGTAGCAAGCGACATAGTTGGTCATAATCCCCCGTCGCCCAGCATTCGCACAGCCTGGGGGCGATGGGCGTTCAGAGAGTGACCGGCCGGTGTTGCCGCGAGGCGGCGTTGTGTGACGGTAGGAAGACTGGGACGAGGCCGCAGTGCCAGCTGTGCCGCCGCCCTCCCTAGTGTAGACGCGGCCATGGAGCACATCATAGTACTTTGGTTGCCAGCCTGCGCTTCGCGGCGGGCTCTTACCCTGAGGCTGACCGAAGCTGAGGCTTCGGTCTGTGAACCCGGATGCAGTCCTCGCGCTCTGAACTTGCGGAGGCGGGACTCCGGCTAAGCCTCGGGCATTCTCAACTGTAGCGTACTGAGTCACCGGCTGGTTCTGCAGGTTTGTCGCTCCCCGCTGCAAGTCACCATGGGGTGGTGGACCGCCAGCCGTGGTGTTGCTAGCACGTCCGGCATAGGAATAGCCGCGCGGACCCGTGTCATTGACAGAAGCAGGGGCAGGAGGTTGCTTCATATATGAAGCAAAACCACCAGAGAATTGCGACCAGTCTTGTTGCATGGAGTTGGTGCCTGGTTGAGCAGTGGGAGGCACGCTGTTGTGAGTATTGATGGCAGTGGAGTGATCCTGAGTCTGTCGGATGTACAGACCAGCCATCTCAGGCTGGGTTATAGTATTGACAGCGCTAGGCTGGCCAGCGACATTGTCGACATCAGCAAGGACATTGATCGTGAGACCCTCGGCAGAAGGAACAGTCGCAGGTGCGGAAGGCGGACAGTTCTCCTTGTTGCTGTCCATGCTGCTCTCCTGAGTAAGAGCAGGGGAAGCCGGGGCAGAGGCACTGATAAATGCTTTGATACCCTGCTCAAACTCAGTCTTTGTCTCGGGCTTGACCTCCACATTGAGTGCCTGAGAAGTGATATCACCCAGAGGTTGCTCGGTCTCGTCCTCATTGGTAACGTCCTCATTGGTAACGCCCTCATTGGTAACGCCGGTTAGCTGAGCGGAGGAGGACCGCGGTGCAGAGACAGATTCGGTCATGTCCCATCGAAGACCAGAAACAGGAGCTGAAACAACACGGCCGAAAACTCGAGCCTTTGGGAGAGGAACACCGCCCTCAGGAATGCTGTCAAGCGGCGGAGGGCTGGTGGTCTTGCCCGGGGAATCTGTAGAGTCTGTATGAGAAAGTTAGCTGATGAATTTTTGGAGAGAAGAGAGTGAGGATGGTTTCTTTCAGGCACTTACCGAGCCAGGACTGGACGTAGTTGCCGTGAGATCCAGTGTTGATCCATTCGGCATAGCGTTTCTCGAGAGTAAGCTTGAGCAACTGCTCGTCCTCGTAGTGCTGGAAGTCTCCGCAACCGCCCTCCTTGCGGTCATAGTCGCTGAGGATAACGAGGATGTTCTGACTCTGGGTGGGCTCCCAGCACTCGAGCATCATGCGATTACCTTCCCACGTCATCCAGTCCTCAACCCAGTTCTGGACTTGGAACAACTTGGACTGAAGCTCTCGTTCCGTCATGGCCAGGTTGATCTTGACAATCAGATTGACGAGGTTCCAGACGTTGAGGGCGCCGAGAAAGTACAAGTCCTCAGAGTCATAGTACTGGAAGAGATCCGCCCAAGCTTGGGGCTTATTGAACATGCCGTTGACAGCATCGGGCCAACGGGCACGCAGGACGCGAGCGCGCTCCCACATATCGTCAGCCGACCAGCGGACGAGCTTGCGGCCCGCAGGGAGCAGATCCTTGAGAATCTTCTTGGGTTCAGCTCCCATTCCGGTGGAGAAGGTAGCTGCCATGTCGGGGGGCATGTTCAAGTAGAGTTCGGCCGGAGCATCCGCCATCCAATTGCCGTGATGATCCATGACATAGACGGTCCGCATACCGGTCTCCTGCATGAAGGCGTTGGAATCGAAATTGAGGACTTGGCCCCCAGGAATTTGGTAAGTGGGAGGGACGGGCGCAATGTTGGTGCCGCAGGCAATGATGACTTGAGAAGCCATGGCCGCGGCGAGGAAGGTAGAAAAAGGTGTGATAGTAGAACACAGGGAAATGGGATGTAAAAGGGAGAAGGGAACGACTCGATGACACCTAAACCTCTACAGGAGAGGTCGAGATGCGGAAAAGGAAGTCTTCTCGAGACGTGGGCTGGAAAGGTTGTGGTTGTTGGGGCGAGAGACGGGGAGGAAGCCTGGAGGGGGGAAAGGTTTTATTGCCAGGAAGAAGCAGAAAATCTCAAGAGTATCAGAAAATCTGAAGAGTATCTGACAGAACACGGCGAGGGAAAAGTGAGTTGCTGGTGACAATAGGGGTCCAGTAGCGCATCATGATTCCGAGGCCGCAAACGAGTTGTCCCCTGGTGAATAGCGCGACGGGGGCGATGTGTAGTAGACAACAATGCTGAATTCACGAATAAAGAGCAGACAGGTGCTCCTCCAACCCAACACAGCTCAGGCAGGCAAACATGTACCCTGCAGGTGAATTTTCCCAGCCCTTGGTGAGGTGATTGATCTATGTGGTGATGTTGGTGCGCATCGTTTCCTGCATTTACTGAAAATGTTGTTCAGGGGGGCCACTAGAAGGTGGTTTATTCAAGCAAAGAAAGAAGGAGCAAGCCACACAAACCCCAAAGATACAGAATCGGGCATGTCCAAACAGATCAAAGACCAGTCACTAGCACGGTCCAAACCCAGATGTGTCGAGCAAGAGTATATGAATGCCCGAGGACAACCCCTGATTGACTCCAATCGACGACTGACTGGGATTTGTCCACAGCCCAAGTCATTGACAAACCTGCAGGTTGATGACTCGAATGAAGGAAAAGAGCGTGAAGTCTCTGTTGTGTAACGCAAACATGTCAAGGCTCCTGGCTTCAAGAGATGCTTTCAAGGATATCATTGAGGGGTGTCCAGATAGAGATGATACATGATTTGTTGGAGACTACAGACAGCCCTGCTCGTCAGCCCTACCTGCCTATCATCTACTTCTTCAGGTCGTTGAGCATCTTCAGAATTTCCGACTCATTGTCGCCGGCATTCGCCTTTCCATTATTCCAGTCGACAACCTGTCACTCATCAGCTTCAACCCTTCTTGCTATCTTGCTATCTTGCTATGGCTGTTCACACCGCCTCTGCAAACAGGCGCTGCCCCAGGCATGAATGTCTATCTAGATAGGGGGGAGGAGTAATTGCCAGCGCAGGGTATCCACTATGCATGCAAGCGACCGCCGTCGCTGGCAGTAGTCTAGGCAGTGTCGAGAAAGAAGCTGAAAGAATGAACTTACCACAGGCCTCTGGAAGTTGTCGGCGCTCTCCTTGAATTTCCTCAAGGCCTCCTTCTGGCTGTTTGCCCCCTTGACCACGCTCGCGATGCGCGACGGTCCGACATACTCGAGGATGGTCTGCAGCTGGTCGGCCGTGGGCGGGTCCTCGGTGATGTTCAGCTCAAACTCCTGGCGCTGGGCGGCCTTTGTCTGCGCCGTGTGGTCGGACGCCTGGTCCTCGGTAGCAGTCTCGGCGGCGGCGGCAGAGGCCTGCTTCAGGAGGTTGGCAACGCGGATCGAGGCCGGGGAGGAGGTCTTGTGGAAGAGGGTGACGATGTCGAGAGGTTTGTGCTGCTCGTACGAGATGTGTGTCAGTGAAGTGCGGCAGTGTCCAAGAGACCAATTGAGCTGGACTTACGAAGCGGAACATGTTTGCTGGTTGCTGGCTCTCGTGAGTCTGGAGGTGATACAGGTAAGGGTTGATTGATTGATCTTATTGCTGGAAAATAATGCTGCGAGCATGCGGCTCAATCTTGAGAAGAAGTGAGTGATCAATGCATGTCGTGCACCCTCGACTTTGATGGAGCTTGGGCCATTTCACTATTACGTAGATGTCCCATCATTGCCCACTGTTAACATTAACTTCCTTACCTAATCGTGAAAGGACCTTTGGAATGCGGCTCAAAGGACGGGCAGCTTCATTTACTGCTGTTCCAGCACCGGCTGCCTGGACACTAATTGCGCTCAATCTTGCCGCAACCATCTGGTTAATAGATCAATAGCTGCACATCAAGGACGGGCTATCACATCCTGGCCTCTCAAACACCTGTTTTGATGCACTTCCTCTGCTTCAAAGCCGGCAGGCAGCCTTTGCAGGCGTCACAGCAGCAGCTGCACCTGGCTTCAATTGCTCCGTTGAATGCTCATATTGATGGATGGGATTGTGGTCATGGCTACCGTAACATCCACGATGCCAATGGTCTGCTGCTGTTCTCAACTCCACATTAAAAACTTCGAGATAGTTCTGAGCCCATATCTATGACGTACCTCTGACAGTGCAGGCGCAAATGCCCCGACAGATGGCGGCGAGGCAATTGCTAACACAAGCTAGAGATTCGAGTAGAGCAGGATGACGTAGAATTGTGGGATTGGATTGATGCCATGGTCATATAAGTATTTTGGCAGTGTCCAGCTCGTCCCTTACCCTCGAACTATCACGAGACGAACTCATTCATCACACCTCAGAATATATCCCCAAAAGCCAAAATTCAAGCACAATCTTCCCATCATCATGTCTGGGTACTCCAAAGTCGGAACTTCTGGCGTCTACGAGGCCGGCGACCAGCGCAACGTCAAGCAGTCGGAGCTGAACCAGCCCGACAAGTACGAAGAGGGACAGGTGAACTCACACCTGGCAAATGATTCCAGTATGACCGCTCTTGTCTCCACCTCCAATGCAACAAACTTACTAAGGACTTCGGATACAGAGGATGAGCGATCAATTGCCAACCGCTTGGCCGCCGAGGAGCAGAAAACCGAGGACTCTGGCGACTCGAAAGAGACCAAGCTCCTGAAGAAGGACGCCACTCTTCCCGTGAGTTGACTGGCACCCGGAGGACCATGCTCCTGCATTCCCGTCGCTAATCACATCCACACAGGCCAAGATGCATGGCAACGAGCCTTCCAAGGGCGCCAAGATCGATGCTGAACTGCAGGCCGAGGACGAGCAGAGGCTGAGGGAGAAGCAGGGCAAATAAGCCAGACGTCACGACACGTTGTACTATTAGCACCGCTCGAGATGATTGGCGTTCACGCAGGCTCGCAATTGCGGTTTTTAGGTAGCGCAGGAACAATTCAATCCGAGTTTTGGGAGTCAGAAGAGCTTTCGAGTTGCAAAATTGGTATGTATTGATGGCTCTATCACTAAATGCAGTCGCCCATGCCGGAGTGTAGGTGCGGGTGTTGCTCGGCGAAGAACGTTCGCAGTGGTTTACCTGGAGTCTTGTCAGTGCAAAGTCCACAGAAGTGTGCAAGCTGTCTGTCAAGCAAGACAAATAGTCGGGAAAAGACCAAGATCAGAATATGTAAGAAATTGAATATCAAATGTCCGCGAGATATAGCAACCCCGGCGAGGGCGCCATCTGCGCAGCATCAATCGCAAATTACCTCATCATTAGATGGTCGAGGGAGGGAAGGATGGGAGGAGGGGGGGGAAGAGGATGCTAAGAAGACTGGCTTACCTATTCAGTGATGCTTCATTGGTGTGCATGTTGAAGCTGAAGATGGCATCGCGATCTGGAGGACCGAAGTAATTGAGAAGAAGTGAAGTGCAAAGTGCCTGGGCCAACAAAAAAATAATTTTCAGTTAGATCAGGGACCTTTTTGCTGTCACGTGTGGGCGGTGGGTGGGTGGTCTCCACCGCGAACGCCACCCCTGGAAGCGCATTTTGGTGGGTGCCATCTTGCCATCCTCCCAATGCCACTGTGACAAGACATAACATCAAATCTCGACGTCTATTCACCCAAGTTGCTGTGCTTCACTTTCCTTTGTTGCACACAAAATAGAGAACAAGAACAACGTTCTAGGTATCCATATCGACTGTCTTTTGTGTGACTGACGACGACGACTACTCTTCTCTTCCACGGCGCTCATCAAGCAACCCTATGGTAGCTCCATCAATTGAATCCTCATTTCTTGAAGCTTCCCAAGCTTGACCTTGATGCCGCACTGCATCTCTCCCCGGTTTCAATCGCCACCAGCACCAGTACAGCGCTCCGCTGCCGAGGACAGCCAGTGCTGTCGTCGGGTAAGCATAATACGGCAGTCTTCCGTCCTCGCTTCGTCCACTCGTTGGCGGCAGCCATGGCAGTATGAGCAGCATCAAGTTGGACACAGCAAAGATGACAATGGCAAATGTGGGAGCTGGGCAGGGCGAAACCCACGAAGCATTGCTTCGGTACAGCCATAAAAGCCCGACAGATATGGCGACACTGATCACAGAGACCGGGTAGCCTCCGATATCGACCAGGAAGTTGTAGATGCGCCCTGGGGGCGGCACGATAATGACCAGGACGGAGACCAGCCAGTGCAACAGCAGACCGCCCCTGGGCGGCCCTGACGTGCTTCCATGTGTTTCGCTATCAGATCCTTCTGCTTCCTTGTCTTTTGCACGCGACCACATGCTTGATTTGACCCCTCTGATCCAGAAATCAGACCAAGGCAGAAGCCCGTCCTTGGCTAGCTCCTCGTTCACCCGCGCCTGCGCAAAGGACGTGGCGGCGATGTTGCCTGCTGCAGACACGATGATGCAGAACGGTAATATGTGGGCAGCGAAACCTGGGCCGAAGACGTTGCGAAAGAAGACGCTCGCAAGGATCACGCCGCCGGATTGGAAGTCGTCTTTATCAATCACAAGAAAGAAGACGATGCTGACGACCAGGTACGCAAGCGAGACAATGGTCAATGCGATCGGCGCAGCAATCTTGAGCGTCCGCGTTGGATCTCGCACATCGGAGAGAACCTGGTTGGCCGTGCTGAACCCTCGAAAGCAGTAGATGACTTTGAGCAAGGCCGTGGCGTAGTCGTATGGCTGTGTGGATGACCCTGACCAGATGTTCTGGAAGTTCCTCGCAGCCGTGCTGTCAGGTACCGTTACCGGCACATTCGCGTCTCCTCTTCGGTACCTCTGAGCCGAACCCTGGTTGCTGCCCACACCCGCTGAGGCCCCTACTATCCCGGAAATGATGACAATGAAAAGCACCAGCATCTTGGAAACGCCTAAGACATTGATGGTCCTCAGCCCAAACTTCGGATGATAGGCATGCAGATAGCAAGCTGCCGAGACCACCAGTACTGCGATACCACGCACGTACCACCTGCCGGGCTCGATGTCCAAGCCAGAGAGCAGGTACTCGCCGAGCACGATGGCATTGGGAGCCGAGAACCCAAGCAGAACGACGTACGACATGAACATGCATGTCGCCAACATGCGAGGACGCTGGATCATCCGTTCGAGATACACGCGCTCGCCTCCACTCTTTGGCATCGCCGTCCCAAGGTCCTTTTGCACTTTGTAAGCTCGAGTTCGTAAGATGGATGAGCCGCGCCACGTCTCGGGTAGATGGGTGGCAACTCACGAGGTATACTGCAAGGCCGCAAAACGATATGACGCTGCCCAACACCCAGAGAAGCAATGACATGCCTACGGATCCGACGCCCGCAAATATCGCGGACTGGACCGAGTAGACGCCGACCCCGATCGTCTTCCCCACGATGATGTTGATCACGGATACTGTCCCAAGCTTTCCTTCCTCTCTGCCCTCCGCGGCGACTTCCCCAGGCGCGGTGCCGACCGAAAAGGGCGATAATATCGCATCGTCAAAGCGACGGTCTGGACCAGACTGTTCACTATCACAGGAAGCACGGAGCCCGGGGTTATCCAGCAGACGCGGAGCTTGATGGTGTGAGAATGCCGGGGAGGCCGGACTGAATGCTACCCTCGCTCCACGGGAATGCCCCTCTTTTCTGACGGCGGCATCATGGGATAGCAGTGCAGGCGAGCGCAGACTGAGACTGAAATTGCCGTCCAGAGAGGAGGCCGCTGTACTCCTTCCCAGGGTGAGGAAAGGGACCTCAGAAAGCGGCCGCGGGCGTGAAGACTTGGGCGAAGACATTGTGTGGCCTCGGGTTTGGGCTCCGGCCCTTATGCCGATGTCGTTTGATGCAGGTTTTCGACACAGAGATGAGAAAATATGCTCAGTCGGAAGTAGTGTGGACTGAGCGTAACTGCTGAGGAACCTTGTGATGCAATGTCACAGACAGTCGACCAAGTCTGTTGGTCTTCTGAAGGATGCCAAGGCCATGTATATCAATTATTCCTGCTGTTCTTTCTTGAGATCCATCGAAAATCGGACTCATAAGAAGCAAGGAGGAATGGAGCAACTCGGAAGTATCGGAGGAGGATTCTAGTGGACGTTCTGTTCGAGCCTCCTGCCCAGGTAACAGATATTTCTTGGCCAAATACTACGGTTAACCGAATCAACTGACCTGACATCCAAACAAACCCAGCAAGACAAGGATGAAAAGGGGAGATGCCGCCGCGTCTCCCCTGAAGATGGGATCCACAGTAGCCTGAACGACTTCTCATATCCACACCTCGAAATCTTCTCCGTCATGTTTGAACCAGATCTTCCTGAAAGAGTTTTGGGTCTTGGCACACGACACGTTCCTGGGATTTGAGAAGCTGAAACGGCTCGGCGGGTCGTCGTGGGAGCCGAGGTGGCCACTGCACCCCTGGCTGTCCGGGCTGGACTTGATTGGGTGGCTGTTGTCGGTTCTGGCCCGGGTGCCGTTTCAGGCTTGGCACGCCGATCCGGGCAATGTTGCGACGGAGAGCCAGCGGCCTATCGTGACTTGCGCGGCCGAGTTCTTGTTCGTAGCATTTAACCGCAGAAGTTAAGCTTCGTCGATCGCCTGCCAAGGGAAATCTACCAACAAGGTTTGACGGGCGGGTTTATGATAACTTCCATTGCATGACTGCGACTACTTGGTCTCATGGGACCCGTTACCTAAGAGTAAGTGTGGTATAATGCAACAAATAACAGAAAGAGCAACCAGATCCAGTCCCTTCGTCGAGGGGATACTTTCCTCGCGACATTGCTACTGTGATGGCTCGAAAATTCATCCACGAATGCTCTATGCTTTCCAATAATGCACCTACTAAAGCAAACGGTTCTATCCAATCACCGACCCCTCTATCCGGACGCCGTTCTTGTCTACCGTCCTGCGCTCTTCCTCGCACTCCTCCAACGCGAGCCTGGCCTCCGAATCTCCCATGATGAATTTGCGGTGCCACGGTCCGACGAACATGCCCTCCGGGTCGGCCTCGTTGCGGACCTCCCTCCACTTGGTCAGGTCATCGCCGTACAGTGCGTCCAGGTCGCTGACTTGGAAGTTCTTCGCCCAGTGCGGCCTGCCTCCGAGGTCGCGCATCAGCCACTCGAAGCCCTGGTAGAAGCGGTCCAAGCACGGCGGGTCGAGGAGATACGGTCGGTACATGATGGCGTTCAGATACAGGGTCGGCCCGGTCTTTGACGTGGGGTCGAGGAAGGGGCGAGGGCTGCTCGTGCGTGTCGTGTCTGCCACCCGGACCTCGACAGGGGAGTGCACCCAGAGGCCTTCGTTGGAGAAGGGGATCTTGTGCTCGACGTAGTCCTTGTCACCCGGCCGCAGCCTGTTGAGCCACGAACCTAGCCTCATTAGCGCTTCGGGGCCCTTCTCGAGGGGGATCGCCCACTCGTTCACGTATTGCGAGTACAGGCAGTTCATCAGCAGGGCTTTGCGACTGGGCTGCACGGCAGCGGTCGTAGTACCGTTCTTGAAGCCGTATTGCATGCCAAAGACGAACCATTCGACCCAGGGTAGGATGCTCGGAACGTATCTCGCAGCGTACAGCAGGTTGAGATAGACGTAATAACCAAGACTGCCATCGTAGTAGCTCGTCGGTGGGTCAAAGTGAGGCTCTGATGTCTCTTCGGCGGACCAAACCACTGCCCTCCTCGTGTAAGGGAACCACCAGACACGGACAAAGTGCGTCTGCTTCCAAAGGGTAGAAGACCACGCTGAAAGCATCTTGGTGTCGGTATCGACGGTCTGGGACCACCGCAGCGAGAATGCCGGAGCGGCTCGGAAGGTCACCTCCACCACAATGCCGAGCGCGCCAAGCGAGATCAGGGCGGCTCGGAAGAGATCCTCGTTCTCCGAGGCCGAGCAGGTCTTGACCGTCCCGTCGCTGAGAAGGATCTTGATCGCCAGAATGTCCTCTGAGATCAAGCCGTGCAGGAGACTGCTACCATGGGTACCGGTTGCAAAGACACCACCCATGGACTGCTCGTTGATGCTGCCGAGGTTGGCCATGGCAAGGCCATTTTTGTCGAGCTCCTCGCAGAGCGCATAGAGCCGGATGCCGCTCTGGGTAGTGACGATCCGTGTGCTGCTATCGACGGAAATAACCTTGTTGAAGTTGTCCAAGTTGATCAGCCAGCTGGAAGTGCAGGTCAACTCGGACGGCGAGTGACCACAGCCGACGAGTGCGATTCTTCGGCGGAGCTTCCGGGCTAGGTTGACGACCTTGACGAGCTCCTCGACGCTCTCGGGCTGGATATACAACTCGGGCAGGGACGAGTAGGTCTTGGCCCAGGTGTGGTGAAGATGCCCGGTCTTGGCGCGAAACGCGACTCCATCATTGGAGTTGGTGAGGGAGGCGATCAGCTCTCGATTAGGAAGCCTTTCTTGCATCTTGTAAACCCGCTCGGATTCCGAGCTCGGTGGCAGGGAGTCAACTTGCGATTTCGAATTTCCAGGAGACGACCAGCCCGCCTTGAGATGGCACAGGACTCCGGTGTGTACAAGACCCTTTGGGGTCTCAAAATGTGAGTAAATTCGCGCAAGATTGGTCTCTCGCAGTCCAGGCTATTTCTTGACGAGCGGGATGTACCGGGAAACGACTCAGTGACTGCCCGGGAGGTTTTCTCAACCACGGAAACACAGTTCCAAGAAAGTGATTGAGGTTCTGGCCGGGAGTGTGAGAGGGTCGGAGACGGTCATTTTCATATATAGGAACGACTCGGGCGAAACGGGAGTTCGCTTCGCTGATAAAGGCGATGCTCCGGGTGGTACCGTGGTGCCACAACGGGAAGAGATGCCCAGAAAAATATCCATGATTTGTCGATTTTGTCAAGCCGCCGCTAGTCTAGACGGTCTAGTTCTTTAGCGGAAACGCAATCAGTGGTGCAGGATGGGACCTGGCACCAAAGCTCTGGAGAATGGCGCCATTGGAGGGGCTTGCAGGCGGCCGCAGCATGTGCCTCTCTAGTGACCGCGTCGGCAGCATCGCCATTGGTTGCGCGCTCGGAATACAACAATTGTCAGGGCCTTCGGAGGAGATATGATCTCCCTGGTTGCCGTCCCTGTTATCAATCTGATCCATCAAATCTATTGATAGCAGTCCAATCCAGGCCCAAGTAGCCTTTGTAGGGACCTACTTGTACGGGCGGAAACCGTGGGACACTAAATTCTGTCCGATCCAGGAACACCGGCCCCACCAGCCAATGTTAACATCACAGGTTCAAATCGTCGACATCTTTTGGCAACATATCTTGTCATGAGCGAATTACTTGCTAGGAATTTTGAAACTTGCTCACGGAGAGCGCCACTCGAGGCCTCGGAGCTACCTACATAACATGTCTCGCAGCAGCCAATAATCCATTGAAGATGGAAGGTTTCGTATATGCGGAAGTGGAGATACCATGCAGTTTTCCTCGATTGACTGCGAGTTGCCGTCTCGACTCCAGACTGAAAATAACTCATACATCGTGACAAGTCATAGAGGATGTGGGATCTTTGAGAACGGGCAAAAGTCGTCTGTTGAGACACGAGTATCAAGTCAAGTTTATTGATGCGTGCTCGAGTGCCCACTCAGCAATTGTTTCTGGGAGAAAATGAAGTCGAATGAATTGACAACGGGAACATATCTCTTGTTGCTTAGGCCGTTGTGATTGTAGATTGGGTATCCTTTAGAGAAAAAAAGTACATCAGGCTGCCACTCTGGTTGTATTTCCCCAGGACGGGAATCTGCATGTTCGAAAACGGCAAGCGCAGAGGAACATCCACCACCCCTTCCTCGTCGGCCTCTCACTTTGGCCATCACCCGACACTCAGAAATCATGCCAAACTCATCTCTCTCTCTCTTCACTTCATGCACTTAAGTCCACGTGTGTCTGGCCAGCTCAGCACTCTGTATCTTTATATCCTTATCTACCGGCTGGTCAAGCAGGTGTCTCTTCAGATTCTCAACATCACACCCACTACACTTCACTTCGATCGATCTCACCGCTTAGAACCGACCTTTCTCCGCGGATAAAATCCTGCCTCAGTCCTCACTGTTGGCCGTAGCGTACACATCTCCGGCAAGCAAAAGGGCCTTTGGGACACAGGGCATGCAGTCACGATGTTCTACAGCCATGAGAGTATGTATTCCTCTGCTCAACAGCGAGGGTCTGCTAGCATTTCTGACGGGCATCACAGTCCTCACCAGCCAGCAGTACGGTGTGGCAACCGTCTGGTAAGTCCCCTTACTCCCGCCATCCTGACCTAACATCCAGTGGCTGACTCTCTTTTCCTTAGGTTGGTCGCGACGGTTGGCGCACGATCCAACATACGACGAATCACAAGAAAAGCCATTCTCGACGTGGACGTCCCAAAAGCCTGCGACACAATCATCGACCCTCCCGGAGCTCCTATCGCCCTTCGCCTCCAGGCCAACCTTCTCTATGGCGTTTCTCGTGTCTACTCTCAGCAGTGCGCCTACATTCTGACTGATGCCGAGAAGATCCAGGAGCATATGAGGAAGTTCTACAGCGTTTGGGGAACAAGCAACATCGACCTGAACGCTGGAAAAGCTAAGTGAGTTGGCAAATTCGACCCTGACCACATGCAGTGCTGACAGTATTGCAGGCGTCACCAGCTGGTCTTGCTTGATGACCCAGGATTCGACTTCAACTTTGACCTCCCGGAGTTCAATCTCGACCTAGACGGGATTCTTTCCTTCGGTCAAAGCAAGGACAGTCAGAAGACCAACAAGACGTCGTCTCAGATGTCACCTTTCGAACATGCCACCCCGTCATCAGGACACAGCATCAATATTGGCGGCCTGCAAATCCCTCGTTCCTCGAGTCTCTCAAATTTTGGAATCGCTTCACCTTTCGGACGGGACAGCATGTCACAACTGAAGCACCCAGATGGCGGCTTTGAGTTCGGCGACGACCAGGAAGCAGCAATTGGTCATTTTGGACTTGAAATTGATGAGTTCGGTAACATTATCGAGCCCGAACTTCCACCTATGCGGTCCTCACAAATGGAGCGCGACGAGGAAATGAGGGATGCACAGCAGAGCCGCCAACCGGAAGATCAGCAGCTTCTGGAGATGGGTGAAGATCTGATCAGGAGCGAGGTCAACATTCCGAATGGGCGCGATGAGGTACTCGTCAGTGGTCAAAACGACATCATCGATGAGAATAAGGATGCACAAGGGGTGATTCCGGCACAGCCTCAGAAGAAGAAACAGAGGAAGGCCAAGACTGTGCCGATTGACCCCGACGGTGGTGACAGAGTCGTTCGCGCCGAATTTCGAGCTTGGAATGACAACTATCTGGAGAACATGGAACGCGCACGCAAGCCCCCTCGCACAACTGCCCCTGCCCAAGCAAAACGGAATGCAGCCAAACTCGTCTTCGGCCTAGGCATCATAGAATTGGATGCGTCTCCAAAGAAGCACCAATACGTCCACCCTCTAGCCGAGTGCTTCGGACACAGGGCTCTTCAAACCCGCTTTCTGGGATTTGAAGTGGACGGTGATGAGGACTCCGAGAAGCGTGGCCGTCGTCGATCATCCGATGAAGCTTTCGAAGACGTCGAGGAAGGCCGACGGGTTCGTAGGCGTCTCGATGGCGAGCAAGACGGTGCTGGCCAAGCAGTTCAGCCGCGCAATGACGATTACATGATGGAGCTGCTAGGAGATGAGGAAGACGTCGAGGTTGGTCGAGCACCCGATGCAGTACTCTCTGACCACCCATCCCTTCCTTGGAACCGGCCGTCTCCTCAGGTCCCCGGCTCATCTGTGCTCGGCAGTGCACAACGAGACTCAGCACGCAAAGGACAGGGTCAAGAGAGCCCCCTCGTCGGTCGCGGTAGCGTCATCCACGATATCGAGCGGTACAGTGACTGGGCGCCCTTCGGCTCCGACGGCTTGCAGCCGCGCTTCTCGGACAACCTCTACTCGGGCGGCCCCGGCTTCAACGACTCTGGTCACTCGGGCGATGCCAATACGTCGCAGCTGATGCGAGACGCTCTCGATCGCGAAGGCCAGAATTTCCTTGGCTTCCTCGAGCGCGTGGCCGGAGAGAAGGGTCAGAGCCATGGCGGCGCTGGCGACGACGACGGCCGTTGTTGGATCACCTTTGACGACCTCTTCGAGCGCGAGGATAAGACGCGCGTCGCAGCTGCGCAGGCCTTCCACCACGTCCTCTCCCTGGCCACCAAGGGCGTCATCCGTATCGAGCAGGAGGGTCAGAACAAGGTGGCCTACGGCGTGATCCACATTGGCGTGGCCCTCTCGGGAGCTGGTGAGGATCTGCGCTCTGAAATGGGTGAGACGGAAGAGAGGGACGGTGCCGACGACAACCAGGTCGAAGAGTAGTTTTGACGCAGCAGCGCAATCTTTTGGTTGTTTGGGGGTTGATATGCTCTCGGAGTTGGAGTTGGATGGAGAACACATTTGGAACGCTTGATCAAGCTTGGTATTTGCGTTTGACACTTTCATTTCTCAACCTCTTCAGCGTTCTCTCGACATTTTCACGAAGGTTTCTGACAGGAACGGGCTATCGATATTCTTTTGCGTGGCCACAAGGGGCAATGCAATGGGTTTTGTATTTCGAGGCACACCTTCGCTACTTAGATGATACCTGATCAGATAGCTACCTTCCGCATCAAATGATTATTATTCCCTTTCGGCATACCTATATCCCCATGCATTGATTGCGGCAGAATGCCAACCAAAACGCCAAAATAAATGCAGTGCCGAGCGCCAGGAAGACAAACCTTGTTAATCATAGTCGTTGTCGTCGTCACCCATACCTTCGCGGTCTTTAAATTTCATGTACTCTTCGTCCACTTCCTCGCTGACCTCGCCGCCCATGACCTGCTTCCAGGCTTGGTGCACTGGCTCCAAAATGGCATCATTGAAAGAGAGATCAAGGGAGGAATTTGGCAGCTCAAAAACCCTGCCATTGAGGCTCGAGTTGGCCGGCCCGCCAGACTGTTCGTAGTACAGTTGATAAACGACAGTGGGCGCGGTCTGGGCATCTACCGCGGACAGGAACGACTTGAGACACTGTTCTAGAACCGACTTCGATGTTGTGGAACAAGGTGTGGTCAGGTACAATACGCCTAGTTGCATTGGTTAGCCCCAATTCCATCAATGAGCACGTAAAAAAACGTCAAAAGGTCCAAAGCCGAGTGTGTATCAGAATGTCAGAGGTGTGTTTTCGTCAAAGCAAAGCTCAGACAATGTAGATAAGTATTCAAAATGGAAATCATCATAACACTCGGCTGTGGTTGGAGAGAGGGAGGGGGAAACTGAACAGGAGACTCACTTTGGCCAGCCGGACACTCCCCGGTATCGCTAGAGTGAACGGCCACGTAGACGGGGAGTTCCGATGCGACGCCATCACCGGAGCGTACGGATGCAGCCGGGAAGGCGATCACTGCAACGGCCGGCGTTGGTGCACCCTCGGTGACAACTTCGAAAAGGGACGGAATATGCGCGTCAATCACCGCAGTCAGTCGGCTCACACGCTGGATGGGATCCGCAGGTGCTTCACTGCTTCGTACGAGCAGCCTCGACTTTATCGTCACGTCGTTGGTAAGCTCAATCTCGAGTTCCTCGTCGCCATCGGAGGGCTTGAGCTGCTGGATGCCCGTGCCGAGCATGTAGACAGCTCCACCGACAGCACCGGCGCGGCATGCCACCTGGGCAATCTCGCCATCGCCTCCCCACTTGGGATATACTGCGGCGAAGCCTGGGCCGAACATGCCCATGGACGTCAGATGTCGCTGGATCATCGCCAGTCCGTCCCTCGTTGAAGCTCTGCCATCCAAAGATAGCGTCAGCGTGAGAACATACGTCCTTAGCTCGTCATCTAGCTTGAACTGGCTCTCCAGGAAGTCGACAAGCGGTGTGTCGGCATGCGGCTTCCATGTCTCGGTCTGAGGCTCCGAGTCGTACTCCAGGACGAACTTGAGAAACTTCATCAGCGCACGCTTGGCGCGCGCAGGGATTGTGGTCGACATGAAGACAGCCTCGCGCGTTGAGGGTATGCGCGCCAAGCTGGGCTTCGCGTCGCTGCCAGACGCCGGCTTATAGATGAAGAATGAGCCGACGGCGAGAAACTCAACCTGCCGGAAGGCTCGGGACGAGACGAGCTGGGAGAGGAGCTTGGATCGAGTGTGGATCAGGTGCGGCGTGAGAGACAACGAGTAGGCACGCGAGCGGAGGGCATCTTGCCCGTCCGCCTTGGTGACCGAGGCCGCACTGAAGACGCTGTCGCCAGCACGTCCGCGTGAGGCGGCCCATTCTTCGGCTTCTTGCAGGCTGAAGGCTGCGTCTGAGCTTCCATAGTATTCATTGGGATCAACGTGGAGGATCTTCTTGTCCGATCGGGAAAGGGCCCTTTCAACGAGATTGACTACGTCAGTCAGACAGGTGGGAAGAGCGCAACACTGGAGGACGCAGAACTTACAGCGCGAGAAGTGACTGTGGCAGGCCAGTGCCACAGATTACCACGTCCCACGTGGTATCGCTGAGCGACTCCATGTTGGGTTGTGGCAGCTTCCTTGCAGAAGATTCTGAAGAAGAGTGAAAGAAGTTGCAAGAATTCTTCCGGGAAGGAAAAGAAAGAATTGAAGCTCAGTTTGGTGCTTGGATCAGCACTCAAGTGCCTGGAGTGGGGCGGCTGCCAGGTTTCTCCGGCTTGCCAGTGGGCTTTATTTTTTTTTATCTAAGCGCCGGCCTCACCAAGAACTTCCCTCCTTTTCTCAACCACCGCCCGACCTGTCGACGGCATGCCTTCCTTCAGTGGCAGATCGTCTTGTATAGGATTCCTTTCATTAGGCATCCTACGTGTTGAGCGGAAGATTGAGTTATCTCTTCCTGTATCTACTGCTCTTGAATAACGTCTGAGAGAGTGGCTCGAAAGGCTCGAGACATCTATTTTACCCGACGGGACTGGTGATTTCAAGCAGACTGAAATTGATCGTGCCGTAGGCCATAAATGATCTCCCGAGTCTATGTGTTTGGTGAGCACTATAATTCAGCTGAAGCAGGCTTGTCAGGAATGCACCCTAGACACGGTAATTGGGCATCCGTGAGCACATCAGACGGACTCACAAGCTGGGAGCGACCAGTCAGTTGTAGATTCATAATGGGTATCATTACTAGACTCCAGTAGTCCATTATTACAATGCGCGCCTATTCTCCTCCATTGCCTTGTGTACTTGTTGCCATCTCTTCTCTGCAAGCGTCGCAAACTGCTTCATCTGAGCCAGCCCGACCACGGGCCCGCCACTCTTTGAGATGCTCCGTATCCTAGTCTCTCCAGAGGCGCAGTCGACAACCATCGTGACCGTCTCGTCACACATATCCTCCTCTAGCCGGTCGGGGTCCATCAATACCCAGCTGTTGCCGTCCGTCGCGTGCTCCTTCTCTAGCAGAATCGCGGCAGTGCAGGCGACGGGGAGTCCGTGAATGTTCAATGCCTTCTTCTCGCTTCTGGAGCAGACGACCATCTCACGGTCTTCGTCCCACCAAGCCTTTGGCAGAGTCGTATTTTTCAGAGCTGCTAGGACCGCAGCCCAAGCGGCATCAAAAGGGTTGCCGTCGTAGGAGATGAAGAATAGATCGATATAGAGTGTCCAATAGGCCTTGACCTCCGGCTGGTTCTCCTCAACGTCATCGTCTTGCTGCATAGCATCATCGCCTTGACCGCCGTTTGCCTTTGTCGGCGCGTACCATATCCTCAAGTCGTCCGCATTGAGGATGCGGCAGCTGTGTAGCAGCGAATAGACTCTTGTGCTCAGGGTCTGGGCCAGACTCGTCGGGGGAGCGCCAGGGAGAAACCGAGGCGCGGATCCGGTCGCCAGCTCAATGTTTGGAACGAGCAAGTCATAGTCCTTCAATTCCCTCCGGCCTTCTGCGCCCGCATCGTCATCGCCTTGGCTTTGTTCCAGGGCTGACTTCGGCCTGTAGTGTGGGATGTTGGACACGGGGAGGATCTCGCCCCTCACGCCGCAGATGACGCTCGTGTCGCCGATGCGCACGACTGCACTGCCGTGCGCGTGCGTCAGAGAACCGCCGTGGATCAATGGCTCGCGGAGCTCCTTGGGGCCCCGGCCGTTCGTGCGCTCTGGCTTGGCGGAGGGATCGGAGGGTTGGAGGTTGGCGACGAGGAATGGGTGCGGAGAGAGCTTTGCGAATGTCTGTCGCGTGAATGACAGGTCCGGAGCCATGCTGAAACCGCTATGCGCTACTCTGAGCGTCTTTTTTCAAGAGCGAATCGGATTAGATTAGTATGTTGAGCTGGATGAAAAGAAGTCGAGTTGAGATGGGCTATGATTTTCTGTCGAACCTCAGTGGGGTGCACAGCGATAAGATAAGGCCGATTTTACTGCTACCCAGGAGCCAGCCCCAGCCTGAGCTGTCACTTACTACCTACCTTAGTTCTCTATGAAACGAACATATTGCAGTTGCTTCATATGAGACAGTGAATTCTCTCTTTCATTATAAGTCGTAGCTCTTAAAAACTTCTATGGAAAGCAGTTTATCTCTAATATTGTCTATATCGACCTCCAATATGCCATGGCTGTCTGAGCCACCTCAACTCCCTGGGCGATGGCGACTTCGTGACCTGCATCTATTATGGAGATCTCAACCGCATCGTCTCCCAAGATAGCTTTGGTATCAGGGACTATCTCGTCCATCAAGATCACCGGATCTGAGGATCCTAGTATTAGCAAGACCTTCCCGCCCTTCAGTCCGGGCAGGACACCCTGTCCCCCAGACTCAACTCTGCGTCGACGCAGCTGCTTGCCAAGTGCTGCCCACTCCTCGACCTCCTCGTAAATCGGGGCATTCCGGATCGTGCTCATGAAAGCAGGAACAAAACCCTCGTGATGTTGTATCTGCCACGACATCACCTTCGACACGGTGACCCCCGGCCAGCGGGCCGAGATGGGAGCCTCGTCAAACGACGGCCCGCCCGTGCTGTCATTCCCTCCCAGTCGCTGAACTCTAGGATCTTCCGTGTCCAGGTCCGTGACCTCAGCTACCATGGTCTGCTCCGTGACTGTGTCCTTTGGCTTCAGACGTGATTTGACCAACGCTTGCAGTAGCCACTCGGGCAGGAGGCCCGTAGAGTACAGCAGCTTGCTCTTGCGACTGACATGGCACTTGCGAATGAGCCCACCGCCGCCAACGCACACGAGAGAGCGGACCATGCGCGGGAAGTAGCGGGAGAAGGAGGCGCCTATGCCGCCGCCTAGTGAGTAGCCCACTAGGTGGAAACCGTTGTCACCAGTCCAGGGGAGAGGCGAGGAGGCGAGGACGAGCAAGATCTGGGTAGTGTAGAGGCGCATGTCGTAAGTGACATCTATGGGAGCGTCGGAAAAGCCGCGGCCAAAGAAGTCTGTTCACATTGTGAGTCGTTTCGTTTCGACATAAGTTGTAGTCGTATGTGGCAGACTTGGACTTACCGAAGAGCATTACCCTGTACCCATTGTGAACCAGCTCCTCGCCCAAGTCTCCCAGGGCAAGGCAGGGCGTTCCTATCCCATGGAGCAGTAATACCCGCTCGCCGTCTTCAGGGCCCCATTCAAACACCTGGATCGAGCCGTAGGGGGTCTGGACGCTCCGCGCACCCGGTAGCGCATCCGGGAGATACGGTACAGCAGCCCGCTCATTTTCCGACAGCCTTGGCAGGACGGTTGTCCTCGGCGACGGGACGTATCGCTTCCCTGAAGCTGACCTGGCTCCCCGCAGAGCCCGGACAGCCAAGCCGAGGGCCAGGCATGCGGCGCCACCTGCTAGCAGCGCTCTGCTGGTGAAATGCCCAGTTTCTAACATCTAGGAAGAGGCGATCCTGAATGTCTTTGGCACGGATTTATGGCTGATTTTCTGGCTCTTGACAGGATGTATCGCCGCTGGTCCGGCTCGGACGGTACCTCGGACACCAGGAGAATCAGGCCGCGGAACCACTTCACCGCACAGTCGCCTGCGATGGGATGCCCTGTGAACTGAAGTCTCGAAAGAAATGTAAAGATATTCTATAGTCGAACTGGAACAAAACATGCAGCCTCTATGTGGTCCATTCAGTGGAAAAGAGGAAGCAAGGTCGTGGCGGGGAGAAAACCTCGGCCGTTGTGATGTTCCCGCTTCTTGCGGCCCACCTCGGTTTAAATCCGGAGTGCCAAAACCCGCTTTTGCCGACTCGGCAGCTGGTGATACACGGCACGGAGCACGAACGGGAGCGAACAAGGCTGGAAGTGACTGCGAGGCATAATATCAAGGCCAATTCATCTGTTCTCGTAGCATTATGTTTGTGTCTATGCATTCGGGAAGCAATAGGCCTATCCAGCATCACCTGCTCGGTATCTGCTCGCAATGATGGGGCCCAGCTGATGAGAAGAGCCACTTTGCTCCAGCTTGATAGATGAGATCCGAGAACAGGACGTTATGAGTGTACGTCCTGTCAAGCACCTCAAGCAAAGAGAATTGTCGAGTAGCCTGAATAGAAGACGTGAAGCATAGTTGAGCGGTTTACCTGGAAAATTGTCGTCTGTTTGAAAACTCGCCGCGTTTCCAACCCTGCCGTCTTGGCTCCCGGACTGACTCCCTACCATGCTCCCAGTCGAAGGGATACCACGCCACCCGCGTCTCACGAGAATATTGATGAACGGAGTTCCCCGTCAAAGCGCGCGGAGGCCACCACGTGCGTAAGGGGTTCTCACCCTCGCGGCTCTCGTCCACTGGGACGAGGCTCTCCGGAATGCCTTCGTGGTCGACTGCCGCTCCTCCCTGGAGCCCGGGCTGCCGCCACTCGGTAGCCGAAATCGCGCCCGAGGAGTGCGATCGCGATCACCATGGCAGCCACCGCGCAAGTGGCGCCCAGGACGGGACGTCTCCTGCCCCCCTGCAAGCGCAATCTCCGAAAGCCACCAGCACTACGGGCAGCAAACGGCATGCCCACGATGGGACGACGGGGGGGACGCCTCCCGCGTGATGGGAAGGGGCGGCCGAACGCCTCTCGCCCGGGAGAACCACTTGGGTGAAAAGCTACGAGAGAACAGAATGCTTCTCGAGTCATGAGTGCGTAGGAAGTAGTGATGGTTACGGACCTGAACGACGGGAAGACTAAGGCCTTCCGGTGCCAGCGCCGGTGCCGGGACCGGAATGGGCAGGTAAAGGGGAAGAGATAAAAAAAACTGCGCATAGGTAAGGTAGTGTCATGACCCATAATGCAGGGGAATGAAGGCTAAGCAGACACCAAAGAGCGGGTGTCCTGCCGGGGAATCTGGTCGGGCGGAGGCCGCGAGAGGACAGAGCTCTGGACAGGGTCCCGAAGAGGGGCGTCCGGAAGAGTTGGCTGGAATGCAAGAGCTTTGCAAACGGAGCTCCGCGATTGGACCAGTGTTGTTATTTTCAGGTCTGACCAAAACAGTGGGCGTAGATACCGGCAAAGCCGCGGCAGAGACCCTTGAGGCTCAAAGGCGAACTCCTCAATGTCTCTCATCGCAGGTCTAGACGAGCTGCGAACTCCGTCTGGCGAGCATTCTCGTCCTCCTTGGCGACATCATGGAACTGTCGCTTGCAAAAGGCGGATCCAGCAGAGGGTCGAGGCCCTCTGTTGCCCCCATGGAGATGCCGCAGCTGATATTACAGATAGGTATCTGGTCGAGTTCGCTTGAGTGGGAGCTGCTTGTTGTTGTTGCTGCGAGAGAGCCGAGGTGGTGGCATCTTCAACCCAACCAAAACAGACTTAGCTACTCCGTAGAATTTACTGACACTAAGGAAAGCCCACCTCTGAGAAGCTTCACCCCTCCATACCAGCAGTCAGCAACAATGAGGACCACGGCCGAAGGCCAAAGATCATGATAGAGAGTCTTATGGAGGGGCCGGTGGTAAGTGGCGTTGGACCGAAGTTGCGCCAGGATTCTGGCACTTGGGCGCGGAAACCCACACCTGTCATGCCAGTCAGAGCGCGTTTCAAGGAGGGATGGACAGGATGGTGATGTCACACTAGCAAGATCGAGATCTCGAAAAGGAAATGCCCTCTTCGAATCAGTACATGAAACTGAAAATCCTGTATTTGTTCATGATCTGGAAATGTGAGATCTGCGGTTGAGCTGCGGTTTTGCATGATGGGAGTTTGTGATACCACTTGTGTTATTGCTGTTTCGGAATACTTTACAAACAACACCAAACAACAACACAAGCAACTCAAATCAGGCACTCGGAGCCAACGTCCGGCCTACTTAGCCCTGTTGGGACTTCCGTGTAGGCAGGGAGACACGTAGCGAGGCTTTACGTAAACAGAGGGTTGGACTCCTGCCCTGCTCCCGGTTGCGAAGTACCTGTATCTCGTAGCATGGGAGCTGGAAGCTGTCCAAGTAAACAGATTCGCACTGTTGACGCTTTGAGACCTCTGAGACATCCAACAGCCACAGAGGCTGTCTAGTGCTTTGCATCAATACTTGGTAAGGATGCCCAGAGCAGGCCATTCGTTGGCCGTCGATTGAGGCTTGCATTGTGTCGCTCTTGTCGCCATTGAGTGTGGAGGATGGCTGATTTCTTATAATAACCAGAAAACGACTTTAAATTACGCTCTTTTTCCCGGTTGTTTTGCTAGCGCTCTCCCACATAAATCTGCAGGCGCAGGGGCCATTTCCTTAACAGCCTGTTTAGAATCCTCTCGCTAAGCACCAAAAGAACCCTGTACACTAACATTGCAAGGTACATGGCTGTTAGTGCACAACCCAGTATGCCGAAGAAGGCTCTGAGCGCAGCGAAGGGCCTCTGAGGCGGAGACCCTGGAGCCCGAGAGGAACGAGGGCGGAACGGGTCCCATTTTACGAACGCGAGCCCTGCGAGCAGTGAGGGCTACTACAACCCCATTCCCTAAAGCCTGCGTTGCAGGCAGTCCCCTAGTAATGTATGACTGTACGAGGTGTATTCCCGGGATAGCCGGCCTCCCACTCGTTGCGGCCTCCAGGTATGATTCCGTCAGTGCAGTACCAACTCGGCTCGGCTTGATGCTGCTTGCATCCCTGGTCGATCGATTACATCAACCCTGGAACCTTTTTAAGTTTATCTGGAGTGGTTTCACGGCCCGGGATGGCTTGAGCGGGTTCCGAGGATAACATCCAGAGAAGATCAGCTGCGGTTGAGACCTATGATTTCATGCTGGATACCGAAGTGGCAGGTTGCGGGGGTCATGATCGACTTTTTGTTTTTGTCCATGTCAAAGTCAAATGCAAGGACGGGATGGGAAAGCTGGGGGGGGGGGGCCCTGGAGGTGATGTGCTGCAGGGTCGTTCGGGAGATCGACACTGCCAGATACTGCAAAGGGATACCAAGATTTACAAGTGGTGCGTTTCAGTGTGCTGAATGTGCTAAATGTGCTGAATGCTATCCACAGGTCAGTGTCAACTTTTTTTTTTCAGGTGGTTGGACAGCCCGCATCACCTCCTCAAAAGAACCCTGGAGGGGATTCATCAGGGATCTGGAGTCAGCCCAGCCCAGGGATCTGCTCAGGGATAAGCCCTGTCCGAGCTGCAGCTTCCCCTGAAAAGAGGGCTTTCGCCGAGACTTGCAGGACCCCTCCTGCTTCGTACCTGCTGCAAAGCTGGAGCTCTGTCGTCCTTGGGATGGCATTTTTGCTTCGCGTTTGGGATGTGGGGGGGCTTCTGTGGATTCAGTCCAACATTGAACCATCCAGCTCGCACGAACAGATGGGAGGATGGAGGGTTGATCGACACCAACGACGCCAGGAACAATGCGCGTACGAGGACCCCTTTGACAATGGGAGAGACAGACATCCTTTGTGGCAGCTGTCGGGCAGTCGGGTCCTCCCAAAGCGACGACCAAGGGAGGCAAGGAGCCGAGAAGACAAGACCTGGAGAAGCTATTCTTCTCCCCTTGCTGCTGCAGATGCCGCCAATGCAGCCTGTCCTCTGCATCCGCGGATATAGCCTTCGATCTACGATGTCAGGGAGAACGCAGGTCTCAGCAATCGCCCCATCCCTTTCTTCCTGGCCTGGTGCGTACCTATGCCACTCCGAGGAGAACGCTGTCTAGCCTCGGGCTAGGCCCGTCAAGACTGCAGCTACGGAGTAAGCTCGAAAATGCATCTCTCAAGCAGACGCCACAAGCTCCGTACCTACCTAGGTAGGTACTCGCTGATGGTTCAAAGAAGAGCCGGCTTGAAGCTGTACTACCACCACCACCACCAAAACGCTCAACATCCACACCTTGTTTTCCCGCGCCCTTCCCACCAGAGCCACCACACAAATCCAACGTCAACCCACATGCGCCTCCCGCGCACACACAGCACCACCACCAACATCATCATCTCATCTGACAAACAAGAAAAAGCGGAGGCAGCGGGGAGCAAACCACCCGCTAGACTGCTCTGCTCCGTCCGCTTGCGGCGAGCAAGGGCGACGAGGCATGAAGTCGGGCGAGATCCTGCCAATTCCAAATTCGGCTGCGGCCGGTAGTACCGCCGCTCGACAAGCCTTGAGCAACAGGTCTTTTCCAGTCTGGGCCAGACCTGCATGGCGATGCGAAGTGACGGCGGTGTTTGAGAGACAAGAAGACCATGACGATGGCCCAGATCGTGTCACAGGCCCAGCAGAGCTCAGCAGAGCCAGTCGGTGGCCCCTCCAAACAAGGGCCTGGTCAGCTCAGGATTTGCACTTGTGCATTCCTCCCGTCTTGTCCGGCCCTTGTTCTCTCTCCTGTCTGCTTGGTTCCCCCCTCTTTTGGGGGCGCCACGAGTTTCTTCGCCCTCGTCCGCAAGTGCGATGGGGCCAGCCCACACCACTGCATGCCTTGCTGCATTCCACAGCCCTGAGGGGGAAGCAACACCACCACATCCGCGCGCCTTGGACGCCGTGGCCGCGCGCGCTCACGGCCGCTTCTTGCCTAGGCTGATACTCTTGCCCGCTCTCTCCCTGCTCGACGCTGCCCGCAGGAGGCTCGGCCCTGTGAGGGAGAAGCGCTCACACCCTCTCGCCGTCCTGGTCCCACGGCCCATTCCTCGCTAATCGGGGGTGGTGTCTTCGTGTTGTTGACGCCCCTCCTCGCGCGACAAAACACAGAGACACACAATGTACACAGTAGCACATGCTGTACACACTCAGGACGGGGTGCGGCCCTCCCGCGAGGACTTAATACATGCCCTCCCTCCCGTCAGAGGGGGACTCCTCAAACCACAATAAACTATCGATCTGGATCATCGACTGTATTGGTTTCGCCTTCCCTTTCGCCAACCCTTTGACAGGACGCCGGCCGGTGGCTCTAGCAGAAGAAGCATATTCTGTTGTTGATGTATACCCTGGCATTCCCTTGTCCTCGGGAGGTCCAAGCAAAATCTCTAGGAAATTGAATCATCTCGCTTGCATCTCATCTATCGAGCTGTCAGATTCCACCACCGGCAACCATGGAGCGGTCAACTGGTCTCGCCGAGATCAAACTGGTCTCCAAGTACTATCCCGTCAACAACTACTCTTACCCACGCGCTGATGCAGCCCGCTGTCAACGCAAGTCCATCGTGGGCCGGGGGTCTCTGGACTCGGACTGCTCGATGCCGGGCATGGTCGATGACCATGGCTCCGATGTCTCGGCGGAGGATGACTATCAGTATCACGTCTCGGCAGCCGAGCTGTGGGATTCGTTCTGGCAGGCATCGGGTACCAGCGAACAGAGGTCCAAGAGGGATGCTTATCCTGGCTTTACAGCTCCTCCAGCTCTTCGTCCACAGCTCTCCCAGCCTGAGCCGAGGATAAGAGAGGAGACGGACACAAACAGCAGTGCCTATACCGGAAGGACAACACCAGAGTCGCCGCCATCATGGCCTCTCCCGTGCAACTCGGCCCAGGACCGGTCAGTCAAGACCATCACCCCCAAAGCATCATACTCGCTCTTCCCGGCTCCCGCCAGGGTGCCCACCATCCCCGTATTACCACCGAGGCTATCTTCTCTCGGTATGCCACCGCCATCTTCAAGACCTCACACTCCCACCCGCCGCCGACCCGCAGTCCGCGCCTCTAGCCATTCCCTCTCCGCTGTGCCCAAGATGCGGCCGAACCCTATCGACCTCGGCCACGCAGCATCGCACCCCTCCTCCGCTCCCGTTTCCCCCATGCTGGCACTCACCTCCCCGCCTATCGGCCCACCGCCGTCGGAGCTGCCGCCGCCTCCGAGACGGCCGGCGCTGCGAAACCGCTCAGCTTCCGCTGCAGCTGGTTCTTACCGTCCGCAGCACTTTATCCCGCCTTCCTTCGTCACCGCTACCTCTGCTCCGCCCACTATCACCACCTTCAGCGGTGCCGCGGCATCTTCTACGTCCAGCCTCGCGTCATCGCGCTCGCCCACTCCGGCGCAGATGATTCCCCTGCCACCTATCTCGCCGCCCAAGGTGTCGGTCTTTGAGGCGGACTCGGATACCGAGGAGGACGACAGCAACGACAAGAGCTTTGCCCGCCGCATCGTCAAGGGTCTTGCTCACAAGCGCAGCTTCAGCGACACGCGGCGCACCGCCAAGGGCGACGAGTTTGCCAAGGAGCAGCTGCGCAGGGCGCGCTCCGGCACCATGGGCGAGACGAGCGAGATGGAGAAGCGGGCCCGGGACCAGCTCCGCCACCAGCAGCACCATTTCCTCCAGCTTCACGAACAGCAGGCCAAGCCCAAGCTGAAGAGGCATGGTAGCGATGTTTTTGCCAAGTTGATTGGCCGGAAGAGCCACTGAGCAAATGCGTCAACATTGCTCAGGGATCATTTCGAGACGACGAATGGATGGATGCATGAGAAGTTGAAGATTTTGGGATGATGACGCAACCACACACTCATTTAACGACATATCACGATCATTCTTGTTCATTGTTTTACTACCCCTCTTGACTAGAGGGACGGGTCATGAAAAGCATCTTACAGCGTCAGGCTTGACAGCCATTACGAGTTTTCTATGTATATTCATGGATTGGGTTGGGGCGCAAAGGCTTGGGAGGGGATATAGAATGGGCCGAGACTCTTCAATTCAAGAGCTCGTGAAGGCCTTCGGATGAATCAAACAATTTTTGACATCACCGTTACGTTTTGCTTTCAAGAGTGACTTGTCTTGCTTGTTGATGAGCTCGCACAATGCAAGTCAATTATTCCGCTGTTCTCTATCTCCCATTCCCGTTATATACCGTCTGCTGAATCCCATATTCCCCAGCTCAGCCAAGTGTAGAAAGTTTTGCTTCAACCCTGAAGCAATCGACCAGAATACAAGGTGGTAGTTCATGATGATCATCGACCATGAAGAATCGTAAGAGCCGGCCTGCCATTTCCAACCACCGAAAGAAGAATTTGTTATAACGCCGTCCGCCATGCATCATGTCCAACCCCATTCCACCTCGAGGTGTAATTAGTTATCTAGTCCCGGATATCCATCCCTCAAGTGTCTCATCTCATCTCATTCTCATCCTCATCGTCATTCTCGTCCTCTTATCGTCAGAAAAGAAAAGTCATTTTTCATCAAATCTCCTCACCTCACCTCACCTGACCTCACCACCCCTCCTTCCATCCATAATCCCACTTTCACGCCATCATGACCCCTCCCTGCTTGAGGTACTCGCGCCTCCGCAGGCTGACCTCCCGGACGGGCGCCATCCTCCGGCTCGTGCCCCCGACGGCGCCGCGCTCCGTGAACCGCCGCGCGCGGCGCACGCCCAGCCTGCCGTCCGCCCCGACGCCGAGCACCCACCCGGGCCGGACGGCGGCCGCGCGGTCGACGCCGATGCGGCCCCGCAGCGCGCGCTTGAAGCGCACGTCGCGGAAGGCCTCGTCGCGCGCGGCGACGTCGTCGTTGGACACGAGGCTGATCACCTCGGCGAGGCAGGTCACGGCGTGCGGCAGCCGCAGGCCTTGCCGCGCGGGCAGCAGGGCGGCCAGGCCGGCGAGGTAGAGCGCCAGGAGGGCGAGGACGAGGGCGTAGACGGGCACGCTGGGGATCATGCGCACGGCGCCGTCGGCCTGGGTCAGCGCGGTGAAGACGCCGCCCGCGAGGACGGGGAGGAGGACGAGGAGCGTCGAGAGGAGGGTTAGGCCGGCGAGGCGGAAGTGCCGGTTGCGCAGGGCGTGCCAGGTGCTCTGGAGGGGCAGGCAGGCGGCGTAGTCGGCCAGGATCGAGGTCTCTGGGTGCGCGCCCGCGGGCGAGTGCTCGTGCCGGGCGAGCTCGGCCCAGGGCTCGAGGATGCGCATGTGCATGTCCAGGCTCTGGAAGAGCAGGAAGAGGACGAGGCCGAGCAGGGAGGGCAGGAAGCTGTAGAGGAAGTCGGCTGCCGAGAACGCGCCTGGGCCCGGGGCGGCGGAGAGCAGGGGCAGGAAGCCGCGGTGGACGTCGGTGGCCGGGATGAAGGAGACCACGAGCAGCGCGGTGAGGAGAACGACGGCCGCGACGACGAAGAGGAGAAGCTGGTTGTTGCGCAGACACCAGGGCAGGTACCGGTACCGGACTTGGTACGAGAGAGGTGAGGGTTCGACATCAAAGTCGGCGCCCGACTTCTCCGTGTCGCGGGTCGCCCTCCCCTCTCGAGAGGCGTCTGAGACGTTGTTCTGGAGCCACTGCTGGTCCTCCACATCTGTCCCGAGGGCGTACCAGAAGCCCTGGCTCCGCTGGTCTCTCCAGTACCAGTATCCCAGCTTATCAACGCAGCGATCGCGCAGAGCCCACATGAGCTCATCGCGAGTTGCCATCACTTCCGTCCCCTGGTAGTCGCGCAGCGTGTTGCTGTGCGAAATGATGGCAATGATGTCGGCGATTGAGCGAGCGTCCCAAAGCAAGCCGGTCCGCCTTCCCGACCAAAATCTCCAAAGCATGGCGAGAGCTGCCAGCAAGGCGATGTAGAGCACCACCAGCGTCCACGCGACACCCTGCACAGCTGCCCAGCGCCACTCTCTGTCGATCAGCACGAAGGTGAAGAGCGCGCTCTGCAGGGGAAGCGTGATATTCGCCATCCACACTACAAAGATCGGCACCTGCGTGTGCCAAGTTCCTACCAAGGTTGGCCACAGGAATGACCGGGGATAGAGGTCCTGGAACAAGGCACCGGGACGTTCGTGAGGCTGGCTCGAGGTCGCCTCCAGTCTCGTGAACGGCAGAACTCGAATGGTTGCTGCAACGATGCACTGGGCGTACATCAAAAGGGCTGCCGCAATCAATTGGGGCAGAATGCGAAAAACAAAGTATTGGGCACTGTATATCGTGCCCACGAACGCCACAAGGCCCTGCTGCGCTTGCGAGAAGACTGCACTAAAGATCAAAGCAGCAATCATCAAAAGACATAATGTCATAATCGTCATCATCGAAATCGGTCGTAAAATTCGTGGCCTGAAGTCAGGCCGAGGATTCAGCATCTTTGCGTTGGGAGTCATACTGTCGTGGTCCGCAGAGGACCATGCGTCCTTGAGGACAGAGGCTGTTGCCAAGCCTTTGGGCTGGTTGGTGACGAGGGTGGATATGGACGAGTGATTCGAGGAAGGGTGAGGGTCGAGAGCCTGCGCCGGAGCCCGTTCTGCGAACTCTGGCGCTGGCATGGCCGAGGGACGGAGCTGCGCAGGCTCTGGGTGGGTGGGAAGAGTATTCCTCTGATGGCCGTAGTAGTTCAGACCACGGTCAGGCACCAGAAGACCGTCGTTGCTGGGATCGCTGGAGCCGGTCGCTCCCGAGGATGTGTTCTTGGAGTACCATGTTGCCGGATCCCTGGTGATGGCCTCGAGGGCATATTGGATATAGGGCGTATCGTCAACTCCCGGGGTCACCTTGCCTGCTTCCAGTGCGAGTCCGTCCTTGAACCTCGAGGAGGAGGCCATGGTGGCAAACGCCTGCTCGCTCATCTTGTGCAGAGCCAGCGCTCCTACGTCGTCGAGAGTAAGCCGCGGCTCGTTTCTTAGCTGGGCAAAAGCATTCTCAGACAGGACTGCAGAAGGGCCGAGTCGGTCAGGACCGTAAAGCTCAGACTCTGATGAGGGAGGCGAAGGCGGGCTGGGTGCGAGGGGAATGACGGTGAGCTGTGACGAGAGCGACGCTGGCCGCGAAGTCACAATATCGTCTGGCGATCCGTCGTGTCGTCGCTGGTGGGGTCGAACTGTGGACTGCGTCTCTGGCGATTGAGGGCTTGTTCTAGGAGCTGCTGCTCTTGCAATTCTTGCGTAGTGCGTGATATCCGTTTCTGTCAACGACAGTCAGCAATCCGAGCTGCGACCAGGTAGGGGGGGGGGGACATTAGCTAGGGACAAGCTCTGCGACGTACGAGGTCGTTCCACATAGTCAAAGTTCAGGCTCTGAAAGTTCATGCTTCAGGCACGGCGAGAAGGCGCTGTGCTGTTGTCGTCGATGTCGGTGCCGGTGCCGGTGCCGCTGCTCTGCTGATCCTCCTCCTGCTGCTGCTGCTTCTGCGGCTGCTATTGGTGCCGTCGCTGGCTTCTGCGTGTCTTGCTGGTCCTGCTGGTCCTGCTGTCAAACTCCACTTGGATCCGTCTGGCGACTGGCTAGTGCTGCATGCAGATGCAGCCCTGGAGGACAGGAATGCATGATGAGCGGCAAGACTAATAAGGCCTGGAAATGTGGTTGGCTGGTGGTCCGCATCCAGATGCAAGCAGCTGCATCACGAAGAGGCTGGCGCAAAAGTCGAAGGTTGGGGACAGCCCACTGTGGACTCAAAATCTACAGGCTGATGGATCAGCCCAGCCACCGCCCGCGGCCGGCATCAGCACCAACGCAAGGGCCCAACGACACCTAAACCCCCACTCCCAGCAGCTCCATGTCGCCCTACGATCCTGGACTGGCAAGGGAAAGCGATTGAAGCTCCGATTCCAGCTGTTTCAGCATGGTTGTTTGCCCGCTGTCGTAGTCGTAACTACGTAGGTAATCTTACATCGATTGAACGAGACCAGGATAGATACCCAACTCTCTCTCCACTGACAGTGAGGAGCGGGAGGCTGGTCGCCAGCATCTGCGCTGTCCTCCCGCCCTGAACTGCCCGCAAGCAGGCGCTGACAGGGGTAGCTCGTAGCGGCCCAGGTTCCTAGTTTACGGCCTACAAATCAGCGAGCTTCAGTGGGGCCCATACAACGGCACGGACCGTATAACGATGTTTGAGTTAGCCAGCCGCCGCCGCCCAGATACTGCTTTCAATCTGAGCGACAGGGATTCGTCGGAGCTCTTCGGCCACCCTCCGACAAAGGAGGCGGGCGCGCAAAGACCAGGCACATGTGCGCCACCAGCCAACCAACCAGTGTCCAAAGCACGGGAGCCTGTCCTGGGGTTGCAACGCCAACTAAAGTAGCAATGATAGGAGGCATAGAGACAAGGCTACGAAACCTTAATTGCCCAATTCAAAGGTTCAATTCTATAGTCGACGTAATTTACACAATGACCCAAATGTGTATAGTCCCAATTGCCGTCGAGCGCACAATCAAGGTCGCGATGCCCATCCATGGATTGGTTGAAGAGGAGGAGGACTGCATGGTACCAGCCATTATTACCCAATGCCAAGTCTACAGTCTCTCTTCTCGTTTAGAACCTTCAATTCCGTTCTACGTTGTTGGAAACTCAGGCAGGCCAATCACCTCTCAAGTTCGTCTTCTGGTGAAGGACAACTAGGTGTCGCCTTATTTGCTGCATGCAACCCCTGACAACCTACGTAACAGCATCCACATCGAGAATTCTATCATGGGATCATCCAATCTTGTCTAGGAGAGACTGAAAGGAAGTAAGTAAACATGTAGCCAATGGAAGCAAACTGATTCAGCAGCTATGCTGGCCGAAATCCAAACACTTAGTGTCCTCGTGAGTCAACATCTGCATTAGTTGCGGCAACGATGCCCACCACCATCACCGCACAGGCGAGGCCATTCCCATTGCGTATCAAGCCACGTCTCTCCTTTTGACTGTTCTGTCCAACAGCACTGTCTGGGCTGGTACCGCCGTGGGGCCGCCCCCGAATCGGTGCCTGGGTGCGCCTCAGAGCAAGTCCACTGCCCTTGATGGCGTCAATTGAGACAATGAACCAGAACATCGGGTCCGACTCCTTGCTGAACAAATCACATCACGGCCGTCTCTGTGGTGTACATCCCAGCATTCTTAGGAACTTGCCGAACTCTTCTCGTGAGCCATCCAGGAGCCGGGTCAGCCGAGCGAAAAATGGACAGTGAGACCATTACCCAGGCTACCTACCCTCAAGTCTCGTACAATGGTGGCAACCCGATTCGGGGCCACCACACTCATGCTAAAGGGTTTTACTTTGTGGACACGCTCAGACCACCTGATCTGGGAAAACAAACACCCCGACGTAACCCAAGCGAATCATGTCCGTTTCATTGCGGTCTTGACTGCCGTCAAGCCGAGAACGGAAGGCTGTTCCGCTGCTCGAGCGACCGACTCGGCCGATATGTTGACTCGAGATGACAGCATCGTGCCGCAGTGAAGCCGGTCTTGGCTTCGATGTTCTGTGCGCTCGCATGGTGTTTCATGCGGGTTCAGCTCATGCCCAATCGAGCAACTGTCTCGTTAGCCCTGTGTCTTAAATTGGACGAGCCCGATCCTCCTCGCTTCCAGGAGTGCGCTGACCAGTCGAATACAAGGCAGAGACAAACTTCATGATAATACTGCACATTTGGACCCTTGGCTTCTCAGCTTTCAGCTGTCCAGTGTCGGTCCTTTCCGTCTTCCGTTGCAGCCGCACCTATCGGCGGTAATGAAACGGGGATGCATGTTTAGATAGCATGCATCCGTCATGAAGATATCTCGAAAGACACTGTGCACAGGGACCAAGCAGAGTTCGAGAGGGCCAGGCCCCACGTACGGGCCCAATGCCCATGCCAATGCAATGCCAGTGCCAGTGCCATGCACGTCTTGCATTAGACGTCACATCCCACTAACCTCCACAGTTCAGGCGTCATGTCTCTCTAGTCTCGCTACTTGAGACGGCATGGTTCTGCATGTTTCCAAAAAAGAAAAGGAAGAAGCCTCCGGGGTGTGCATATGTGAAAAGCTCGACACCAGACTAGTCTCATGACCTCCAGTCTGCCAAACCCTCCTCCGGTTTTGCCAAGAGACCACACGATCCCTGTAGAGCAGTGAGAAGATGGGAAAAGGAGAAAGGAGCATGACTACTTCCAGAGCAATGTCTTCGGTCCACCTGACTCTCTGTCATATTTTGTTTGCTCAGAAGAGGCAAAAATGCACCTCCTCTCAGAACAACTCTCCACAACCTCGCAGGCTGACTATCCTGCATCCGGAAAAGTGTGTATAGCAAAAGAACTACCTACCTAGAGACACCAAGCAACTAGGCCCTCGATCACCGTACAAGTACTAGCTAGCCGCACGCACACTGCACGCAAACTTGCCTCACACCGCCTAGAGGGGTTGAACCTCGGGGATTTATGTCATCGTCATCAGCAAGGCCCCCCAATTTTTGGAGCTGTTGGCGCGCTTATTCCGGATGATCGCACTTTTAAAAACAGAAGATGGGGGAAAAGGCAAAGCACCTTTCGACAGCGGCGAGGCCCTTGCGTCTAATGATCGACATCGCAGACGGTCACTGCGTGGGATAGGTATGTTTCCTAGTGTCTTCTCTCGAGGTACATCGCTTCAGTCCCCCGTTTTGGAGCGGAACCTCCGCCAGACGGATGCCTGCCGCCTCCGGGTTTTTTTTTCGTTGAGCTTTATGAGTGCCGATCTTCTGCTGTATAAAGTAGTTGAGCATACGGGATAGTACCCGACCTTGTGTCTGATCATCACACCATATCGCAGGAGGGCATTGTTGCTGGTCAACCAATACCGCCTACACCGGAGAATATCAAGCAGCTGTCAAGATAGACATGGAGCCAGCTAGAATCTTCCTCGGACGACAGACGAGTGCGATCCGGGCCGGTTCTCTAGATGAATCTGTCGGTAATTACCTTTCGTAGAGGGTGTACCTGCTCCGTGAACTCTGTCCGCGTGTCCCCCCTGTCTTTTAGCCAGCCACCTGCAATTGAAGGGAGGGATAGAGGAGACAGGAGGCCCCTTTCATGTGGATATTGTCAAAAGCAACGTTCAGACTTGACATCTGGGATCCCTGCGCAAATCATCATTGCGTGCTGGGCTTGGGGGGACCCTCTGGACCAATCCCCAGAGCCGTCCAGCCGGCCGTGACGGATTTCTTTCTAATTTAGCGGCACCGCCGGTCATTCCAGCAACCCGGCGCGTAACGCTATTGATCCCTTGGTGGCTCCTCTCTGTGGGGGGAGGGGAGAAGAGACAACAAGAGCGGAGGGAAAGGGATGTTTCCACGCCGACAACTCGCACGGCGAATTAACAAATAGGGAACAAGCTGGAACGGGATCATGAAAGTCGGGACAGGAGTGGGAACAGCCGGGTGGATAGGAAGACAGCAAGACAGCAAAAGAAAAGAAATCAGAAGGAAAACCAAGGAGATAAGTTACTTGACTACCTAGACTTGCATATCCACTTGTCTCCATACATCAGCCCGACGGAGCCTGCCAATTTGTGAGCCAAGGCGTCTGCTCCAATCCCAATCCAGGTGCTCGGACCCTTGCTTTCTTGCGATGCTAGAGCCAAGGCAAGCTGCAATTACATCTCTCGACACCACAACTCCTATGAGATGTCGTCGCCGGCTTTTGTCGCCGGACCTCCACCGCCTTTCCATTATCGGAAAGCCGTAAATCCTATCGGGGTGGAGACAGAGTGGTCGGTTCCGAGGTGACTTCGTATGCGCATATCCAGACCTCGCCAAACATCAATCCCCGGGATCGTCACATGCTCTTGATGTAGGGAGGTAGTTGAGGTCTCTCAAGAGAGAGATCTGGAGGCCCAATTCCTCCACATCCCGGCTCTGAGGAAGCAGGTGGCCAATTAAGCTTGGCCAAGGGGGAGCAGAAGGGTACAGCATACTATACGCACCGCATCTCGTTTGTGCAGAATCTTACATTCTCTTGCCTTGCCTTGCACCGAGTTCGTGTGCCCACGTCGTGCAATGCGTGTCTGGCATCAGGGCATCAAGGACAGTTCGCGCGACCCAGCGCAGCCGGAGATCGAGTGACAGTTCTCTCACCCAAGGGACATGCTGTTGTTGTGCGACGATGGCCCTGCCGGCCCCATTCAGGAGCCATAGCGAGCGGATGTGGTCCTTGTCCTGTGTGTCCGTGTTTTTCCGCCGTGTAACCCCAATGTGTCATGCTGCCATGCTTTGCGCCCCCCCCCTTCTCGGGGTGCACAGTGCAGTGGGATGGAATGGGTGCACCGCCTGTTGTCACCTTTGAGGCTCATTATCTTGTCTCAACCTCGCACCACAGCCGGTCGTGTGGCGAGTGCACTTGGGCTGCCCTGCATCTTCGGGACCGGCCATCCGAGGGACCACAGAGGAGACACATGGGTGTTGTTGGTCCTCGATAGAGTCAAGTCATGTGTATCACCAGTATCTAGAGCAGAGAAGAATGGCCTGACCACACCGTCATGTCTCGCAGGATCGACTCGTCGGTGCTACGAGACGTTGACTCTTGTTTGGCGAGAGTCAACTTGGCTCTTGGCCCACCTAGTCTAAGCATATCGACGTCAGCAGCGGACGAACGGGGCATCCGTCACAAACCAAATTCGAGAGGATCATAGTGTTGTGTGACACGGGGTTAACGTCATGTATCATTCGCTACCTGTAGGCTTCAATTTTTCATCCGTCATCTAACTCCAATCCAATGTAGAGAATGATCCCCGCTATAGCCAACAGAGTACTCCAAAACTGCCTCGACGAGCTCACCCAGCAAGCTGAGAGATCTCGCCAGTAGCACAAACTCCCAATTCAGAGACAAGAAATGAATCCAAGAACAACAAAAATTTTCCAGCAGCACGCGCGGTGCAGACCGCGAGATGCGTCACCAGAGCCCTGCGTACATCACAATCACGGTCCTAGGGGACCGTGACGTGCCAGGACGGTAATCAAGAACCGTGAGAACCCCCTCTTCCTGATCCCTCTGCGAATGTGACACTGGCCGGAGGCGAGAAAGGAGAGAAGGGCAAGCCGGTTGGCCGTCTCCTAGAAGCAGGGGGTGCCACAGTATCCGCAGGCACGGCCCGGGATGACCCAGACCTCGGTGCCGTTGGCGGCGCAAGTCGGGCAGCGAACGCCGGGGATCTTATCCATGCACATGTCAGCGCTCATCGTCCTCGTGCCAACTATGTAGCCCTGGAAGGAGCCACATCCTGCGGGGTGAAACTTACGGGGCGGCTGCGGACGCCATGATCCTCATTGGTGATAGGCAGGTGCGGGCTAGCCGGCTCCAGAGACAGGAAGGGCGGCTCAGAGCCACGGATGACGGTGGGAGCGATGGGGTGAGCCATGGTGACAGGAGCTTGTGCTGAAGTGGTGATCAGGTCAGAGGTCGTACTGGGTGGCGAATGGAGAGGATCTCTTGGAGATGAACTCAGTTGAGGCGCGGAGCTTGTGGTGTGGCAGTGGAGAGGAGAGTGTATGAGAGTAGAAGGAGGCAGGATGCTTGATGGGCGAGCTTGATATCGAGCTATTCGATGGTGGAGATGGGGACGGATTAGGGCCAATATTTATACTTTTTCCTGAAGGGATGATTCCTTCCAACGGTCTGACAGGAGGAGCGTTATACTCTTTGACACCCTGTCTGACCCTGGATCCTGGCGGCGAGGAAGCAGACGAGCGGATTGGGTTTGACAGACGGATTGGCGGTGCAGCGTGGTGTTATGCAGTCTCGGCCACCGCGACGGGAGCAGACATCGAGGGTTCAAGGGTGTGTGGGAAGACACGATGGGGCAAACGGCGGCCTTCCGACGGATGACAGCACATACGACGAAAACACTTTTGAGCTGGGTGGGAAGTGCAGAACGGGGACAGGTGGAAAAAAAAGAAGGAAAGAAAAGGGAAAAAGAATGACATTACCGTGTCTCTGTGGCCGCTCGATTTCGGCAAGCATCCGTGGTGGTGAAGCATGCGGCGCTAGCCGAACAGTCGTCTGCAGAGAGAGCGAGAGAGACGACAGACATTACGTGCATGGCTTTGGCGAGATGCACGGCATTCTTTGCTTCTCTCAACAGGGACAGCTAGAGTGGGAAAGACAGGAAAGCCACTTTGAGGTATGGTACCTACCTACCTACCAGTCTGGCAGGACTAAGGTCGACAGCAAAGTACTGGTGCTGCCATGTCTGGTGCAGGAGTACATGCCCACGATGCTCCGCTTGGTTTTTGGTCCGCGAACCATGTAGGTCTGGAGACACGCTAAGGGTCGATCACAAGAGGCCAGAGATGAGGAGGAGGGCCTCACTCGGTAAGGGTGGAGTCCAGCGGGGGACGCACTAGATGATCATCTAGTGTGGGAGCCATGTAATAAGCTCGAAGGGGCTCCCACGCCAACTGCCAAGGGGTGTAGGATACTCCGTAGTGTTGTACGAAGGTGGTGGAGGAGGAGGAGAAGGAGGAGCAAGAGGAGGTGTGGTCGAACGTTATGCGTATGTCCGTCCGTGGGTGTGTGTGGTAGGTATGCGTGCCGGAGGGGACGAGAACGAGAACGAGAATGGAGGAATGAAACATCCTAAAGGGACCTAAGAAAACCGCAGCCAAGAGTCGTGTTGTTTGCTGCCCTTGTGCTGATATCCGTCACTTCACACACACACGCACGCACACACCCCCTGCCCGGTCTCGGGAAGCTACCAGTAGATCTGCATCTGTACGTATGTATGCCTGAGCGCCTAGACTGCGGGAGGCAGGGAGGAAGGTGGGAGTGGATTTGCCGCTCCTTGAGGTTTCAGACCCTTTTGGAGGAGGACAGCATGGTATGATGATGTCTTCGGAGGGAGAAACAAACAACAGCACTTGAGAAGTACCTAGGTAGTTGGATGGACCTGTCCAAGTACCTGGTGAAGCTGACCAGGTCGGTGGGGCGAGGAGAGGGGCGTTAGGAAAAAGCAAGAGGAATGGCGTCGTCCTTGGGGTCCCAGCCATGAGCCCTGGGCTCCATGGGCTCCATCCTGCTCTTGACTGTTCCCAGCCGACTCTGGATGCGCGACTGGGATACCCGGCCCTGTTCCGCTGTGGTGGAATCCTGAGTCGCTTTCTTCACCCACGGCCGAATGTAACGCTGGGCGCAGGATCCATTTTCTGGACGAGCTTCTTCTGACTGCCGCGGATCCGTGACGTGGGTACGTGTGCATCTCTCAAGTGCGCGAGGGCTCTGCCCTATCTCGCCGCTTTGCTTCACAAAGTTTCGTCGAGAGGCGCCGCTATCACCTGTCACTTGCTTCAAAGCCGCTGGGCCAAAGCTCCAGACCCGGCCCGTCTTCCCCGCTGAACTCTGGCCGCACCAGCAAGCCGACTGGACCTGTCGACTCGGCGGGCCTGTCAGTCTCAGGCCACAATTCTGAGGGAAACAAAGAGCCCCAAATGTCTGAGAGAGAATGCGGTGGGTGTGGGTGTGTGTGGGGGCAGGGGAATAGGTACCTATCAGAACCCATATTTGGACTTGCCTGCCTGCCTACGTGCCTCCCTGCTTGCTTGGAGGTTTGCTTGCCCGCCGCCGGACCTACCTAGGTAGATTAGGTACTTTGTAGAGGGTACGAAGGAATGAGGGAGCAAAGAGGCCAATTTGTTACAGGTAACATTTGTGGCCAAATGACTTACATGCACGGGCAAGTTGTCATGTGGTGTGTGTGCTCTCAATGTGTACCTACATCCTACATCCGGATGTAGGTACACATGCAGACAGCAGATACCGATATTGGGAATGTGGACCATATCCATAGCAAATACCACTTTTATCTGCTGGTGAACGCAGGGGACTCCGGAGGCTTTTCCATCAGACCCTGGTCGCTGGGTGAGATGCTGTTCTGTGTGCCAATGGAGTCATCCCTATCTGCTTAGTTATCGGGCAAGGAACGTTAACTAGTTGTGTAGACTACCGTATGCACAGATGTCGGTAGGGATGTGGGATGTGGTAGGGATGGGAGCCGGCCAGCGATCAGTGGCAGGACAGAAGACCGACATTCGAAGCAGCCAATTGCGTGCGTTGTTTTGCCCGTCTTATTTCTTCTTTTGGGGGTCATTTTCTTGCACGGCGTCGCGTCCTGGGCTGGGAGAAGTTTGCCATGCCATGCTGCAGCCACCACCGGATGCGTGCATCTGCTGCTCAGATTGGTCGTCAGACACCGATCCCGTTGTCTTTGATTAGGCACTCTTGTGTCTCGTCCTGCCTGGCACCCACCCTCCTTGGCCCTCGTGGCACCAAATGCCGCGCGCCTGCCGGTGTGTCCACAGGCCCTCGGCGGTCAGTCTGACATCTGTCCACGGTTTGCAAGGCGCAGGCCGACCGCGGCAACGTTGTAGTACGCCGGCCCAGCTTCCGCGACCGCACAGCAAGGTATCACGGAATACCCCTACCAGAATCCTCAGCTGGACGGGTGTAAGCAGAATATTGCTGCACCGCTCCTTTCTTGCATGGTGACGAGTTTGGCCTTTCAAGCCCTGCCCTGCCCTCCCCTGCCCTCCCCTGCCCTGTCGGATGTGTGGCAGACGGTGCCGGCAGTCGAGGCCCTTCCATGGTCCTCTCGGCGAGAAGGTATCACAGGGCTGCCTAGCTGGAACAATGCGATCGCCCTCCAGAAGGCGGATGGCGCGGAAGCTCAGCAAACGACAAGGAGGATCATCTCGATCCCATCGGAGGACCTCGCAAGCGATCTGGCCGCCGGGTGACGCATAGGGCGGCAGTGCCCAATTGCCCACTGATGCCCGGTCTTGTCGGCCAGCTGCTGTGCGCCTCCACCATCCTCGACTCCTCGCGTCTCGTCGGCGAAGGCGCCGTTCTGAAATTTGTGCTTTTGTGACAGTTGACCAGGGCTGCTTGAGCCGGGCACGAATCCGTTTCGCTCGCTGGGCGGGCTGGTGACATTTGATACCTAATGCCCCCATGTAATCAGGGGCCTAGGGGCTTGTACAGGGGGTGCTAACTGCCCACACCACTGGCACAGGTTCCCCAACCTGAGACCTGTTAGTGCTGTTCTTCAGCAACTTGGAACCTGTTCGACCTTCCAGCTTCCAGGTCTGGCGCTTGCGTGCTGGACCCTGTGCTCCCCCCATTCCTCCTTCTCTCTAGCTCCGACCTAACCCAGCACTCTCCGGCCTTTCACCGTCTTTCCTGCGCAAACCTTCACCTCCTCCCCGGCCAAGTGCATGTGATGTATCGTTTCCTGAATAGTTGAGGCCCTCTGATTTGTATCGACCAGTGACTAATGGCAACACAAAACACAACTGGTCCGCGTGGATGGGGGTGCCTCCTGTCTTGGTCCTGTTGCAATCCGTGCTGGCCATGAGAAGAACTCCATGCCGTCGCTGACCCGGCTCCAAGACCACCTATCAGCTTGTGCCAAAGCCCTTGAATGACGGGACATATGACTGCTGCATCTCTTGGCCCAGATTGTGGTACCGAGCAAGTCGTTTGACTACCTTGTACGTAGTTCTTGGTCAAAGTCTGGTCGAAACAATCTCGGAACCATTGGGCCTGTGCCGCGCGTGTCGCAATCGACGGCTTTGATCGCCGCCGGGGGCCGGCGTGCTATTCCGGGCGATGGCGATGTGCAGTCCTTGTCGGGAGGATCGAGGTGGCTCGCTGTCTCTCTCGCTTTTGGTCAATGCGCTCGTGAGCCATCGTCAAGTTCAAGGTGGCTCATCTCTTTGAGGAAGTCCAGTCCGCGGGCCCGGTTCCCTTCAAGCTCAGCCCTCAATCCTGCCCGAGGAGCACGGACAGAGGGACTTGGCAACGCAATCCGTCTCGCTGATGTCCTCCTGTCCTCCTTTGAAACAAATGCCCAATCCCTCACCGGAATACCCTCTGTCCTTTGCTCAAACCGTGCCTGCCCCTCCGCAATACCTAGCCCTCCAGGCCCCACGACAGGGCAGCCTCCCATTTGAATGCAATACCATCCCTTGGGCAGGCACAACCCAACCACCCTTGCAGTAATCAATGCTCAGACCAACCAGGGCTCTTGGTCTCTTGGTCTCTTGACCCTCAACCCCCAGTCTCGAACCATACCCCGTACTTCATGTTCCGCAATAGTTGTATGGATCTTCTTCGGTCATGGTCGATCTTTTCACGCAGCAACTTGTGTACGAAGCAAGGTTCCGTCTACCTTCAACCTTCTCTCGGACGGGGGCCTATTGCACCGTGGCGCGGATTCGCCGACATTCCTTTTGGGATATCGCTTCCCTGCATCACAACTGCTGCCCTCGTCTCGTGTCTCCAAGGCGGGCACCCAAGCGGGTGACCCTGATTCCAACTCTCAGAGGGACAAGAGAAGGTGTCAACATGTTTCCCGCGCCGCCCCCTTGATCTGGGTTGAACGCGGGTCCCGTCAACAGTGCATCTGGGGTGTCCTAAACCGGCTGCATTAGTTCTATCAAGACTCTGGCAACGAATGGCACACCCCCTCCTCTGGAGCCTTGTTGCATATCTCGGTGAGATGCGTTGCGCCGTCCGTCGGACCCTGGCTGGCAGTTGCAACCATCCCGACACCTTCCAGACTCAGTTTCTACTTCGTGCCGACCGGTTTGCTCCCGGGAGGGTTGTCTATCATATCCCTCATCCTGATCAACATGTATTCGGACAGATACAGGCAACTGCATACTCATCGGGAGGCTTCCGGACCAATCTCCAAGCTCACTCGAGCGCACACACTCTCTTGACTGCATGCTCGGCCGGCCTGGGCTTTTCGAAACAGTCTAGGCTAGATGCATGGCGCGGATGGACATCAGGACATTTGCATCGGCGAATTGACGCCCACCTCGATATTCTTGATGTCCCCTTTCCTGTCCTTGTCCCGATTTACACACCGCCGTCGTGAACGAGGGGTGGTTGACGGGAGCTTGCTTGTGTTTCACAGTCATTTTAGGGCACAGGAGTGTCCTGGCCAATTGCATGCAAAGGATCGTCCGCCGGTGACGAGCAAGATCCTTTCCCTCCGTTGGAACGCCTCAGAATGACACGAAAGAAGCAGACATGCGAGCCGTAAGCACGAAGCAAACATGCAAGGTGTCAAGGGCGTGCATGTCCTGAACAGCTCTGCTTCTCTCCCTGCATGACATAAATGCCACCCACTCCTTGCTGTTGGTGACAGCTGTGGTTGTGGACTTGTTTGCCGCATGCAATATGCTGCTTGCTTCTCTTGCACTGCAGCACATTGCAGGGCTGGGACAGCCACTTCGTTGAGTTCAACGGGTAAGTGCCGAGCCGCTGATCTGCGCCTTTACGTGTTGCCGCAGCTTGCCGTCTTCTCTTTGCCCGAGCAAGGTTATGCGCCTGCTGGCAGGAGCAAACTTTTTTATTTCCCTCATCGTGAAAATCCCGAGTGTCGGTGATTCCGAAGCACCGTTTGATGAGACAAGTTCGTTGGACTTGATTAGGCGCGCCAAGCTCTCAACAATCTGCTCTCAAGCATGGAAACATCGAGATCAGGGGTCTGCTGATCCGATCAAGCCGCAGGAGATGAACGCTTGTTCTCCAGGTGCATGATCTACAGAAGCCAGATCTGATTGTGCAGCAGAATTGTAACATGAGCCGTGTCTATCCTCGGGAGCGTTAGCCGGGAACGGCACCATGATCGACTGGATCGTGCCCGTCAGGCTCTGTTTGCTTTTTCCCGACCTTCATACTTCTCCTAGCAGCCACCGCTAATGCAGCATGCTCCCGCCACACGATGCCGACTTTCGGCACCTGCCATCATCCAATTGTCATGACCACATGTCTTTTCACTGCCTCAACCTACATGATGGCAGCCTGGCTCGTGTCACCGAGAGTTCTAGACCTGGCAAGTCGCGCAACAGGTCCGCCTCGGTGGCTGATTTCCGCATCTTACGACCAAGGCATTGGACGTTGCTTTCCACCCTTCTCGTTGAATTAGCGCATATCTACGGCATCCCAGATGCAGCGACCCCGTAGCGAAATGGCTGATGACGCTGTGTTAGGTCATCAATGGGGCTGGCGGGAACATCAACTTCTCAGGTAATGACTACTTTCGATCGTCACCAGTGCTGACAGCAGCCTGAACGTATTACCAGTGAAACCGAAGAAAGAGAACACCAGACCCCAGAATACGGATTCATACGAGTTCACGTGAAACGAAAATTTTAAGCTTGATGACCGTTCTGCTGTCGTGAGCTACAGAAATATGCCGTATAACCGGACTCTGACGGTCCAAAAGGCTGGTCGACTCTTCATGTACCACCAGCCGGGCCCAGGGGAAGAAGGTCCCAGCATGCGCGGTCCCGTTCGGCAGCAGCAGTGTGCCCGAAGTCCCGCTGCTGTGAACCCCAAAACAACAACAAAACAAGATGTCCCGAGATGTCAAACTTACTTTACACATATGCCCTTGCCCCCCTACCCAACTCCTGTTTTGTAACGTGGATACGACATGACGCCTTCCGACCCAATCTAGACGCGCTGTAGGAAGCAAACAAACTAGGACAAAACAAAACGAGGCGAACAGATATGCAGCGACGGGCCGGTGCCTCTTCCGAGGACAACCTGGCATGGAAAGAGAAGGTAAATTTGACAAACACATGTACCCGAGTCCCCCATGTCCCGACGGCGATCGACCACCGTCGTCGAGGGATTTGCTTCCAGGCCACACCGAAATTGCGAACCCCTTCGCTGGCCTCCCGGGGAATAATACGCCTGGTCCGATTCGACAGAGCCGGGATTGTTGTCCGCCCTGGCTTACGGCTTCTTCAGCGTCTTCTCGACCTTGATGAACAGTTTGCCTTCTGTCGGGCGGCCGTGTGCGTCCATGAGGCGGACGAACCTGTACCCCTGCTGCAGGCGGTCGAGTCTGACGCACGCCCAGCCGGCGAGGTTGTCGTTTCGGCCCAGTGCCTCGTTGAGCTTCTTCCGCAGGTCCTGGTAGTAGCTCGCGTTCTCGTCCTCGACTCTGAACCTGTGTGTGTGGATCGCAACGGGTGTTAGCTTCTGTATCTGTTGGAATACGAGGAGGGCCGAACCTAGCCGGCGGCAGCGGACAGTAGCGTAACCACCCATGGCTCCGTGATGTGATTCATGATGTGATGAGGGTCACAAGGAGGAGGAAAGTGAAACATGCAATAGCACGGAGACTAAGAAGCACACAAGAAAGCAAAAGAGCAAAAGTCTTACCTGACGAAACTCAGTTCCTCCATCACACCCTTGACAGACTCAAAGGCAAGAGTGGCACCGGCGGCGCCCCAATCCGGGTGGTCCGTCTCCCGCGGCGGCGTCTTTTGCCTGATGACATGGTCTTTGTACCTGACCGCCTCCTCGTCGCCGCCGGCGCGCTCCTCGGCCTTCTCGACGTGCAAGATGCACTTGACAGAAGGCTTGAAGCTGGCGTAGCCGGGCGCGCCGCTCACGCCGACGCCCGTCGTCGCCACGGCCGCGGCGTGGCTGGACGGCCGCTTCAGGCTCGGCAGCTCGAGGTGCTGGCCGGCGAGGACCGTGATCTTGAGGTCTAGCGTCTGTCGCCGCGGGCCCGCGTCCCCGGTGGCGTCGGCGCGGTACCCCTCGGGCTTGAGCACCCACCCTTCCTGGCCGGCGAACATGGCCGAGTTGAGCATCATGGCCTCGTCGAGGTTCTGCCAGTTGAGCGCGACCATCTGGACGCCCTTGCGCCAGCACGAGGCCGGGTCCGGGTTGGAGCTGTCCCAGTGCCGGTTGGCGTTGGGGTAGGCGCGCATCAGGAAGGCGCGGTTGTGGCGGAGCAGCTCGCGCCGCCGAGTCGCGTGCAGCTCCGAGATGGACGTCTCGTCGAGGCTGAAGATGTGCGAGGGCGTGCGCGCGCCGCGGTCCTCGAAGAAGCTGCCCTTGTTGAAGTGCTCGCTGTGCGTGTAGATGGCCAGCGCGCTGAGCTTCTCGCAGATGCGGACCTTCTTCAAGGGCGCGCCGCTGCTCTGGCGCGCCGCCGGCGCAACGGCCTTGTCGTCCCCGCCTGCTGCCGCCGCCTCGCCTTGTTCAAACGCCGCGAGGTTCATGCCGAGCGCGTTGGCCGTGCCCTTGGGCGCGACGGTTCTGTCGGGGGTCTTTTTGACCTTGACCAGGATCTTGTTGAGGAGGTCTTCTAGAGTCGGGAGCCGTAGTCGTGGGTCGCACCCTTCGATCTCCCGGTCGAGAAGCAAGGTGCCCCATTCCTCCTTCATGATGTCCACCATGACTTCCTGCTGCTCGTGGTCGGCGTGCACTTCCAGGCTGACGACGAGAGGCAGGTCTGTGTTTTCAAAGGCCGTCTCGCGCACTGCCTTGCAGACCTCTCTAAAGCCCACGTGCGTGCCGAGTGACATGTCGTTGTTCAGGATGTGATGTGCGTGCATGACGATGGGCTCGTCCCTCGCCCTGCGCGCGGCCGACGATACCGACGCAGATCGGCTGCTCGACGCTCCGCCAGACCGCGACCTCGCCCTCCTCGTCGCGAGCCTGTCGTGCAGGGCCTTTGGGTCCAGGCTACTGCGGCTCTCTTCCGGGAGGAGAGCCGGCTGGCTGGAACTGGGCGTCCTGCTGTGCTTGGCAGACCTGAAGTTCTTGATGGGCTCGAAGCTTTCAAAGGCCTCGCGAAGCGTGCTCGCTACTGAGGAGGAGGACAGGTGCCTCTTGTGGTCTGGATGCGGGGATCTTGACCGTGTCCGTGGCGTTCGAGAACCGGACCTGGGCGGGCTGTTCCAAACGTCGATCTCGATACATCTGCAGTTCTGTCTGAGCACCTGATTTTTGCAAGTCTAGTTAGCAATGTGTTCCTATGACAAGTGCATGTAAACGACACTCCGTCGAAACTCACTCTTCGGTATGCCTCGGCCGAAGCCTCGCTAGACAGCTGATTCCCGAGCAGGTATGTGTTGTGGCTACTGCTGATGAAGTAGTTGCTGATGGGCCTGGAAAGGTCCTTCACGCCGAAGACCCGCCTCTGCGCATCCCAGTGGAAATGGTAGGACCACACCTCGAGGAACTCCTCAAACTTGTATCTGTCCCCCTCCAGCTCGAACCCCGTCTCGCCCTGTGTCCTCTCGAGAAACCTGGCAAACTTGGCCTTTGACAGCGACGAAGATCTCCCGCGCAGGTCGTCGTACACGCGCCGCAGGTGCATCCGCATGGGCTCGCTGAGGAACTGGAGGGTGGTGTTGGGGGAGGTGCGGTTGATGACGGCCGTCGTGTCGCCGTGGTCGGTGATCCTGATGGTCGGCCGCCGGTGGAACCCGCCCTTGGTCGGGGACAGCATCGTGGTGACGTCGACTATGCTCTTGAGCCCCTGGGCTCCGTGTTTGTTGCGGCTGTTGAAGGTGGGCATGCGCCGGCGCGCCTTGGCCATGATCTTGACATCGTCCTGGCTGCTGGTGCTCCTGCGAGCGCTCTGCGGAGGTTGTATGGCACACTGTCAGCGCGCCGCAACGTTTGAACCAAGAAAGAAGAAAGGGGCGACATATGGCCCAATCTGCTTGGCTGTGATGATGGTGGAAATTTCGCAGGACTTACGAATAGGCACATCGTAGGCTTCGTTCCGGGCACGTCTTGCAAGCGTGATGGTGCGTAGGGAGGGTTAGATGCTATCCACAGCCTGATGGGCCGCACATTGTCCAGATGTTTTGCGACTGTTTCTCTCTGGGGCGCTGAGGTCTGTCAAATATGCCGTACCCTTGGAGAATTATAATATAAAAGAATTGCAGAAGCTGGACAAGGTGCGCGATGTGGTTTTGTCAGCAGCACAAAAGGCAAGACGGAGAGCCTCGTCAGCAAAGGTTCAGCAAGGGCTTCAGCTCTGGTGCCAGTCTTGCCCCGCGCGTCGCGGACCGGCGAGCGTCGCACAATTGGCCACCGACTGGCAAAGATCAGAGGGATGCAGCAGAGCGTTGTTCTCTTTTTGCTCTGTTTCACGGTTTCGCGTAGAACGAGCGCCTGGTCGAGTCGTATGGCTCAGAAGCAGATGAAGGTCCGTCTGGAAAGCCGTAGCTCGTCAGATGCCAAAAAGGATGGGAGATAGCCTACCCTGGTCCATATATGGGGCAGGGTCATGGTTCGCAGGAACAGCATACGGGCTTGATTCATTGATTTGTCGATCACCCTAAGGTTTCCTCTCCACTACACCGACATGGGCTCGACTGGGCCAGAAAGAGCACGACTGGCACGCCAAAGGGAGCAATCAGATCAATTGAAGACCGAGGGTGGCTGTGGGCGGCCCTCCTCTGGGAAGAGGTGGTGGAATGTGGTGGATTCTGCATGCTCAGACTGACGATTCTCAGCCCCCAAATCTGCCAAATGGTGGTGCGGCGACAGGGGTCTCGAGGACCCGTCTGACAACAGAGATGAGATGAGAGGCCATTGCAAATGAAGGAATGACACGGTTGACTAATAGGAGCCGGGACTGGTCTGAGATGATACTGGCGGACGTACAGCCACGTCGATATCCTCTTCGTTCAATAATACTCGGTCGTTCTGGCTGCCCAAATGTTGTCCAGACCTGGCTGATAAGGCTGTCCCCCGAGGATTTCCAAGACCCATCCTGCCGGGTCACCCAGTCATAGTGATCGCTGCAAATGGATGGGTCGTCATTGTGTCTCAGCCCGGGGCTCGATCTAATGCACTCGTTCAGCTGGGGCTCGCATTCAAACCCCATCAATCTGTAACCTTTCTGCCCACCTGTACCTGGAATCACTTAATACAGACCTTCAAGCCGACCGGCCATTGCCTGTCCATCTCATCTCCATTTCGAACATTCCTAATCGCCTTTCCCCAGGGCCAGAACGTCTTGGCTGGGCGACCGTCCGAGGTGACTAAGGCTTACCGCAAACGGGACGGGACGCAGCCACACTCCGGTAGTAGGGGGGTTAAGGTGTACCCACAGTCACTCTGAATTTAGCACAGCTGGAGCGGGCAACCCACTGTAATTCTTACGCTAATTCGCCTGGGCCAGCCAGGACCACCCTCTGATGACGCCATTGGTGAGGAGCGAAGGAGAGCCTGCAGCGAGCTGGACAACCCAAGACAAGCGAGCCCCGGAGAATCTCAGACACATCATGCACAACATCTGCCACTGCCCACCAAACCCCCCCATCTTGTGACTGCCTCGAGCTCCGCCCATCGTCGCCGGTATTCTGGACTCGGCGACCGAGAGAACAGATACCTTACCATACCTAAGGCACCCATCGGTCCACCTGCTGACCCTTTTGAAGCCGGCCTCAGCCTCCACATTCAGTCAGTCTGGATCGGGAAGACAAGGCTCACTACTCACGTTTGTGCCATGGCGGGCAAGTCACGCGCCGACTACGAGGCTGAGGTGCGGTCATGGGGGTTCAAGCACGTCTTCACTTGGACTGATGGACCGTGAGTTTCTTCCTCTCTGCCTACACTTGAGTGCGCCTCGCGCTGAGTCGAGGGGTCCAGGCAAGCCCATTATCCGCCACATTCGCACGCCGGGCTGACAACCCATCTCATCACTCGAGGAGAGCTGACCATCACGTATCCCAACGATGAGAAGCCGGAGAAGGAGACGTTTGGCGTTGGAGGTCGAATCGACGTCGACGCCGGCCGTGTGCACGAGGTCTGGATCGGCAAAGAGGGTTGCACCTATGTCATTGGCGAGTGAAATTGAAATTTTTCCAACCCCTTGAGCCTTGACTGTAAGGGCTGAGGCTCTGTGGTCTATGAAATTGTTTTGCCAAGACAGATCTGTCGTCCAACTGGATTGCGCTCACCCAAGTCCTGAACGCGGTCTTCCTTGTGCCGGCCACAACGAACTATATTTACTCTCACGCGCGCGTGCCGGGAAAGCGCACCGATGCTGCCTGCCCACGGCTGGTGATGCATGAAGAGAGGGCGAGCCCGGGGAAGCAGAGAGGTCCAACCGGCGGCTGGATCAATCCTGCCGTGTCCGCACCTCGAGGCATTCCGCGACGCCGGCATGCTCGCGTAGATATTGCGTTTTCATGCCTTGTTTTGGTATTCTGCCGGCGAGGGGGGGGGAGGGCGGCTGCTGATGCTTCTTTATGCGGTCTCGCCAGGAGCCAGGGTGCCAACCCCCGAGCAGGAGAGCGCCAAGTGGCCAATAGGAACTACGCTCCGGCCTGGCCGAGTTGAGGCTCTGGGAGATCAAGGCCTGGGCGGCTGCTATCGATGTGATCGACCGAAGGGTGCGCGTGATCCTCGCCCGTTCAAACTATCTCAAGCTGTAAAGCTCTGTTCCTATTGGACCGGGTGGCTGTTTCAGAGTCGATCTTGGAATCAAAGGAGCTCTTGTCTAGGTGTAGCACGGCCGGTCTGGTGTGTATAAGGTTGCGGGGGGATTGTCCGGCTTATGTCACGCGCTTCATGCTGTAACGGCGATGCTAGTCGCAAATCATGTGGTCTAGATGCTATCTCCTCTCAAGCGTAGGCCAATTTAGACTTTGGACGAGGCATTTGTGGAATCCCGGTTGGGTGTGGTCAACGCGGCCTACATGCAATCACGGAGGTGGACGTACGTCTATCTCGAGAGGCGGAACCGGGAGCATGTAGTCCTCTCAAACTCCGAGAAAACTAACTAGCCTTGGGCGGCTCATTCTGAAGCGTCTGGGAGCCCAGTTCCGTGCCAAGGAGGCCCCGTGAGATACGATCGCAAACCTCGGACAGTCCCAGGATTCATAATACGGCCGAAAAGGGCTGACCAGTGTGCTGGCTCGAACCGGCAAGTCTTTCGCCAGCCCGTGGTGATGGCATCAGTATCTCAGGCAAGTCCGGGGTTGTTAATCTAATGGCCGCCTTGTGCTAGATAGCACTCGAGACCTGACCGGGTTCCAAGTTCCCTCGATAGGTAGCATCGTGGCTTGCCTTGAACAGACAGCGCAGCGCCTCAGCGTCCCGCCCTAGGACAATTTGTTCCGAGAGAGGCCTGTCAGAGACATGGGCTGGTTGCCGATCGAATATAGGTGCCGGGATGGGCAGAGCTAGGAACGAGCGCCATTACCACCCACCAGATCGAGCTTGGGGTTCGGAGAATGCTTCTGCATTCTGACAACGCAGCGTGATGAGACTTATTCCTTGATTCCTGTTGCTAGTCGGATGCACATCGAGCAAGTTTTCGGGAGCTTATTGCCAGCCGGCGAATCCCCTTCGGTGGCCCGCGCGCGGTGTGCTTACGGCCTGCAGCGAATGCCATGGTGATGACGTCCTTCTGAGATGGCACAGCGTCGAAGCAGACGCGGCTCTCGGTCGAAATTAGCCAATTGCGGGGAGCAACCGGACATCAAGGTTTGGGATGGCTGTTTGGGGAGAGGCAGGGGAGTCCTGCCATTGGACTGCCGAAGTGACAGCTTGTGCAGCAGCGTCGTGTCACCAGTTTCCTTGCCTGCCTTTTCCCCCCTCCTTCCAGGATGCTCTTCCGTTCTGCGGATACTTTCACGTTTTGGCCTGGCTTCCAGAACAACAGTGTCTACGCGACCGTCGGCCATCATGTTACCCTGTTCTTCGGCACGGGTGCTGGATGTGCTGGCCCAAGAGGACGTCAAAACTTGTTCATAGCTACGAAACAGCCCGAGCGTGCAGGCAGGCGACTTTGTTGACCAAGAAGAGGAGGATCTGGGGGCATGAGAAAGACGCTATTGTAGTAGCCTACCAATGCAATTGCAGACAGCGAGAGTCATCCCGCGGTAAAGACTTCGATAGGGTGCAGACGGATGTGGCCACGAAAGGATCTGCGGCGCTCCAAACACGGCCCCCCTTTGCCGCACGCATTTCATGGCCAAATTGTGGCAGTAGTACCTGACGATTCTGAAACGCCTTGCGACCCCGACAGCAGGCGGGAGAATGCTTCTGGTCCACTTGATGGCTGCCGAACAAGAGGTGGGGAGGGGAAGTGTGTGTAGGTACTTGCCAAGTTACTGCAAAGCCGCATGCATTGCTTGAAGAGATCGGAATGGGCAAAGTCGACTGCTGTTGCGACATGATGAGATAACTACCTAAGAGAGACTGGAGAAACCATGATGGAAATGTCGTGGCACACCCACGCAAAGCCACCCCGGTGTAGGTTACATCAATCATTCACCCTTCCAGCCCCTCCTGTTGCCGGTTTTGGGTAGTACCTAGAGAGATTAGCTGTGCCGGATCCGAAAGGAGCGCGGTTGCGGGTGAGGGTGCATCCTTGAAATGTCGAGCAAAACCGGCTTTTCGAGATTAAGATCGGGACTGGATCGAGCTGTCGTCGCGGGTGGTCGGCGGGCGGTCCAGAACAGGCCAAACAGCGCAAACGCACATGGGCACGGGGCACCGCCACTGACGGCGGCAAGCATCAAAGCTATCGCATCGCTCTCAATCGCGCCCTGCATCAGGCAGTTTTACGGGATACTCGATATGATTCCTTGTCGAGGTTCGCTCATGCGGGCCAGCTGTGAATCAGGGCAGGGATCAGACCGCTCATCAATCGATGAGATCGAGCATCTTTCTTGTTTGTAACAAGCAGGACATGGCAGAGGCACACACACACACACACACACACACAAACACGCACACACACCTGTGGCTTGTCGACGCTTTGTAACATGCTCGTTCCCTTCGTTTGTCTTTCGCATGGCCTCTCTTGCATCGGGCTGCTGCCCTTCTCGTGGCGAGAACGCGCGTGCTGGGTACGAATCCCTTCTGTCAAAGTTGCTGGAAACCCCGGGGCGTGATTGTTGGACGCTGTAGCTCTCTGACTAGGTACCTAAGGTACAGCGGAGGAGTGCTGCATGCAGGCTGGGTTGTGGCCGAGCTTTAGGTAAGTAGGTACCTGTTAAACCAATGCCAACAAGCATTAGCCTTGGGCTACGGGAGATACATGCCATTTCCTTTCCCCTGTTCGTGCTTTCAGGCTTGAAATTACCGTTCTTTAACTCAATACATTTCTCCGTAAGTAGAGTAGCTCGTGCACCTCAACGATCGCCAAGTCTGGTTGTCAGCCAGGAAGAGGATCCGGATCCGGTCTTGAGGAGTGTGCAGATACATGTACTCCGTACCTCTAGAACCCCCTGTCCGCTACTGCAGCGCGCTGCAACTCCCAAGACCCAGCCAAGCTTCCCGGGAGCTCCCCCCATCCACCGCCGTCTCCTGCCCCCTCCACACCTCAAGCTGTAACTGCAGCCTCCAGAGAGAGGTCTCCACACCTTCTCTCCACCCTCTTTTACCTGACTGACCTTCCTGCTGCTGTTCGTCTCCACGTTTCTCACTGCCCGCACCTCCTCGCGTCTCACATTGCCTCCTCCCATGCAAGGCCCGGCCAAGTCGTACTCTGCTGGTCATCTAGCACGAAATACAATACAAAGAAGAGCTGCCAGGACTAGGCCCAAGGAAGGCAGAGCTGGCTTCTGCCACGTCTACTTGGCCATTTTGTTTCAATTTCTATTTCATCTGTCCTCTGCCCCTGTTCCCCCACACTTTTCACAACCACTCCTCACTCTCGCGCTTTATTCATGCTTGCCGGTGAATAAGAAAAGAGCCAGAGCCAGAGCCAGAGCCAGAGGAAGAGACAAGAGAGAGGCCATCCTTGCTTCACATCCGCTGCCGGCCTGGTCCATCCTGCGTGCGTGCGTGCGTCTATCTGCGGCTCGGGCATTGCCTTTCGTCTATACATGAAGCCGAGTGTGCCAGCCCCATTCGTGGTTGCTTGCTGAGGGCCGCCTGTCGCTGGCCAAACGGCGTCAGCTTTGCGAGCGGCATGGAAGCCTTAATATCCGCATAGACAATCTCGAGCCGTGTAGCTCCGGTACCCTCTTCCTCACACTCAGCCTCCTCCACCCTCCTCGGTCTCTTCTTTAAGCGACTCGTGCGTCGCCGCCGTCTCTCTCCACCATGGGGAACTCTCCTTCCGCGGTCGAGGGCAACAGGAGAGTCCCTCATAAGCTGTCGAAACCTCGGACTGGAAACCCCACGACAGCTGGCCTGTTGAGCACCGATGGGCTCGCCAGACATTCTTCGTTCCGCTATTCAAGCCCTGGCCTCGCCGGTCCTCCCCTCTCCTACCCTTTCTCTCCTGTGCCTTCCTCCACAGACGACCCAGCTTCCTTCCCTGTCATCGAGGGGAGCCACCAGCCAGTTCCCGAGCCTGTCAGCCGGAGGAGCTCTATCCTCTCGCAGAAGAGACTGAGTTTGTTCCGCTCCAAGTCGTCCCAAGGGCCCCAAGATCGTCCCGAGCACCACCCTTCGCGTCGGAACAGCAGCATCGGTCTCCCAAAGAGGTCTAGGACCATCGATCCGGTATCCAGATCAAACTCGATGGCGTTCGATTTTAGTCTAGGCTCCTATTACGGGAGTGCCATGTCTGACAGGTAGGTGTGAGCTCATTCCTTCTCTTTCACGGCTCTGGGATTAACACAGATGACCTTGTAGCTGGCAGCCGGGCTCTCGAACGTCCTGGAACTATGACTTGAGCTCGTACGAAGCACAGAGGCTCCTTAACCTCGTCGAGGAGCCCATGCAGTATGAGCAGACTACCACTGTAGTTACTGAGAACCAGTTTACCGTCGTTTCAGAGGTTACGTGGAAGAGCTCGCACCCGGCGGGATCAGAGAGCGCGCCACTCAGCAGGGCCAACTCGGACTTGTCGCTCTACACGCCTGTGCGCCGGCGGTCAGTCATTCAGACACCAGGTGTCGCCACGCGGACGAGGAGCACAACCGGCACCTCTCGAGCAGCTTTCCGGCACAGCCATCCACCCACGCCAAGCTTGTCTCGGCAACAATCGCGCGAGTCGATGGGTAGCAGGGGAGCGTCGATGCCTCCGCCACCTCGGCTTGAAGATCCGGATCTGGTGCCACGGGTCGTCACGCCGTGCGAGGGGGACTACCAGACTATCGGTGCTTTCAAGCTTGGTTCCTTGCGCATCACGAATGGTGCCGCAAGTCCCGTTGGAACTCCCGAGCCGGGTTCCAAGAGCCATTTCGAAGAACAGATTGCGATTTCGGAGCGGAGGCTTGATTACTTCTCGGCTACGAAGCGTCTCGGCGACTCTGGCGAAGGCGTGGACGTATTCGAAAGCACAAACATGAGCGCCACGGCGCAGCTTTCGCGTATCGGCACGCCGAAGCATGTTGGCTTACACCTCAAGCCTATCGTGACTGCATTTGCGCCATCGGACGGCGACAAGCATCCGATTATTCAGGTCAAGGACCTCGCATCGCCCAACTCCGAGCCGGAAGTGGCTCACCTTCCTGAAGTCCTCGTCAATGCCCCGCCCTTGGATGCCTCAGCGGCTGCCAGTCCTAAGCTGCAGACAACGTCAAAGCACACCGCTGTGGAGGATCACTTGTTTGAAGAAGATGGACAACCCGAGTATTCGACTTCAGAAGTTCTGGACATCCGCTTGGATCCGAATGCGAAGTCACAGCCGGTTGGGAAGGCAGATCAGGCGCCACAGGAAGTTGCAAGCGTAACGCGGTCGGACAGCGGTTTCGTCTCGAGCCCGACATCTGAATATTCGAGCAAGAAACCCCTGAGCAAGGCCGACTCTGGATACAGCTCCAATGTTTCTCTGCGGTCTTTTCAACAGAAACCGCCCGTGCCCGAGAAAGACTATCCGGACTTCAAGCCAGCCTTGCAGCCGACATCTCCGCTGAGCCCGGACCATGCCTCTTTTCAACTAGCAGAGCTTCCGTTGCCGAGTCCCACTATAACACCGCCTGAAGAGGTCTCGCCGGAGATTGTGCCTTCGCATCCTTCAAGAGAAGCGCCTCCACCACCTCTTCCGCCGAAGGATGAAGTTTCTGCGGCCGTCCAGCCACCCGTCAATGGCACTCCTGCACCAAAAGAGCGAGCTTCGATGGATCGTGCCCGAAGTCTGTTGAGTACCTCCAACATCCTCAGAAAGAAACAGAGCCCTTCGCCGATTGACAGCGCTTCGTCACGAACCAATGGACCTGTGTCTCCCGCTTCAACCCCGCGTACTCCTCTGAGTGCTAAATCGGACACCTCTGGCGCATCTATGAGAATTAGTCCTCAGACACAAAAACAAGGGAAGCTCCAGCGGCTCCTGAGCCTGAACAGATCCCGTGGCCCCTTGGCTGTCCACACTACGCATGTCCAGGAGAAAGCCGACATCCCCTCTGTGCCCCAGGCTGTGGAAGCCAAATTGAATGAACACTCTGGGCTTTTCCCCATGACTACCAAACGGCTGGCGCTGAAGAAGCAACTGAGCAAGGATACTCTGATGACTATTTTCAGTGTCGGGAGTTTTGACTTGAACCCTGGTGACGCACCGTCAAAGAAGAAGAGTTCGGAGGAGATCCAAGAGGAGGCCGTTGCCGAAGCCGCCACTGGGAATCGCCGACACACCTTCCAGGGCGTGCCGGCTTCTCTGGCTCATGTTGCTGCCGCGGTGATGCCTGTTCGCAAGCCCATCCCGCGCAAGCCTGTTCCGGTTCGCGCTGGACATCTCAACAACCAGATTGTCAACGACTCGCAGCCTGACTCGGTCGGAGAGAAGGAAGCCGAGCTTGCTACCTACCATTCCGTTAATAACAGCTTGGGTAATAATGCGTATGACGCAGCCTTCATGGCCATGACGGAGGTGAGAAGCACGGAGTCTACCATTCGCAAGCCGGGAAGGACTATGAGCATGACGGCTCAGATGGAGCGCCGCTGGGACAGTGCGCGACTTTCCTTGCAAACCTCATCCAATGGGTTCCTCTCTCCACCTGCTCTACCGAGTCCTTTGCGGCCGGACATATTTCCGCCCAAGAACAGCCGAACGCCACCTCCCATCACCATGATGACACAAAAGAGACCGGCGTCTCTCAGAGTTCCCCCTCCACTCCGAGCGCAATCAACACCGCCTACCTCTTTGACACGCAAGAAGAGTCGCGAGAGCTATCCTTCAGGCTCGTTCGACAGGCAGGGTATGATCTCGCCACCCAATATCCCTCCCATGAACCCTCGCCGCTCGATGACGTTGCGCGACCCTTCTCCCAATGGGAGCACCCAGCGCGGGGTTCCAGATTGGCTTGCGGAGGCGGATCGAAGCACATCAAGGAGAAGCTCTATCGACCACAGCCGCAGCAGCTCCCTATCGTCTCGAAGTCAAGGTCAGAGCAGCTCCGGGCCCAGGCCAATTGTCGATTCACGATATCTGTCTCGACCACAAGGCCAGACTCTAAAGCACCGCGCTAGTTACGACGGCTATAGCGCCCTGCAGGGTCGAGGTGGCATGTATCCCAACCCGGCCGACAGGGCCAGCCCTAAGCCGATAATGGATGCTTATGGCGGCGGCGGTGGTCGTCAGTATGGACAGCCGCCACCAGTTCATCACTCCCAACAACAGCAATGGGATCAGTACGGACGGTATCCGCCGTATGTTCCTCGGGGACACTACCGCAACCGGAGCATGGGCAACCGACAAGGGCAGTATGCCCAGGCGCCCCCTTTCCGAATCTTACACAGCTACAATTCACCCGCGTATCGGAACGTGCCGATATGGGGCTGAAATTGAGCCTATGTTCTGTCTTTCTCGCCAACACATTCCTTTACTATGAGCTTATTCGCGCACACGGTGAACCTGTGTCTGCTTGTATTTGCAACAATCTTTGATGACTTGTTCTTGGAGGGCCCCGACCGCGCTCATCCGACTCAGCATACGCATTACTGGATTTTATCTCTTTTGTGTCTCTCGCATGCGAACATACACGACTCGAGCAGGTGGTGTACTCTGTACTACTATCGGATCTTATGACATCAGGCAACGGTCACGGCTTTGATTTTGGGCGATACATTAGACACGCACATACGATGCGTTTGTCAACTACGGATTTTGATCTTGGGAACACGGAAAGGACAAATATACCCTCCGAAAACAGCTGAATATGCATCTTTTGTTCTTTTATTTTTTTGCTTTGTTTTTTGCAACTGGATGGGGCTTTCTTTTTCATCATAGGCTGGAAATCAATATTGATGATACCCTGACACGTTTTGGTATCAAAGTTTGCGCTGCGCGCCTCTGTACATTAGCTTAACGAAAGGGCCACAACGGCTTGTAACGAAGATGCATTTTATGTGAAGACGTTTTGTTGAGACATGTGATGCGTGTTGACTGGCTGTTGCCGTACCTCCTTCTCCTCCCAGGGACATCACCAAAAGGACTTCCGAAATCCAAACGATCCTCAACTTCGATCTATATGACACCAATTTTCTTCATCACCCTGAAGCCAGACGGCGGACGAACCTGTCGAGAGAGGAGCATGCCAGCTTCACGTCGGAGTCATATCCCGCGTGACCCGACTCATTCCTTCGTTAGCCTCCCGAAGATAGCGGCCAAGTCATCCGCGACGGACGCCGCCGAGTCGTATTCAAAGTTCCAGCATCGCGTGATGATGTCACGAGCGACGTTGTCGTCTGCTATGACGGGCATCGTGCCGCTCTCAACAATGTCCCAAATGTCTCCGCTGACTCCCGCGTACGGGAACTTCCACGCCGTGATCTCGTAGACGGCCGACCCGAGGGCATACAGCTCCCGCTGCATCATGGGCAGCGTGCGCACTTGGCCCTCTGGCAAGGCGGGACAGTAGCCCGGCTCGTACGTGTGGATCCCGAATCGGGGATGCACGTTCTCCAGAGCGGAGCTGGCAAAGTCGCAGATCTTGAGGCTAATATCGTCGTCGACGCCGAAGACGAGGACGTTCCGGGTGGAGAGGTCCCCCCAGATGACGCCGCGAGAATGGAGGTACGCGACGCTTTCGGCGAGGGAGGCGGCCATCTCCACGCGCTGGCGCACCGAGGGGACCTCTGGGGTTTCCTCGATGAGGTGCCGCAGGTTGCCCTTGGGCGCGCGCTCGAGCTTTAGCGCGATGGCGTTGCCATGATCGTCGTGGACGAGGCCGAAGCACCTCGTGATGCGCTCGTGGCGGCCACCGAGAGCAATGTAGATGTCGTGCTCGCGACAGAGGTCACGGCTGGTCTGAGCCGCCATCGATGGCGGGCCGTAGGGTTTGCCGTCGATCCATATGGTCTCCGCCTTGAGAACGACGTTCGGTTCAGCCTTGTCGGTGTATATGACAGAGTGGTCCGTCCTCATCAGGACTTGGACGCGGCTGTTGATAAAAGCTGCGGTGGGTGATAGTCTCATGCTTGAGGGAAGGAACAGGATGCCAGTGTGTCTGCTCGGTGTTGTATTGCGTTTGTGTGCGTGTGAGGTTTGAAGTGGTTGCTAAATTAGGTAATGCGGGGGATTACATCTTTGATTCGCCAGATCTGTGGTTGACCCGGCCACTGAGACATGATTTTGAGGAGCGTGTGTTGGGTTAGGAGCGGTCCTCTCCCAGAGAAAGCTCGTAAAGATCACCTAGTTCATCATTAGGAGCCACGGCATTCCCGTACGTGTACGGAGTAATCAGTGGATATAACCACCCAACGACAGACGGCTTGTGTCATCTCTTCGATGGGATCGGACGGAGGACTCGGCTGGGGTGCCGTCGTGAGCCTCTCTTTCTGCGACGTGGGAATCTCTGCGGCCTTATTAGCAGCCGTGCGCATCCACATGGGATACATGACCCAGCACACCATATATAGTCTCAATGGCTACTTGCTGGCTGCGAACAGCGGCCGGCCAACTCAATACCTACAGGAAGGGGCATCATCTCGCAATAATGGGAATGTGGATGATCCAGGTGAACCTGTCCACGACTTCATCACTGCATCAGCCCTCCCCAGCTAGATGCATTCTCGGCGTCCTGTATTGTCGCTAATCCATGAAAGAGCAGAAGCCGGCACCGCCACTAGGCCGGAACTTTCGGCGAGCGACTCGTGATATTACCTCAACGTAGTGGAAGGAGGGGACGGAACCCGACCATACTGCTATCGTAGGGCCGCTTTGATCCCTTTGGTTTGCAGCTGCAAGTCTCAACCGCACAAAGCGGCGCCGCCGGGCTAGAAACGAGTCCATCTGGCTACCAGATAAGTCCATAACTATCAAAAGCAGTAGCTCTATGCAGAAAAGACGTTTGTTGGTTGATGGTTAATCGGCCTCTGTTGCTGCTATTCTACTACTACTGCCATCTACCATAGCTACTAGACCTCGAGCTCTGTGGTCAGCCCAGACTTATCATCTCTTCTTTCCCTTGCCTTGGGTGCTCTTTCCCGGTTCTAGGTGCCATGTCCAGTCTGACTGACGTACAGAAAGCAAGGCACCCAGTTCTCTCCGTACAAGACTTGGGCAGGTTGCCACCGGGTTGCTAACACCTTAATGGTCGGCTCGTTGGGGTTGCAAGAGAGTTTGACCGTTTTGCCGTCGTTTTTCACGACCTCGGCGTACGTGTCGTTTGCCTTGACGGTATTTACTTGGTACCCTTGTGCCCCAGTCCAACTGCTCTCGACAGTGATGGCTGTTGAAGTCATAGCTGCGGAAAGGGTTTTGTATTCAGACCCAGGCGAGTCAAAGATCCCCAACGGGTTGGTTTCCGAGGTTTTGGCCCAAGCCTCTATGTACTCGGCTGAATGATTATATGCGATTTAGGTGATCTCCTCCAGTTCTCTATAATTAGGCCACATAATACTCTTCTTATCTGGTTTTATTACCGAGTCGTCTTTCTTCTTGTCACGGGTCGCTCTTTGAAACCCCAGATCTGTGATTGATTTTACATAGCAATGGCTGGTAACGTATTGGCGACGTTCTATCAGGCCCTCGTCTTTGTAGCACCGGGTGACATGCGGGCCGTCCGGATCCTTTTGATACTTCTATAGATCTTGATGATTTAGTGAACACCGGATCTGGACATTGTAGCTCTACCATCAGTATTGTGCTGTTTCATGCTATTGAATTATGCCCTTGGTAGTGCCCTGGGAGTCGACAGAATGAGTGTCTTTGTGTCATTACCTCCTTCAGGGAAAAAGAAAACTTCCTCTCCTTAGCTGTCAACTATGCCAGACAGACCAGCTAGTTCAGTCGATCTTTTCCCAGGCCCATACCTTTGTAAGTGAAGAAGCGGACTATGTTAGTGGACATATTAGCGGCGAAGCTTTGGTGTATCGACTTCTAGCAGGAATTAAACGAGATGGAGTCTCGTGGCAAATGGTCTATGACTTTCACCTCCTCCCTTGAACTTCATCCCATGGCTCTTATGTACTAGCCCAGACGTATTCCATGTATTCCAACTTCTGTTGCCAACACGGTGCGCATGGCCTGGCTCTCAAGGCCCTGGCGCGCACGGATGAGAACAGTCGTTTGGAAACAGCTCCTCATTCGGCCGAGTTACTGCACTTAGCCACTAGGTAGGCAAATCTATGGTCAGGATGACGAAGCCAGAAGAATTCGTGTCCTATACAGCCAGCCTTGCCAGCGTACCTACTATTAAGACAGGATCAGAGGTCAGGTGGCGCCCTGTCCTTCTGATTGGGCAGCAGCGAGGGCTTGTAGAGGAAAGGACCCTGACAGCAGGATTAAAAGTAGGGCCCACTCCCCATATATACTCGGTACTTGTCACAGTCCAACGACGCAACATAAGGTGCCTAATAAACGACACACTGCAGTCCCCCCAAGTGTTGCCAGCGATAATGGTGGTAACGCCATATTTGACTGTTTTGACGGTGCGGGGCTGCCAATGTTTCCTTTCTCCTCTCTCTCCCCTCCTGACAGCTCCAGCTTGCGGCTTTCGCCACCCTTCGTTTCGGCTCAACCCTACCCTTTAGCCCTCTTCGTGTCGCCCGATGAGCAAATCAACAACGCAGTCCTCAGACAAGAACTAGAAGTCTCTATCAGAACCAAGCGTCAGCTTCCATATCATCGAAGACGCAGAACCCTTTTACAGGTATAGCCCTGGCGGATACTGTCCAGTGGCCGTCAGCGACCTGCTCGGGGGTCATTACCGTGTCCTGAATAAGCTTGGCCACGGCAGCTATTCCACTGTCTGGCTCGCGCGAGACGAGGCACTCCGGCGACTCGTTGCGGTCAAAGTCTGCACGGCCGACACGAGTCCGCGTGAGTCCGAGGTTCTGACCCTCGTAGGGAACCTGCCTGATATTGAGAATGACGGCGACAACAGGGCCGCCTTGGGGCGGGGCTTGATATCTAGACTTCTCGACAGCTTTCACATAGATAGTCCCCATGGCACCCATATGTGCCTGGTCACGGATGTTGCACGGTGCAGCGTGGGTGAGGCAAAACGCAGGTCGTCTTACGCACTCCTGATGCTGCCCCCAACACGTGCTATCGCCGCTCAATTGGTTCTAGCGGTTGCCTACCTGCATGGCAGAGGAATCGTCCATGGAGGTCAGTGCTGGATATCTGCTTGCTGACCTACTAGGTAGCCGACTGACATGACTTCAAATCTAGACCTTCATCTTGGCAATGTCCGACTGAAACTGCCACGGGAATATCGGCTCTGGTCGGACGAGGAGCTACTAGCACGCTGCGGGGAACCAGAACTAGAGCCGGTTCAGACATTTGATGACAAGCCAATCCCAACGGGTGTCCCACCCGTCGCTACTCTACCTCTCTGGTTTCCCATGCAAAGCATCACTGAGCTTCCGCTGTCAGATGCCCATATCGCCCTTGCAGACTTCAGCGAGGCATATCGCCCTTCACAAGAGTCGAGATACGAGTGTCGTACACAGATACACTCTCGCCCGCCAGAGGACAGATTCGAGCCAACAAAGCCAAAATCATTCCCTAGAGACATCTAGTCCCTTGCATGTACTATCTGGGCTATCCTTGGCCGGCGGCCCTTGTTTGAGACGCTCTGGTCTACCGAGGATACTGTGACATGGATGCAAGTCTAAGTACTGGGTAAGCTACCTGACGAATGGTGGGAGAAATGGGATGCACGCTTGGAGAGCTTTACAGAGGACGGCCAGCCCATTCAAGCCGATGACAGCCCTGTCTATACATTTGACTCCCGGTTTGAGTCTATGCAGGAAGGGCGCAGAGGATACAAGATGGAGACGATGGATTTGGCCGAGAAGCAGGCTCTACTCGCTATGTTGCGGCCGATGCTGGCGTACAGGCCGGAGCAGCGGTGCAGGATCGACGAGCTTCTCGCCTCGGAGTGGATGACGAAATACGCGATGCCAGACTATGAGAAGATACGTTTGTCCAGGTAGTAGAGGTTGGTTAGCGATGGTCACGGCTGCCAGGCGCCTTTTTTGACATCATTGGATACATGACTGGCGAAGTTCTCCCCATTGGCACTGGCGCAGATATATGGACGTGCAATCTCGCGTGACGTCTGCCAGATTCATTGCGACAAGCGAGGCAACATCTTCAGGTGGAGACTCTCTTCAAGGAGGAGATTGGTAGGTGGTAGCATGCGGCACCCCTATCCGTTAACATTGACGTATTAAGTCTGACTAATACTCTCTCCTCAGGAAAGCTGGTGTCTCCTAAATGCACCCATGTTCCCACAAACGGTTACTCTTTTCCAAAATAAGGAAAATTAGCCCGAGAACTCGGCTGCGAGGCTGTTCTTGCCCCCCCATGGATATCTCTCAGTATGTAGTGAGTGCGGAGGATATTGACGCATTGTCTACATATCAGATTACCAACTTTTTCCGCCGGCACAAATCCATCACGAAGGATGACTGCAATCACGCTGCTGCAAACATCACCGGCAAATTGGTCTCCCCCACGCCTGTTCAGGGTGAGACTAGCTACACCGTAGCAACTGACACCGACCAGCTACCGAAAGTCGTCCAATTCCGCTATTCCGCCTTGAATCTTGAACGTATAGCCCAAGCACGACAAACTTACGGGGAGTTCGTTCCCAACTGCAAGCCCTGCGGCATGTTGGCCGACGTCTATGTATACGAGATGGATTGTATCCCCGGAGCTGCCTTCTCTCGTGCCCGGCCTCAACTCCTCGCCACCGGGATGGAACAATGTCTACTTCGAACTGTGCAGGACTTTGCAAGGTCTATTGATACGTATGTCCTCATCGCATCGACCTCTGACTGACGAGAAGACTAGATTCTTCGCTTTAGCCTGGATTAACAGGCCAGCTTTGGAGCAGTCACTGGACACCTCCCGCCAGTTGTTCGCCCATTATTCACAGATCCTCGACCAGCTTTCCCAAAGCCTACCCAAGCGCTTTCAGGCAAAGCTAGACGAGGTCCGGCAAGGGCTCCCGCTGCTCTTTCGCTCTGATTACCCCATGATACTCAACCACGATGACCTCTTGGAGATGAATATCCATGTGGACGAGGGAACTGGTCGCATCACTGGCATCGTCGACTGGGCCGATGCCAAGATTGCCCCTTTCGGCACGTCGGTCGGTGGTCTTGAAACCGTTCTTGGCGCCCAGACTTCGTCGTGCTGGTTCTTCCATCCCAATCATGACTACCTGCGGGCGCAGCTCTGGGACACTTTCTACGGGGTCATTGGGTATATCTCGGATGCTGATCGGCAGGCAATCGAAGACGGGAGGGTACTCGGCTTGTTCCGAACCTGCGGCTTCGGCCGCCGGCCTGAGAAGGAGAATGCGACGCCTTTGAAAGAGGGTGACGAGGAACTCGTGTGCCTCGAAGCATTCTGCCTACGTTAGGCCTGTCCGCTGTCGAACTTGGAATCGCGAGTATGTTGTCGCACTCGGTATATAATAGCTGCATTTCCTGAATTCCAAGTCCCTATTTTACTTGTTAATAGGGTTTCAACACTTGTGTCATTTCCGGGACACATGGTTGCCAAATATGTTATGATGGTTTCCTTATTAGTGCGACCGTCGATGGCTGCTCTATAGACGTAAATTTGTTGAGACAGGGTTACAGTTTACCTCTCTCTCTCTCTCTCTCCCTAATACATGCACAATTCACGTGTTGGCTTATGTGACCCCAATTGGCCTGCCAACACGTTTGCTTTTAGTATCCCCGACAATCGCGATCCCTCCGCCTCCATTCCTGCGATACGGGTGATGTATTGAAAATACTAGGCTGGAGAAAAAGCGCTACCTCGTCATTTACGTGCCATAACATGAAGCCAGATGTAACATCCATCGCCAACAGCAGTTTTTCTCAGCTCGCAATGAGCAACTCGGAGTCAACCCCGCCTGACTCACTCGGCCTCGCTCCCTCCAGGAACATAGGTGAGCTCTGCTCGTCTTTCTCATCTTTGCACCAACATGTTTCCTTGATGGAAGTTCTCTTAGCGATCACGGTCCGCCATTACGAGTCGAATGACGTATCGTATGAGATTACCGGTGCAACTTTCAAGAAGACCTCTCGCCTTCCTTTCAATGATCCATATCCTGACGGTACCCCCTGTATATTGTTCAGGTCCTAATCAGACTCATCATTATTGTTGTACTGTGATAACCAGACTTATATGCTGACTGAAGCTATCTTTAGAAGGAATCACAAGCGCATCACCAATAAAGTTAATGCTTTAAGGCCGGTTCCTGACAACACAACAATACCAGTTTCTAGACTACTTAAGCATGGGGAATTACCAGACGGCCAGCGATACCTGGTCACAGAGTTCATTGATGGTCTCACGCTAAAAGAGGTATATTCACAGAGTTATTTGAGAGAGGCAGCTCTGAAACACACAGAAGATACACCCTACAAGACATGTTCAGACGAGTCTTACTCAAATGCTCTCGACTTTATCACGGGCACTGTGTTACCATAGATTGCAGAGTTGAAGTCTCAACAGCGTGGAATTGATGGATTTGTGATGCCTCCTTCTTGGCTCGCCCCCGATGCCCAACCGCCGTGGAAAGACAAAATGTCTTTCAAGACTATTCCACTCAAGGAAGCAGCAGAGTACGTTTTTCAGCATGGCATTTGATCTACGTACATGTGGTATCTGGGTGAGGTCTGAGACCCAGAATCCTGATGTTGGTATCTAAGAGAGTGATCATTAAGCCACATTCGGTACCGCACCCAGATGCCGCACCTACAAGTGTGGCCCACAGCTTCTTGAACTGTAGGGGAGCTCGGCCGTCATCAACAAAGGTCGCGTGGCGCAATTGGTTAGCGCGTCAGTCTAATAATCTGAAGGCTGTGAGTTCAATCCTCACCGTGACCAGAGATTTATATTTTTAGAGTGTTGTATAATTCTCTTTGTTCTTTTGCCAACCGGGCCTGCAGATGTTGTGAGTTGTGGTTGCAGATATGCTTGGGACCCTCTGTGGGTAGTATCTGCTCGGCCCGTGCCAGTGTCCGCTCCACAGCTTGGCGGCATCCGTTCCGGCGCTTGAGCAGCTAAGGTTTAGCTCAGAAGTTTATTTTATCCTGCCACTACAACGCGCTAATACAGACTTCATTGTAGAGCTACGAATACAAATAAACTATTTATAGCAGATACTGTCCAATATGAGCCGTCATTAAGAATGTGGAAGAAACTCATGTCAGAAACCTCAGAAACCAAAATGAGGATATTGAGTGACAGTCTTGGGCCGTGATAGCTCCTGGTGGTATGCACTGCAGGAGGCATTGACCTACTAGGGGATTAGCAACTCTAGGTGGGAATGACCTGTGAGCAGCAGACAATTCTTGGAAGGAGGACCCTAGCTCCCGGGAGCAGGAAACGGGGACCTCTCTATTTATAGCTGTACTCTGTATAGCCCCCTCACGTATTTTGGGTCTTTAAGTGATTGTTCAACTGACAAGGCCTGTTGTTTTTTATGTTAGTGATTGTGAGCAGCTAGAGCCAGGGCTTCGTCAATCAATGACAGAGGTACTCTCCTTCGGATTTCGTCTTCTTCGACAGGAAATTTCATTTTGGTAGCCCAAGCTGCCATAAAGGATGCCGCCGTGTCAAACGGTCCGCCAAGACCCGGGATGGCGCCCACGGTGAAGCCGCCGTCCTCATGGCGAACAACGGCACCGATCTTGGGTAGACGTGATGAGGCGATCTGGACCTATCTCAATTTAGCTGAAAAATCAAGATTATGGTGACGGAATAAGAGATTGAAGCCTACATGTGCAGTCGCTATGGTTCGATACAAAACGGGACGGTGCTGGCGTGGAACAAGACTCCAGTCGTAGCCACCGGCTTCTTCTGCGGCGGTATTGCCAGGAATGAACTCGAGTAGAATGAAAGCAGAGCGTGCCGGGTTGGTATCGTCGACTTCGAAAGCGAAAATATGGGGTACTGGGGCTTTGTTCTCCTCAAGTAGGATCATTGTATCGATTTCAATGCGCAACGCTCGAGAGGTCTCAGGACTCGCTTCGTGAAGCTGAACGCAAGCGATCCAGCGACGTCCATCCTCGAACACAAGCTGACGCGCAAGAAAGCTGCCGCCCGCTCGATAGTGTGCGGACAAATTGCAAGGCTTTCCGTAGTTAGCTTGAGAGGCGATATCGCGAATAGATTCCCAGTTAGTTCGGATGAAACACGCGTGCGCCCGGGACTTCATCGCATCATTCGGAGGAGACCAGTCGAGCTCTGATGCAAGGTTTACCATCTCGAGTTCGCATCATGATGGGCTGTGACGAAGATTCTAACATGGATTAGCTAAGCTGGTGGTCAAGGAAAATGATGGAGGTAGGGCTGCAGTTGCCGGGGCGGGGGTGGGGTTATTCTGGCTACATTTGGATAAGAATGCTGTTCTCAACTACCTACTATCATCCTAGCATCATCCTTATGCATTTTAACCAACTAACCAACAATGGACAGTCCTTCAAGCGAAGCTAGCGCTGACGAGTCGAGAGACTCCTCGTTAAGGGAGTTTTGCATTCGAAGCGTTCATTGTGGCTTGTGTCAGTTTCAATTTGAAAATGGAGATCCTTTGAAGGCCGGCAAGTTCTTAAATTCCTGACTGACGAATGCGAAAAAACTGAACATCTCACAGTTATATCACCAAGCAAAGTATCCAGCCCATTCCGCTTTGTACAATATGAGACAGAAAAGCTGGGAACGGATGGGACACTGCACATGTGCGGAAAACGATCGTGCCCATGGGAATATCCTCGCGTCTACTGCGTCCACGAGACGTGCTTCCGCACAGCCTTCTTAGACCTGACACCGGAGCTCTTCGGCACAAGTCACCTGATGTTCACTCCTCCGATCAAAGTTCAGGCCAGTCGACGGTCCCACTTGAAGGCGCGACTAACGGAAACACTTTGCGAAGAAGCACTGCAAAACTTCCCGATGGAGGTGTGCGGCATGATCGCTGAGCATTTGATTGTGGAGTATGCCGCTGTTTCTTGCCAAATGCGTTTCATGGCGTCTCAGAAGCTTCCGAAAACATCAGTGCTCATTGATCTGTCAGCTGATATTTTCGCGGGATTCATCAAGTATGACGGTGGTCAATATGTACGTTCATTGTACAATGCATGTGAACCGATATCCAAAGGTGATATCTGCATATACAAGGCTCAAGAGCGAGCATCGTATGTAGTCCATGCTGGCTGGGACCATCTCGGTGTTCGGCAAATCGTGATCGAGAACAGCGACAGAAGGAGAGAATGGAAAGCACTAATACAAGACAAGCAGCTTGGAGTGTGGTGGACAACTTTGAGCCGTGAAGGCGGCATTCGGAAATTCAAAGTCTGTCATGATGTAAGTCAAGAACAGATTGTCAAATTGGATTTCATATGCGACTTACACACTTCAAGGGTATCAGAGTTCGATGTCTGTTATCAGATCATCAACATCCAATAATCACTCCGATTCGGGAAGCGCCTGGGCCCTCCTTCAAGGTCATTGCTATTTATGGCGATGAAATGGATGAACAGCTGGGAGGTGTGCGTATGAACTACATGGAACTGAATCAACCTTGCACGATCGGCTATTCCGTAGCTTTCAAAGGTTATCGCATAGCATGGTTGTGTGCTCACGGTTCGACTGTGGACGTTCAGCTTTACAAGCAGTTCAACGACTTTGGTCTGGTGTGGAGATACATGCCAATGAACACCGGTGAACGGCTCACGGAACTATCCACGATACGGACTGGAATAGTGGTATCTTTGATGGTAAATACACTCGAAGCCTATACGCTATCCAAGCTCACCATGTTTCAGTTGTCAACGGACACAGGTCGGACATTCATATCTGGTTCATGCCATACAAACGCAAACACTCAGATATCGACCTTTCGGCTCCATCCATCCGCACCCTCACGCATCTTCTTGAGTGAATGGGACTGCAATTACGATAATCCCTGGATCAAATTTCTCGGTGTTGACACTAATGACCTCGATTTTGATCAGCCGTCCATACAAGAATTTCAGCAGTCTCACATGGAGTCCTTTCAAGTCAGACCACTGCCAGATATTCATGGGAACGAATGCTGGCACTACTCAGAGTGTTCATTAGAGAATATTACGGAAATTATTTGCTGCGCCAGTCAGGGACTCGAGCACAGGCCCATTACCGGCATGTTGGTTTTCTACGATGATGGTCAAAGGATGTCTGTAGGGCAGTATCGTATTGATGGGATTTTGGTACCTATCAAGCTGGACTCGCGGCATTCTCTCAATTTTCTCGTCAGCAAAACGGCCGATAATTTCTCCTATGTGGCGGAAATTCGAACACGGCCACACGCGGGCCATTCGAAAGAACCTAGGGTGTGGTCGAAGAGACTGGTTTGGTGGTTCACATGGCGGCAGTCTATTCTGCAAATACCATCCTGATAAACAGAGAAGGTGATGGTTTTTGCTGATTGAAACGTGACAATAACCTAGATGTGCCTCCTCGCTTCGCTCGGCGCTTGAATTGACGAGGTCAGCCCCGAAGACATGTTCGCATTGCTGGGAAGGACCTCAGCCTCAAAGAGCGGGAGATTCTGTTTCATCTTTTCGCGGAGGGTTCCTAGCAATGGGCCCGCCTCCGAGGCAATATCGATCTACTGCGGACCAGACTTTGTCTGGCTTTCCACTTCTCATAGAGGTTGTAGTGTGCTGGAGTCTCTTTCGTACAACCAAAGACGGAACTTGACGCCGATGGTCTTCAAAAGATATACGAATTGGGGTCCATCAGCGAGATCTTTCTTCCCGGCGTCAAGGGCTTGAGCTTCTACGACCTTGGCCGAAACCCTAGGGGCTTTACACTCTAACAAGAGCATGGTCATTGTTCTATGATCAAAACGACGCACAATAGCGTCAACACGACGACAAGAGTTGTCTGAAGGGAACTCGGGAGTGACATTATAGCTTCCTGTGTCGTTAAAGATGGTCTGTAATAGGTGGAAGAAGAGACTAGATTGATCACATTCAAGCCTGCTCTCCTTGGCTTTGTCATAAAGAGTATGAAGCAGAGCAGTTGTGGCCAAGCACTAACTTCAAGACTGGGCGGCTAACTCACGCCTCAACAGCAGTGGAAGCCTGACGCTAATTCAATCTATCAGGGCCTGATCTGACTTCAACAATACGGTTTGAGTAGCATGCTCCTTGTTGATTGAATCGTGTTTGTCACCTCAGGCGTTGTTGCCATGAGCAGGGCCGCGACCACCAGTTGAAAACAGAAGAGATCTGAGTAAAGAATCCAGAAATCAAAATATTATGAAACAGAAACCCATGAAAACGCTGAGGAACGAAAAGCACTCGGTTGGTTCAAAACTCCATCCATGGAATCCAGTCCTCTCAGTCTTCAAGACCACCCCTAGCTGCACCAGATTAACCGCCGCTCTGGAATGCTCTAAGCAATGCCGCTGCTGAAACCTCATCGTCGTCATGGCCTCCCTGAACGGCTGGAGAAGGTTGTTCAACCCCCCAAGATTGTCCTCCAGCAAGCTCCAATCCCGACCAGGGTTGTCCAATACTTTGGTATGGGCCAGTGCTCACTGGATACTCGGTTTGTGTATAGCCGGCCCCGGCCACCACAAGACTGGGTTCACGACTTGGTGGCCTCGGGGTTAAGTTATCCCAGACAGACTCATCCCAGCTAGATGGAATCTCATGCCCTAGGGCGGAAATCGATGAGCCGAGACACAGCGAGTTGACAGGGTCTTGAATATAAAAGCCAATCTCTGGGTCAATTTCGTCCTCACTGGCTCGGGAAACGGCTTCGGGAGCATGGCCCGCCCGCCTCGAACGTGTGGCGACTGATGATTTCGAGACACGGTTCGAGTTCTGTCGTCGAGACGACGGGGGTGGATTATTCGATCTAGCACCCTGTCTTACGACATCCCCGGTGCTGACTGAGCCACTGGGGCGGCTTGACCGGATGATATACTTCTCGATCTCTGTTGTGCCAAATTGATCATCTTCTGTGCAATGGGCTTGTTGAGGTACCCCTGCGCCTTGGTATACCACAGTCTGCGGATTATCGTGCGGTAGTGTTGTCTGCCGGGCTTCCGTCCAAGGCGCCGGCATCGATGTCTCAAGCGTGACATCTGTTTCACCGAATAGATCCAGCGCCTTATCATAACACATCTGGGCTGTGTATCGTGATGTCGGTTCCAGAACGAGCATCGTGCTCGACAAGAACTGGAGTAATACGTCATTGGGACTCCTTCTCAGATCCTCCCCCAGTTTTCCAAGGATCTTCTCGGCCCAGAGCGTTCCTTCATATATATACTTTGCCTTGTATCGTGGGATGCCCCAGAGGAGTTCGAATATGACAACGCCAAGAGACCATACATCAACAACGGCGGTATACCGCATCCGTCCCTGTACGCCACGCTGGCGCAACCTGTTAATCTCAAACATTTCTGGCGCAGAATATCTCCTTGTGCCGCAGGTTGTTTTCCATTGGCCGCTCTCTCTCTCTTCTCCTGACACACCGAAATCTCCAAACTTGACGTAAATGTTGCCGGCATACCGATATTGAACAAGGGTGTTTGCCGGTTTGATGTCTCGGTGGAGAATGGGCACCTTGAGTCCGTGTAGGTAAACCAGCGCAGATAGGAGCTGAAACAGGACTTGAATACACTCTCCTCTAGATAAGCCATTCTGGTCCACAAGAGACCCGCCAGGGACATATTCAAGGCCGAGTTGTGGCCATGGGGTTTCCACTTTCCACAGAAGCTGAACGATATGATCCTAGTGATGTTAGGGTTGGGATACGTAAAGAGAATTTGTCTTCACTAACATGGCGAATTCGGCCCATGATCTTGGCCTCTCTCTTCCAATCGTCCAAGTTGACCTCGTTCTTCCTAATAGCCTCATTGGACGGCTGTTTCAGGGCATACTCTTCTGCTGTACTGACGTTCCAGAAATGAGTCACGACTCCAAAGCTGCCTTCGCCAACCTTCTTCCTGAGGAAGATTGGACCACTACCAGGGGTGTGCGTCCCTGTGGGGCGTTCTGTCTCCGGACGCATTTTGAGCCGGGTGAACAGGTCTTCATAACCTGATGATCCTCGTCTGAATCTCTTAATGTTGTCCTTGTATGACTGTGAATCCATGTCGTGGGACGATATGGCGAGCTGAAACTTGAGGCTTTCATTGATCTCGACGACGATTGGAGTCTCCTCCCCAGGAACAGGATGGCCGCCGACGATCCAGGAAAATTCTCGTCGCGTGCCCTTTCCATCATTGTTGTATGTGACCTGAGTTCCGATGAACGAGCCGATGTCTCTGACGATGGGGCGGTTGTAGTCGTCGAACGTCAGCGCGAAGTGATAGGAGCTCACACCGCGGAGACTGGGCAAGACAATATCGCAGTCCTCGTCGCACCCAAAGATAAAACCAGCCGAAGTCTTGGGGCTATGGCTGAATCTCAGCTCAAGGCGTGCGCGGGGATTAGTTTTGTCGTCTCCGCGTGGCTCCGGCTCCTCTGTCGATCCCCTGCCGCGACGGTCCCTTGGGCGTTCCTGCTTCTTCTTGAGCCCAGGGACATATCTCGGCAGGTTCTCTTTCCGCTCCATCGCATTCACTGCATGATGCATATCTTCATAATGCCACGGGTATACGCAAGCAATCAAGTCCGTATCTGCCATCGTGAATGCCTCCCATTTCATAAGAAGGAAGAAGGCTTGGAATCGACATGTTGGTGGCTGGTTCAGCGTTTATCAGTTCTCCATTAGAAGGCAGGCAATGACGGGCAGGCCAGAGGAGGGTGATACACCGGCACACGACATCCAATGATTTTTGGACTGCCAGGCAACAACCTGAGTGAGCGGTTGCAGCGCCTTTGCGATTGGACTGTTGGTTATGCGATATGGGTGTCTGCCTTATTGCCTGACCCGTCAGGCGACAAGACATTTTCACATAACACTAGAGCCCCTCCCAACAAGCTCACGCATCCACAAGGCAGAAGCGGTCCAGCTCCAAGCTTTCCCATTCATCTCGCACACATCCAAAATAAAATGTCATCACCAGTCTCTGCAATCCCGAACTTGTGTGCTGATGATGTTCTTGCCTTTAGTGATACAGAGTTGGTTCAGTACATGACGCAAAACCGCCGTCAGGACGGCGGCTTCGATCTCGAGTTTGATGGCTGGGAAAAGCTTCCCAAAGAGCAGCGAGAGCAGCTCGCCGAGAGACTGAGGTGGATTATTCCGCTCATCCGCATACTATCTATTGCTGACATCAACACAGGGTTGGAGCGCAGAAAGTGAACGATGCCGTACAATCACGCCCTGTCGACCCCGACCAACTCGCTGCACGACTACAAGGAGTCGCCGACAGCGAAGACGCTGCACCGCAGGCCGTGTCCACACGATCGCGTTACGAGAGGACACCCACAGAAGACGTGGACTTCGACGTAGAGTTGAAAAGGAAGGAGACAATTGCCTACAACGCCCTTGTCACTGACGGCTGCGTACCGGTATACCCTATAAGTCGTCTGGATGAGGTCTGTAACGGCCTCGAGGAGTATCTCGAGATTCTGCAGCCTTGGAAAGATCCATCAGTGTTATATAGGTGGCACCACGTCTTTCAAAACCAGTTGTGGAGGTGGAAGAAGTTCCGTCGCTGGCAGCAAGACAATAGAGAGCCGGATGAGGAACAGGAGTTTGCTGCCTATCTGGAGGAGCAGAAGCGCCAGGACGCGGAAGGCACAGAAAGTGAACCGACGGCGAGTCAATACCTCGAACACCTCAGAGAACGATATGAGAGGAGGCAACGCCACTACGGCCATAACGACGGCGACGAAGGGTTTGCCGCCTATGTAGAGGAGAAAAAGCAAAAGAAGATGCAGTATGGGTTCCCATGGCCCGGGATGTCGGAGGATGAATATATGCAGATTCTCAGGAATGACTTCAAAAAAAAACAGACTCAAGAGGGCATCGACGCTGGGGATGAAGGGTTTGCGGCGTTTGTTGAGAAGCATAAGCGGGACAACATAGTGGCCAGACGCAGATGGCCGGGGATGACAGAGGACGAGTATCGCGAGATGCAATGGAAGAGATTTAACGAGGAGGAAGACGACCGCTACTGGTATCAGTTTTACTGGCTGCGGGACGATCACGGCCGTGGCGGCTTTACCGAGTACGTCGCGGAGGCCAAGCGCCGGCTCGCTCGGCACGGCTTCACGAAGGCATTCGAGTTCGACAGAGACCCAACACGACAAGACAAGTTAACGACCTGGATCGAATATCTCAACTACGAGTACTCCTGGCTCGACAAGCACAGGCGATACCTCACAAAGCTTCAGCCAGCGTATGATAAAGGCTGGCAGAAGGTTGTGGACTCGGGAGTGCTGCGGCACGGCGAGACTGCGGCGGGATTCTGCAACATCGAATCGGCGTTTCGGCGTCAGAGCGAGGAAGATGCAGTCAAGAAGGCATTTGAAGATGCCAAACAGGCGGGTACGGCAATCCTGGAGAAAGCAATGAATGACCCGGAGTTCAGATCCAAGCACCCGAAGCCATTGCGTGTCCAGATGATGAGACAGGCCGCGTTCAAGATCAAGGCGATGCAAGACACTCTGACCGAAGTAAAGAGACGGAGTCATCTCATCTCGGGATTTGTGCAAGGAGTTTCAGATCACCGGGCCACTACTAAGGACTTGACGATCCAGAAGATTCGACTTCAATGGGCAAAGGAGCAGATCTCTCTGATTGAAGCCGAAGCAAGAGATGCAGGGCTAGTCGCGAACGGCTTGCATTCAAGAGGGAGGACGAAGCGAAGATCAGAAGGTGATCAAGATGATAATACGACAGACCGAAGACGCAAGAGAAGGAAGCAAAGCCACCCAACTCACTCATCCCCAGACATTCTCGGCCCTTACACACACGCAAAGGCGTCCGAGCACGGTGGACTTGCTATACCAGGGGATGGGGAGCCGCACAAGGAGTTCAGAGGCGACAGACAAGCGTCTACAAAACGTACCAAAGTCCAGAAACAACCAGAAGCCACAACCACCACCTCAACTTCAACCTCAAGGGCATCAAACCACCCTGCGACAGTAGCATACCCAGGAAACCACTCTAGAAAGACTCGTCTCCCGAGCACAAGGCAAGCACCATCACCATCACGCTCAACCCTAATTGGACCAGCTTTGAAGGCCAAAGCGAGCCGTGATCCGCCCCGTGCCGCCGACCATCCAACTCCTGCCATAAGAAAACCACGACGACCCATCAACGAGACACCAGCCGTGAATCAGCCACCCTTACGGCAGTTACGACCCCGTCAAGAGAGGAAAGCGACCCGTAATCCCATAGACCTAGGCTCTGAACAAGGACGGAAAAGTCGGAAGAAGCAAGGACAACGTCACTGCGTGGGTCATCCCGAGCACGGCCGGCCACTGAGAAGGAGTGCGCGCATAGCAGCTCTGCAGACGTAAAGATGTATGGCCGCTGGTGCTGTCTGACAAGGCACATCTTTGACCTCGAGAGCGGTAAAATACGTTGGTCAACCTTCGACCGCCTGGCCTCGGATAAGCATACATGCGGAATGATTTCAAGGTCGAAAGGAGATGGAAACTAGTTCTCTACCCACTCAAGGCGGGTCACTCCTCTACTCGTAATCCCAATGATTGTTCAGTATCTATGTACTTGTCAGGCCTGTCCTGGTCCTCCTTTTCTTCCGTACGCCAATATGCTCGTTGCCGTCAACATTGAAGTATTGTGGATGGGATCGCCTTGAATTGCTCCAGGTGACCCGTCCTAATGATCATCTTGGCTGCTCTTATGTGCTGACATACATGGCCGGGCTGCAAGATGTACGCCGGACATCGACACATGACCCCCACATATGTTTTCGTTCGTCTGTCCATTCCGGTATTCCAAGAGAATGTCGCATCCGCACTGGCACTGGTTGGTGTCGGCCCTCTGGATGGCGTGAAGGTAGATACGGAGCTGATCTTGCCCATACGCGTATGTGTTTCGAGGGTTGCCTTGCCCGCTCGCGCTCCTAGACGGCGAAGGCGCTTACCATGTTTGGCTGTGTCCCCTATCTTCTCTCATTATCTACGCATTGCCATACGGGACAACAATAGTCGAGACGCTCCCATGGACTAGGCTCTCAGGGATGCCTCATTCACAGTGGTCATGCAACACGCAAGAGTGATGACTGGGCTACAACCGAAGAGGAGGGCCCAACACCTTTACCTAATAATATCACTGGCAACACAAGCCTAGACTGACTCTTCGTGAGTTTGCATCCAGCTCCAGTCAACTCCGGACTGTGCTTGCTGTGAGTCAGTGCAACAGTAACACCTCTTTGCTGCTACCGCACTGGCTTAGCATGATAGCAAATGCTATAAAGAGTGGCCCTTCTCCGTGTTAAGCCGCCCTGCTTCTCTCTCCATGATTCTAACATACTCATTACCAAAGAACCTTGAAGTAAGACCTCTCCTCCAAGTTTAACTTCATTCCATAAAGACTCAACCTGGCACAGCGCCCAGAGGTAAGATCTCTCCTCCTTTAAGTTTCACTTCCTGACATTCCATAGAAACTCGACCAAGAAGCAAAACATGGCTGCCACTGCCCCATCGAAGCCGAGGGACCAATTCAATTGCCCTGTTTGCGGGTATAACAACATGACTGTTGTGAGCATTTGCGAAGGAACCCTCCCCGGAGGAGCGGCCTGCGAGAGGAAACTGCCCAAGTTTGCCCGAGTCAAGGAATGATCCAGTAGGTACTCACAATCTTATGCTTGGATAAGTCCTAATATTCTTAGCATATTCGGAATTTCTCTATGCAGCAATTTACCGTCTAACGGCACTCCTATCTTCTCAGATACCAAGGCTTCAAGTGACCATGCCATCAACTAGAGACTGAGGCCACGCAATACCAATCCCGGATGAGGGTTCAGCTGTCTGCCATGCTCCTATCTTCCCAGAATCCTCCTATCTTCTCGGAATCCCAAATCGTGAAGTGACCATGCCATCGACTAGAGACTAAGGCCACGCAATGCCAATCCCGGATGAGGGTTTAGCTGTCCACCACGCGATCAGCGTTGTACCATGCCCACCACTTCTCCGCAACTTCGAAAGAGCCCATAGCCTTTAGCCCCCCAAGCATGCGGCGCCTATAGTCAACCCGTTCGTCTTCATCCTCGACAGGAAGATCCAGCCCCGAACAGAAAGAGAACTTTGTGCGGACCCACTCCCTAGGAACAAAGCCAGCACTCTCCCAATCTAGTATCGCAATCGAATCTTCTGCAAGGTTGAGAACGATGTTTCCAGGCCCTAGATCGCAGTGACAGAAGACAAAAGAGGAGCAATCCATGCCCACATCCTTGCAATTGTTGACGAGGTGCTGAGGATCGCAGTCATTCTCTCCAGATCTGGACAAAAAGAGGTCTGAGATATGATGACCATCGACGCCAGTGATACTATCGCCCTTCAATACGGCCAGTTGCTCGCATATGGTAGCGATGCGGTCGACATAATGTTGCTTTGTCCGCTCATCCATGCCAGGCCATGCTTCGCCGAGCGTCTGTCCGGGTAGTCTGCTGGTAACGAGATAGTATCGTCCGTCAAACTCAGCGTGGTAATGGACATGCGGGATGTCAAAAGTCAGGCTGGCCTTGTGGTGGTGTAGGTATTCCAATGTAACATGTTCCCGGGTAGCCGTCGGCACAAGCAACTTCTTCACTTTGATGAAGGCTTCGCCAACACGCCAGACCGCAGAGGCCGCTCCAGCATCGTAGACTTTTTGGATGATACTCGTATTGGACAAGGGACGCGATTCAGGCATCGGACCGGTGGCCTCCGATAGCACAAAGAACGAGTTCTCGCCATCGCTCCACGAGGGTTGAGTGGACGACGGGGAGGATTGACGAGAGAGAAGTAGCTTCTCCGCGAGTATCCAGGACCCATCTGTGGTCTCCCGTATGGACTCATTTACCGCATACGTCGCGTCCATGATATGACCTCGTGACAGGTGTACTTGATGTAAATGGGTTGGCGGTGATTGTGAATGGCTTGGAGGAAAATGCTGTGCGTACTCTCAATCGAGTGTTCTTGACGTTTGTAGCAACGGACTCTCTAAGAAATGGCGAGATATTTCTCAGACTAAGATCTCGGGCCAATGCCGATCTCAGAGCTGGACAGCTTGCAGTTCGGGGGCCGAGGAAGAAGGCGTTGGATAAAGAGGTGCGGTTGTGTTTGATCTTGTGGGGGTTGATTGCAAAGGAGAAAGCAATTTAGGGCGGTCGCGCACCACCTGTGTGCGAAGAACACAGACGCACATAACAAGTTTAGCCGGGCCTATCGGTCGGGCACCAAAAACACATAACAAGTTTAGCCGGGCCTATCGGCGTCATGTGGCTGGGAGGCCGACAGCTCTTCTTCGTTGTGAATAGAAGAGAATGATGGGAGTGATGCTTGATTGATGTGTAGCGGAGAAGTTAATATTTTGGCCCTTGTTATGTCTATCATCTATCGTCCTACACCCCGCCTGGGACATAACTGCAAGTCCATAACTGCAAGTCCATAACTGCAAGTCCATAACTGCAAGTCGACCCCGACTGGCTGCCTGTCTGCAGCATATCATGCTTCCTTCCTCCAATATCAAAACTGACCAAGAACAACAACCTAGGAAAAAACCAGCCAAACCCTCTGAGAATCTCTAGAAATCTGTTTTCCTCCTGTTCCGCCTAGGTAGTAGGAGTAGAGTAGGTCATCCAGACTCGACATGAGCTAGGGAACTCGTACTTCTCTGACACAGATACTTCATGCTACCGGTAGATCTTCAGCTAGAGGTTGACATAGACATGGTCAGGAAGGTGAATAGCCAGCACGCTTCTGACTAGCAAGTGAGATAAGGGTCTCTCAAGATCAGAATAAGGAAATCGGCACAAAGGCAGGCAAGTGCAGTGAGAAGGTTTTTCTGCTATTCAAGGAGAACCAAGACTGAGCTCAACTCAAAAGTGAATTAAGATTGAGGACCAAAGGGGCAAGGCCAAGCCATTGTGACAGAGGGCTTTTCCGGCTTGAGGGACCGTGAAGTGAAGATAATGATGGTAGTGGTGATGCTTGACTGATGTGTAGGGGAGAAGACAATCAAGCTAAGATTTTGGCCGCTTTTTATGTCCATCAGCCTACAGGTGGCGCCTGCCCCTTACAGTTGCAGATCACTCCCATTGGTGTTTAGCTGGTCGACTTACACAAATGACCTACCCAGCCCCTCTCTGCCCCGCAACACCATTGATCGACTGGCTGGCCCGGAGCTGTTGCTTGCCACCCCAGGCCCTTCAGGGCTGCCTAGACCGGGCTGCCTGGCTGGCTGTGCCCCAGTGAAAAAGGGGAGGGCTGGACAGGAGGCGGAGGAGGGGTGGCCAACGATTTGTTTCCGTTTCGTCCTGGAAGTAAACAAAAGGAAACGTATCTCCCCCCAAATTTATGGCCACCCGCTCTCCTGCCTTTTTGCAAAGGAGGAAGAGCAAAGCATTCCTTTACTTTTCGAGATTCGGGATTGCGACGGACGGTGTGAACTTTGTGACTTGGAACCCCACCGTACGTACTTTCTTGTGGTGTGGAATCGAAACAAGGCGGGGAAAGTTTGATACCCCGGCCAAACCGATCGATCCGGGATATCTTGAGAGGGAATCTTCGCCGGCGCGGACGACGCGAGTTCATTGAGAGTGTCCTGTTCCCGGACAGGCGAGCATTTGCGGAAAAGACTTCCCTCTCGACAGAGGTTCAATTTCTACATCCTGAAAAGAAAGAGCTGCCCGTTTCCATTGGGAATCTTTCTCGGGCGGCGTTTCCAGCGACGGGACAAGCTCGGAAGCCCGTACAGGACTTTGAGTCATCAATGGCCAGCCTGTTCGGCCGCCGACCGTCAACGCGTAGGGCACCGCCGGTGGTGCTCGTGGCGGCGGCGACGCCCTCGACCTCGACGCTCAGCAGCACGACCTTCTGGCACGACGACGAGGACGCCGTGGTTGGCGTGTACGCCTCGCTGCTGGACCATCCTCACCAGCAACCGGCGCCGCAGCCGGCGCAGCACCTGCAGAGCAGCGCCTCCGACGGCAGCCGGTCGGCGGCGGATCTCAGCCACCAGCAGCAGCAGCAACAGCAACAGCAACAGCAGCGCGACTGGAGCCGGCGGAGAGCCGGATCCCTAGGAAGTGCTGGCGTCTTCTCGCTGGCCTTGCGGCACGCGAGCTCCGGAACCGGCGGGTCGCTCGGCCGGTCCGGGTCGTGGTCCGGGCGTCTCAGCGGCGAGGGCCGGCCGGTGCGCAAGCTGGTCAAGGAGCCGAGCGGGTCCGCGAGGCCGTCGTTCTCGGTGGAGATCTCGGAGACTCACGCCCGCGCGCCGGCTGGCGACGGCGGCGGGCGGCAGCGGTGGGTCGACGAGAGGAGGGGCGGCGGCGGTGGTGCCGAAGAGCTGGGCAAGGAGAAGAAGGCCGGGGTTGTGAGGAGGAAGATGTCGAGGCTGAGGGAGATGTACAGGACTGGTGGTGGCGGTGGTGGCGGTGGTGGCTCGGGGAGTGGCGATGCTGCGGAGAGAGGATGAGGTTTTGGTTCCTGGCAGACTTTTCTTGACAGGTCAACGGCTTTGCATCATTGGAGTTTCTCGAGGCTCGGATTTTCTTAGGGGGGTTGAAATCGGCATTTTCGGGCTTGCGGCATGGATGATGATGGTACAGGTTACCGAAGCATATGAAGCATAGAAGAGTGCGTGCTTTGAGAGCATCACGTTAGATCTGTTCTGGAGATGATCATTCATTTATTTCCATCAATTTGATAATTCCGTAAACGACAATGACCGTCTGGCATTGTGAAAGAGCCTGACTTACGCTCCGTCTTCTGGATCAAACTTGCAGGAACCCAGAGTCCTGCTTTTTATCGCTCTCCTCTTCTATAAGACTTTCTGCTCTCCTGTACAGGGAGTATGAGACTAGGAGGAGAGGATGTGCTTCAACCTGGCTCGAGTCCATCGCAGTCGCAGTCGACTTACACAAACAGATAGAAAAACATGTGAAAATGTTGGGACTGCAACATTCGATACAGCGGCCGCAGCGCTACTCGGTTAGGCGGCTGTCCCTCTGGCGCCCCTGTTTTCGGCAAGATGTGGGACCGACCTGCCCGTCGCGTGCGTCATTAGGGGCCAAAAAATTTCCAAGATGGCATGACGGGCGGGATTCATTTTTCCCCGACGCGGCGTCGATAAAGCCCTCGATCAACCGTGGCTGGCTGGCTGTGAATGGATCGCAACAACAACGAGTCCCGATCAGCAACGGCCATGCGAAGTATCTGCCTGTGAAGGCGCTCTACTTCAAATGCCCAATCGCTCTTGAGCGCCCGTCTCCTTCCCAACAGCATGAAGGCCACGATATCTCCCCTCTCTGTGGCTGTCCGGGGCACTCGCTCCTGGACGTGCGCCAAATGTCGCAGCCACCCATTGATGGCTGTCCGCGCACCGAGACCCTCCCAGACTCGAAGATTTGCGTCGTCATTCGCTCGTGAAGACTCACGACAACAGGCACCTCCCCGGTTCAGGAGAAAAGGCGCGGTTCTTCTCACGGCTACCGGTGGCGCTGCTGGCGCAGGGCTGCTGGCGTTCACCGACGACATCAAGGCGAGCTACGATGCGGCGGAGCGGACGGGCAGGGTCGCGTCCGCGCTATTCATATGCATCAACGAGTAGGTTGATCACCGTCCAAGAAGCCATTGGGTTGCGCCGACTGACTGTTCCGGCCCCAGTTACCGAACTACCTTGAACCAGAGGGAAAAGACAAGCGACGAGGAGGAGCAGACGCGGATGCTCAAGGATTGCCACAAGAGGTGTGCTGTACGGACGCTCAGGGTACTCGAGAAGAATGGCGGCATCTTCATCAAGCTCGGCCAACACCTGGTAAGGGACATCTCGGCCTGCAGTCGCTCTAGTTTCTGTTTGCTCACAAAACGTCTCTGCAGAGTGCCATGAATTATCTCCTGCCCCTCGAATGGACCACGACTTTCATTCCTCTCCAGGACAAATGCCCCGTCTCCTCACTCGAGTCGATTCAGCAGATGTACAAACAAGACACAGGTGACGAGCTCTTCGACTACTTCTCCGAATTCTCGCCCGAGCCGATCGGCGCTGCTTCCCTCGCGCAGGTACATCTGGCCACCCTCAAGGAAAACGGACAGAGGGTCGCGGTCAAGGTCCAGCATCCGAGCCTCGCTCAATGGGCGCCGCTCGATCTGGCCCTGACCAAGTTCACCTTTCAAACATTGAAGCGCTTCTTCCCCGAGTACGACCTCGAATGGCTGTCCTCGGAGATGGAGGTCTCGCTGCCGCAGGAGCTGGACTTCCAGCAGGAGGCCGCCAATGCCATGCGGACGAAGGAGTACTTTTCACACATCCCAGAGCTGCCCCTGGTTATTCCGCAGGTCATATCTGCGCAGAAGCGGATCTTGGCCATGGCGAACGAGTCTGGCCACCGCTTGGACGACTTGGAGTACCTCGACGCCAACGGCATCGACCGCGACGAAGTCTCTGCGATGCTGGCGCGCATCTTCAACGAGATGATCTTTGGCGAGGGCGCGCCGCTGCACTGCGACCCCCACGGCGGCAACATCGCCATTAGGAAGAACGACTCGCGGAGGCGAGGCCCCTACGGCGCCAACTTTGACGTCATCCTCTACGACCACGGCCTCTACCGCGACATCCCCATGGACCTCCGCCGCTCGTACGCCAAGATGTGGCTCGCCGTCATCGACGGGGACATGGACCGCATGAAGAAGTACGTGTACGAGGTCGCGGGGGTCGGCGAGGACAAGTTCCCGCTCTTCGCCTCGGCCATCACGGGCCGCGACTTCACCGTCGTCAGCTCGTCCATCACGGCCGACAAGTCCGAGGACGAGAAGAAGAGCATGGGCGACGCGCTGCAGGAGGGCCTGCTGGCGGACCTGGTGCAGATGCTGGGCCAGGTGCCGCGCATCATCCTGCTCATCCTCAAGACCAACGACCTGACGCGCAGCCTCGACGAGAACCTGCAGACCCGCTCGGGGCCGCTGCGCTCCTTCCTCATCCTGGCGAGGTACTGCATGCGCACCGTCTTCTACGAGCGGCTCGAGGAGATCGGCCGCCTCGGCTCGCCCTTCTGGCCGCCCAACGCGCTGCGCCTGCTCGCGGCCTACCTCGGCTTCTGGCGCGTCGAGGTCAAGCTCGAGGCCTTTGAGCTGTGGATCGCCGTCAAGCGCGCGCTGGGGATGAACACGGCCGTCATGGGCCTGTAGAGAGAGCGTTTGCGTAGTGGGGGGGCATAGAAAAGGGGGCATACATAAACGTATATATACGTATACGGTCACTGATAGAGATTTGATACCTAATGAATAGACAGCGGGAACTTTTGCTTTGAAACAGATGATGACTTTCTTTTGTCCCTGTCGCTGGATTTGTTTATGTTAGTGATGCTGTCGTGAGGTCGGAGGAGGTGGTGGTTGGAAGGCGACGAACCTTGCAGCCTGTTCTAGGGTTGCTGGTTAGCTGGGAGAGCGCTTCGTCTCCCTTTCTCACCAATGCATGAGAGGATACTGCCATTCAACATCTCGAATAACCAAACTTTGCTTAACACGTAGCTCAATGTTTGGTCAGTGAAACGCTTGTTTGAATGGTAAGTGATGGTCGACTTAGTTGATGGGTTGTTAATAGAAGAACTTGGCGGCCATCAGCCACATCAATTTTAGGTAGTGGGATAATCTATGCACCTAGGTACATTAGATAGTGGGATACATTAGGTAATTGTATCGACTAGGAAGATAAGAACACACCTGAGCTCAGCTATATATAAATAGAGGAGTTTAAGGACAGGAGGATGAAGTTAGTAGGGATAAGGAGGAAGCTAAGGGCAAGGAGGTTGAGGGGGATGAGGGGGATGAGGAGGACGAGGAGGACGCGGAGGAGGACGAGGACGAGGACGAGGACAAGGACGAGGAATCTATATATATTAGATAGTGGGATAATCTTAAGGAGTTCTAAAGTAAGGCTTTATATTGTTATGGTGTGTGGTGATCTTGTGGTGGCTATATAGGAGAACTCGATCCTGCCTCGCGTTGGTGCTGCCACAACCCATCGCAAAGGGGCGTCGGCGGGATCGTCCTCTGCTTTGCATGCACCAACCTTGACTTTCAGGTGGCCTAGGTTTCTTCTGGCTGGTAGAATGGGTTCTTTCGTCAACAGTGCGTGTGTCTCAACCCAATTGATATCCTTCCGTTTCATGACCACATCTATCACGCCGCCATTCTTGAGGTATTCGAGGGGGGTCGGCTTGAACCTTATCGCCTCCAACATACACCTCCAGCGATCAGCAGTGATGCCAACAGCCTCGTGCTGCACCTCCGGGCCAACCATGATGTACTCTGATGTCTCTTGCTGAGCGCTGCCGGGAATCTCATACAGCACCTCCGGGGCAATCAGGGTGCACTCTGATATCTCTTGCTGAGGGATTCCGGGCTTTTCGTACAGCGCCTCCGGGGCAACCAGGGTGCACTCTGATGTCTCTTGCTGAGGGATTCCGGGATTTTCGTACAGCACCTCCGAGGCAACCAGGGTGCATTGTGATGCTTTTTTGTCTCTGATGAAAGACTCAATTTTGTCGTAGTCGAAGTTTGAGGACCTCATTGTGAACTCGACTTTGCATGCAGGTCGAGTGGCCGGTTCAACTCGCTGTTGAATTTGGGGTGGTGGTAATGGGGTCTGTAATGGCTTCGATAGTGGTGTCGACATTTCTGGCACTGGAGTTTGTGATGGCGTCGAAGCCTGAGCTCTCTATGTAATCCAGGAAGAAAAGCACAACCGGAAGGGCGTCCCGTGGGCTAGCAGCTCGAATTAGCAAAACGAAGCTCGTTTTGGGAAAGCGAGACTCGTACATGGGATCGCAGCGGCCGCCCGCGGTGCAGCGCTCGTAACGTGCACCGGCGGTCTCCGAGTCGTAACATCGGCCGTCGCTCTTGCCCGCGAGGGCGGAGCGGGCACAACCCAGACATGGAGGGATACGCTCGGATTCAGCGCTGTGAAACGGTCAGACGAGCTTTAAAACGGGGAAACAAACCGCGAAATGCCTTCAGATCACATAAGCTGGAAAAGGAGCTGCGTTTCCTACATTCACAACTCGTTCACGGCATTGCTGGTACGCCATTACAATGTCGTCTACGTAGAAGAAGAGCAGTACTCCGTCCTTCTAGTAACAACAAGGCTCATGCGGTATTGGATCAAGGCCTGCACTCCGTAGGGTGCTTCCGAGTTCCGTTTGCCACAAAAGAGGCGCGATTCGCAGACCATACAGTGCTTTCTTGAGGAGAAGGATCCTTGCGTCCTTTCCTAGCTTCCGATGGCCTGGAGGGGCTCTCATGAACACATTGCCATGCGGATCTGAGCTTGTAAAACTCCCGTTGTTTAGCAACAGACAATCCCTCGGGTGGTTGGTCAGATTGTGGTAATGGGGTCTGTAATGGCTTCGACAGTGGTGCCGACATTTCTGGTGGACCTTGTGATGGCGTCGAAGCCCGAGCTCTCTTGAGCTTGTAGAATTCCCGTTGTTTTGGAGTTTGTGCGTCTCCAACAATGAGTGGATCGTTGGAGAGATCAATGACGGGTACTTGTGCTTCGTTGGACGGCTGTGTCCTCTGACGCTTGGGGGATGGTTCCCGGATCTCCAAATACTCTTGGAACCTTTCTGCTTTGACAGGGTCTTCCATGGCTTCAACGATCACTCTGACTTGGTCTCTGGCGGCATCACTCTTGCCTTCTCCCTCAACTGCCTTTTCAAATAAGCTGAGGAGGTTTTGAGGGAATCCGCTACCCTCGTGTACCACCTCATTCTCGACGAATATGTTCTGTTTGGCGAGGGAATCGGTCAGTATGTTTATTAGATGCCAATGAGGTGACTGAATACTCACAAGTGAGGTGATCCTGACTGACGTAGTGGTGAGATGTTGGTATGGTGCTGGTCTAGCGATTCAATGATCTAGTGATGTGTCTGGTGTCTAAGATGATAATGATGATATCAGTGTCTTGATCTATCTTGATATTAATAAAAGATATGAGTGTTGTACTCACATATATATAGATGCCGTTTCCTAAGGTTCGTCCCTCTGCTCAGAGAATCGTTTGGGGGATGAGAAGGATAATGAGAAGGATGGGAAGTTTGGGAAGTTAGGGAAGTTTAGGAAAAAGAATTGGTGGTGGTCCATTTTGTCGGGCAGAAACGAAATTTCGATAAGATAAAGAGAGATAAAAGAGATGAGCAAAGCGGTGAGCAGCGGAACTCACCATCAAGAACATCGCCCCGCTCATATGACGTGAAGGCGGTCAGCATCCTCTGTCGTGAACAACATTATTAGCCACACCAGCACAGCAAGGCACATGCCAGTCCAATGCACAGCACAGTCAATGCATATGATAGATGCATCAGCACTTTCTCGAACTCGACACCAGACCAAGAGTTCACATTTCTTGGGCCGGGAGACATTGCAAAATGTATGCGGATCGCGGTGTCGGTTCCCTCGATCTAGGCTGGTTTTTCTTGCCAGGTACCTTATCTTCAGACTCTCATCCGCTTTTGAGCGGGAACTGCGCAGAGAGGGCCTTCTCAAAATGCAAGAATGGCTCATTACAATCTGGGAACTCGACTGAACCCCCTCTGGTCAACCAGCTCGCACCCGACAAACCTCGTTCCTTGACCTTGGTAACAAGAACAGCATTGGAAACCCAGAGGCTCTGGAAAACTCGTCTTCAGCACTTCGACGCTATCGAGACCTCCAAGTGCGAGGTAACTGCATTGGCAAGAATCCAGCGAAGAGAACAAGGGCAGAGCAACGCAGAGTGGCACACAGAGTCTGGCACGTCGATAAGAAGGTAAGCATGCCAAGGAGAAGTTATGTACAGAACCTGACGAACAACAGGCCGGTACTCATGTACCCAAGAAAAGCGGGAAGAAGCCTGCCGTACACCAGCCCGTCAAGACTCAGACACCATATCGCTCTTTACGTAGGATGCATCACCAACTGACGAAGCTTGTCAAATCATCACAAAGAAGGTCACCTCCAGTGATGTTATTGAAGTTACTCTACCGTAGCTTGTGAGGGAAAGACTAGAACAAAGCGATGATATCTTAGGGAGCTCAGAGCATCTCCTACTGTGCTTGAGATTTATATGTTATGGTCGGCACTGTATGCTTCTGATTGCTCTAGCATCACCTGCAGCTCATTCCACTACAGCCAATTAGCATCATATAGATGGGCCTCAAGAAGTCCCCTTATAACAACCTTTAGGTAACTTCCTTCCTTGCTCTTGATATACGGTGTAGCTGGACTCAGATGAGGCGGCTGATTGGACGAACAAGGTAATTCCCTCTGTGTGTCTTCTCTCATGCCCTGAATTATTGCTCTGTCAGTGTGCGAAGCCACTTCATCAAATATGCCGTAACCACGGTGTCACTGGGACCGCCATCTGGTTGGTAACTTGCGGTCTGAAGGACAGCCCTGGATGGGATTCGTGTCGCTAGCGTGTAGCCACCGTCTTCAGGAGTCACCATGCCTGTACCTGTATTTGAGTATGCCGCTCTCTGGATCGCAACCACTGCTCGCAGATTCCCGTTCTCGTCGAGGTTTGGTTCCAAGGGAATCCAACCGAAATCGCCAACGTGGAGAGGGGTCAACGTGACGCCTTGCTCACGCCATGTTCGAACCTCGAGTTCCGATAATCCCTGAGTCACTCTGAATGCCTTTGCCTTGATCTGCTGGGTCGACATTTTTCTGTTAATCTCAGGCCCCCATATGTTGGGGGGAACAGACTACGTGGCAAGTGATGCCGATACGATGTCATTGTGATGCCGATTCGATGTCAATGTGATGCCGATTCGATGTCAATGTGATGGTGATGAGGGGGGGTGATGGAGAGGGGTGCAAGAATAATTTATTCCATGAGTGGAGAGCTCCTGCCTAGATCACTAATTTCAAAGCCTGGTTTCGGAATTTCAAAAGGGCAGGAACGTGACTGGTAGCAGCTATTTTCTGAAATAAATCCATCCTTCTCCCACCATGACACCAACTCTTCCCACCTACCTTGTCCATGACACCAACTCTTTCGACTCGAGGTGTCCAAGCAAGACAGCTGGCAGAGCGAGGCCAATATTTCTGAAATCTCCAACATCAAATCTATCGTTCGACAAAGTTTGGTCCAAATCGAAGGACTCGGTGTTTCGACCTTCAGATTGCCGCCATGACGACGACATATCAGAAGAACCAAAAAACGCCAGAACAGGTCGCTGAGCTGGTCATAAAATCAAGGAAGCACTGCCAAGATACCTATGGAATGCAAGCTTCAACCAGAGCATTGCAGAACAGCTCGAACACATCACAAAGGCAGGCCGACTCTCTGAATGCTCTCTGTACCATACCATCAAAGTCCTCGCCAAACAGAACATATTCGTCGACCAACAACTCATTACAATGGTGACATGGAATGAGGTGGTATACGAGGGTAGCGGATTCCCTCAAGCTTATTTGAAAAGGCAGTTGAGGCAAGAGTGATGCCGCCAGAGACCAAGTCATTGGCATCATAAACATACTGACCGATTCCTATAGCACCTCTACTCACGACGTTTTCTGTTCTGCCGGATACTATAAAATATATTATGACTAAGATAGAGTTTGTTATTAATATCTTACTTCTTTTAGAGTCTTTCTCTTTAACTTCTTATATGCATTAGATAGTGAGATGAATTAGGTAATTGGATCAACTAGGAAGACAAGAACACGCTCGAGCTCAGCTACATGTGGATAGAGGAGGGCCGGGTCTCGAGCATCTACCGCGCGCGCGCCGGAGATGATGTCAGAGGAAAGCGATCAGGAAGCGCATGGAGATGGGCGGTCGGAGGAGACCCGGAGGCCCCAGACATGTGGGGCCGGAATATGATCTTAGGATGTGGTGGCTGATAGACAAGGGAATTTTGGACGTATTCATCAGAAAGACTATTATCTTCCGCCCATGGCTTTGCTACATGGAGGAGTTCAAGGGCAGGAGGACGAGGTTAATGGGGATGAGGAGGAGGAAGCCAAGGGAGAGGAGGTCGAGGTCGAGTGGGATGAGGAGGACAAAATCAAGGGGGAGGAGGACGAGGAGGACGAGGAGAAGAAGAAGGCGGAGGAGAACAAGAAGGAGGAGGAGGAGAAGAAGAACGAGGAGGAGAAGAAGAACGAGGAGGAGAAGAAGAAGGAGCTTGTGCCGGGAGACATTGCAAAATGTACGCGGATCGCGGTGTCGGTTCCCTCAATCTAGGCTGGTTTTTCTTGCCAGGTATCCGGTACTAAAGGCCACTGGGGAATCCTCTTTTTGATCATTTGAGTATCCAGAAACCCCATCGATTTTAGGTAGTGGGATAACCTATGGGCTCCAGAGCGACCATCTTTGGCTCGCACTGCTTGCGGAGCTATCGGACCAGGGTCGAGGAGGTGGCTCCTATACTGACCGACTGCATGCATGCATGCATGCCAGAACTATGTCAGGAACGACTGTAACGATGCCGGAAGCTCCTGGGAAGCCTGCAACCTCGGAATCGATGCCTACCTGCACGAATATCGTGGCGAATCGAGCTGACGACCCCGATCGAGCCGATTTATTCACTATTACAATGGGCCGGTACCCAATACCCAACGGCAACAACGCAAACACAGAGTCACACCTCAGCCTCAGACTCTACCAGGAGTCGATGACACTACAGACTATATACAGACTGACAGCAAGTTCTATCCTAGAAATGTGTGCTTGTTTGCATTCTGAAATCCGCATTTGCTTTCAACCTCCTGAGCCAACTCCCATAAGCCCATAAATCTACAGTTATTTATATAGATACTGCTCTAGAGTTTCTGTATTACACTGACTCTTTCGATAAGCTTATCAATGCCGGCTGGAAGGTAGTGAAGGAAGTTAATTTCAAGTCTATCAATGAGGATTTAGATAGCGCGGAGGTTAAGGAGAAAAGCTGATAGAGACTCTGGGGGTCCAAGGGCTTGACAGGATTGATCACATGTTCCTCGCACGCGAGGCATACCTGACGAAGATACAGGCCTAGTCTTTATCACATCTTGAAAAAAGAAGGTTGGGCCGAAATCCTGATGTCCTTTTTCGTCTCTGTCTTCCTGTCATTCTTTTCTTCCTTGACCTCGTCCAGGGACCGGACGCCGACAACACCAAGGTAAGCCGCTCCACCCTCTCAAACGAGGCTAGGATCAGCTATGTGAATGCCATGCCTTGCATGATGGGCCACCGCAGCCAAAGATCGAAATGTGTGTCGGAACGTTACGTTTTGTTGGTACAGTATGCTGAATGCCAATTACACGGCAGAGACACACATACAATACCAAAAGTTCTTTTGCTAGGAACGGTAATTATGTTTCACGAGACGGACATACTGCAAAACTATGCGGGAAACACTAAGCAATAGAGTACAGGCATTTTTATGAGAAAACTGCGTTGTGGTATTGATAGCTAAGAATTCTATAGCCATATCATGATGGGCATAGAATGCCATGAGCACACCCTGCCAGGGACTGCTTCAATTCATTTGCTCTTTCGCGGTGCCCTACCTCAGATGGTTGTAGGAGCTGACCGCGAGAGCAAAGCTTCGGGGGGGAAAGATAAACTAATTGACAGACAACGTATGTCGTCAGGTTTGAACGTGGTATCGTTGAATTTGAATTTGAAAAAAAAAAGAAAAAAAAGAAGAAAAAAAAAAAAAAGAAAACGTGAGAAAATCAACTACCAAAGCATGTCGTCAAACTTGGACAAGCGAGGCAACTCGACCACTCAATATTCGAAACGCAAGGCCTCCCAATTGTCGAGCTCGCAGGTCTCATGTCGCTTGGATCCGGGATGGTCCTCATCCCTGGAACCAGGAGACAGCGACCGCTTTCGACTTGAGGAGTTATCTTGCTTGGTGCTTTTCATGTTATCGAAGACAAACTCTTCCAATGTTCCAACGAGTTTCACCGAGCCAGGCTCAACAAAATCCTTTTTGTGCCAAACCAAGCCTGCCTCTCTCATCGCCTTGAAGTTTGCAAGGGTAACGGGGTGTTTGTTTCGCTGCTCCTCGTATTCTTTCGCCCATTCCGCGGTGGAATCTTCCAGGTCAGATAGTAACTGGGGCTTCTGGTTCGGATTGTCCTGGTAAGCTTTCACCGCATCCCTGACTTGAAGCACCTGCTGATGCCAGGTCGATGCCGTTGTCGGGGGGTTCTCTGGCGAGATCGCTCCACGCTGTTCTTCGGTCTCTACGGTTTCTCGTACTGGCGCTAGTCCAAACTCGGATTTGAGTTCTTTCCATTCAACGTGAGCATGCCTCAATTCCTCATCCGTCATTGGCCGATAGCAGTACACGGGCTTTTCGAGAGTGTAGGTAAAGCCTTCATCCCATCGCTTGACAATGGACCTGATGACAGGGTTGTGCTCTGCCAGCCAACGTGCAAAGGCGATATTGCCGTCGAAGGCGTGCCTGGCGTAGAAGGTGAGCTCTGGGTGTTCCCAGTCCACCTTGGGGTTTACTTTGAACTCTCCGAAGGCATTTTTCGCAGCGATAACCTCGTCCTTCTTGCGAGCTAGATCATCTGCTTCCTGTCCTAGCTTTGCCGCTACCTCATCCCCAGTCAACCTTGAGATATCAGATACGCTCTGCTCGTTGGTGATGTCGACCAAGGCTGCATAGGCAAGGTACCAGTTTGACAGGAGGAGGTTTCGGGTGAGACCAACACAGTATTTCTCAAAGTCCTCAACTGTCCGACCTTTAAGAACATGGCCTAGAAGGATCCAGCGCTCATAGTATAGTCGGTTGAGACTCAACGCAGGTTTCAAAACTGCCAGCCTCGCCTCGTCGATGTGTGACCGTGCGTGCTCTGGTTTTTCTTCGATGCTTCTGATCTCACCAACTAGACGCATACCGTCCTCCTTTACCATGGCTTTGAGAAGCTCGCCACGCCTCGCTCGCTTCTCCTTGAAGATGGTTTCGAACAGCTTGGGCTTTTGTGTCTCCTCGTCTAACTGGTCAAGCTCTTCTAGATCGACGGAATCCTTCCAGATGTCTGTGGCATCCACCCGATGCTGGGACTCGCCGGAGAGGCTTCCAGGGATGCAATCCCTCATGCCTCGCTCGGCCTCGCTGATGGTCTCTTTCTCAAGCCATGTTCCTGCTGGGCCGTCTTCACTGAAGTCGAGTATGGTTGGCTCTCGGTATGCCCGTGCCCACTTGAGATAATGCAGGGTTTCGTAAGGTATGTTGCTCGTGCCTAGCTGAAGGTTTTCGTAGAGTTGCATGCCGCAAGAAACCGGGAGAAGTTCTTGCTGTTGTTTGCAGAATTTCAAGTTCCAGTACTCAAGGCTCCGTGTCACATCAGGGAGCTCGGTACTTGGGCACACTCTTCGAAGCTCCTGTAGAATCGGGTTATTGGCTGCAACCCTATCCCAGTACATCTTCAGGGCCATCTCCATAGTGCTCTGGATCGTGAGAGGCTCGGTTGCATGGGTGAGAGAACACCTGGAACCTTGGATATGGTCCGAGATGTTGACGGCGATGGTTTCGTTAAGGTCAAGCTTCTCAAAGAATTCCTCGGACACAGCGATCAGACGAAGCTTCTTGAACTCTAGCTCCTCAAACGTGTCGGGGTCATCGAGCCTTGTCAAGAGTTGCCGTGGCAGGAGTGCGTAGGCGGAGTTCTCCCCCAACCACAGGCCGTATCTGAGCCTGGCCTCTTCGTCCGTAGCAACATGTCGATCAACGTCGAGCAAGGAACCGGGCTCACAGGCCAGGTTGTATTGCAAGGTTTTGACTATAGAGTAGTCCGGTGTCATGAAGTCGGAGTCGACATGCTCGTGGTGGCTGGCCTCGTCGGCTTCGTTCCCAAGGAAAAACGAACGGTGATCTTGAACGCAAGGGAGGTACCGCTGATAGTCCGCTATGCGTCGGATTGCGATAAGCCCTTCCAAGAGGGACGTGCTGTCAAGATACGGAAAAATCCTCGACTTGAACAGGGCCAGGGCTTCCCCGTCCTTGTTCTCCGATATCAACGTCCGAATATCCTTCAGAATCGTGTCCAACTCGATGTAGTGAGTTTGAAGTTGCATCGAAGAATTGTGAACGAGATCGAGACGTTTCGTGGACTCATTCAGAAGACCGACTGTACTCACACCTTTGCGAAACACACTCATACAGAACCCGGGATTAGCGAGTTCAGTCGCGTTTTCCTGCACGAATTTCTCGCGGTGTTTGTTTCGCAGTAGCTCATGTCCATTTCGAAGGGCATTCTCCGCAAGCGTCTCTCTGACACGCTCCATCTGGGTGTGCAACTTGTGTGGAAGTTTGTCAAATGTGCGGCCAGGATTTTTCTCCCTGAATACTTTCATGAACGCTGCGACCTTGCTTGGTGGGGGCAAACGGCCGAGATTGAGGTAGTATGTGAGAGCCTTGTGTGCAGGCCATGCTGTGTTCAGAACCAGACCCTCCTCATCGGGCGGAGTCGACACATTCTCAGGATGGAAGAACGCGCGGACACGCAGCGCATCTCTCTCCCTGACACTGGAGAACATGGTGCCATCCTCGACGGGATTCAGGGGATGAGAATCGTCCATCAGGGATGTGTGCGAGTTTGCATCAAGCTGAAAATGTCTCAGTCAGATCGTTGATTCTAAGCTCACTACCCGACAGACACTCACCTCTGACTCTGGTTCCATCGCTGGTTCAGATGCTTGTGACCCAGCCGTAGCCTCTGTGGTGTTCGCGTCGGGTGGCTTGTTGCTTACGGGTGCCACAGACGAGCTCGGTGCCGAGGACATTGTACCTAGGTATTCAGCCAGTATCAATGTCGACCTTGAAAATTTCAACCCGCGTATTGGGATCCAGCTATGAATGAAGAGGTGCTTGCAAAGGAAGTGAGCTTCAAATCATGTAGGGAGGTAATCTGAGGGCGAAAACACCCGGCCGTTTGGTTTGGACCAAATGTTGACAAACGATAGATTCGATATCAAGGATCTCAAAAATGCTGGCCTCGTCTCACCAGCTGCTCTGATTGAGCACCCAGAGTCGAGAGAGTTGGTGTCGTGGGAAAAGTGTGCGGGAGAAGGATGATTTCTGGTGTAGAGATGACTAAGATCTGGGATTTCTAACAGCGGGTATTGGCGGCAGGCACGCACCTGGAGTTGTCAAGCTGCCATTCCTTCCCACCAACCCAAGCTTTTGCCCAATTTCTTCTACTGCTTGCCGACCTCCTCCGGGCAGTTAAGCTTAGAGACTGAGACTGTAATCCAGGAGCTCATAGAACAGATCAGATCAAAATAGCTGTAATATTAGAGACTAATAGTTATAGAGTATAGCTAGTATTATATTATATCTATAGTAATTAAGAAAAAAAAAGGGGGGGAAAGGGAAAATATATATATAAAAAAAATGAAAATGAAAAAGAAATGAGAAAAAAAAAAAAGAGAAAAGGGGAAGAAAGAAGACAAAAAAGGCACAACTGCTGTAGGCAGTGATAATAAACTGGGGAACATAGCCCATCAAGGACTTCAGGTGCTGTGGTATAGATAGGCAGCCCATGGTCGAGAGGTCAAAAAGTCCGGGTCCGATTCCGGGGACCCACATCGGAGACGGTCGGCAGCTGTCGGGCTCGAGGACCTTTGCGGTCGGGCCTTTGCGGTCGGACCTTTGCGGTCGGGGGACCGTGGTTGATCAATCCACGATAACAATTGTGTCCTTATCATTGAGAAATGCCACAGTGTCTCTCGAACATGGGTATTGTGTTCATTGTGTCTCTTTCAACTGTGTCGTATCGACAGTGTAACTTGGCTTGTACCTAACAGGTAGACCAAGAATCAAACAAATAGATAGATAGATAGATAGGCAGCCAAGGGTCGCCAGAGTCACATCTTAGGTAGGCACCGACCATGAGCCAGGTCTACATAGAGACCCCTGCTACAGTTTATTTCACGGTGTTGTTGCTGACTCTTGCGGTAACGTTAGTGAATTCCCGTAGGTTGCCTCTAGGCTGCGTTGCAGCGCAGTAGAGATGTCACAACTAAGATAGGGGTCAAATAAACGGTGTGTAAAAGGTTGAAGTTCCATTCCACAGAGCTACCGCAGATATTCGCGCTTCAAGTGCGCGACCGTCAGATTAGCTAAGCTCTCCACAGTAGAGCCAGATCTACACGCAACAACCCCCTAAAGCTTGGGGGTGCTATGGATTCCTGAATAGTCCTCTCAACATCCAAATCTCATCCGAGAACTTCGCGATAGCTCGACCTCGATGGTCCGATTTCTCCACCTCCCGTTTTCGCTTGTTTGGCACCGCCTGGAGCCACCTCAACATGCGTTGGCTCAGCAGCAAGGACCTCTCAAAGTCAATGATCAGGACCCCATTGATCTCCGCATTGAACAGCATGTTTGGCCTTCGTATATCCTTGTGGCGTACTCCCAGCTGATGTATTGCGCGCAACGACCGTACCGCCGCCCCTTCCAGTTCACCCTCCGCGCCATCAGCAATAGCCAGATCAATGTAATTTCCTCCCCACGACAGGAAGGTCATGTGTATTACGTAGGCTCGGTAGCCATAGTAATAAATCTTGTTCATCGATCGGAGGTCGATGGCCCCGAGGAAGACGGGCACATGTCTACCTTGGATGGGCTGCAGACGTCGGTAAACGGCGGCCTCATGCTCAAGGTCTTTAACAAATGCCCGAAACGTGCCCTTGCTGACGAAGGTATAGCAATACGCAAGCAAGGTCACTCTGAACAGGACGCCGCACGCACCACTCGGCCCCAACGGCGTGATCCCGTCGTCTAATGTCCGTTCTAGCTGCTGCCGGAGAAGCTCGAGGAATTCGGCGTGATCGATCGGATGACGGGCAAGGGCGCGGCCCGGGCCAGTGTCGTGGCCGTGGTGATTGTTGGGCTGCCGGCTGTGCAGTGACATGTTTGGGCATCTTGGATCGAGGACATGGCTATTGACGAGTCCTGCAAGGCACTTTTGCGTACAATATGGCCTTCCTTGCTCCTTGTCGTTGCTTGCTCCTCTCTCTCCTCCTTGTTCTCGGGCCTGTTGTGCCAGTATTCGCTGACTGCGTCGTCTGTAGTAAGGAGATCGGTCGACACCCTCGTAAGCTTCCGGTATCTAACCGGGTGAGCTCTTCGGCGCATTTCGTTCGTCCTCTGGGATCGACCGTAGCGTCGTCTCGAAATCTTCGTTCCACGTCTTCAAATTCTCAGTCGCTTGGCGCCGCTCTTCTTGCCCAGGCAACCGTTGTCCACCCGCCGGACCAAGAGCCATGAGACTAAAGGCCAGGTACTGACCGACCGCCGTGCATAAGCGAAAATGGTTAGGGTGGGCCGCCACTTCCGCATCCGGCTCGGCTAGGTGATAGAAAAGCGTCTCAGGCTCGCGCCAGTCAACCTTCAGGAACGCTATCGCCTCGCCCGTGGTCAACACCCCATACTCGAGTCCGCCCTGATCATGTACTGGTAGATCTCCGTAATGGCCAGCGCAGTCAGCCTCTCCGCATGATACTGGAAACGCCCGTCTGGGTCCACGGACGATGGAATCGTCTTCCGGTTGACCACGTCCTTGTAGATATTCATTGGGCATAGACCGACACGAAGGTGCGGCGCGGTCAGAGGCGACTTGTAGCCGGAAACCTAGATCAGCGCAGGTCTTAGCGAACCCGCGTTGTCGGATCGGTAGACGCATCCCGGGTTGAGAAGGATGCCGTTTCCTAGATCAAATGCCATTCTCGCCTCCTCCACCTCTTTAAGCTCGGCAATGATGCTTTTGACCGAATCCATGACGTTGTCGTTCATGAAGTAGCTGAGCCGCCCCTCGTCTCTGATCACCCGCTTCGACATCTTCTGCCCCAACTGGGAAAGGAGGGATTGGCTGTCAAAAACGCGACGATTGGTAGGGAAGGCGTTGTAGAGGGTGCCGAATGCGATCCTCTGTTGTTGAAGAAAGTTGGACCATGGTCGAAGATTTGTGGGACACCACTTGTTTTGCGGGTTCGTGATAGGACCCTTTGAGGTCAATTTCGGCCTCGGTCCAACGGTGAGTTTGGAAAAAAGAAGGGAGTGGCAGGCAGCGATATATTCGTCGAGTGTCGTAGGCTGGGTCTGTCGTCGCACCTCATCGGTCTGTTGTCGCAGCTCATCGGTCTCTCGTCGCACCTCATCGATGCGTCGTAGCAGCTCCTGTTCTTCTTCCTCCCATGCGGCGGCCCGTTGTTCCTCATCGGCGCGTCGTCGCTCCGCTGCATCGGCGCGTCGCTCCGCTGCATCGATGCGTCGTAGCAGCTCCTGCTTTTCTTCCTCCAGCTCTTCTGCAGTCCTTGATCCATCCATGATGCGTAGGCTTGATCTCCCAGTGAGAATACCGTAAAATCTCAAGAAATTCGACGAAGAACTACTGCACCAACCCTGTCAAGTGATGGTCAGACTAGTTGACGGACTGCTGACAGAAGTACTTGTCCATCATCGAGCCCATCGGATTTAGGCAGTGGGATAGCCCTTCCGAGTTCCAGGGCAAGGGTGCGACAAGGATATTGATTGTTGAGATCGAGGTATCTGTCAACTATTCAGACGCCCAATTGCCTGTCTTCCATACAAATAACCATGGAATGGCTCACAAAGTGGAGTTCTTGGTGGATTTCTTAGCGGAGGTGTCAAGGGCAAGTTGGCACAACCCTGTCAGGTATCGCGGCGCTAGACCAGGGCCTTGTTGACGTTGAAATCTCGAAGTATCTTTGATTTTTGTGGAGGTTTTGTGACCTGGCAAGGGAGTGAAAACTTTGACCAGCAACCTCCGTACGGATCAAAACAAAGAATTTGGAGTTTTTGTATGGGAGCAGGGGTCGTTTTGGGCGTTTTGGGCGTTTTTAGCTCTTCGTCGAACTTTTTGAGATTACACGGGTAGAAGTGAATGTATTATGAAGTTGAGAGTGGGGCCGCAGCAGCGCGTTGCGGCGGGGGTTCTGACCCACCTTTTAGACCTCCAATGTCCCGCGTGATCACGTGGCCATCTTCGCCGCTGTGGCTGTGGCTTGATGTTTGCCTTCAGCCACAAAAGAGAACCATGTCCCCACTATCACACGTGATTGAAAACCCTTCGCCTAAATTCCCTATTTGGTCTAAGCGCACACATTTTTCCAATGGTACCAAACCAAAACTTTTTTGTGTGCCTCATCAATCCATCCGTCCGCACAATCTCAAACTCGCCTCGTCCATCCTCAACGACATCACGGAGACACCGACAAGATGAGTACGTCGACGACACTCCCTCCCTCTGCGTCGATGTGTCTGAGTACTGACCGTTTGCTATAGCCAAGGGTACCTCCAGCTTCGGCAAGGTTCGTCGCCTTCCAACCACCACCACCTCCGACCTCACGACAGCATCACTAACATAAACAAATCCAGCGCCACAACAAGACGCACGGTCTTTGCCGTCGTTGCGGTTAGTTTACACCATTTCCGGCGCCGGGGAGCTCGAGACGCGAACCTGGGAGCGATTGGGGCGCGTGGGAGCGTGCGGGATGCGAGAGACAATGGCTGACGAGGATTGAACATACAGGTCGCCGCTCCATGCACATCCAGAAGAAGACCTGCGCTTCGTGCGGTTTCCCTGCTGCCAAGACCCGCAAGTGTACGTTTGCCGCTGAAGAATGGAGTGCTCGTTGGATGGGGGATCCGGAGAAAGCTGACCTTGGTGGTAGACAACTGGAGCGAGAAGGCCAAGCGGAGAAAGACCGACGGCACCGGCCGCATGCGCTACCTCAGCACCGTCACCCGACGATTCAAGAACGGCTTCCAGACTGGCACCCCCAAGGGCGCCCGGGGTGCTCCCACTTCATAAGCGAGGGGACGAGGAAGAAGGATGATTTGGGCTGTGCATTTGGGTGTCTGAGGGGAACGGACGGACTGGGGCATCTTTTTGCTTGATGAATTATTCTACAGTCAGGGTTCACGGTCATACAGCAAGGTCAACAAAAATGCCAATTCTTTGCTTCAGATGAAGCATCCTCACACCAAACTGGGTCCTCCTCGAAGCACTCAGCTCTCCTGCGTTGCCGGCGGCGTTATGTGATTTCGAAGCCCTGGAGCTCGGTTGCGATGGTAATTTGGAACCGGGACACTCCGATGCTGCTGCTGCTTATGATATCCGAGCGAATAATGGGAGGCAATGGGAAGACAATTGCACATTACGATCGCTGATCTATCTGTTGCATGGGTATCGTTGAATTTTGTGACAAGCCACTCACTCTATCTGCATCACGGCTCTACTGCCCCCGACCGAACACCCGGACGCCGCCATCGCTCCCGACATGATACAGATACTCGACGCCCGGAACTTTCTCGCCCGTGTCATCGCCCCCGTGCGTGATTCGCACTACGCCGCTCACATCATTGGCCGTGCCCGTGTCCAACAACCGCAAGCTGAGAACCGTTTCCGCCTGGTGCGCCAGCGCCAGTACGAATGCTGCGTGTTCCTTTTCCAACGTCGTAGATTGTGACGATACCAGAGGCTCGTCGGCCGACGCGGTCACGAGACAGCTGTAAACTTTCTGTGAGACAATGTAAGCATGCACTGCCTGGCTAGACTGTAGCGCAGGGGTTGGAGCCACGCTCTCTTACCTCTCGGAGATCAAGAAGTAGATCCTGCAAGCCACCGCTCGTGACCGCGGAGCCCTGCCGCAGTGCTGATTCGTCCCCTGCCGTCGCTGCCAGTAGAAGGTCCGGCTGGTCGATGACCAAGACGACCTTGGGCTGCCCTCCTCCGGCGCCCGACGACGCCAGCAGCTCGTCTACGGCGGCGTGTATCGTGCGGCCGATACCAGAGAGCCCGGAGCTCGCGCTCAGTATCGCCGCACCGGTACTGCTGCTGCTGCTGCTCGTCTGGTTACCCTTGGCGACGGCGCCGCCGCCGCCGTCCAGAAACAGGCCGGTCAGGCCGTCTATGAACTTGAACCGGCCCTTGCGCGACTGCATTTCCAAGTCCAGGCCCTGATACAATTCCTCTGTGTATGAGCTGATGGTGTCATTCTCTCTGAAGGAGGGGGAAAGGAAAAGAAAGGAGGATGGATCCGAGTGCAAAACATACCAGCCTGCCAGCGCCGTCGCGCCAAAAGGCGTAGTCCCTCATGAAGCTCACCAACACGACGCTCACGTCCTGCTGGCGCTGCTCCCCGCCGGCCTCCTCTTCTTCGTCGTCGTTAGCCTGTCGATGCTTCGCTGGTAGCTGGTGATGGCTGAGCAGGTAGGCCGTCAGGTACCGCAGGACGAGCCAGTTGGTGCTGGCGCCCAGGACCGACGTGAGCAGGGCGAGCGAGCCGGCGGCGGGCGGCAGGGCGAGGCACGGCTCCAGCAGGGGCGGGATGCTCCTGTTGGAGAGGGAGGACGACGGGCCCGGTGGCGTGCGGAGGGCCATTTGAGCTTCCTTCACGGACGGACGGACGTATGCAGAGATTCGCGTGTATCACAAAACAAAGAAAAAAAAAGGGGAAAGCAAGAAGAAATAGAGGATATTCCCAAGTATCGGAGGTGGTCTAAATGGAGTGAATATCACAAGTGTGGATGATGGTGATGATAGCATGCGTTGAAGGCGTTTGGCGGGGCTGTAAGTTTTTGATAACATTTTGAGCTGCGAAGGCCTGAGGGTTACGGTGCGTAGAGGGACTAATACAGACGGTGCCGTGTTGAGTCGATGGCCCATAATAATACAGTGCGTAGACCGGAGAGCACCGTATGCTCCACCAGCTCGATCAGGGTCTTGCAAGAGTTTGTTCCTCTCAGAGCATCCTTCGAATATGCTTGGGAAGAACAGAGCTTCTTTATCTTGGTTTGGTATCCCGAGAATCAAGAGAGACAGATATCATCGGAATTCGTGTATCGAATACCACACAGACGCCGGGACGAAATGTACTCCCTCTTCTCCTGATGCATTGACTTGAGCTTGTCTGACCAACACACAAACAAGACCCAGGACAAGATGCAATCCGTAGATATTCAAGACATCTCATGCTTCTATTATCATTCATCCAGGACCCAGCAACTCAGCGTCCCCTTGCAGATCGCCCACCCTCAGAACTCCTCGCTATTCCCAATTTCATCTCGATGACCTTCCCCGCCCAAAAAGCCTGTGAGCCAGCCCCTTTCCATTCCCACAATGCATGCCATGTCCTCTTCCATCAATCAATCAATCAATACCGCTCCATAATCCACTCGCGCCTCTTCTCCTCCCCCATCTCGGCCAGCATCCTGGCCTCGGCCTCCTTGACAGCGACGTACCTCTCCACCACCTCCGGGCCGATGATCTTGACCAGGTCCCCGTCGGCGCGCAGGGCCTCGAGCGCCTGCCCCAGGGACTCGGGCAGCCGGTCGCGCACGCCCATCTCGCGCCTGTCGTTGTCCGTCATGCGCGCCGGGTCGAGCTCGCAGTCGCGCCAGACCATCTCCTCGCCGCGCACGACGCCGGCCGCGCCGGCCAGCAGCACGGCACCGAGCGCCATGTACGGGTTGGCCAGGCCGTCCATCGACTTGAGCTCCCAGTGGCTGCCCTCGATCTTGCGCAGCGCCGCCTCGCGGTTCTGCGTGCCCCAGGCCACCCACCGCCCGCCCGCCCACACGCTGTCCGCGAGCCGCTCGTAGCTGGCCGGGCTGCTGGCCGTGAAGGCCGTGAGGGCGTGCAGGTGCCGGAGGATGCCGGCGTAGAACGCTTCGTACACCTTGGGCCTGTCGCCGTGGGGGCTCGCGATGGACATGTGCACGTGCGCGGCCGTCCCGGCCGCGTGGGCAAACGGCTTGGGGTGCAGCGTCATCTTGTAGCCTGCGGCCACGGCGAGGGCCGACATGACGTCTCTCGCGTGTACGAGGGTGTCGACGGCCTCGACCGGCGGCAGCGGAGCGAGTGTGAGCTCGAACTGCCCGGCCGCGCTTTCGGTGTGGATCTGCTCGACTTGGATTCCCATGCTGTTCAGGTCGGTGGCCATGCTCTTGAGCAGAGCCGAGACCTTGGGGTCGGCGAAGTAGTGTGACGTAGACCAAGAGTGGCCGTCGTTGGTCAGGGTCTCGTATCGCCTGTCCGACCCGGTCCCGGTGCGCTGGACGAGGAGAAACTCTATTTCAAACCCGATGAGAAACTTGAGCTCCTGCTGGAGGGCCAGTTCCGTGGCGCGAATCAGCTGCGAGCGTGGGCACAGGGCGACCCGGGACCCGTCTTTCTCACGGAACTCGCCGCACATGCTGATGTGCCCCTGAATCGGCCCCGGCTTCAGGGACGAAAAGTCCGGATGTATCCTGTACTCTCCTGTCGCACTCGCTCCCTGAACCATCGTGTCATTCTGCAGCAGACCGAGCGCGGCCTTTGTGATGCCAATGTCGACCGGCTTTCCCTCCTCGAGCAGACTGACAAATCGACCGTACGGCACCATGCGCATGCGAGGGGTCGCCGTGTAATCGAGCCAGGAGATCCGCACAAAATCGGGAATCTCGCGACCCCTCATGAAGAACTCCAACACCTCGAGGTCCGTCCGCCTGCCATCTGGCGCGCTTCCCGGCGTCGTGAGGCCGTCGCTGTCAAGCTCCTCGAACTCGAGCTCCAGCTGGTAGAGTTTATTCGAGTTGTTGAAGAAGACGTCTCTCGTCAGCTGGACCGCCGCCCGCCAGCCCAAGTGCCCTTTTCGAACGTAATCGCACAGCACCTGCGCACCGGAATTAGCTTCCCATCCATCCAGACAGACTTTTTTCCAGGAACCCCCCGTCCGGTTCGGGACCTACCGTCTCCAAGCACTCGCGGACCTGCATGACCGCCAGCAGGTACGTTTCCGAGAACCAGTGTCCGTCTGTGCTCCAGAGGATCTTGGACCACGGGCAGAGCTCCAGGATCTGCCTGATGACGCCTTCCTGCCCGTCCCGGCTGACAAAGGGAAAGACCTCGCCAATGTCGGCGTAGACATTGGCGTAGACGCTGGCCAGGTACCCGGCCTCCCGCGTGAAGGGGTAGCTGGCGTGCAGGAGCACCATCGGCACGGTCGGGTAGGCGCGGATGAACTCCTGCAGGTGCGACGGCGAAGCCTTGGCGAGGGTGATGTCGTTGTCGCCGAGCCCCGTGTGGAACTGGATCGGCTTCTTGTGGCGGGCCTGGCTCTGCCGGATCAGGACGGCGGTGTGGTGGACGAACAGGTCGTTGAGGCCCTCGTGCTGGAGCCGCTTGAACTTGCCGCTCTCCTCGTAGCCCATCATGATGTCGGCAAACGACTCTCTCGCCGCGGCGATGTCGACAACCTTAGGCACCTTCAGCCCCGTGCGGTAGCAGATGACCGACTTGAACGAGACGACCTCGGGGTCGGCGATCGCCTGCTTGATCTGGGTGTCGAACTCCTCGAGCATGTTGTCGAAGACGTCGTCGACGTCCGGGCCGTCCTGGTCAAAGGCGCGGCCGTGGCGGTCGATGATCTCGGTCGCGACGGCCTCGATGCGGACGATGCGCTTGCAGCTGCCGCCGCGCGTGAAGTTGTTGTGCCACGCGTAGTCGTACACGTCGTCCTCGTCGTCGAGGCCGTCGTCGAGCAGGATCGTCTCGATGCCGTCGAGGCACTCGGACACCCAGTCGTCCGGGCACTCGATGCGCTTCTGCTCGATCGCCGCCACGACCGACTCCCACGTCGGCCCGCAGTCGAGGACGGAGGCGAGCTGCTTCACGGCGCGGTGGTGGGCCAGGCTGGTGGTCGTGGCGTGGATGGCGTCCCCGTGGGCCTCTGTGGCCATGTTCAGCAGGGGCTTCCGGCTGAGCATCTCGGTTTTGAGCAGGGGGTGAGCATGGTTGTCGATGATCGGGGTGCTCCGGATAACGCGGCACACCTCGTCGAGCTGGGCTTTGGTGACGCCGCGGGCATTCCTGCCACCCAGATACGACGCCATGAGGTGTATTGGCAAATATTTTGGTGATCTCTGAAGGATAGAGAGGCCGGATTAGGCTGCAATAATTAAAAGAGTGGTATAGATATGGCAGGGTGCCGAGTAAGATATTAGTGCGTGCGGCAAGGAGACAGGAGCGTCCAGCCAAGGTTCCTGCTGTCTAGAAAGGCGAAGATATGGGTGGTGAATGATGTTCGAAGAGTATGGATAATAATAAGTAATATTGCGGTCTCGCCGCAGGAGGAAGTGCTGCCGAGAGGAGCAAAAGCAAGTATCAATCAACGAGAACACGGAAGTCTATCTGGCGCTGCTTCGAGGAGCACTTCACATGGTGCAGCAGGTTGTGCTGCAGTGCCGGGTGCGATACGACGACGACTGGTGCTTGCAGAGGAAGTAGGTTACACATTTCCATCTACGGCGAGGCCTGCTGGGTAGTTGGAAGGCTCGAGGCGAGAGGAACGGCACCGGGGCGAGACAGACAGGCGGGAGGCGGGAGGCGGATCATGCAAGGACAACGTGGTGTTGTTCGAGAGGCAAGTCAGCAGCAGCAGCAGGAGAGGTGTAAGGATCAGGAAGCAGTAATGTGTATGTAGGTGGCAGACAGATGGCAACAGGGAGAAAGCACCAGTAGTCGTAATCGGAAGTGTATATGTGCGCGCGTGCTGTGTACGGTTTAGACTCTAGTGGTGTCGATGTATCGAAAAAGCCAAAAGGCGGTCCTGGTGTGTGCATGTGCAGGGGCGGGAGAGAGACCCGACGGTGGAGAGCTGTATGCAAGCTGGTGGTGGAAGGCCGGGGAACCAGGACCAAGAGGGCATAGGCACAAAGTTACAGCTCGAGAAGAAATAAAAAAGCACACTAAGAACGAAGAGAGTAGTGACATTTCAGCGGCACCAACACCCAAGAGTGGGCAAAATGGAGACGGAGCTGGTAGCACGTTTGTACATACTGGATGTGCAGGACGTGCAGGATGTGTAGGTACACACCCTCAGGGCCCTGCGAGCAACAAGGTCAAGCTTCGGTGGTAGGTCCCCAAACAAGGTAACGGTTGGCATCCATTGTTCTCTCTGCTGCATGGTCGAGTCCTCACAGGAAATTGACAGGCACAAATACTGCCGAGGAATTAGTCCGATGGGGGTAGCTTTGAGCTGCACAGCCTCACTCCAAAATGAGCCAAAATGAAGGAAGCGGAGCTGCTTCATCTTGTCTCTGCTGTTTGGGCGCCAGGCGCCGGGATCGCTTGTAGGAGAGTGGGATCTTCACAAAACTGACATGACATTGGGTGGCATGATAGATAGACGACAAGAAGAAACAAGAGCGCATGCCAGACATTGCCAGTACCTACTTGCACATTGCTAAGTGGACGCCTTTTCCCCCTGCGAATGACAACCTGGGTACTCGTCATTCGCTCACCGTGTACCCAGCAAAAGATCGATCGAAACCGAGCGAGATACAGCGAGGGTTGTACAGCTAGCTGCAAGCCCCGACCAGCCGGTACACCGTCCGTCCGAACCCACCTGGAACGCTTGGAGGCTCGCTCGATCGAGGGGCAGCTGAAGCTTCCCGCCGGTCGGGCACACGATGCCCCCATCGAGCTTGGCCAGCATCCGTTTTGGGACCACAGTGGCGGAACGGTCCAGGCCCTCCCTGCACCTTTACAGCCAGCCCACGATACGCTTTTTGTTTCCCAAAGAAGACGGTGAGGGGAGGGACCCTGAGAGTTTTGGAAGAGGGGGGCGGCGTGGAGTGAAGAAGGGGGGTGCGAGTGGAGCAAATGTTTCTCTCCTCCCTCCCCATCGGTGTACCAACATCCATCCTGCGCCGCGTGCCATTGCCATGGCCAGATCGTCGAGAGACAACTGGGATTCAGGGAAATTCAGAGAATACGTGTGCTGTTCCCTCCTCTCTTGCCTCTCTCCCCGCTTCACCTATCAAGAAAACTGTGGTTCTGCGATCATCCTCAAACAGGCCAATTCCAGCAGCTCCCTTCCTCATTCAGAGAGATCGGAGGGGAAACGGGGGCGCTCATTGGCCTGTGGGAATGCGCTAAACTTACCTGCCTCACCGACGGTCCACCAGGCTCAGCCCAGTGAAACGGGAGATAAATTCAAGAAATGTCTTGGCGTGCGGTCTAGACCAGCCGCTGGCCATTTGGCGGCCTGTGCGCGCGGCGCCCCGGAATTGACGGCTCCCGCGCCCTCTCGTACAATACATTGTGTGAATCTCAGTGCTGCAGCCTGCTGCACATTTGATGTGGGGACCCTCCAAGCTTCTGCTCTCCAGCTTAAGCGCGAGCTTGACACACACCTCAAGCTTGCACACACGAGCTCTCCAGGCTACGCTGTTGTCGATATGTTGTTCCCTTCCTTCGTCGTAGAGACAGAGCGGTGTGTGCGCCGCAAAGAGGACAGCTGAACTGGTATGTCACCTCGACTGTACTTGTACGTATGTCACAAGCGAGCGCGCGCCTTGGCACTCCTCATGGAGACGTTGCAAAACGGTAGACGTCAGCTCGCTCTTGGCCCCCAGTTGGCAGTTATGAAATGCGGTGGGCAGCCAGCACACCTATCAGCGCCGAATAGCCGGTCACTTTTTGCGTCTTTTTTGAAAAATCCCCCCTCCACACAACAACCCTAAAAGGACAATGGAGAGATGGTTGCTTCTTGAGGGCCAGGGTTGACGGCCGATAGTCCTGGACGGTGGCGTCGCTGACCATGCCCGAAGCAGATCTCCGGGCTGGCCAGCGCGCTCAGGAGTGGCCAGTTCGGCCTCCGTGCTCGCCTCGTCTGTCTCACGGAGCGGGAGCCTGGCGGGGCTGGAGTTGGTTGGACGGAGGGCGTGCAGTGCAGTCCTTGGGAGGTACTTGTACTTGTCGAGTGCACCCATGTTCCGTCCGACGTCGGCTGGGAACGTAGGATCGGCTCTGGTCTTTCTGAAACGCTGTCTGCCACGTGCTTGGAGATCGAAGAACGATCGGAAATTGAGGGTCCTGTTTTCCCTCCCGCCGTTCTGCACATTTTGGTCAATGCTCGTTTATTACCTGTGGGACTGTGGTTTCATTGCTTGGCTCGCTGCGCGGCACTTGTACCCGCTTTTTCTTGTTTTCTCCCCCCCCCTAGCACTGACCATTGGTGACAATTTGGCGTTTGCGGTCTCCTTTTTTCATACGAGTCGAGCGAGACCTTGCAAGCTTCGAGAAAGTCTGGGCATTGGCACTGGCTAGGGTCACCCTTTAAACAAATTTCAATTAGGTACCTATTATTAGCTCTGTGGAGTGGTTTAAAAAGCATAGGAGGCCTCCCGCTCAAGAAACAGTTCTGTTTTGCATTTGCTTTTCCTACGAAAAAAATCTCGATTTGTGCAGGTCTTGCCTGGTGCCTGGTGCTGAACTTGGAAGCTTGGGCAACTTTGCTCACAGCGAGCGCTACAGGCCTACAATTGGCTTCATACTTACCGCTCATGCGCCACAAATGGATTAGATCGACGAGAAACCTTGCTCGCAATCGACTCCTAGGGGTCGGTCCCACGCGACCAGCTTTTCATTCTCTTGGGCCCTCGCGGGTTTGCTGTCAAGCGGCACGGTCCTAATTCCAAACGGACGGCTGCAGCTGTGCCCTACCCTGGCCATCGCTTCGCTTCTGCACCTCGGTTCTTGTGGACGTGCGGAGTACAAGTAGACCTTGAGCCATTTTCGACCCTGCAATCCTTGTCTTGTCCCCTTGTCTTGCAGCGGCACGCAGCACTCTCGACACGAGAATTCCAGAGCACGCACCTGACATCGACTTGGCTGCGCCCTTTGCAGTGTGCATTCGAGAAACGCAGGATTCTCGAAATCAAAGGGTTGGTCAATTGGACCAAGTAGGCGCTGGGATTACAGGCCAAGAGCGGTCTCGAACCGCCGCCAGCACAGGCATGATGAATGAGTAAATGCCAAAGCATCATTCGATGGTCCTCCTTTACCAGAGGCGCAACCCTCGAACCCACCTGCCGACCATGGCTTTGCTGTCATATTTTGAACTGCCCAAAGTATGGTATGGTATTGGGCAATGCGGCATAGGGTGTCAGGGCACGAAGGGCGTGTCCTGATGATGGTCCGGCATGTGGCCCGTGAAATGCTGACGGGCGGCCGTGACTGAACATCACGGGTCTGTTTGGCTGCGTGCGGTGCACAGCGCACATGCAAAGATACTGTAAGTAAGCTTTTCACGTTGGTTTTGTGCCTTGAACGGAATTCCCTGGCTTGAATGGTCTCCGAGTACTGTCAAGTATGTCAAATATGTCCATTCCCAAGCTTCAGGACTGGGGGACTAGTAATTGAAGAAAATTGTATGGAGCTTTGCGGGGATTCGGGGTTCGCTCAGAGCACCACGAAACGGCCGCTGGGGAGAAGACGACTGGACTGCTGTGAATGCGCGTGCTCGCGATCTGGGTAGGGTTGGGTTTGCCTTATATATCAAGAGAATAAGGGGCTCTCTCTCTGCCCATTGCATCGTGCCGAACTTCCGAGACCATGACGCGCGGCAGCTCGACTAGCTAGGGCCAAGACAGACAAGCTTTTTCACCCATGCAACACCCAAGAAATTCCCCGGATCTTGGGACATCGTGTCGCTCAGACGTGCAGGATGGGTGCGGAATTAAACCAAGAAAAATAGGAAACACTATCCTGCCATTCCGATGAGGCTTCTTGGGTCGTGTGCGCGACTTGGCTTGTCCTTTAAAGAGGTGGCAGCGATGGCACGTGAACTATCCATAATTTACCTCCGTGTCTGCCAGCGCGGAAGGGGCCACCAATGCGGGACTACTGCCATTCTCAGACAACCAGAGTAACAGAGAAGAAGAGAACTCAATTCCCCTTCTTTCACTACGTGGATCCAGCAAGAGACGAACAGTTCAACCGACGTGGGGGAATCCGGGTTATGAGAAGCTGATCTGCGCCAGTTTCCGGGCGCTCACCACCAACGAACAAGTGCCGCTGCCACCGCCGGCAGATCGGCATTGACGATGGGGGAACGTGGGTGTGTCTGGCAACACGCAAAAGTCCCAATATCTAGGGATCCGTTGATCTCCCTACGTTGGTCTCCCTCTGCCTCCTCTCTGCCTCCTCCTCTCTTGGGTGCTAAATTTAGCATCACGATCTACCTACCTGCCGCTCCACGTCGTCTGTGTTAGTCTGCGTGTGGCTTGATACCCGGGTTCGGGTTGGCATGCAACAAAGTTTGGCTGGTGAACCATGGCTTTTTGGCGTCGCGGCGCACCCGAAGAACTGCCAGCCCGGAACGAGGAAATTCGTGTAGGCTAGCCATTTCCATGCCAGCCCCCCTTTCCCGGGACTTCTCTCCAGCGTGTCAGTGGCGCCTTAGTCCCGTGGTTGAAGCCCGCTAGCACGAGGAGCATGCGTCAGTCGTTGCTTAATTTGGGTGTGGCCTCATTGGAGAAGAGCAGCGCTTGCGCCAAAAGGCGTCGTAATCCAAGCCAGACAGGGTCTCCGGTGCGGGCCTCTCTCTCTGCTCGCTTCCCCTGGATTTTGTGTACCTTTCTTTGTTGCCAAGTTTTCCATCACCAGCATCATCATCAACTCGCAGAATTCGCTCTTCTCTTCTCTCTCTCTCTGTCTCTCTCTCTCGATACCCTTTTTCTTTCATTGCTCGCATTCTGGCATACATATCGAGATAAGGCACAAAGTGAAAGAACCGGCCAAAGCTCCTCGACCGCCGAGGACGCTCGCTCAGAGGCCCACCGCTCCCAGCAGGCCACTTAATTTTGGGCCTTTGTCCCCCGGGGACCCCGAGTCGCTCGTTACCACCACAACACCAACCGATTATCGCAAAACAGCATCGCCATGAAGCACCCCGTGCTGTTCGCCGCCTCAGCGGCATTTCTTGTCGGCGGCCTCGTCGACGCCGCCGTGACACCGTACAGTACCAGTTCGGAATGTAAGTCGAGTCGATTTTGATGTTCAATCTCGAAAATCCCCCCACGAACCCCACAATGCCAAGAGATCTCGGTGAGATCTCTCGGGAGCCAAGCACACACACAGCCCTACCTAAGGTAGGTAGGCATGCATGGATCAGCAGCAGGAACAGCGCTGACAGGTACCCCGCTAACCACACCATCTGCATCACAGCCGACATCAAATCGTCCGGGCGCACGCTCGCCTACGACCTCATGAGCTACTACAAGGGCAACCTGTCGGGCCAGACGCCCGGGATCCTGCCCGGCCCGCCGCCCGCCGGCGATTACTACTGGTGGGAGGCGGGCGCCCTCTGGGGCACCATGATGGACTACTGGCACTACACGGGCGACGCGACGTACAACGACGTCGTCTCCCAGGCCATGCTGTTCCAGGTCGGCCCCAACGCCAACTACATGCCGCCGAACGTGACCGCCTCCCTCGGCAACGACGACCAGGGCTTCTGGGGCATGTCCGCCATGCTCGCCGCCGAGGTCAACTTCCCCAACCCGCCCGCCGACAAGCCGCAGTGGCTCGCCCTCGCCCAGGCCGTCTTCAACACCCAGGCCAGCCCCGAGCGCCACGACAGCACCTGCGGCGGCGGCCTCCGGTGGCAGATCCCCTTTGCCAACGCCGGCTACAACTACAAGAACAGTACGTAGCAAAACAGTCTTTTTGCAGTCCTATGGGAACTCAAATCAAAAGCGAAAGAGAGAGAGAGAGAGAGAGAGACAAGGTCCGGGCTAACCTGAATGTAATTCTGTTGGACAGGTATCGCCAACGGCATCTTCTTCAACTTGGGCGCGAGGCTGGCGCGGTACACCGGCAACACGACCTACTCGGACTGGGCCGTCAAGACGTGGAACTGGATAAACGAGGTGGGCTATATGACCCCCGAATACCAGATCTACGACGGCGCGCACGTCGAGACCAACTGCACCGACATCAACAAGGCGCAGTTCTCGTACAACAACGGCGTCTTCATCCAGGGCGCGGCACACATGTGGAACCATGTAGGTTGTCTTTTTTTTTCTTAGCTCCCTCCTCCCATCCATTATCCCATCCACCCCTTATCCAAATCTTTTTGAACAACAACCACCCAAGAAGTCATCCCTCTAATCCTTTCCACACAGACCCAGGACCCCATCTGGAAGACGCGCGTCGACGGCCTCCTCAACGCCACCCTCAACACCTTCTTCCCGCAGAGCATCGCCTTCGAGATCGCCTGCGAGACGGGCATGACCTGCACGACCGACATGCTCTCCTTCAAGGGCTACGTCCACCGCTGGCTCGTCAACGTGGCCCAGCTGTGCCCCTGGACGCGCCAGACCATCATGGCCACGCTGCAGACCTCGGCCGCCGCCGCGGTGCAGACGTGCACGGGCGGCAGCGACGGCCGCACCTGCGGCTTCCAGTGGCACATGAAGGCGTTTGACAACAGCGTCGGCGCGGGCCAGCAGATGGACGTGCTGGCCGCCGTGTCCTCGCTGCTCATCGACGGCGCCGCCCCGCCGCTGACCAACGCCACGGGCGGCACGAGCGTCGGCAACGCCAACGCCGGCGAGGGCAGCGACACCCTGCTCGGCAAGCCCGCCCCCGTCACGGCGGCCGAGAAGGCCGGCGCCGCGTTCCTCACGCTCCTCGTCATGGCCTGCGCGACGGGCGTGTTTGCCTGGATGAGCTTCGGCGTGTGAGAACATGAATACCCCACCGGTGTGCGACGATGAGGGAGGGAGGGAGGGAAATGTTAAGAATATTGTTGGGGAGGGTGTATATTTGACGTTTCAAGACCATGAAGCATACTTGTTTTGTCTTTTTCACTGGCGTGTAATGCATTTCTTTTGTTCTCTCTTTTTTTTCCCGCTTCACAGCAGGATAAAGCGGTATTTGATTTCTCTGCTTATTACAAGCAGAATCGCTAAAAGGCATGCGTTAAGCGTTGGCAGCTTCAGCAAATGGAACAGGGATGCAAATGAATAATTGGGATTCGGCGATTGAGCTGGATCTTATCTTGCACTGGATCGTAGGATAGAACGCACTTGATACCACAAACAGAGTCACATGAAAGGGTTGCTAGGGAACGATAGAAATTCTCTACATACATTTTTCATTATGATTTGAGATTCGTGAAATGGGCAGGCAGAAAACATGGATAAGCGCGTTTGAAAGAGCATCAATTCTTTTCCTGGAGAGAGACGCAGGAATACACCAACCACCCATAATCTAGGACGAGGAGGCGATGGTCTTCTTGATCCACGCGGCCTGCCGGTCGAGGAACAGCTTGGTCTGAGGCAGCGTCGCGACGACGGCAGAGAAGAAATGGGGCAGGCCCTTGTAGACGTGCAGCTCGACGGGGACGCCGTCGGCCTCGAGGCGCTCCGCCCAGGCGATGCCCTCGTCGCGCAGAGGGTCGGCACCGGCGACTTGGACGACTGGGTTGGGGGAGCGTTAGCTTATCGGTACAAGAGCGGGTCGATGCCACTCGGATGGGTGGATGAGAAGAGAGAATGGGAGTGAGAGGGAGAGGGAGGAAGAGAAAGGGAGGGAGAGGGAGGGAGAGAAAGAGAGGCAGAGAGGCAGAGATGGAAATTGCCACGTACAAGCTGGAGGCAGGCCCTTGCACGAGTCGACGAGCAGTGGCGAGTGTCGCCAGTCGGGCTTGGGGTCCGGGTCGTACGCGTCGAGGAAGGTCTCCATGAGGAGCGAGTTGACGACCGAGGCGTCGTAGTGCTGGTCGTAGCTCTCGAGCTCGTACTTGTCCTTGGGAAAGAACTTGGGGTGGCACGAGGTCGGGTAGTCGAGCACCTGGCCGATGATGCCCGTGACGCCCTCCTCGCGGGCCATGAGGCTCAGGACGATGGACTGTGTTTGTTTGGGTAGTGTCAATGGCGGGTCACTCTACTTGATAGAATCCACGACGAGGTAGGCCAAGTGTGGTGGTGTTTTTGGCTTACCATGTTGGCACCAGCGCTGCCTCCCAGCAGGATGATCTTCTCTGGGTTGACGTCCAGCTCCGAGGCGTGGGCCTTGCACTATTGGGTCAATTGTGTCAGCACCTGATGTCTTCCAAGGTCTCGAACGGAGACAAAACTTACCCATTTGAGCACATCAAACGCATCATTGACCGCATAAGGGAATGGGTACTCCGGCGCACTAGTACATCACAGAAAAGTGTCAGCAAAAGCAAAGCATCTCTCCCGTCGACGAGGGGACAAGATCACACTCACAGCCGGTAGTCAACGCTGACCATGACGAGCCCGCCCACGCCCACCGTCTTCAAGTTCTCCACCATCTCGGTCGCGTGGCCGCCCGTCGCCCACCCGCCGCCGTGCGTCCTCAGCACGAGGACCTTGCCGCCGGGCGGGGCCGGGTCGCCGACTTTCCTAGAGATCTGGATCTCGACCTCGGCGCCGTCGCGGACGGGCACGGCGCGCAAAGACTGCTCGACGTCGCGGCCGGGCTGCGGGCAGTCGTCGGGCACGGGCACGGGCGCGAGCCACGCCTGGCGGAAGGCCTCCCAGGTCCCCGTCGCCCAGATGGACGCGATGGCGCCGTCGACGGCCGACTTCGCCGTGGCGAAGCCCGGGTCCAGCTCGGCGCCCCAGTGCCCGTTCCGGGGCCCGCCCTTGAAGCCCGGCCGGGGATTGCTGTACTGGGGCTTGTCCTTGACCACCAGCGCCCGCTGGGAGGCCGGAGTAGGGTCCACTGCCGCCGCCGCCGCCGCCGCCATTCTTTGGTCTACGTAGCAAGGAAGGAGGTGGGGAGGGTTGGGGGTCTTCTTCCTCGTCCTCGTCGACGACAGTGTATTGCCTAACGCAATCCTCGCATAAACAAGGTTGCACCTCCGGCCAGGATAAGAGAACGGGTATGACCATGGCACGATCTGGGACACAGGGTACTACAAGTACCTAAGTAGATGGGGGATGTTGGGGAGGGGGAATGGGGTAGGAGCCGGAAGAGGCTATGTGGGGCTGGTAGTGTCAGGTCTCGGGAAACGCTTGCCTGGAGGGCCGAGGAACCGGGAGAGTGGGGAAACTGGCTCTTATTTATGTCTGAAGGCGCATCAAAGGAACTCGACTCTGTGATATGGTTCACAAATTACCAAAGAGCCATTCTCCTACGTCGCGCCGCACAAGAGAATTGCTTTTGTAGATGCACCACGAAAACGAGCTTTTTGATTGCCCAATCAAACGCCTGCCCGCCCCGGAATGTTCCCTCCAGCCGCTGGGAAACCAGAGCAGCAGTTTCAGCTCTGCACAAAGAGGTACGCCATGGACTTTGTCACGCCAATGGCATGCTTATCAGCGGGTCCGTGGCGCGGAAATGCCAATCGGCCCCCGTCTCTGATCTTTTCCAGCGTCTTGTGGCCGGGCCCGAGCCTTTTCCATATCCATCCAATAGCATCAGCCGGACAGCCGTCCGTGAAGAGTACCGCCAATCACAAATCAGGCCCATCTCCTGGCCTCTATTCCAGAGCTGTTTCTCTCAAGATTGTCAGCAATAATGCGCCTGAGCATCTGGCTCAATGTATTGGAAGCGGGTGTCCGCTGAATGAACATTTGTCGCCGACTTCCGAGTGTGCCGGCACTCCGGATAACGATCTCCGGGCCGCCCGTCGGCAGGGTGTGCCCCACTTTTGTGCCGGGAGCTGACTCCGGAGGCGCGGTCCGGATTGTCATTGGACGACGTCTGCAAATGAAATCAGTCGGAGCGAGCTCCTGAGGTGCCCTCCAATGGTAATTGGAAGTCTACGTTACGCAGAGAAATTTTTCGAACGGACCTGTCTCCGGAAGCAGTCATTGGGCGTCAATGTTGCACTGCATGTGCAGCTGGCGCACCTCCTCCTGAATTGTCATTGGAGGCCAACATTGCGTACGAATGAGCACAGCCGGAGCTGGCTCCAGAGGCGGTGATTCGAGGACAACGTTGCACGAGATATGCAGACATGCCCGCAGATTGTCATTGGATGTTCGGGTTACACAAATTCGACAAACATCCCAGTGCCATCTGGATGGTCGTTGTAGATCAACACCACACACAACCCTGGCATACGCAACTCAGGCACACCTGGCTCTGGGAGCATATCTCTAGGCTGCCATTGGTTGTCCGTTATTGGAATAGACGGCGCTCTCAAGGCGCGCCGCGGTGTGCACCTTGATGTTGAGCTTCGCAAGCTTGGCCAGACCCGGAGCTGGCTCCGGGGGTGGTGATTGGAAGTCTTCGTTACACGGACAGAAAATTCCATGCGGACTTGGCTCCGGAGGCTATGATTGGGTATCAGGGTTACACAAATTTGACAAACATCCCTCTGGAGCATCATTGAAGATCAACATCCCAGAACCAAGTGACGGGCTGTGAGAACACATCTCGCGCGCGCACATGCACACACGCACACACACACGCCCACACGCCGTGGGGCTCCTGTACCCATGTAATTTCGCCTCTGGAGGATCAGACCGTGCTCTAGTACCAGTGATTGAGCTCGCGCGCAGGGACCGTGGACAAGCGTCTCGATTCCACACGTACAAGGGTACAAGGGCGTGCAACCGGGGCGGGCATGGCTCCGGGAGCAGAATTCTGGATGGCCATTGGGCATCCGCGATCAAGCTGAGCCGGAGCTGGCTCCAGAGGCTGTGATTCGAGGACACTGTTATACGAGATATGCAGACATGCCTGCAGATTGTCATTGGGTGTTCGGGTTACACAAATTCGACAAACACCCTCCTGGCTCGACGTCATTGAAGCTCGGCGTTGCGCACGGCCCAGGCTGGCCTGGCTCCGGGCGCATGGTTCGGGATTGTCACGACAGCATCCGTGCCCACTGGTTGTCGCGCAAGACCTCGTCCAGCTCCGGGAGTAGATCATCGCCAAGGCTGTCCAGGAGCTGGTTCTCCAACTCCGTCTCCAGCTGCAGGCAAATATTCTCGAGGCCCGCGTCGCAGAACTCGGTCACCGCGCAAGGGGCTGGCTGGACGTCCCACGAATGAACCCAGCCGGAGCTGGCTCCTGAGCCGGTGATTGGGAGTCTGCGTTACACGGAGGAAAATCCCTCATGCGGACCTGGCTCCGGACGCGGTCATTGGATGCTGATGTTTCACGAATCCTGCAGACATTCTCCTGGATTGCCATTGGAGCCTGACGTTACACAAATTCCATGAAAGTCGAGAAACTGGCGGACGTGGCTCCGGGGGCGGTCATTGGGCGTCAGGGTCGCTGGAGGTCAACATGGCGCAAGGACATGTCCAAGTGGACGTGGCTCCGGAGGCAGCTATTGGATATTGACGTTCCACAAATGCTGCAGACATCCTCCTAGATTGTCATTGGAGCTTGATGTTACACAAATTCCATGAAATCCAGATGTTGGCGGACCTGGCTCCGGGCCCGGTCATTGGGTCTGCAGAGACATCTTTCTGGATTGTCACTGGAGGTCGACATGGCGCAAGGAAATGCCCAGGCGGACGCAGAGGCAGCCATTGGATGCTGATGTTTCACAAATGCTGATGACATCCTCCTGGATTTCTATTGGAGCCTGACGTTACACAAATTTCATGAAAGTCGAGATCCTGACGGACGTGGCTCCGAAGGTAGCCATTGGATGTCGATGTTTCACGAATCCTGCAGACATTCTCTTGGATTTCCATTGGAGCCTGACGTTACACAAATTTCATGAAAACCAGATATTTACGGGCAGCCATTGGATATTGGTGTTTCACAAATGCTGCAGACATTCTCCTGGATTTCCATTGGAGCCTGACGTTACACAAATTCCATGAAAACCAGATATTTACGGACGTGGCTCCGGAGGCAGCCATTGGATATTGGTGGTTCACAAATGACATCCTCTCAGATTTCCATTGGAGCCTGACGTTACACAAATTCCATGAAAACCAGATGTTTACGGACGTGGCTCCGGAAGCAGTCATTGGACGGCAGTACTTTTCAACCAACGGAGTTGCGTCTGCTGTCCTACTCCAGGACGACCACTGGAAGGCAACATTACACAAGAAAAAAAGGCCGACGGACCTGGCTCCGGAGGCGCATTTTGAATTATCGTTAGGTATGAACAGTGTTGTCAACGGAGCTGGCTCCGTCGTCCCTCCCCAGAGTTGTCGTTGGGTGTGAGCATTCGGTCGGAGACCACCAGGCATCACCATGAATCGAGTTCGCGTGAGCACTCCATGAATTCCGTTGCCAACGGCTGTACTTTTCAATGAGCCATGTTTCTCGTTGTTGAAATCAGGGCATTACCAGATGCCTAAACGCCACGAGTCATCTATCCTTCTATCGTTCGCATTGTAGGTGCATGTGGATAACGGGCCCGGGTCTCAAGCAGAGCCGAATCGCCAACCTGTCAGGCAGTGGTCATGCATTTGTTTCGAAAAGAGTCTATTTCCATATGCCGTCAATTGCCCGTAGCATCTTGCAGTCCATTTTGTGCCCGCCCTCGGTCCAGCTCTTCGTCTGACATTCCTGCGACAAGAGGTGTAAGCGTTTCAACTCACTGCATCAGCCCAGCCACCGCACTACACTGATCTCCGTCAGCCTTCACCGGAGGTACTACTTTCACTCACCTTGCCGCAATAGCGCACCCTGCCGCAGCCGGTGCACTTGACCAGGCCGCCGCCCTCCCCGCCCTTCCCGCACCCACCAGCGCACGGGTCCTCCGCCTGCCCGGCCTCCCGGGCCGCGTCCATGGCCCGCATCCGCCTCGCCAGCTCCAAGGCTTCCTCCAGCGGTCCCGGGACGGCCCTGACCTCGGCCGCCCTGCCCTTCTCCACGGCGACGAAGCCCCGCTTCCCGGCCTCCTTGGGCGGCGTGCGCCGCGCGCGCGGGACCACGGCCGTGGCGCCCTTCTTGAGGCCCAGCCTCTTCAGGTCCAGGCCGTCGCGCTCCAGGCCCTCGAAGACGAGCGCGAACGGCGAGCCGTCCCTGTCGGTGAGGACCAGGGTGGGCTTGTTGATGGTCATGTCATCCTTGACTTGGGCCACGAGGTACCATGGCTGCTGCTGCTGGTCTGGTGTAGGCGACTGACCGACCTCGGGGAGCTGGGTGAAGGAGAGGAAGACCTCCCGATCGTCGACATCCGGTATCGTCATGTTTTTCTATTGTTTGATGTGTCTTTGCGGGCTTGGATCTCCTGCTTCCTGGAAATTGACGCCGTCCGTTGAAGACTGGCGGGCGGAAGGCGCCGCCCGTAGTGGGGGAGATTAGTGGGGGTTAAGAACCCCTGTTTCACATTTGCGGTGGCAGCTTCAGCGCTTTCTTCCTCGTTGGCTTTAGTACATCAAATCAACGACATTCCCGAGAGCTACTCGATCAACGGCGACTGGACCTGATCAAATAGTGGTAACGGGGTTGTTGAAGATGGGTAGTACACCAGGGAAGATGTCGCAAATAATCTTTTATTAGACTACTTCGTAGATCAAAAGGCCCACTGTTTCTACAGGGCACTCTTACTGAGCCTCTTCCTCCTGCCCGTCCCTCTCAACAAGCTCGTACAAGAGGTCCGACCTCATCGTGTACTTGAGCCCCTTCTCAACGACTGCGCCAGAGTGATAGAGGCCACGGTGCTGGAAGATGAGAACACGGCCGGCCTTGGGGTCAACATCCACCTTCCTCGACCCGTTGGAGGGCAGGAAGGACGTAGCACCGCCGACGAGCTCAGCGCTGTCACCGACAGCCTGCTTCGAATCGTTCAGATACAGGTGGACCGTGAAGAGCGTCTGGACTACCTTGTCGGTTCCAGGTTCTCTGTACGCGGCATCACAATGTGCTGTTGTTTGGATGATTGTAGGGTGTCAGCGACTCCGTAGCAATGGCAAAGAAAGAAAAAGAAAAAAAAGCACAACCAAACGACTTCGAGAATACTCGAGGTTGGAGGATAAAAAGAAAGAAAAAAAAGCTTACGTGCAAAGAACTGATCCGCGCCGTACCTCAGGAACCGCATCCTCCTGTTGAGGCCCCTCATCTCCCACCGCCGCACCATCTTCCTCCGCGACGGCGACGGGCCCAGCACGACCTCGTCGTCGTCGTCGACGACGGCGAGCCTCTCGCGCAGGCCCGGCGCCCGCAGGCAGCGCTCCCACAGGCGGTCCACGACGGCCTGGTCGTCCCAGATGATGCGGTCGCTGTTGCGGTACTCGGGCTCCAGCACCTCCCAGCCGCCGCCGACGTTGACGAGCGCCGGCTGCCAGCTTTCCCCGGCGCGGATCTTGCCCTCGTAGTCGGCCGCCACGCTCGACTCGGCGAGCCGCAGCAGCGCCGCGCACTCGGACGGGCTGGCGACGTTGTCGAGCACGCAGGCGAACATGCCCTCGCGCTCGGGCAGCGGGGTCGCCGCCCAGTCGACGTGCGAGATGGTGATGGGCCCGGCGGCGTCTGGCGGCGCGGCGACGAGGAAGTCGGGCGGCACGGCGACGTCTTTGGACTTGTAGTCTACTCTGATGGGCTTGCCTGGCACTGGGAGGACGTCGCCTGGCGACGGTGATGCGTCGAGCTTGTGCTCGGGGTCGGCGTCTGAGAGATCGATCATGGTTGCAGGTGTTGGTAGGTGAGACACGTAAGTCGCGAGGGCACGAATACGTGGCGGTTGAAGAACAGAGCGATTGGTTTTGAGGGAAGGAAGGCACGACTCTTCTGTTTTTTAAATTGAAATCTCTATGCTTCTAGAAAATGGGAATGGAAGGGGAGGCTGTAGAAATAAGAGAAGGAGTCATGACTGGAAGAGGACAGACAGCCTGACGGAGAGATCGGGGTTCTGCCCTGTAAGCCTCGAGGGGCTGATGCCTAAATGCCTTGCCGGGCGAGGTAAACTGGAGCTTGGCAGCGACAAGAGTGACAAGAAGAAAACTCAGAATGGGACATATCAACAGAAAGTGAAGTAGAAATGCGCCATGTCATTGCATCATTGCAATGGCGCTCAGGTTGACAGATGCCGGGCGGGAGAGGCTCACCGGGACCCATGGGCAAAGGCACAGCAGAGGAGACGCGCTGAAGGGGTGTTGCGGATCCGGGGCGTCCAAACACAGGTTGACATGGGTGGCAAAGCAAAGCAAAGCAAAGCATTCGATCCTCTGATACATTAGGTAGGTACAGAGAAGTCGGCTGTCCTCATGTCAGAATCATGCTTCAAGGTCCAGGCAGCATAATAGGTTGTCCAGGCGATTTTGAGAGGTAACGGTTTGTTCGCCCGCCTGGTGCCTTGGTGATCTGCCTCCACTGTGACCTCCAACCGGGCGGTCGGTGAACGTAGCCCTAGCTGGAGCGCTTACTACTAGCTACAGTGCCTACGGTAGTGAGTGGGGCACCAGTGGAATGCGCTAACCAGCCCTGTAGGATTTCGGGGTTGCCTGTTGCCCCGCTGTGAGCGCTTGGCTCCCGGCGGCCAAGCTTCGAGACAATCGGGTATTACTTGCACAGGCCGGTCCATTGAGCTTTCATGCAAAGTTTCGTCTTGTTGAAACTGGCCAGATCTGAGGGAGCTTAAGGCCATTCTTGTGAGCGCTCTATCATGTCAAGATCAATCCTGCTCTTGCAGCAGTAAAGCAATAAAGACTGTAGCAGGAGATCGGCGGAACCCTGAAGGCCGTCTTGTGTCCGAGCTGCTGGCTGCTGGCTCCCAGTGGTCTTGTCTTAAGTGCCTCCACACAAAAGACATATCTCCAGTTTGGGTTTCCTTTGCTTTATAATTTCAAGTGTGTGCATTCTCAAATTTGCAATATGATTTACCCTCAGCATGCAAGGTAGACCCTCTTGCATCGAGCCGGTCTCTACATCTTAGACCAACAACTCTGTGCCTCTTCCCTATCGTATGATATCGTGTGAACAAACCATGGAGATAGATACCGGGCAGGCAAGTCAGGCAAGCATACATAACAGCCAAGTGGAGATCTACGACCGGCACGTCGATGAACTTTTTAAGCAAGGCATATTTCCTGATATTGAAGAGTTCCTCGGAGGAAGTATTATCCAGTGTTGTCGGATGTCAAAATATACCAGTGCAGATGATACTCTACGAGCTCTAGATTCGGAGATGATGAAGACCAACGAGTGCTGATGCTGTGGTATTGAAAACGAGAAATAACGAGTGCTCTTGAATGCCTGCCTTGTGCCCATTCTCTTGTCACCATTAAAAAGTCTGATTTGAAAAGGAATGACAGGAGCTTGAAACGAGTGAGTCATCCTCATATGCGTCACGTTCGCTCCAGCACGAGCGCAAGGCCCGTGCTAACGAGATCCAAAATTCGTTCCCCTTGAGCCTGAGCAATCCTCCTCGCAAACAATGAGCGCTTGAAAAGCCAATCTCAGGTTTGCGATGTGGTCCATTAAACGTACAGAATAGCTTATGAATTCCTGAAATTGGCCTTACCGAATTTTCCTTTCACTCTCTTCGAACCCAAGGTGGTCTTCTTGACATCACCCCACCATAACTCAGCCAACTCGCGACCCTTCCCCGCCTCGATTTTCTTTCCATATCAACAAGTGAGTCAGCCTCGGACGACAGGACGAACCATGGCTCCGTCAACAACTCTCAAGGGTGATCAATTTGATTGCGCTCAGTTTGAGGCGCTCGTCAAGCGCAGGTTCTTCTTCTCGGAGTCTTTCGAGATCTACCGTACCGCACCAAACTTCCAGGGCGATAACCGCGGCCTCTACGATTATGGCCCTCCCGGCTGCGCGTTGCAGACGAACATTGTCGATGTTTGGAGAAAGCACTTCGTCCTAGAAGAGAATATGCTGGAAGTGGACTGCACCGTCATCACGCCGGAGACTGTTCTCAAGACAAGTGGCCATGTGGACAAGTTCGCGGATTGGATGTGCAAAGATCTTGCCAAGGGAGAGTACCTTCGAGCGGATCATTTGGTCGAAAACGTGCTGCAATCTCGTCTCGCCTCAGGCGCCAAGGGCACGACAAAGAAGGACCCAAAGCTTGATGAGGCAACCATCAAGCTATACAATGAAATCCTAGCCCAGGTCATTCAACCTGACCACAAGTCCCCAAGCGCTAGACTAATGCTCTCATCCCTGACAGATCGACAACTATGATGGCCCAGAACTAGGGCAATTAATCAAAGAACACGATATTCGAAATCCAGATGGCAACGGCGAAGTGCAACCTCCGATCCCATTCAATCTTATGTTCAGATCCACAGTCGGCCCCAGCGCGGCAGCTCCTGTCTATCTGCGACCTGAGACCGCTCAGGGACAGTTTCTCAACTTCCGGAAGCTTCTCGAATTCAACCAGGGAGCAATGCCCTTCGCTTCTGCAAGCATCGGTAAATCTTACCGCAACGAAATCTCGCCGAGATCCGGTCTCCTTCGAGTCCGAGAATTCCTTATGGCTGAGATAGAATATTACGTTGATCCCGATGCGAAGGAACATGAACGCTTCCATGAAGTCACTAGTCTTGAGTTGCCTCTCCTCGCCAAACAGACGCAGCTTGATGGGAAAACCACACTTCGAAAGATGTCTATTGAGGATGCAGTCAAGTCTAAAACCATTGACAACGAGACGCTTGGCTATTTCCTTGGCAGGATCATGCTCTTTCTTTTGAAGGTTGGTGTTGATCCTTCCAAGCTCCGCTTCAGACAACATCTGGACAATGAGATGGCACATTACGCCTGTGATTGCTGGGATGCTGAGCTTTTCACGAGCCATGGATGGATTGAGTGTGTTGGATGTGCTGATCGAAGCGCATACGACCTCACAGTGCATTCGAATTTCACAGGCTACCCACTAACCGTCAGGGAATTGCTTCAAACAGGTCCAATCAGGGTGGAAGTATGGCAAGCGTTGTTGGACAAGAAGCTCGTCGGACCAAGGTTCAAGCGAGATGCCAAGGTGGTGCAGGATAGTGTTGAGGCCTTGGCACAGCCTGTTCTTGAAAAGCTCGCCGCAGATCTGGAAATCAATGGCATCATAACTCTTGATACCATCAAGCCCCTGGCAGATGGCCGATCGGCCGTGGAGCTTTCGAAGGACCTCCTCACAATTAAGAAGGTCGCTCATCTTCAGACTACTCGACAATACACCCCGAACGTCATCGAGCCGTCGTTTGGCATTGGCCGTATCCTCTACTCTGTACTGGAGCACACATACTGGCATCGACCCCAGGATGCTGCAAGGGCTGTAAGTAAAACACCTCGTTATGTCCCCCTCCCTGCAAGTCGTTAAGCTAAAAAAAAAAAAAACCAAACGCCAGGTGCTGTCGTTGCCACTGGCCGTGGCGCCAACCAAGGTCCTGATTGTACCTCTCTCTGCCCAACCTCAGTTCGTACCAATCACGCGCCGATTGTCTTCTAGACTCAGAGCATTGGGTATCTCGAACAACATCGACTCATCCAGCGCCTCAATCGGCAAACGGTATGCTAGGAACGATGAACTCGGCACTCCGCTGGGTATCACAGTGGACTTTGACACAGTCGTGAATGGGTCCATCACACTCCGGGATCGGGACAGCACGGCCCAGCTCCGTGGCTCCGAAGATGATGTTTTGAAGGCAGTCAAGAGTCTGGTTGGCGGCAACGAGTCCTGGGAAGAGATTGCTCAATACCTGAAACCTTTCTCCACCCTAGAGCAAGATGAGAGTTGAAGACAAAGCATATCTTTGTTTTCCATGCGTATTTCCAGCCAGTCTTGGGTTGAGTGTTGCCCACTCCAACATTAGATTTTAGTGTGTTGAGCATACAGGCAGCGGCAGCGTCACGCTTCAGGAAGACAAGATCATTAGACTTGCTGTGTTGGTTCTATCCCTTTCCATTCCATCTCCACTCTCGAGTGCCACTCTATGCCCGCAAGCACAGCTCGGCTTTTCGCCACAAGACGGATTTGTTGGCGGGTTATCGAGCCAATCGTCCTATATTTCCAAACTGGACATTCAATAACGGACTACTGGAACACTGGGTCCATGTTATTATACAATAACTGCCCTACCTCTCGGTCCAAATCCAACAGGTTACCCAATCAAAGATTATTTCTTGGTCAAGACCTCTCCCCTCGGCCCAACTCGAAGGCTCAGCCTCGGTTTCTTGAAGATGTTGGCCGTTTTTCAGCACCAAAACCGGGGTTCAACTGAACTTACGGATCCTATTTCCTGCCACAGGCGTAAAAAGAAAACTGGCCATTGAGGCCGCAGCCGGAGCAAAGTATCCGGAGATATGGGTGGTCGGCCCATATGAACAGACAAGTCTGGACCCGACAGTCTGGGACAGCGCCAGGCAGAACGGCGATTCGCTGGGTCGCAAGAAGGGATTGATCCAATGAACCTGAACGCCGCGCTGCAACTACGCTCCTCTGTTTAAAGCTGCTTATCGGAAAGACTGTTAGTGGTCGGCCTCCCGCATGAAGCCATCCTGCATGCCTATGATGTGGACGACGTGTCGCTGTCTGGTTGGAAGCTCACTTCATTATTCATGATAATGGCTTAAGTCCAGCCACTTAGCGGCTATTACTCGCCGATTGTGTCCGTACCAACGGGCACGATTTAAGTGGTGCCTTCGTTCTGCCCATTGCCCCCTATGAACACATTCCAACTTCCTCGCAACATAGTTTGAATTTGCAGAGTCGCTCCATTCAACTTGCTCTATTCACAATGGGCTTCGATTGCGGGTTCGATATTTTTCCACGACTCGAGCTAAATGTTGCGGATAAACAGGCGTACGAGGAGTTCCTTCGGGAAGTCATTGACACCTATGGGGGTGTCCACGACAAGGAAGGGCGACGTGCGGATGGCAAAGTCCTGGTTTTGCCTAGTGACACCGACGCACCTAACAAGGTGAACATCTGGTTCATGGTCGGAGAATGCCCGCATTTGCCCAGCACTCCTAATCGATGCAACTACTTCCTCCGTTTCAGCTCAAAGGTCAGCGGACGACTTACTACTCCAGCCGCCAAATATATCAACGGCGTTCATGAGATCGCGAGGAAACACTTTGGCGATAGGGTTCACTACTGGCACGAGATGAATGAGACCGGCGATGAACGGCAGTGGGGCTATTATGACTGGCTGGAGGTGCAAAAAGCGGACAAGGAGCTCGAAGCACTAGGTCCATATACGAAGCACGAAGATGAGCAAGGATCTCAGCGCAAAGGAGACGACGGTTAGGCTGGTTCACTGGCGTTTGAGCCAAAGAGACTGGGTTCGGCGATGTTGTCTCTAAAGACTTGGATGAAATCCGTGTCCAGCCCATTTAGTCAGGTTGTCAGCGCGAACACTATGAGTGGAGCATAGAGCATGATGCAGGAAACCACCTACAGAATTACACTCCTTGACAGTTTCATTCAATGCAGATCGCGTGTTACCCGCTTTTGCAGATGTTCAACGGCGGCCGAAACCATTTCCATGCGTTCGAAATATCCTCATTTGTCCTGTCGGGCTGTGCATACGCGTTCAGACTGGAAGACCCTGACCCGCAGGTGTCAATCCTCAGGTGCGTTCATAGAATGAAGCCAGCTTCTTCCATCGCCATCCTACTCTGTCCGTACGACACTGTGATATTTCTATCGCTTCTACGCCTTGACCGTAATAGGCCGCATGGATTGGCAGCAGTGCTAAGGAGGCGAAAGCAGCTTCTCATGTCTACTGATCTGATGTAAGTAGCTTTCTCCACTGTAAACTTGTCTGGGAATATCCTTACCGCGGAACCCGATCTTGCGGAACTGCTCCGGCATGCCTCCAGCAAACTTGTGCTGTTAGTCAGAAGCAAGGTGTACTGCCACAACACTCACCACAGCACTTAGTCATGTGATGATCACATCCTGACAGAGGATCTCTATTTCCCTTCTCTCCTTCGCACCAAGTCGAGTAATTACATTGGCAAAGCCAATTGAACTCCCTCCAGTCCCATCCCATTTTTGCACTTGCAAAAAGGGCCCATGGCTTCTAGTATGTTCTTCTTACTCCGCCATGTCATGATCTTTAAACATTGGTCGCACTAACCTTCTCCCAAAATCACACTGCTTACTCCTGGCCGCCGGCCGATTGTCGTTTCCGGACCCTCAGGCGTCGGAAAAGGTACACTATGCCAGAGGCTTCTAGATGCACATCCGGCAACTCTTGTAACCACCGTCTCCCACACAACTCGACAACCGCGATGCGGCGAGGTTGATGGCTCATCTTACTACTATGTCTCACGAGACAAGTTTGAGGCGCTGATTTCTGAGAATTCCTTCATAGAGTATGCGGAATTCAAATGGCAACCTGTATGGCACCAGCAAACAAACAGTCATCAGTCAGATGGCAAAGGGTTTGGTTGTCTTGCTTGATATCGAGATGGAAGGAGTCAAACAATTGAAAGCAGAGCAACTAAGGCCCGACTCTCAGATCAATCCTCGATTTGTTTTTATCAAGCCGCCGAGTTTTGCGGTGCTCGAGGCACGCCTCAGGGGCCGGGGCACAGAGGATGAGGGCAGTATTCAGAGGAGGCTGGCCCAAAGTAGAGCTGAGCTTGACTACGCTGAGACAGGAGTGCATGACAAGATCATTGTTAACGACAATCTTGAGGAGGCTTACAAAGAACTAGAGGATTTTGTCTTCAGTAAGGAGTAGAACAGGGGTAGCAGGATGCCGCATGTCACAGTGAGACTGGCGCTGGGGGCTCACCTGCTTATCTCATGATGGCCACGTTGGCCGGAAAGACCCGAGATATGGTCAGAGGGCTGCTGGCTGCCTACGCTAGAACATCCAAGCCTTGCACCAACACAACTGCATATGAGCCCAGTGATTGTCGCTACACAGTAAAGATCTACTGATGGCGCTCACGTGGGTGGGTGTCTCATTCAGGCAGCAATGGGCCAACCAAAATTTGACAAGGCCATCTCGAGAAAGTAGTGATTTCGCGCCAGCAATGGTTGGCAATGGCACTCCGAATACCTTTGACGACTGCTCTGGTGCCGTAAGCGTTACCTGATCGTCACATTGACCGAGAGATCCGTATATCGTGGTGCTCAGTTAGGTATTTCTATCGTAAATACCTGCAGTTGCAACATCTTCCCGCTGTTTCCCAGCTTGAGAAGACAGCGGACTGTTGCCAGGCGCAACCCGCCGCCTATCGTCACGCGCATGTGATTCAGCCATCTGTCCTCGAACGGAGTATGTCTAAAGGGATAGGGATAAATTATGCCGCACAATCTAATTCATCAATCATATGTAATACAGAATCCATAACACATTCACATAGAGTCCTGACAATAAGGATGAATCTAGTCTCATCTTAAAGCAATATCTCGCGTCCAAAACTTCCAGCCTTCCCTGTCTTCTTGCACCCCTACTCCAACCAGCTGGTCGATACCTTGAGCGCCATCGGCGTTTTCGAACCTCTCCTGATCAATTTCTTCCCCTTCTCCAGTGGTGTCATTTCGGAACATGGCAGGCCAGAGAACCCCAACGCCGTCGGCACCTAGCATAGCCTCGTGTTTTTCAAATCCTTCGGCATTGAACTTGCGCTCCAGCTCATTGATAGTCTCGTCTTCAATGTCCCGTCGGAAGAGTGTGATGGCACAACCACCACCTCCAGCACCGGTAAGTTTTGTCCAGCCAATATTCGTATAGTCGACGAGCTCGCGAACACGTTCTAGACGGGGGTGAGAGACTCCCAAGGAAACCAAAAGACCATGGTTGATACTGATCAAGGTTCCCAAGTGTTGCACAGCGTCAGAGGCGCCACTACCTTGGAACTCGGCTGACGAAACTAGCTCCAATGCAGAGGCTGTAAGTTTGCCAATTGCGTCCAAGATGGTCTGCGTTAATTCAGGATGATTGGCCTTGAGTATTTTCACCTTTTCAACCTGTGTAGCGGTGGATCGTGATTGTCGAGTATCAACGAGAAGGAGTGGTAGTTTCGGGAAGTTGGCGAGACTCGTCACGGACGGTGGGCCCGATGCGTTTCTCTGGAATATCACGGCCTTTCCACCAGCCGAAACTGTATTATCAACTCCGCTAGGGTCTCCGTGTATACACAGCTCGCCAACGAATGCCCAGCGATTGATGCGCTCGATCTGGACCTCTGCCTCCCCGGGCGGCTGATCAGGGTGCGGTCCAGCAAGGGCGTGTGTCTGAAGGAGTAGTGCAGCACTCAAGCAGACACAAACGCTGGCACTGCTTCCTAAACCTGCCCCAATGGGAATCGTAGATCGGAGAGTGTAGATAAATCCGGGACTCGTCGAGGAGCTGAGGGAGAGGAAGAGGTAGAGGAAGGCAGTCGTGGATTTTATGTGGGTTTTTCGTTCCTTGTCGGGAAGATGCTTCGACACGGCCTCGGCATGTGGAATGATGGCCTCGAGACAATCAGGATCGAGGGAGTCGACAACTGAAGTATAGGAATGCTTTCGGGAAGGTCGGTGGAAGGTACTCCAAGGTAGATTGGCGATCTCCCAAGTATGATTCAAGCCAATGTCCCGAAAGTTCAGTTGGACAGTACGTCGAGATTTGGAGAGGGTAGTGACTAGAAGATAGGATCGGAGAGAGATAGCAGCGGCAAGGGCGGGTTGACCATATACAGCCGCATGCTCACCGAATACGATGGCTTTTCCCGGGGCAGATACCATGAATGGAGGAGCCATTGGCGTTGAATGCTTTCTCCCAATGAAACCCGAATTGAACGGCATTTTGCCACATATCGGACAGTTTGGTAGGTAGGTAACTGCTGACATTCGTTGGTCAATGACATTTATCGATTAGGGGAGGTCTGTTGCATGGAAGTTGAATATCACGTGATATAAACCCTTCAGCCACCGCCACGTCGGGCGCGACTGAGTCGAGCCAGGCCGGTGGTGAACATTCGTCCGAACCCCCGCAAATGTCCGCAAATGTCCGCAAATGTGGAGCGAGACAGATCCGGTTCCGAGCGTGTCACGGGCAAGACGGTGTGCACACGGGCAACAACAACAAAAACGGAGCAGACGGTTGTATTGTGCATGTAGCTAAGATGGTGTTGCACCGTGGTGCTTGACTAGCTAAAATACTTAGCCCACATGGGGCGCACTTCCCGGGCCCACGAGCACTGAGGCTAATAAGGCAGGGTGTGATTGAGGAGTCGCATGGATGCAATATCATTAGGCAGGTCGTTACCCACTTTCCAATCGAACCTTAACCTTACCTTTGAGATTCGATCCACTTCAATGAGAGACGGCTCGATCTAGACCGTGCCGTCGTCATTACCGTGTAATGCGGGACCCACTAAACATCACCGGCCGGAGCTTCAAAGACCGCCCCCAATCCGTCTGGCAACCGGAGACCAGCTCCAGGCTCTCAATGGCTTCTTCGCTCCATCGAAGCCTTTTCCAGAAGTGACTCCTCCATGGCGGTAGCATTAAAGCTCCCACTCACCCAGTGCACCAAAGCGTCTGGAGTCTGACGGGGACAACGGGTCCCTGCGGTTCGGGAGGTGCGATTTGTCCGTCCTCCTCGGATTCGTCAGTCTCGATAATCTCCTCAACCTGGGGCAGAGCTAGAGGTGCGTGAAGACGCTGCCGGATTGGCCGCGGAGGGAATCCGTTGAACGGGTAAATCCGTCCATCATGGTCGTAGAGAACACCGTTTCTGAAATCGAGCGGTCCGAACAGGAACGTGCAGTGTTTCTCCTCTGTATAGTTGCGGACACGCTAGTTGATGTTGCCAAACGTGAGGCATCTCAGAATGACCACATCCATGGCGTAGAGGGGGTATTAGCGTCTGAACTGGACAGCGTAGATGGATCGGCTATAAACGCCAGTCGGCAACTCGGCGTCGAACATCCTCTAGATTGATTTCATTGACCAGAAACTGCTTCCACTCCAATGTAGCGTCCTGCAGGATGAGTTGAATAGCAATGTCTTTGACGAATTTGACCTCTGTGTCAGTGAGGGCTCGACGCTCGGTTTGTTGTCATGCCGATGAAACGGATCGGGATCCGAACTTGGTGACCTGCGACAAGTCCCAGGAGCTAAGCATCCCAGACTAGACTAGCTGAGGCAACATGGATAACGACGTCAATGGGTTTGCGGCGCTGCCGTCAAGATATAAATCCACTATCACCGCTCTGGCGGATATAAATCTGTGGAGTCCTTGCTGTTTACCAGATCCTGACTGACAAAGACGTTCGAGCACGGCGAGCCTTTTGGTCCCGAACGAATATAGGGATATGATTCGAAGTACGAAGCGGGATCTCGAAGATCTCCTTAAGGAGGTTAATGTTAGACTCCAGTCTCACACCGCCAAGCAAAAACCGTCCTGTCCTCAAGAGGGGACCCATCACGCGATGACAGGATCAAATTACGGGCTTGGGGCTCTACACTCTCATCGCGAAGCACGCCATCCACGTGTCCGAGACGCTCGACCTTGCCATTGCTTCCCAAGTCCCCACTGTCTGCAGCCTCTTCCATTAAACAAGCTCGTCCTCCTTTCGCAACCTCTACGCATACCCAGACCTCAGACCGCCAGAGGCACCTCGTACCGGAGCCGAGATACGGCAGCTGATCGAAGCAGATCCCAACCTGCCTGTAGGCTGTCGGAGGTGGAGAGAGGTTGGAGCTTGCGGGCGGGATATCCCCGCTCACCACAGCTTGGTCTGGGCGGCTCATTCATCATCTCCGCCAGCCCATTCCATATACCTATCGGAATTCTCGAATCGGAGCTCAAAACCTTCTCTAGCAAGCCGCTTCTTCATCACCAATCCAACCGCTCCCTCTTCGTCCTTGTTCAGCTTGGCTTTGGCCCAATCGCGCTCCGTCTCGTTCCAGCCTCGCAGTCGAGCCAGACCAAAGTCAATCATAAACACCCGGTAACAGCCGCTCCTGTCACGCTGGACGATAAAGCTGTCGGGTCTAACATCTCTGTTAAGGACGCCGTGGTCGCCGACCACCTGGACGATGGCGACGGCTTGATCGACGATGCCTTGCCATTCAGATTTTGGTGCATGATCTTGCACCTTGGATAGGGAGAAACCGTCGATGTACTGAAGCAAGATCCCTTTGATATGGAGCAGTTCTACGGCGTCGGCGAGACCGATGCCGGCGTCTGGGAGCGAGAGGGGGAGATGGACGCGTGCTACGAGGCGGGGAACTAGCTTTCCCTGGATGTCACGAAGGGTATCGTACACGGTAGCCTCGGTGTTGAAGAGTTCGTGAACTTGGCCAGTCAGAAACGCTTCGATCTGGCCGTCGTCCCAACTCTCTCCCGTGTCCTCTTCAAAATCGGGGATGGTGTGAAGATTGTGAAGAAATTGGCGCGCTGCACCTGTCCGGACGGCATTGATGTACTCTTCTTCCGCATCCCTCTTCCACGGGTCAATTCCATGGTCGCTCCGAAGTTGCTCCGAAAAGCGCCTGTCATAGAGCTTTAGAAACACTGGATTGTCGGGACAGCCTTCGCCCAGAAGGTCCACGATCATACAGCAGGAGAGCGTACGGGGAATCTGGAGGTGCCGGATTCGTGCACGGGCCGTCGAGTCTGAGCTTTTTTCGCCCTGCTCGGGAATGACGCTCAAGGTCAAAACCTGACCGACTTGATAATCCTCAAAAGGAGAACAGGAAGCCATGTCTGTTGCGGTTGCGGGGTGAAGGAGGCGTGCGAGTGAACGAGAGACTGTGGGGGCGGTGGACAGGCAATGGCAGGAACAGCCAGAAATAGCACCATTTCCCCGCGCCAAAACCTTCTCTCAAATTCAGCATGGTCCAAACGGCCTTGTTCTGAACCTCACTGTTTCGCTGCCTCGTCTCGTCTTGTTTCGCTTCTCGACACTCTCTTCGCCTCGCTGTCGATGCCAACGCCCGACTCCTCTTGTCTGCTCGAGTCCTCTCTAAACGGCGACATCGTCCATTACCCATACTATGGCCGTTGTTCCTCGCCAAGTTGTCACGGATCTGACTGTATGCATCTTCTCTCCAACAGTGACTGCCTCCACCTGCGAACTGGACCCGCAAATATGGCACCGCATAGAGAAAGACCTCTACCTATATACATCTCAGCAGAGTGCATGGCTGTACGTAGCGCTAGCGAATGAGGAAGAGCTTGCAGAGGAGGACTTCCTGGTCATGGATATCAGAGTCGGCGAGCCACCTCCCAACCCTGGCTCAGGTCCCTCATGGGAGAGTCGACCTGGCGGAATCTGGGTGCTAAGGAGCAAGTTCTCTGGCACGATTGATCAGGCTGTGACAGAGGTGGACGTTCTCTTTGGTGTTGATGCCGTCGACCCCCGACCACAATGGGCTCTCATGCCATCGCCGCTCCAACTTAACGGTCAGCCTAAGGTACCGGTTGCAAGACTTAGCGTACTTTACGGCAGGGCGAAGCCGAGACCAGATGCTGGGGCGGCTTTAAGAGTCAGGGAGGATGGCAAATTCAAGATTGTTCAGATCTCTGACACGCATATGGTCACTTGTGTCGGGATATGCAAAGATGCTATTGATGCCCATGGGAGATATCTCCCAGAGAGCGAGGCTGATCCACTTACGGTTGACTTCATTGGAAGGATCTTGGATGTCGAGAAACCAGACCTTGTGATTCTCGCTGGAGACCAGTTGCACCACGACATCCCCGACAGCAAATCCGCCCTGTTTAAGGTGGTTACTCCTATCATCGAGCGTTCAATCCCATTCGCAGCCGTCTTTGGAAATCATGATAGTGAAGGCATACACACATTATCACGTGAGTAACTTCTTTTAACAAAAGAGTGCGAGTGTATTGTTGATCGCTAGTTCTTGGCACTGGCTACTCAAACCGTATAGACTACTTTGTTCCTCAAGATAATGTGCGGCCCTAATAAGATGGATCTTGGGAATGATAGCTGTTCATACTGACTAGAGTACAGGCACAGCACAGATGTCAATACTCCAGAATCTCCCTTTTAGCCTCTGCGAGCCAGGCCCAGAGCATGTTGATGGCATAGGCAACTTCTACCTTCAGGTCCTGGCTCCCGCGCCATCACAACTCCCGTTATCAACTTTATATTTCCTAGATTCTCATGGTCAAATACCGAGCAAGATACGCCAGCCCGATTATGACCCTATAAAGCAGAGCCAAATTGACTGGTTCACGGACACTTCCCAAGCGCAACGAAGCGCGCATGAGAAGGACAGTAACGACAACCGCATTCATCTATCCCTAGCTTTCTTACATATCCCTCTTCCCGAGTTCGGTGACCGCCATCTGAGTATACGCAACGGCCACCGGAGGGAACCGTCTGAAAGTCCGAGCTTCAATTCTCATCTCTACGACGCTTTGGTCAAAGCAGGCGTGTCAGCATTAGGCTGTGGGCACGATCATGTGAATGACTTTTGCGCGCTTCTGCCACAGCAAAAGCAGCAGAATGGAGACAAAGCTCAGCCTCGCCTTTGGCTATGCTATGGGGGTGGCAGCGGGTTCGGGGGATATTGTTCGTATGGCGGAATCCGATTTCACCGTCGAACGCGGGTTTGGGAACTCGATACGAGTACCGGGAGCTTGAAGACTTGGAAGCGGGTCGAATTTGCCACGGACAGAGTTGATGCGCTGGTGCTAGTGGAACGTGGAGAGGTGGTTGATCCTCCGGGGCGATGAACACAGAAGTTATGTTGTGAGTGAACCTGCTGAGGATCAGTCATTATTGAATCAATTCCTTGCGGCTCGGTGTACAAATTTCAGACTTCTTTCGATATCGTCTCAAAGAAGCAAGCCTTGAATCCCATCAAGCTACTCGTCAATGTCATCCGTCCCTATTAGCTCTTCAATTTCTCCCCGTAGTGTGTTGGCGTCCTCCTTCCGGCCCCAAACTCGAAGCCAGCCGTCCAGAACATTCATGAATTCAGGTACCCAAGAATGTTGTTAAACTCTACCAGGATGCCCGCAAAAGCACTCAAGAATGGCCGTCCTCTCTCAAAACGTACTTCTTCGATACAGAACGCTATGTCAAGAAAGGTCGGAGTTATCTAAGCGATATTGCCATCAACAAAGGCAAGGGCAAGAAATGAAGTCATATAGTATTTCCATATAGTCTCTCAAATTTATTTGCCAAACACATGACGTAGATGGCTTTCACGTGGAGTGAACCACCATATCAACTTCCCCTCCCACGGAAGACGTGACCCGACACTTGTCAAATCTACATCTGCAAAGTATGGAAACCCCCTGTCCGTTCTGGCGAGTTTGATATGTAGTTGAAGATGCTGTGCCACAAGTTTGGGTTCAAGTATCCAGTCGGGACGATACTGCCCTACAACCACCTGTCGACCGTCCTTATAGGAAACTGACATGCCGATAATAGGATGATGTGGAAGGTGCCTCTTAACACAGCATGAGACTCCTGCTACATCTTCCAACGAACATTCCGAATAGAACCAGCTCTCCATTCTTAGCGACGGAGGTGGCGGCGAAGTTGGCCGAAGGGATTGTATAAGGTCGTGATGTGACGTGGTTGACCGACTTCCCGGATTTTCCCCATCATTGTGGCAGGGACCGATGATTTGGGTATCAGTGCTCTCGTGTCCGACATCCCACGTACTGAAATAGTCTGGCGATAGACCGTCTTTATTGATACGAAGGGGCTGGATTTGAGAGATTCTTTCGGGTATATACGGCCCCAGAAATGCTGGGCGTTGTCTGTCTGTCAAGCACTGTTGTTTATTAGCATTTGATACACATACACCACTAGAATAACACCTACTATCAAAGCTCCCTTATGCCTGGATCGTACTACTAAGAGTTCTTGGAGGGATTCTGTTGGTTCTAGAGGCATGTATATCCAAACTGTATTCACAGGCAGGAACGATACATCGGATTGAAATTTTGCTTCAAGACCAGGATGGGCAGCATAGAGTCCTGCGATATGGCCTCCATAGAATGCTACTAAGTAGCCAGTGGTACCTCGCTTGTTGCATTCTAGCAGGTTCATCCGGTAGTGTTGAGAAGCCCTGGTAATAGCACCGGTGTCAAGGTTGATGACGTTGAATGGCAGGCCGAGAATAGGTAGCGTCTGAACTGAGAATAGACGAGGGCATTGGGATGGTGGTTCTATAGATCGTACTTTTAGACCCTGCATAACGAGAACTGGCCGGGTTCAACAGGGCTCAATACATCTTTTGCGTTTGACCAGGCTTCCATCCGATATAGGAAAACAGTCCCTCTAGAGTGTGATATGCGTGCGGACAAGGCGGCACGCCCGCATGGATTCTCCGCACCAACCACCCTTAGGCGAACCACCTCGAGAAAGGAAAACGAAGCGGTGATGCAGTTGGTGCTCCAGACTTGAGCGGGGCAAGTTAGACAAGAGTTGCGCGCCAATCGCCGACGCTTGTCCCGCATTGCATCCGCCCCAGAGCGACCTGCAGCTGGGTCGACAAATCTGTGCTCTTCGCCGACATGCCCACGGGGCCAGCTTTGGGCGTCCACCGTCCTCATCTTGGTCCTTCGGCGTCATCGCTGATGCCGGAACAAGGATGACAAAGGCCGGTTCAGTGTCGTGCTTCGCCTCGGCTAACTCGAAACACTGCGAGGCGCAATTCCAGCGATCATTCAATCATTCTTGCCCTACGTCTTTGCCCCCCTCCTCTTCTTGGTCAATTGGGGCTCGGTGAATGAGGTGCCTGGAGTCGCCGCTTGTGCTTGGCGGGCGTTGCTCGACTGGTTATCCCGGTCAATAGGCAGAGAAGCCGAAGGAACATCAGACTGCATCAAGCTCTCCAGATCCTGTGATAGCCCGGTTTCTGGGGGCAAGGGGAAGTCAAAGTTCGACTCGGACGGCAACTGGTCGATAGCTGAGCAGATCCTCTTAAAGTGCGCGGGCATCCATGTGTCGTAGACATTCTTGGTAAAGCGATATGCCGTCCACTTCTCCTTGCCGTCCAGCTCTGTAAAGTCGAAGGTACGGATAGGTTGGCGGTAGTACTTGATATCCTTCCCATCCAGCACCGGGTAATGGCCGTAGATCCGTACCGACCTATCGTCGTGTGAAATAGAGAACGCAAGGATTTGCCTGTGGACCTCGCCCTCGCGATTCACAGCACGAAAAAGCTCAGCAGTGGCCCGCACTGCAAGGGTCATGCTGTGGGCGTTTTGGCGGTCCGCCGTATCGAGCGCCGCAGCGCCACACTTCACCTCGCACGTCAGGAACGGGAAGTACATGTAGTATGTGGCCATGAAGAGGGACTGGTCTCCAGTGATAAAGTCGCCAATGAAGGGTGACAGCTTAGTGAGTTGCTCCTCGGTGAATGCCTCTCGCCTGAAGCCAACGGAGTAGTCGGGCTGAGGCCGAGTGCTGGTGAAGGGGATCGAGTTGTTCCACCCTTCATTGACACTCTCTGTCAGGATGTCAAGATGTTTTGCACCGAATGTAGCAAGACTTTCGGCCGAAGGAACAATGAGCCGAGTGACATCTTGAATGACTCGTGCCTCATTCTTGTCGTATATCTTCTCGCACGTAGCCTCAAAGATGTCGTCGCGGAAGAGGGTGTCGCCAGGAACTGGCTGCATCTTCCCTAGAAGGGACCGGCATACAGCTTGGCTGGCATCGGCCAAGTCCAAGGGAGACTTGGTCATATAGCTGCCTTTGATCTCGAGCAAGGTCTTATAGCGCGGGTCTCGATATGGAGCGCTCTTCTCCTCCCGCGGCTTCTGGTCGCTGGGTGTCATGGATGAGGCAGAGTTCGACCGCTTGCGGGAAAGATAGGACGAGGATTTCCTCCGCGCGAGTAGACGCTCCATGGTGGGAACCTTCTCTGAAGGCTCTTCTGGCCAACACTGTTCCTCTGGCCAGCGCCCTTCCGTTACCCAGACTCTGATCGGGTCAGTCGCGCTTTCGGAGGTGCCGACTGTCGGTGGTTCGTTACAGGTGCGCACGGCAGGACGTGCATGGGATGTTCGTTGTCGCTTCTGGGCTGGGCCGATGCTAGGCTCGGGAACGGTGTCGACAGGTTGCTTGCGCTTACGACCTCTACTTTGCACAAGCGTGGTGTTATCCTGTACACAGCTCAGTTAGTGGCCCATTGCAATGCAAAGATAGAGCACCGTACTTGTTGAGACAGCGTCTCGTTGATGGTCGACGGACGGGGGCGATTGCGTGCGGCGCGTTTGGTTGCGGGCTGCTTTGGAAGGCGATCGAGTTTTCGAGGTGCGCTTTTGCGCGACGGGATGCCCTGGGGTCGCCTGCCTATTAACCGTTAGGGAAGATGCTCTTCTGCGCCGCGAATAATGAGTACCTTGATCATTTGGCGCCGGCAACGGGCGCCCCCTTTGGGCCGCTGTCTGGGCTCGAGTGCGGGCCATGGTGATGAGAACGGAGAGGAGATGGGCGACGGCCAAGTTATGGGCGCGGGGAATTGAGGTGTCAAGATGGAGTGTCAAGATGAAGTGTCGTTGGGGAAATGGCTGGCAAGGGGCGCCTTGCCTACGGGACCCACCAGTAGTGTGTGTGTATTTAACGCCTGGGAGATCCGCTAGGACATAAGGCGTAGGACCCACCAGTAGTTGTCGCAGCACCCAGCCAATCATTAGGCGCCTCAGTCACCGCTTCGCCCCGATCCATCGTTTACGCGGCGGCCACGTCGGCACGAGGCACAAAAGATCCGAACACCCATATGCACTTCTTATAATAACCAGAAAACGACTTTAAATTACGCTCTTTTTCCCGGTTGTTTTGCTAGCGCTCTCCCACATAAATCTGCAGCCGCAGGGGCCATTTCCTTAACAGCCTGTTTAGAATCCTCTCGCTAAGCACCAAAAGAACCCTGTACACTAACATTGCAAGGTACATGGCTGTTAGTGCACAACCCAGTATGCCGAAGAAGGCTCTGAGCGCAGCGAAGGGCCTCTGAGGCGGAGACCCTGGAGCCCGAGAGGAACGAGGGCGGAACGGGTCCCATTTTACGAACGCGAGCCCTGCGAGCAGTGAGGGCTACTACAACCCCATTCCCTAAAGCCTGCGTTGCAGGCAGTCCCCTAGTTGTCACTAACGCTCCAGCAGTTTCATCTGGAGATACCTCAATGCCAACCAGAAATATCCTTTTCTCGGCCAGTACGGGCTATTTATCCCACTACCTAAAAGCGAATGGGTTTAACCCCGTCAACTAATCTGACCTTGACTTGCTCAGGCGGCCTCCATCACATCTTCCGACCAGTTCACCAGTAAGTCGCAACAGAGTCCCGCAAAACAAACTCAGGTCGTTGCGTGCTTTGTAGAGTTCATGCTGGTTGGGTGCTGGCTTGTCCCTTTGGGAAGGATCTTGGATGGCTTATTTCAGTCTCCGGGGCGTCCTGAACGGGCGGTTTAGAAGCTTCTCCTCCAGAGCTGGAGGTTCTCCAGACTTTTCAAGATGGAAAATTGTCATTAAACACCCACCACGGGTTGGTTCCCAGGCTGCTACTGCCCAGAGGACCGAGAGCAGGGCGGCGTGAGGCTGGGATTAAAGGAGCCGTATTCACTCAAGGGCGTCTCAACGAGCGCAATTCCAAGTGGAAGCCTAGGAGTTATCGATGCCTGCTCACAAGGAACTCTCTCTTGGACATGGATACGGGACCTACCAAAAGATCAGAATGAATAACTGCAATGCATATAAAACGAAATGGAAATGATGAGCAGCAATCCAAGAGGCATGATTGCCCTGGTTGTTTGTAGGGTGACTGGATGTATCCTGTCGTGTGTTGGATCCGTGTTAGTCGCATTCATCGGTCAGAATGTCCCATCTCTTCACGGATCGACTGACTTCGTACCAGGCAGGTACCTCCACTGCTGCTGCCTTTGTTACTGACCTCAGGGGATAACTTATTATAGGTTAGGTAGTTTGTCCACCAGGCAGCCAGTGACCGAGTGTAGTCACACGTGGACAGTGACAGAAGCGGCGGGGGAGAATCCACTCCAGGGCTTGCTCCTTGGAGGGTTGGACAAAGGACCCCAGGGCTGTCTGTCCTCTTCCCCGAGTTAGGCACCCTTCTTCAGGCATCACTGGATTCCCCAGGTGGCCACACGCGCGCTGCTCAGCATGGTGTGTGTGCTGTGTGTGCTCACGTGCGTGCTGCACCCAGCATTTCCCTCTGCCCCACCTCCAAAACTCGACTCAACCCTCCATCATCCCTCCGGATCGCGCTCAACGCTCCATCATCCCTCCGCGTCGCGCTCATCCATCTCCAGATTTGTGTGCGCACGCCCTCGGTCATGACTGCTTCGCGAGACGCTGGCAGAGGCGACCGAAATCGCCCGGCAGAAGAAGATGGTGGTAGGACCGCCGTCGACAGCGAGATGGTTTCGACGGGGCAGCCACTGCAATCTGTTGCTCCCATCGACACAATCCTCAGACAGCACCCTAACGAGCGACTGTATGTCAAGCCTCTAGAATGGACAGCACGCCACCTTGAGCTCCTGGGCTGTCGCTATCTGCCAGGCCACGGGCGCCCCCGCCCGTGGCGACCCTTTTTCTACTATCAGCTACCGCCCTGTTCTTCGGCAGACCCCCTCCAAGATGATCTTGAAGATGGCATCAGTGGTAAAGGCCACAGGGGACGCCACAAACTGAACAGCTTGGAGCATAGGCGTCGCTTGTCTAAGAGGAAGAAGTTCGGGACGCGGTATGCGATGCGAGCCATCGGGCTCCTTCCTCTGAGCTGGCGAATACATAACACAACTAAACTTCTGGATTGGGGACCACTTCGAATAATTTGCCCCAACGCCAGTTTGGACTTTGATTTCAAGGGTAAGCGCGCCGCCTTGATCCAGCCAGTCAGCATCTTTGGCAGTAGGCGGCCTTTTAGCTTTATGATGAAGCCACCCTATGGATGGGAATCCCCTCATGACCATGTTCAAATACCCAACTATCCGCTCGTCATCTGGCTGGACTACGATGCCTTTGTTGCAAAACCGCGGCAGGCGAGATTCACTGCTCATGACAACGAGCCTGTACAGGCCCTGCGGGAGATCCGGTATCGTCACGTCAACCCTCCCAGCTGGGAGCATGACCCGTACCTTGCTGCAGCCTTGATCGCCCTGGCCCAAAAACAGCGCCGCTGGGAGATGGATTGGGGCCCCAGGCTGGGTCGCCGCCCTGTTGATCCGTCGCACGTATTCACGGTAAGCAAGCCAAGCCCAACCAAAACTGCTCAGAGGGGCGACTGCCCGGGCGTACATGCACCAGGCCTCGCAAAACTAACTGTCCATTGTCTCAGACCAGAATGGTGGTCGCACGCTTTACACCACGGCGTCTGTGGTACGTCTATACGGCCGACATCCCACTCAACTTCCTCAATAAGTTGGACCGACCATCTGTTGCAACAGATGCCCCTACCGCGGTGGATATAATACACGACCAAGTCGAATCCCGACCATATCACTCGTTCCGCGACCGACTCCTCGAGCGGCTGGGCCTGGCCAAGAACGAGATGAAGCAGCAGGGCGTCAAGCGCAAGAGACGGGAGATGGAAGAGGATAGCGCGTCGGACTCGTGTTGGGACTCGGGAGAGTGTGACTCGCCCGAGGCCACGGAGGACGAGGACGAGGAGGATGGGGACCCGAAGAGGGGGGGCCTGAAGAAGGAGAACTCGTCAGAGGACCAGATGGGTGACGAGGTGGGCCATGGATATTGAAGCGCCCATCACCGGGCTCAAACCTTGCTCCTTGCTTCGACACTTGACTTGGTCATACTATCTATTGCCCAGGAAATTGTGTCCGTCGCCCTCGAGGGGACGCCATGGAGGTAGTCCGAGTGCTCGAGACGGGCGACCGTTCACGATGTGCGTCTGATGTATTAGTATTGATGTATTATTATTACCTCTGCCCGCATAGCTCGCATGGCTAGCAAGTATGCTCTTTGACCAAGGCCGCAGGCAGCACAGCAAGTATCAGAGAGATAGAGAGAGAGAAGGGGGAGAATGGGATGGAAGTTTCGGTATTTCACTTTGCTAGTAACTACCTACCTCAACTACACGCACCCACCACCATGGGGAGACAGTCGGTTACCAACGAGAGGTTTAAATCTCGGCGAAGGAGTTCCATCTCAAATACAGAAGTACTTTATCAACAATTCATTTAGAAATTCCGGGCTAAAGATATCGTCTAACTGCCCTTATCGGCATTGCCTGCAAACGCGCGGCAACGGGAGCCCTTGCCTATTACCTATGTGTGGCCGGGCGCCTAGCAAATTGTTGGCCGGAGTGAACGATCCTTCCGAGCGCTCTACAAGGCACCGCTTAGTGGTTCGCGTTGCGGCGAACGCCAACCGGTGCATCCAATTAGCCGGCATGTAACGATCCCCAACCGCCAGGATTGCATACATCTTGAGCTCTCACACTCCTGAACCTAGAGGATTGTTCTGCCAGAGGAACCAAGAAGCCGCTCCTTTCAACTCAATCATGCTGGATTTACACGGTCAGCTGTGCTGGACTGCCAGCGTTCTACTTTTACTACGTGCCGAACCTTGCTCTCGGGAGCGGGCACAGGGGCGGCACCGGGTGTCCCACGAACATGGTTTAGCCCAGTTGGCAGTGCTCTGCAACCATCAGAGGCGAGTTGTCAACTCTTCGCGAGGGCTGTGGCAGGGAGCCATTTCGGGCGACTCCAACTCACAACTAAACACAGGGGGTCTTGTTTCTGCCAAACAAGCGTAAGTCGATGCCAGAGACAGGAGTATCACGCCCACATCTATATTTAGTACCGGCGAATAGAGAGGAGATATAGATTCTGCCACCAGCGCCTCTATCCTCCTTGTTCAATTCCGAATCAGCTTTTCGGAAAGAGTCGCTCTCGGTACTTTCCATGCCGTCGCCGTGCACCGATCCAGACGCCAACTGTGAGGGCGAGATATCCTCAGGCATACCAGGTTGCGCCACATCGACGAATTTCTCTGAAGCTTCTAGCGAACCAGCCTCATTGGGCATGCAAGGGGGAGGCACGCGGCCCTTGTAACAGCCCCAATCGAACCAGCCGTGACGATGGAGTTGATTCATCCGGACTTGCGGAATGACATCTCATTACTAGGATTCGCGAAAGCTACAGCCACTAACAGTGAAGGGGAAGTCCGTGTCCTGACAGCGGTCGACGAGGAAGACATACGAGAACTCGAGGCACTGCTGGCGAGATGGAAGCAGGGAAGGCGAGTTGTCTACCTTGTGAAGTGGAAAGGCTTTCCAGATGAATGAAACACGTGGGAGAAGCGTACCGCCATAAATACCGAGATGGTGGATGAGTTTGACGCCGTCTATCTGGAACAAGAAGGAAACCACGAAGGCGTGAAACTGCTCGACAAGCGAATGCGCCAGAGCAAGTCAGAGTATCTTGTAAGATGGAAACGTCATCCTAGCATCGAAGATTCATGGGAGAAAGGGTCGACGATAAACCATAGACGTGTTAGGGGGTTCGAGTTGCATAGGGGAAGCTAACTGAAGCTATGAGTGGCGAAGTGACTATGAAGAAGTCTAACATGCCCTTCCAGCAGATCCGTAAAGTTGTTTACCAGCCGCGACTGGCACATACGAGCGTGATGCAAAAACAAGCACAACACGGCAGCGGCAATCAACTATAGATAACAGTATGAATTTCTGACAATTAGAAGAAAACCATCTAGAAAACGCTAGAACGTATCCATGAGAACTTTATAAACAAACCATCTCCCAGATCCCTCATTTGAAGACAAATCAGAATAGATATAATGTTATCGATGCAATAATTCACTTTGAAGCCAAGCCATCCTAGATGTTATTGACATTGCAATGGATTATACCAACTGCACAACAGCTATGCTGTTCTTAACGCTCCACTATCCTTCGAACCGCCTCGGCCCGGGATGTTTCGAGCAGCCGCACGACCGCCTCGCGGTCGGATTCGGCGGCCCGATGCAGCGGCGTCTGCCCTTTCTTATCTTGCGCCTCGATGGCGGCGCCCTCCTCTAGTAGAAGCCGCACGACCGCCTCACGGCTGTATTCAGCGGCCTTATGTAGCGGTGTCTGCCCTTCCTTATCTTGCACCTCGATGGCGGCGCCCTCCTCTAGTAGAAGCCGCACAACCGCCTCATGGCCATATCTGGCAGCCCGATGCAGCGGCGTCTGCCCTTTCTTATCTTGCGCCTCGATGGCGGCGCCCTCCTCTAGCAGAAGCCGCACAACCGCCTCGTGGCCATATCTGGCAGCCTGATGTAGCGGCGTCTGCCCCTCCCCATTCTGCACCTCGATAGCGGCGCCCTCCTCTAGTAGAAGCCGCACGACCGCCTTATTGCCTCCTATAGCGGCCTGATGCACCGGCATCTGCCCATACTCACCCTTCGAATCGATGGCAGCACCACTCTCAAGTAGGAGCCGCATGACCGCCTCGTGGCCTCCTAAAGCGGCTATATGCACCGGCATCCACCCATACTCATCCTTTGAATTGATGGCAGCACGACTCTCAAGCAGGAGCCGCACGACCGCCTTATGGCCCAGCCCAGCAGCCCTATACACCAGCACCCACCCATCCTCATCCTTCGAATCGATGGCAGCACCACTCTCAAGCAGGAGCCGCACGACCGCCTCGTGGCCTTCTAAAGCGGCCATATACACCGACGTCACCCCATGCTCATCCTTTGAATCGACGGCAGCACCACTCTCAAGCAGCAGCCGCACGACTGCCTCGTGGCCCTCCCCAGCGGCCCTATGCAACGGCGTCAGCCCAAGCTCATCCTTCGAATCGATGTCTACAGCAGTTTGGGATATCTTGTCCAAAATGTCTTGTAATGTCCCCAAGATCTCATACTTTGCTACAATGTGTAAAAGAGTCGTCCCTTTTGCTGGACAGTAACGTGAATATCTGTCCATCGCCTTGTAGATACGCGTCCATAGGTCTACAAGCACGTTTGATGGCCAAGCAAACAAAACCAGAAGGTCGTCTTGGGGGGCATCCTTTGCATCGCTTTGTTTTGTATGTGCCACCCATGAGGTCGTAGCATAATTTAGTAAAGGAAAATCGGACTTCATGTTGACAAGTGAGGAGTCTGTTGACTGGCCGATCTCCTCCATCGCCAGGTAGCGAATACAGGTCCTGGACAGCTGAAAGTGTGCTCCTCTACTTAGCGTATCGGGTGACATTGAGTTGCCGACCAGCGTCAAAAGGCCCTTCTCCATGAAGAAGTCCTTGACGGACTGGTGGATGAACTGGACAGTCTGCATATCGGATGTGACCTCAGCAAGGCCGTGGCTGAGCGTCCGAAGCTGTTTCTCCATCTGTTCGCTGTCCAGCACATCCTCCGCGTCCCGGCATGCCTGTAATGACCGGTATGGGCAATCGACCTCAATAACCATAGCCCATCGTAACTCGTCTATTGATAGAGGCCGAGTAGCAAAACATATCCATCGGATAAGCTTAAGGGAGGCCGGCTTCATGCTCTTGATGAGTTCCTGGTATAGTTTATCAAGATCTTGGGGGATCGAGTAGACTGCTGCTTTTATCTTCTTCGGCCCGGCACCTTCACGTTCAAGATCCAGCACTTCCTTCACCACCAGACGCGCCCACATGAAGACACCAGAGGCGCGATTTGTGATAAGGGCCGGGACCGTAGATGTTCGCTCGCGAGAGTTAGATAGCTGGCCCTGGACGTAAGTAGATATATCTCGCGCATTTTCATGCTCAGGACATATCTGAAACTCGCAAACCTGATCCAGAATCGGATAGTGACGGCAAGTGACACAGATGCGACATCGTCGAGCGGTGTTTGGCAGAGTCTGGAGCAAGGTTTTGAACCATCGAAAGAGTTCAACCGCATTATCTTTGCCACACTCGTCCAAGGCGTCGACGAACAACCAGACTGAGTGGGATTCGAGCATCTTCGGAAGACACGACTCGAAGAAGTGCAAAAGCTCTTTTGGATGCCACTGCCACTTCTGACCTGGCTCGCCGATCTGCTCACGTCTCCGTTGAAATTCGTCGACCAGGTTGGAGAGCGCAGAAGGCACCTGGCTAAGGACCTGATGAGCAATAGACCGAAAGAAGCCGAGAGGAGTATTTTGAAGCTTGTCGCCGCGGCCGTGAAAGAAGAAAGACAAAACAAGATTACTACTGTATGATAGTGTCTCTTCTTGTATGTCAAGGGCATATTTGAGCAAGGTTGACTTCCCCGAACCCGGCTTTCCCTTGACCCAGAGCAGGCCTGAATTGGATGCGGCCCAGTTCTTGTACATCTCGTGTTCGAGAAGCCACTGGCATGTTCCCTTGGTGGCTGTTTCAACATCTTTGGCACGATCATGCATCTGCGGAAAGGCCAGCGATTGTAAGCAATCTCGGTCTTCCTGTGATAATCTCGGCCGTAGAGGGCCTATGAGGCTTTAATATGATTTCTGCTTAGTTTGATCGAATCGGAGTGTTGCTTGGTCACGTACGCCTTCGTGCTTTAAGCGCCCCGAAAACGAGGGACCTGATTCGCCCAAGGGCCTTCTCGTACTCATGGTCTTCTGGCCCAAATTTGACCATTTCCGAGTGCGTACGGTCGATGGCGCAGATATGCTGTGGCCCATTCTCCCACGGTCGGCAATGCGTGGCGGAGGCCTTTGACACTAGGACGGCGTCCGGTCCTGTCATCTCCCACCTGCCGCTTTCGTTCTGCAACATGTCAGCATAGTTCATCTAAAGCTCATCGACAGAGACATACCTTCTGGGCAGTCGGCGATCTGCGGGTTTCGAAGAAGCAAACAATCTCGGATTCGCCTCGGCCCCGTAATGCCTCTAGAAACTCACGCTGCTGGATGGTAAGGATCTGCGAGCTGAAGGGTCCTATGGACTCCAACAGGAACCGGTTTGGGCCATCCTCAACCATGGCTATAAGGGAGCTAATATCCATACCATCATGTGGGACGCCGAAGAAGGCGATTCCGTATACTGCTCGTATTAGTTTCTGGTCCAGCTCGTCCGTGGACCTGGAGAGGGATATGAGGGTCTACCGCGGTGTGAGCATAATTACTAATAGACAGACAGATGGGGTAAGTGGGCACACCTGCTTCACGATCAGCCCACCAAGGCTGTGGGCAATAAACACGATCGGGCGAGATGCGCCGTCCATCGCCAGCCACCGAAGGTGCGAATGAAACGCCGTCCCGAGATCTTCCAAGTTCTGGAAATTGTTGCTCTGCGGAAGAGCCGAGTCGTAGCCATATATCATAACACGCGCAATGGGCTTGTTATCGCCTTCCCCGGTGATATGTTTCGGAACTGAGTCCCGTAGCCACATGTGCTCTCCTCCCCTCTGCTTGAATGACCCGAATGCGTGTCCGCCGAGGCCGGAGATCGCGATAAGGCTAGAGAGGATGAATAACGTGGTTTAAAGCGAGGTGGCAATACATACTCGACCTTGTGGTCCTGCGGGGGAGGGGCGTAGAGTGTTGTGATGCCAAGGAAGTCACGGTCAAGCGTCATGACCCTCGATCGATTGTCTGACGTCGCAGGTAGAGGAATCTGCAGGTCGTAGGGCACGTTCCGAAAAGAAACCGTGGCCGTCTGTGAGCGCCCATGAACCTCGACGGCCAAGGATCGGACATCCGGGTCAGCAGAGTCATGCTTCTTTGCTAAGAAAGATCTTAGATCGTCTGAGTTCCAGTCGAGGGGTACGCCGCGAACGCAGAAAGTCGGCACCGGTTGGTGGTCGTGAGCCGGGGGTGGTTTCACGTATGACCACCACCATCCGATGCCTACTGCCAGGAGCGCGGCCAAGAACGTGTATAGCTCAGCGGACATTTTGATGGGTACGAGGGGAAAGGGTGCTGTCGTGCACAGATTCACGAAGCCGCCTTCTAAACGCCGCAAGGCCTCCAGTGGCTGCGCATTTTCTGCCCAATGGAACAGCCAATCACTCGTGCGCCCGCCTTCGCCAAGTGTCAGCGGTATCTTTAGACGCCGCAACTGCAGTCACATGATTCCCATTTATCTCCCACTAATGAGAGTAGCAGAGACAGGGATCTACAGGAATCTTGATTACTGAAGAGGGCAATCAGTGCACATGATTGCAGTTGCGGCGTTTAAAGGGATAGGGCTTATAAAGTACAACGACCCACCCTGGTATTAGAGATTTCTCTTTCTCTTTTGCCAGGAGAATGACTACCTCCAAAAAAGATACCTCTTGGCCCCTAAGATTTCTATTACAATAGAAGTCACCGACCCCACCACATACCCACTATTTACGTGCTTTCACGGCCTGGCTATTCGGCCGCACCCCCCTTGTGGGTCTTTGGCCCTCCCCTGCTGGCGGGGTACCTACAACCCCAGATTTCTTACACCGAAGTCTCTAGCAATACCTCTATTTACAGAAGTATCACTTTAGAGACTCCCCACAAATAGATCCACCGGCCGTCTAGTAGCACAATCAGGCCAGTAGCCCCCTATAACTTCAGGGCCTTCAGGCTAGTGGCCCCCTATAACTTCAGGACCTTCAGGCTAGTGACCCCCTATAGTTCTAGGGTGTGACGATCCTTAATCCTAAGAGGTACAACTACTTCATAGGACCGGAGGCGTGTGGGTTTATGTAAGCAGTAAGTAATGGACGCTGCTAAGCACTGGTGGTTAATCATAGCTAAGATAGCTTCACTTAAAGATGCTTTATTAAATAAGATACTTTAAATACTAAGAAGCTATTTAGAGTAGATATCTAAGGGTAGACATATATCTATATATATATAGACCTTATTTTATTAGTAATAGTTAGTAATAACTAAGTATTAGTTAGTAGATAACTACTGCTAACTAAGTATTGGTTAGCATGCTGTTTTAGGTAGGTAGTATGTGATTTTCTACTAGCTAGTCTTATGGTCTATCTAGAGCAGTGCTCTATAGTAACTATAGCTAGTTTTATAATATAATACCTCTCTTCTAGATTGATGTCTTAATAATCTAAGGTTATTCTTAAGACTTAGATTTCTATCTTCTACTATAGATATTAAACTCTTCTCTTAATTATTATATGTCTTTTCTAATAGTATATCTTTAGACTATATTAAGAAGTAGAGTATATAATATCTAAAGAAGTCTTCTATTAAGTAGAATAAATAGCTAGCTTTTAAGATTAACTCTTTAGGGTATAAAGTAATACTATACTTATAATACTTTAACTATAGCTTAAAATATAAAATAATTAAATAAATAAAATATTATTCTAAGTATATATAGTATAGTTAGTTATATAATAGGATAGATATTCTAGTTAGTATCTATAAGTACTAATTCTTACTACCTAGATTAGTACTCTACTAATTACTTATATTATAATATCTTATATTATAGCTAAGTAGAAATATCTTAAGTATAAGAAAATTAAGAAGAAAGAGGCCTTTAAGGATCTTCTCTAGTAGTAGTAATAGATTTAAGATAAGATCTAAGAAGTAATAATATGCTTGATTTATCTTTATAAGTAGAGGTATTTCCTTTATAAGAAGGGTGTGAAGATAGTGTAATATAGTCTGTAGAACTTAGATAAGCTAGAGGAAGTAGAGTGAAAGAAGTCTAAGGTTGCTATATAGAAGTCTTCTATAGTTCTAGAGGTATAGACTAATAGTAGTTTTAATATAATTAATTAGAGTATTATTAGCTTAGATAATAGGTAGTTATTAACTAGTCTTAACTTTACTAATAGAACTATTAGAGCTTTAACTAATAATATATTAAGTGCTTAATAGGTTTCTAGATATTCTCTATAACATTATAGCCTTTCTATTTAACTAGATATTTACTATCTAATATTCTCTACTTAAGTATTTATTTAACTTTATACTCTTCTTCTTCTACTTCTACTTCTACTAGTTCCTTTAGCTATACTTTTAGAGGGGCTGGTTCTAATAGGAAAATATAAAAAACTAGATAAATTCTTATTATCTTTAATAATAATAGTCTATAGTTAGATATTAAGATTTTTTATATAATCTTAAATAGTTCTAGTTTTTTATAATCTAATTTATTATTAGATTATTTTATTATAATATTTTTTTATAGTAGATAGACTATATCTTCCTTTAAGAAGAATGATCTCTTTATCCTTTTTCTATTATAGTAATAATAGACTTATTCTTAGATAAACTTAAGTTCTATTTTTAAGAATATATATAACTTCTTAAGATATTCTACTTTAAGAATAGTAGATTCTATATTAATCTTATCTTATAATTATTAGTATGCTTCTAGGTTTTAGCTATAGTTAGTAAAGAATAGTAAAATCTTTATTATTTTAGTAGGGATACTATTATATATAAACTATATAAGTAGTAATAGCTCTATCTAATTATCTTAATTATAGTTAATATAATTATATAGATATACTTCTAATACTTAATTTAGATATTCTATCTATCTATTAGTTTATAGGTAGTAGGCTATAGATAGTTTCTTATTAGCTTTAAGTTATCCTATTAAGAATATATAGAATTTTAATATATATATTAGTTCTTAATTTATAATGATTTTATATAGTATCCTATAATTAGCTACTACTATTTATAGAAATATAAATATAAGTTATTCTATTATATATAACTTATTAAATAGAAGAAAATATATATACTTAGTAAGTTACTTTAATATTATTAAAATATTATTATACTCTATTCTAATAGTTAGATCTTTAGACTTTAGTAGTTTGATAATAAAGTCTATAGTTACTAAATATTAGGGTTGTTCTAGTATAGGGATAGGCTGTAGTTCTCTATAAGATAAATATCTTAATATCTTATTACTATTATATTTATAGTATGATTTCTATATCTTTCTAACTATTCTATTAAGTTTAGAGAAGTTATATATTTCTTAGACTCTTATCTTAGTCTATATGATTTCTTTATACCTATAAGCTTTAATCTTATATATTTCTTATATATATTTCTCTCTTAAGATTAGAGGTAGGTATAATTATCTATTATATCTAACTAGTAATCTCTTAAATAGTTTTTTCTTAATATAAAGATTATTATTATATTGCTAGTAGATCTCTTATTCTCTTACTATATCTAATGATATGATAAGTTTAGTAAGTATAATCTATTAAGAAATATCTTCTATATTTCTATTAGTTTATATCTATAGGATGGCTTATATTTCTATAGGTATCTTCTATTTATAGTCTAGTCTTTAGTTAAGTATGTCTACTCTACTGTTTTTAGACTCTTTATAATATATAATTTTAAAGTTGAATTCTAAGAGGAATTCTGTCTATTATATCTATCTTTTATTAAGTTCTTTTAATATAGTAAAGTATATTAAATTCTTATGATTAGTAAATATTATAATAGAGTGTTATATACTACTTAGATATAGTCTCTATTCTTTAAAATACTTAATAATTATTATAAGTTCCTTATTATAGATTTAATAGTTAAGTTCTAGTCTATATAGCTTTTTTAAAAAATATATTACTAGATAGAGTTTTCTATTATTATTATATTATCTAAGTTATTCTCTAAGGGTGTAGTTAGATATATCTATTTCTAGCTTATATAGTCAATTAGGGTCGGCTATTTATATAACTAATTTCTTAAGTATATTTCTTTTAACTTAGTTAAATACTGCTTAGCACTCTAGTATCTATTTAAACTTAGTATTCTTTTTTATTAGGTTGGTTAGAGAGATTATTACTTCTCTATAACCTTTTAAATATCTTTAATAGTAATTAGTAAATCCTAGAAAGAATTATACTTTCTTAATATTTATAGGTATAGGCTAGTTCTTAACTACCTTTAGTTTTATTAGGTCTATTTAGACTTATTCTAGTTTAATTAAGTATTTAAGGTAAACTACCTTTTAGATATAGAACTAACTCTTATCTAAGTTAACTAATAGATTTATATTCTATAGAGCTTGTAGTATTTAATAGACATACTTCTAATATTACTCTAGGGTCTTAGAGTAAATTAGAATATTATTAAGATAGATAATAATAAAGTTATCTAGGTATTTTTATAATATATTATTAATTATATTCTAGAATAAGATAGGTATATTTATAAGGCTAAAGGATATTATAAGATACTTATAATATCTTAGTTAGATATAAAAGGCTGTTTTCTACTTATCTCTCTTCTTAATATATATAAGATTATAAGTATCTAGTAGGTCTAATATAGTAAACTAGTTAGTACTATACAGCCTATTATAGAGTTTAGTAATTAATAGTAATAGATATCTATTTTTAATTATAATATTATTAAGCTATTAATAATTAATATATATCCTCTATTTACTATTCTTCTTAGATATCTAGAGGATTAGATATCTTACTAGTAATTATAATAGTTAAATATATCTCTTTCTAAGATTCTTCTTAAGATACTTCTTTAGCTTACTTAGCTATAATTTATTTAGCCTATAGATCTTCTAGAATTTTAGCTACATCTCTAGTTTAAGAGGTATCTTATAGTTATAGTATGAGTATAATAGTAGTTCTATTTCTAATTCCTTCTAGAATAATTTACTATACTAATAATACTCTTTTAATATTATTATAATCTCTTTAGATATATCCTTCTTTAGGTATAGTAGTACTCTATAGATTTATAACTTATATATATCCTATCTCTAAGAAGTAGTAGAGACTAAGTCCTTCTTTAATTATTCTTAATTAGATCTTATTATCTAGATTAGCTGGTTAGTAAACTAATTAATAGTAGGGTTATACTTCTATAGCTATAGTAATTCTAATATTATATTATATCCTACTATATTAATAATATCTAAAGTAATTAATATTTTCTTAAAGTTAA